ACGTAACCTGCATAGTTTGTATTCAATCATACTTTACGGGAACCTGCCTTTGGTGCCCGGTAAGCTCTCTGATTGGGCCGGCATCCTCGGGCTTTAGATTTCGGGGACCACTCCCATGGTGCCCGATCGGTGGGAAACCGTTTGGCGTACGCTAGTCTCCTTTGGGATTCTGGTGCATATCACCGTTCACAAGATGCAAATCCATGATGATTGATGACAGGGGCAACGCTATCATGCATGGATCATGAACTGATCCGAGAGATACACAGGGAGACTTCTGATACACGGATAGTATGGACTTGAGATTACTACGGAGTACATGCGCAGAAGTAAACTTTTGTGCGATGGGGGGACATTGGTCTGATACTCATCTTGTTAACTCCTTCGAGCTCGGCTGGCTAGAGAAACAGGAACTATAGGAGGAGCACGGACGGGACGGTAAAGTGGTAGCTTGGTTTCACCCGTTGAAGCCGTTTTTTGCCCCCTCTTTTCTTGCTTATTGTGTCAGTCTGAGAATGACAGCTCGCCGGTCCTTTTGACCCGGAAGTAGATGCAGCATACGGAGTACGGAGTACGACGTGCAGTATCATACAATACCATGCATCCATTACACATTACCGAGTAAATCCAATTCCTTATAAGTTACTAGATTGAATGTTGTACATATTGACACATCAATCTATTAAGCGCCGGAGTCTCCCCTTTACCAATCTACAGTATGTCCCGTGTCTCCGTCTACATGACTCTTGGCCTACTCCGAGGCATACATACCGGTATACCACACTCAAAGAGGAAGCTCTACCGTTGAAGTTCCCCATCTGTATCCCTCTCCCGTTCCTGGTCCCTTTTCCAGGGACTCCTCCTTTCAATCTGGCGGGAATGGTTCGTCAAATCTGGACTCCCGCCGATGGAGAACGGGCCAGGTCGCCCCGCTTTAAACCGTCATCGCCGTTTAGAATGCACGATGACTGGCTAGCGAGTCCTCAACAGACGGGTTTGACAGTGGTCCCACGAACCACTTCGCTTGTGCTAGACTGCCCAGGCCATGATCCTTTGCCCTTGTGCATCCGTAGCGTCCGTCCAGGAGGCGAACGGGACGAGGAAAGAGGGGGTGGATGGATCAAGAATTGTCTTGATTATTACGCGAAGAGAAGAGGAGGGCGATCAACAGATCATCATGATAAAATCCTCGCTTAATCAACAAAATATGACGCTCTAGAAACACATTCTCCCACATCGCCAACTTCAGTTACTCCACACACCCTCAAACAATGGCCTACTGAGGGTGAATCTCCATATAACTACTCTCGGCGAGCCGCAGCTTAGCCCTCCCAACTCGACGCCTTCACGCCAATCGATGGAGACTCCATCACCCACGGCCCTCCACAACGCCTCCACTCGCCTCCGCCAAAGTAGTCCGTCCAACCAACCACGTTGTCACACGGCAACTGGCGCAACCCTATCTACCCGGTCCAAACTCAATCGGAGTGTCAGACGAACGCTCAACGCACACAACACCGCTTTCCCAGCGCAAAGGTACCCATGACATCTGCCAGTCCCGTCATGCCGGTGAACTTCCGCATACGCCAAACCCTAACGTGTCTGATCTGAGCCTGGTCCCCGATACTAGACTGTGTTACTGTACGGAGGACTTTCCTGCGTATGCCGCCACGCTCTGCACTCTAGAGTTTGGTTAGTGAATATTGGACTTGGGCCTGCACTACGGAGAAAGTTTTGGGGATTTTCTTGCCGCCTGTCACGGCATGTGTCAGATGTTAAGACTTTGTTCGGGATCTAGGTCTTGTTTCTAGTCCCCGTTAATAGTGGTCATTATATACTTTCTCTTCCAACGGCAAGGAATAGTACCAAAGCAAATGATCTCAGATCCTCTAAGATGGTTTAGCAGCAGACGGTGGGTGATCTAATAATGGTGAGGGAATTGATATCCACTGGGCTAGACCTTCCGTTATAGTGATTGACTATACAGTAAGTGGTCGAAGGGGAGGGGGCAGAAGCGGGCGAACAACTCGTTCGAAGAACCAAGTGGAGTACGGAGCGGAGTGAGGTCTTGATCATTCTGTTCGCTTTACTCCGCACGAACGGTTCAGAACGCAAAGGACGTTCCGCAGTCCATGGCTCAAACGTTTAGTTGCCGAAATCGTATCTAACCGTACCAACGGGATCCCCGTACTATACGAGTCAAGCGATTGTGCACTTTCGATGACTGAAAAAGGGCTCCGTGAAAGGAACAATCATCAATCACGAAAAGACCGAGGCGGTCCCATCTCCCTTCTTGAGCCGGCAGCCCGCCGCGCTATTTGAGCCGCACTTCAGGGGGGCGGGGGTTTGCCGGGGCTCACCATGACATATGGAGTGATCCATCCATAATTAATTATGCGACTCGTTCTACAACCCTGTACTTGACTCGATTCAGCAGGTCGTTAAGTCGAAGGAATCGACGGCAGCGCCAACATTGATCCAGTGGGGGACCAGTGTCGCTTTGGTCATAACGTGTAGTCCGCAGTACAGAGTATGGAAGAGTAATATACAGAGTACCTGGTGACTTCGATCCTTCATACGTTCTGTTCATACAGACCAGGATGATACCGCTGGCGGCGTGCCATGCTTTCAAACTAGGCCGTTATGGGCGAGACCTGCTCCCGTTCCCCTGCCTCTTTCATGGATGCCTCCTAAATTGATGGGCTGGTGTATTGTCTACCTATGTAGGGACAGGAGTACAGGACGGTGGAAGAGTGTGTGTTTGGCTTGGAGGATGGGGGTGGCTGGCATCTGGCTAGATTCATCTACTGGAAGATCCATGCCCATATGATGAATGACGTGATGGCGATTGGCTTCAGCCGAGGCAGATTTGGCATCACACAGTCTCAGCACTACTTTGACGGGTCTCAATTTACTTAATTGATATTCAATTTCATTTGATAACAGAGAGTCCGATCAGGCTCAGCTAGTCCGGGGACTGGCAAGTTTAGTTGGTTCAGAGGTCGAATCTCCTTGTTTTGGGATTGAGGACTGAGTGTCCGTGCTGAATGAGGTAGAGGGAACATAATAGTATTGAGCTGGATGAGATTTACAAGCAAGACCCTGGTTCACAATCTTAGGTGCGCACAAAGGTGAGTTAATCGGTCTCGTGTTGACCCGTTCAGTCTCATCCTCGTACAACGGGAGGGATATATCTCTCCAACAGCGCTGAGATCAATAGTCTAGAACCACCACATCACGAACAAATACCATCTCTGCAAATATGGGAAAAACACCCACTACTAGTTTACGAGAGTCAGCACATCGTCAAAATTCCAGCGAACTCGCGATCAATCCAGCGCCCAGAACGATTATGGCAAGTGGCGCCCGTTGCGGTGCGCCACACCAGTGAAATCGGAGCACAGCCGAACACAGTGTCAAGCATAGTGCTTCCCCTCCCTCGACCCCACCGTGGCAAGCTGACACGGCACATAGGATATGGTAGGGAGAAAAAAAAATCATATGCAAGTAAACATGTACATGTACGCATCATGTATTGAAGAAAATGCCAGAAACTCTTTTTCTTCACACATATCCTCCGTGCACACTCGTGGTGGACCACGGGCACGAAAGGGCAACCCTTGGAGCCGAGATTCGGGAATCGAAAACTGTACAACGAGGGCGTTTTCTGCAAGGGATGATGCATCACAGATTCACAGGGAGGTTCAAGGTTTGGGAAGGGCGAAGATCAGGAGATCAGAAGATCAGAGGATCAGCGGATCGGTGGATGCAAGGCGTGGACGGTTTAGGTTTGATGGCTTGCCGTTATTGCTTTTTTTTGCGAGACTTGGTGTTCTGGTCCTTGGGCGTTGCACATTGAAACTCTGTATGGAGTACAGAGTGCATACATCCAGTAGTCTGGTTGTTGGCAGTTGATTCGTTGATTCGTTACCTTCTGGCTTCGTGCCTGGACCTGCGGACCTGCACTTCATCTGGCGATTGGGTCTTTAGATTTGATATTCAGAGAACAATAGTCTTGTGGGCGACTCGCATCGTATGGATCTGATTACTTCCATACGAGACAGTAAAGGATATTCTCTGACGGCTTTTGGAAATCAAGACAATGCGTTTATGGCTACGAGTCCGACTTCCCTGTTCCAGGTCCGTGGATCCCATTCCGCTCTGTACCACCATGTGTCCCGCCCTTTGAAGGAAACCTGCAGCAAGAACGAGGCCCCGTTGTCGTGTTGGATGGGGCTGTAGTGGTCTACGGGTGCGGACATGTCTCATCCAGAGAAATGCCCCTTGCCACACTGTCTTCCACGAGGGTTTCGTCTGGTCGCAGTATGACGCGGCTCGTGTCATACAGTCCAGTCTGGGAGGAGACCGTGTTGGTAATGTTTATACGCTTTAGACACTCAACAGACACGATCCCTGTCTCGATGATGGGGTTTCTACCCCCAGGCACGCTGCACGCACACTGGTGGGATCGTGTTCCTTGGCTGATCTCCGGCTGATCAGCCCTGACGCAGACGATTCATCGCCCTGCTCGCACCGCTACCCCGACCATAGATGGGTCCTCGATCTCCGGAAGAGCTGCCGATGGTGTGAAGGCGGGATGCCAGGAGGTGTCTCAGCTCGGCTATGTGCTCTGATTTCATCGTTTGACCCAGTGTCTCGGCTCGGACGGCTGGCTGATGAGGAGCTATTTTGCCCATTGCATTTACTGAGGAGCCCCGGTGGAGGATAGATGAGAATTGCTCGTCTCTTGAGTGGTGATGGCTGGATGCGTGGAGTTCTGGGCAACCGGGGCCTGAGAGCTGCATGTTGCTGCACCTGAGTGTGGACTAGTCGTCACGTAACGGGATTGTAGCCGTCATATCATTACTTTGGATTACGGCTCTGTTGTAAACAAGGTGAATTGAATTACCAGACACTCGTAATGAAATCCGCGTGGGAGTGCTCGTTAAATCGAGATACATACATCACGGTGCATGGATATGCCCGGTTCATCTCGCCCCTCAGGTATTCACGCGGTAGAAAACGGGCATTGTCTCAATCGGACAATCCACTTCCACCTCCTTCCCACCCTGATAGATCTTCGGGATGGCCCCTTGGGGAATACTCACCTTGCTCCAGAGCGTCCACATTGCACCCGCTGGCAAGTAGACTTTGAGCGTGCGCTGACCAGCATCCAGGACGGGGGCCACCAGATATCGAGAGCCAAACATATACGCCGTCTCGACATCCCACGCCTTTGAGTCTTGCGGGAACTCATAGAACAAGGTTCGCATCACCGGTGTGCCCTTCTCGTGCGCTTCTCGCATCAAGCCCCGCGTATACTCGCGCAGCTCCTCTCGAATACCGATGAATTTCTTGCAAACCTCATAAACCTCCTCACCATATGACCAGATCTCGTTGTTCGAGCCGCTGGCGGTCGGTTGGCCCTCGGGCTTGGGTTCTCGATCTCCATGCAGCCGCATCACAGGGCAGAAGGTTCCCCATTGGAACCAACGAGTGAACAACTCACGGAAAGCTGGGTCGTCCGGATTACCGCCGTGGAATCCACCAATATCGGTGGTCCACCAAGGGATACCGGCAATACCCATGTTCAACCCTGCGGCAAGTTGATTTCGGAACGAGTCCCACGAGGATGCAATATCTCCGCTCCAGACGAGCGCGCCATATTTCTGGCTACCCGCCCACGCACAGCGAAGCAAGTTGACAATATTCGTCTGACCCTCGGCTTGCATCCCTTCGTAGAACCCGCGTGCATATTCCTTTGGGTAGATATTGCCTATCTGTAGGTTACTACCAGCATGGTAGCGGAAGATATCAAAGTCATAGATCGAGTACTCGGGTTCAGCCTCATCGAGCCAGAATACCTTGATTCCGCGGTCGTAGTAGTTTTTCTTCGCCTTGTTCCAGACAAATTGCCGGGCTTCGGGGTTGGTTGCGTCGAAATGAGTGATGTCGCCGTCGCATTGCATCGCGACTCTTAGGCCACGGTCATGTCGGATCAAGAGTCCACGTTCGAGCATTTCAGGGAAGTTCTCTGAGGCGTTCTCGACCGTCGGCCAGATGGAGACCATGAGTTCTACCTTGAGCTCCTTCAGCTCTTTGATCATGGCGTCTGAGGGGGAAGTAACGTGTGTGAGCAAGCTGCGTGACCAACAACGTTGAAGTTTTGAAGCAGGTATAAACTATGGCTTACCTGGATCAGGCCAGAACTCAGGATCGAAACTCCACTCTCCTTGATGTTTCCAATGGAAGAAATCAATAACGATAAGATCAAGCGGAACTTCGCGCCGTCGATACTCTCTGGCTACATTGAGTAACTGCTCCTGATTCCAATATCGGAGCTTACACTGCCAGAACCCGAGGCCATACTCGGGCATCATTGGAACGTATCCAGTCACTTTAGCATAGGCCTCTTCAATATCTGCAGGCGAGTCACCCGCTACAACCCAGTAATCTAGCGCACGAGTCGAATATGCCTCGAAGCTCATCACGTTAATGCCTAGGGTGGCTCGCCCAATGCCGGGGTTATTCCAAAGAAAGCCATATCCGCGCGAAGACACCGCAAAAGGTACGCTAGCCTGCGAATTTCGATGAGCTAGCTCTAAATCCGCGCCTTTGAGATTGAGATATGGCTGCTGATACTGTCCCATCCCAAAGATCTTCTCCTTGGGATCGAGAGACTCAAGTCGTAGCGTGAGATGATAGTCACCGCCGAGAATAGGCCGTAGCTCGCGCGCCTCGATCCGGAGAGCACTGCATTTGGGATCGTGAGGGTCTTGTCGGTGTCGGGCATATTCCTCGAGGAGCTTTTTGCCCGTGTGGTCGTAGATGATCACCTTGCCACGCTGGGAGACCGTCGCCCGAATCTTGCCATTGGAGATGCTTGCATCTTCCCCGGCGGGTGTTTTGATCGTGACAGACGAACTGTCTGGCTTGGATTCCAGAGCCCAGCCCTCGGTGGGCATGGTGGCCAGCTTGGTCGCTCGCACACGGAATGCATTTTCACCCCAGGGTTCGATCCAGAGGAGGTGGTCGTCAAACCGGAAGACAAGCTTGTCGTTGTCGGCGTACAGCATCTTTTCAGCAGTCTCTGATCAATCTATATAGAGTTTTAAATCCGAGATGAGTTCAAGAGGGTATAGTCTGGCTTGATGAGGGGTTCAAGGGTGACGAGGAGGCGTTGCCTCGTTCAGACAGACATTGCTAGGGTCTGGTCCAATGACGCTGCCTGACAACCCCTCTCCCCTGCAACTCCGGAGCCTGGACCATCGCAGACTGGACGATCCACATTGTCCGAAGATCTGCGAATGAAAGATTCGGGGGCTTCAACGGTCTTCCTGAGATAGCAATTTCGCTGCGGGGGCGGAGGGTTATGAATAGCCTCCACAGGAGATTTCCTGAAAGGATGCGGCCCCGCTCCGCCTTTCTTTGATGGGGGAGTTGACGATCGCGGACAGTGAAAATATCGGAGCAATCTCAAAGGGAACAAGACGATAGTGGCCAAAATATTGCTCGCGGAAGAACAATGGAATTGTTAACGTTGCCTGCGCTCGGTAAATTGGTAATTCCGTTGCTTGAGTTGACGTCAAGCTTTTGGGGTCACGCCCCCCGCAACATGAGGCTCTTCTGACCAACATATCGACATGTACAGTAGGTCTTGTTTCATTTGATGACCGACAAAAGGACGGAGAATATCGCCCAACTATCCTCAAAGAGGATCTTACATGTCCGGATTGGTGACGATGGAGTCAGTAGAGGTCCGAGAGGATCCGTCGCACAGATTGCTACAGTAGTCTGATAGCAGTCGACCCTCTTCATGAGACAAGTCAATACAAATACTCAGGTTTGCCTTAATCATCTAATCAAGTTGGATTCCTAAAAAGATCACAACCCCCAAGGCCAAGTCAAGGCCACGGTAGCTTGTAGCTCCAGCCTGCTCATGCTCAGCCCGGACTAGCCGTTCGGACTGAGCAACTGGTGGATGTGTTAGAAACAGCCATTGACCACGAAGATGATAAAGCATTGACTAAACTAATAGATGACGGAAACAATTTATTATTGTACGACCTGAAAGCGAACAGTTTAGCTGAATATCGGATATGTTCATCGCGACCAGATGAAAGATCGTTGGAACTCGTTCGTCCCCCACACGCGCTAAGCCCAAAAGGGCACCACGCGGGAAGCTCTCGCCGGCCTTTTCTCCCTCGCCAACGACCATCTATGGCTCCTCTGATTCAATCTTCACCCTTTACCACTCACCACTATCCACTTGACAACTCATCCGGTGCTCCTTCGGAAAAATCGCGACAGTGAGGGTGAAAGGGGACCGGAATCCCCACCACAAACGCCAGCATGGACATGGATATGGATCTCGACCTGGGTCCAGAGCCGGAGCTTGAGCAGCCGCCCCAGCCCATTATAACCGTGAGTCATGAAGCGATTCAGATCCACGCACCTCTGGAGTGATGCGATTGCTGATCACAGATGTGATCGTCTCTGAACAGGACACGGCGCCACCAGAAGACCTGGTCGATCCCCTCACCGAGGAGGCCCTGTACGAAAAAGTCCACGTTCGCGGGGTCGATGAATTGACCACCGACGATATCAAGCAATTCGCCACCACACATTTCGCAAATGAGGTGCCCTCTCGTGTGGAATGGATCGACGATACATCCGTCAACGTCGTATACTCTTCCACCGAGGTGGGCCTCCAGGCTCTCGCAGCTCTGACACAGGTCACCGAGGAAGAGGGTGATGGCGCGTCCACCCTGCCACCGCTGCGCCTACGGTCAGCCAAGCTTCTCTCAACTCATCCCGACTCCGTCCTGCAAGTACGATCCGCCGTCAAGACAGATAGGAAGCAGCCGCGTGCCCATGAGAAGAGTCGTTTCTACCTTATGCACCCCGAACACGACCCCCGCGAGCGCCTGCGACAAGAGATTTCTGACCGACGACGCGGCGGTGATTTGAGCGATGGGGACTATCAGCGACGTCGATTCGATGATCGGGAACTGCGCCGGCGTAGGGACCGTGACCATGACGACCGCTTTGATGCCAATATGTACGACGATCAGCCCGAGGGCGGCGACGGCTATTCCGAATCCGACCGTGGACGCGGAGGGGACCGAAGAGGGCGTGGTACTAGAGAGTTGTTCCCTAATGATGAGCGCTCGTCCGGGCGCCTTCGCAACCGCAGTGCCTCCCCTGGCCGAGACACACTCGATGACGCAGACCATGTTGATACTCGCAGGAAGTTCCGTGAGCGATCACCACATAGCCGTGATCGAAACCAGGGCAAGGAGCTGTTTGCGACCCCAGACTCGGGTGCTCGTGAATTGTTCCCCAATAAGCCTTCCTCCAGCTATCTGAAGAAAGAGCTGTTCCCCAGCAAGCCCAGCAATCACCGTCGGTCAGATGCCTTTGATGCCGCAGATGAGACGCCCGATCTCTTAGGTCGAAGGATTTCCGTACCACTTGCTGATGGTAGCTCCGATAAACGAAATCGCAATGTCGAGCTCTTCCCTGACTCGACTCCTGGGGAAATCTCCCGTACAGAAGATCAAGGCCCTGCGATGCGGAACGCGGGGCGCGGCATGTCGATTAAAGGCCGGGGATCGTCTGTTCGCGAGCTATTCCCAAACACATTCAAGGACAATTCCGGGAAAGAGTTGTTCTCCGAGAAGCTCGAGGGACGCGGGGGTCGTCGCCAGCGTGCCGAGGATTTGTTCGGCTGAGGAGAAGGCTTGATGACGGTGGAAATTTGACTACTATTACTTTCTTTCTTTTTCAATTCTTTTCATCCCGGAACAGACGGATAGCATCTTGAAACGGCGTTACGATGGATGTTTTTCGGTGGAAATCGCATATCAACAGACTCTGCTCTTTTACAAATCAAATTAATTATTATGTATATGAAAAATCTATCCAAATATCCATTTAGTACTAGTTCATCATAAGTCTGCCTCCAGCGTCGTGTCATCGTGTTGACCTGTATGTACGAAAGGCCCGCCTACCTAGATGGCTCATCGATGTTGCCGCATTATCGCCACTCCACCTCTCCCATCGCTGAGCTGGCTAAGCTACCCCAACCATCGACCATGGTATCCTCCGCCCAGATAGACGATCTCGCAAATGCCATCGTCGCTCGATTTCTACGGACAAATGCCTACTCCGAGACTTTGCAAGCTTTTATTCGCGAGGCGGGTCTTCCCCCGGACGCGGGGCAGGCTTCTGGCGATAACACTCACAACTTGACGATCCAAAGCTTGCTGGAAGAAAAGAGGGCGTATGACCACAGTGTCAACTTTGAGCGACTTGGAAATGAAAGCGGAGAAATTTCCTTTTGGCAGCTTCCGGGTAAGATCGTTGTTGTTGACTCGTCGTGTCTGCATCGAGGCTTGGGCTAGTCTTCAGCCTTGCTTTTGTTACGAGGTGCCATCACCGTCTTCGTGTAGATTGATGCTGACATTAGATTAGCACCGTCCAAACCGACTATTATTTCTACCCCAACATCATCAAACCTACTGGCAGCGTCAGTAGAGTATTGGTATAGCCCTGGCCATGACCCTGCATCAGCACGGCCATGCATTTTTTCCACGGGTGCCGACAAGCAGATGCATGTGCTTGAGACTGTATCCCAAAATGAAGCCATCACTTCATTCTCGGGCCTGTCTGACTCGCCTGTACTCTCATTCGCGCCAATTCTCCGAGGCCGATACATTCTGATGACCAATATGTCGGGGCATCTGCTCCTCCAGCGAGGCGCGAGGATCTTGCAAAGCAGGAAAGACTACGCAAAGTACGCCGTCAAGGTCGTTGTACACGAGGAAGCGGACGATGCGGGTCTTGAAACGACCTTCTGGGTTGCTACCGCTGGTTGGGACGCGACTGTCTTGTTATACCGACTCACTATCTACCATGGGAGCCAGGTTCCAGCACCTATGCTTAATGCCCCCGTTGCACGCATCAAATTGACTACAAACCCGGAGTCTGTGCTATTTGTACGCCACGTCGACACGGGCGAGCTGCTACTCCTTGTTTCACGCCGCGACTCGAGTTCTATCTATTATTACAAGGTGGACACAAGCCTGGAGAATGGCCCATATCACACGGAAGGCGACAATGTTCCAAGCTCACCACCTGAATGTCGTCTCCTTGGGCAGCAGAACCTGGCGCCTCACTCTAATGCCTGGGTGGCTTTCTCACCGTCTCACATGGCTCTCAGCCCTCTCGACCCAGGTCTACTTGCTGTGGCGACATCCTCAGAACCACACATGAAGGTGATCATCGTGCGCCTACTTTTCCCGTCGACCGCTTCCTCCGATGAGTCCAATCCGTCTGCTTCGGATGCGGCCGTTACGCAAGCGTCACAGGCCATGGAAGCACTGGCCTTGCAGAACCGGGAAGACGCTGCGATCCTGATACAGGCGAATACATTTGCTCCTCAGACATCTTATTCGACGCCGCAGGTGGCTTGGCGGCCTGATGGGTCTGGTGTCTGGGTGAATGGGGATGATGGTGTGGTGAGAGGTATCGAGATTAAGACTGGGAACGTGGTTGCCATGTTGAAAGAAGGCCATGAACCCGGGTGTAAGGTGCGGACTATCTGGGCCGGATACGTTGATGTGCGCAACGACGGCAAAGATGTGAGGGAGGAATGGGTGATTAGTGGTGGATTTGATAAACGGTTGATTGTATGGAAAGTATGAGATTCAGATTCTAATAGCAAAATCATATGATACCATTGCTGGCTCATGGTACTCGTCGTCTGGATAATGAGTCCATCAAAGGCTTCTACTGTTTACGAGGTGTTGCCCTCCATCGATCAACTTGCTCGCCATTGAAAGACGAGAGAGCAGTAGATATATGAAGAGGGCAGGGTTTGTTCTTGGCACGTTGAAAAAATCCTTCAGCAGGCGCGCATAAAAAGAGCACGTTGCTGTACACACATATGCCGGGGGTAGATCGAAAGACCTGGGAAAAGGGGACTCGAAATCAAGATTCGAGGGTGGTGCATGGGCAAAAGAGCAATGACATGCAAAGCAAAGCCAAGCAATAGCATGCATCCACTGAAAATTGCAATGAGCAAAGGACAAAACGAAAGAAAGAAAGTGTCTCTCCCACTTGGGATCGACACTGCTGCGTGGATATCGAATTAAGCCTGTTGATTTCTGTGTATCAAACAACCCCAGATGGATATACCGCGTAAGGAATAAGCAGAAACCAGGCCTATTCGACTAAGACAGCGGCACTGTCTGATCTTGGTTCATCGCACATGACGTTTATGTTCTCCGGTTCCTTGCGCGTCCGAGATTTCCTCCTCCCATGATTTTTCTTTTCGATTCTGTCCACGTTTATGCGACCTCACGCTTGCCCTCCTTGCGCTCCTTCTGTTTCATTTGTTAGTTACCGTCTGACTGGTATTCGGTATGTGGCTGGTGTAGATGGGTTGTTGTTGTTGGTGGTGGTGGATATCAACGTACCAGGGCCTTGGCGGTGCCGTGCAGGGCGTGACGGTGGTTGCGGCGGAACTTGGGGTCAACACCATTGAGGGAGGGGTAACGGTTGGTCTTGGGCTTCTTGATACTGTATGATAGAACCAATGTCAGTGCTGGTCTGGAATATAGTCGTAGTGGTTCGATAGCCGTGAACGGATTGAGAAGGAGAGTCGAAAGCCATTGCTGAAGTCGAAGAAAGAGGCTCCAAGTTGTCCATCTTGTCACACCCAAATTCCACTCCAGCCTTTCCGCTCCAAACTCTCCTTCCCGGGCGGGATCGTTGTCGACTCGAGGGGCAAAATCATGATGCTGCAAGTATTGGACATGCGATAAGGGATACGCACCCGTTACGGTGAGCCTTCTGGCTGCGGTGGTGCTGGGACGCGTTCTTGGACTCTGTAAAGCGCACAGAATGTCAGTGGTCGGGCGAAAAGGAATTTCGAGAGATTTGGCGCTCGCCGAGAGAGACGCCGACGAACTCGGGGAACGTACTGGCCATCTTGACGGGTGTTGTCGATTAACGTGGACGGGATGGTGAAAGAGGAGGAGTGCTGTCGAAGTCGAGCCCAAGTGGATGGGTTCGGCTAGGGCTTTTTCCCTTTTGTGTGGGATTTCGCTTACCGCCGCAGGAGTGGTGCACGGACGCCATGTCCCCGTACCTGAGCTTTTACAATGTAGAGAATTGTCATACATTTATGGTTAGAATGGTTATTCTAGATCAATATTACCAGCAGAATAACCCCTTTAGCGCAATCGTACAATACAGTATAGGATATGCCCTTGTTCAGCATTCATGGTGACTCCGGTGATTTTCTCATCACGTGATCTTGAAATTAGCAAATACGTCACGTGACTGGAGTAGCGTATATACTCATCTCGATGAGGATCAATCGACAACCATCCTCTGACTACTCCAGGAGGTAATATATACATGTCCGGGGTGGATGAAATGAGACTATCTAATCCGCTCAGCGTCTTACAACCCATCATTTGAGTTTCCATTCCTCCAAATGACAACCCGGCTACCATAGAACGCAAGTTGTTCAATTACTTTACTTTAATATAGAGAAAAAGCTCAAAGACCGAGAGTATCGGAGCAAAAGATTGAGACTATTCAGAAATTTACATTTTCATATCTATAACAGTATCCGCTCGACTCTTGTCTAGCTCATGTTAGGTATGTAGTTGTCTGCCCGCAACTGTTGATGCTGGGTGGTCCGATCCACGTGACCTGAGCCGCTAGGGAACAACCGGCCGTCCGACTTCGACCTTTGCAACGCAACATTCAAGAGGGATACGTCCGGCCTTTGCATTCTCCCAACCATTGCAAAATGAACTCCTTCCGCTTCGCTCGCTCTGCCTTGAGGGCTCGTCCCTCCCTCTTCAGCGCCCCTGTCCAGCGCCGTGGATATGCCGAGGCCGTCAACGACAAGATCAAGCTGTCCCTGACTCTGCCTCACCAGGTGTGTTGAACCGATCTCGAGATCAATATCCCCTTAGCTTCATGGCTCCCAGACTGACTCTTGTGATCTCTCATAGACCATCTACCGCTCCACCGGCGTGTGCGTTTCCTTCTCTGTCGTGTCCGCCCTCGCCGCTCCCTGAAAAAATTACTGACGAACCTTGCGCGACTACAGTACCCAGGTCAACATCCCCGCTGCCTCCGGTGAGATGGGTGTCCTCGCCAACCACGTTCCCTCCATTGAGCAGCTGAAGCCCGGTATCGTTGAGATTGTTGAGGAGGGTGGTGCCACCAAGCAGTACTTCCGTACGTCCGACCTACCTCCGCCGACCGAATCAAGATGCAATGGAACGATGCAGCTAACAATTCCTTCCCAATGGCAGTGTCTGGCGGTTTCGCCGTTGTCCAGCCCGACTCCCAGCTGAGCATCAACGCCGTCGAGGGTTACCCCCTGGAAGACTTCAGCGCCGACGTATGTTCCGATCAACATTTACGATGATACCCCCGGGATTGATATCCATCTAACTTCTTCGTTACAGGCTATCCGCGCCCAGATTGCTGAGGCCCAGAAGATTGCCAGCGGCAGCGGCAGCGAGCAGGACATTGCCGAGGCCAAGATTGAGCTTGAGGTATGATGATGATGCTTGATGTTCCAATTTCGAATCGCCCTACTAACTTGCCTTTGAATAGGTTCTGGAGACCCTGCAGGCCCATGTCAAATAGATGTACATAACCACTTGATCGTTTCCCCCCTACCTTGAACGTGTAGAATTACAGCAATTCTCTTTTGTTGATCGCTCCTTCCGTTTTTGTGTTTCTTCGGTAGACGAAGGGTCCGCAGTGGCGCCTTCCGCGCTTGCCAACCCGACCTTCCCTTTCTCCTACTTTTACCTTTTACTACTCAAACTCCCCCTTCCCAGTTTTCTCTGCTACGCTCCATGCTCGATCATGAGTTCCATGAGGGCTCCTTTGGGAAGTATCGATACGCGCCTAACCATGACTGATACTCTTGCAAACGATCCGCTCGCCTTCTCATTCGCATCCATCGTCGCATTCGATAACGCGCTGCAGCCTGATGATCAGCCACTGGACTGCAAAGGAATCGCTGAAACCAAAATGAATAATCGAGTCCAGTTCGTGTCTGACACGTCTCATGAACCGACTTACGCTCGAGGCATCGGCAAGCCATATCCTCGACTAGAATTGGACGTCGCCATGGACAATTGTCACTCGCTGGATGGCTTCGCCGAACCTGTGAACCCACGAAATACACCGGCCACAACCAGCTGTTGTGAGAGCCCTGAAGATTCAGCTCGACCTGTTGAGCCCCGTGGGATGCGTACCAGCTCCGCGCCGCAAATTCAGTCTTTGGCTTTCGAATGGTTCGACGGAAAATCAGAGGGACACATGACATACGTTGACGACGATGCAGATAGCGGAATCAAAGCCCAGAGACGCCGATTCTCAGCCGATGATGAGCCCCGCGCCTCTTCTAGCATCATCCCTTCAAACGACATCGCTCAAACTACTCGCACAGGTTCCGCTGAGAAAATCGATGACAGCCATCTACATGTGCCTTGCGTGCGACCTTCTCCAAAGCCGCACCCAGCTCGTGCTGGCTATTCCGTCCCTATGGTGGAGCGAAAGGTTGACTACCTTGCTTCCACTTCACCTTCTCACCGCCAGTTCAAGCATTACAAGAAGTGGAGAGGCTCAAGTCGTGCTCTTGTCCACCGTGTCTCACCCTATCGTAGCCCGCCAAAGGTATCAAAGGTCCGACTTCTGGATGGACAACCTGATGTCCCGTCCTCATCTCTTTTGTCTTTGCCGGGCCATCAAGGAGATCCCGGAGGTCCGACAAGTGAGACCAATCCGAGCCAGGAGACTGTTGAACACAATGTCCCTATGAAAGTGAAGGATGTTGCCAATGGCCCGACAGACGTCAACGTTGGCACACCAAATGCCCGGGTTTCTGATCTTGTGGGACTCTCTCTTTCGATCTATCGGGTTCGGCATCCTGGACAACAGCCAGCTCTGAGTATGAACGGAAGTGCATTCCAAGTCGAAATGACCTCCACGCCATTTCCTTGCCCCACCACAGGCCATGAAGGAGAGGAGGTGGAGCATGCTGGGGATCGCCCAGAGTCTGAGGATTTGGTATTTCATACCTACCTGGTCTTGCCTGCCTTCGTTGCACGCATCCCTATGGCCACATTTTCCGTCGTGAAAAGGGCCAAGACCTCGCGGCTTGGTACAATTCTCCTCTACCTGGAAAAAATGTTCTGGTCCGTGGTCATTGCATTTTTCCTTGCCTTTTTGGCCAAGTTCGGCCGGCCGGGGCGCAGACCGGGAAGTGACCCTGGTGGCCTGGGACTGGACCCAAGGGCGCAAGTGCGTCACGCCGTTGAGCCAGTGACTTCTCCCGTGTCATGACAGGCCTAAGAAGTCTCTTCGACGATCTGAATGAGTGGCAGTTTTCCTTTATGAGCCGAGTATCGTTATTGTGACTGATTCTGCAACTGAGTTGCCGATTTGTATCACGAAGTCTGTCAAGCATCTTATCTGAACTTTTCATGCTTGTGTTTCATGAATCACGAGCTTATACTTTGTTTACAAGTTTTGGTACTCGGACTGTTGTATACATTATTATCGTTCGTGGAGGTGGGTACCAACTGCCATCGGTTCTGGCATCAACTTTTTCTGTCGCATTGTTCGATTCGTGTTATTTGAAAGTAATACCCATAATCAATTACTCACAATTATCAAACCCAAATCTCCTGTATCATGCTTTGTCGTAGCCCATCGATATTATTTCGGGGCTGCACATTTCCAAGCTTGCTATAGTCGATGATCATCTTTCTCTCTGCTAGATTTCCAGCAAGGTACCTCTTCATCTTTAGCCCCATGCTTTCTATTGGCCGACATTGAGTCAGCCTAATAGCCGAATGCAGTCTTGCCAACAAGGACCTAATCCAAGAGCACCATATTCAGCGGTAACCAACACATTGGAACTAACTCCTGGTAAGCGGAGATGGAAGCGACTCACTTCTCCATGACGGAATCAAAGGTTTACATAGCTTCAAAACATTACGCCGGAAGAATCAAAGTGAACCAGAATTAATTGGCTTTTATAACGTGCAGGGCTATGCTTGCTCTCACCGGAGAGAGTTTCTTCATGAGACGACCGTCATGACCTTTTCTATATCACAGCGGCTCAATCCTATTTGATACTTAGTTCGAGTCAAGCTCCAGTCCTGATTATTGAGCTCAGCAAACTGCATCTCAACCTGTCCATTACTCCAAAATTTGACCAAGATATCACAAGTCCACTCCGCACACTCCGGATCCTCAAGCGCTTCAATTCGAAAAATCTCTCGTACGTCGAGATTTCTCGAACAGATACTCTCCATCTTCTTTTGAGGATACGTCACTACTTCGCGATAGGACATTCCACGCTGCTGCATGGCTTGCGCCAAGCGGTACTCGTAAGATTGCGGATCGAATGACGGCGGTATAGCAGTGGCCATGGCTCTTTTTACATATGTCCGTGCCAAAATTAGGACGACGACCCACGCAGCGGTGACATATTCAGCAACCTGAAGGGGAAGATTCTCTCCCGCATTCTGTATGTTACGCCGGCTAAACACATCTTCCATGTATGACTTGGTAAGCCCAAAGAGCAGAAAGCTAATGAGTACTTTCATGCTAGTGATCGATATCAAAATTAGCTTTGCAGACCGGGCCTCAGTTCTCGGATGATGACTCAGTAAACATGCATGTACCCGAGTAACTCGACCACCTGGGCCCATATGGGTATGTCTTTGACAGCCCCGCCAGATGGACCGACAAACACAATGGTTCGGTCCCCAGGGACTTCGAGAGAGGATAGAGAACGATCCGCACGCATGCCTCGGCGAGTCGCCAATAGAATCTGCAGGGGCTCGAGGATGTCCTCGTCATTTCTGGCTGGAATATCATGGCCCAGACCCCCATAGGCAATCTCGATATCCGTTGCTAACTTTTCCACGGGAATGGCTTCTGGTGATCGCATTCTTGTAGAATTGGATCCTCTGATGCGACCGCAATGGAGAAATTGCTTGCTGCAAAAGAGAGACCTACATTCTCACGAATTTTCGTGACCTACCGAGGCTGGCCCCAAGCCCGAAACACGCTACGTAAAGAAGTGGCCCCTGGGGCCAAAATGAGGCCAATGCACGCGTTGGTCCAGCCGAATGGAACACAGCATAAGTATATCTAGACATTACCTATGGTGTACAGTATGACAATACTTTCAAACAGCAGGAAAAGAGCTCCCGGCTGATTCTAAGTCTAAACTTTCTGGCACGACAAATAGATTCTAGGATAAGAAAGGGAAATGATATTGAAGTCAACGTCCAAGAAGACCCGTCAACATGTTCGACTGAAAGGGAATAAAAGAAAAATGTCACATAAATTCGCTTGCTCCTCGTCAACAAAGTAAAACAAATATCCTACGTATCCAAGTCGGTCATTTCCATTGCCATCAAACATAGCCATCCGTACCCAAAGTGTAAATCGAGGCAAAGAACATCAAAAAAAAGAGGTATGAGAAAGAGGCCGTCATATCAACAAAACCAGAAACTCATTTTGTACAAGTCATCACAGAAAACAGCAACACAAAAAGGGAGATGAAGGGGGAACAAAAGGAGATAAGGGGCCAAGAAACTAGCCCATATTTACTCAAACTCCACGCCATGCTGTTGTCTCTCCTGTCTTGCCCGGGCTCGCTCTGCCCGCCGGCGCCGGCGGTTATTAGCGTATGACCCGCTGGCTTCGGTACCAGTCCATGTTCCGGGGGAAGTGACACTGCCCGCACCGTAGGGCATGCTCGAAGGTGCTGCGGGTGGGACAGGGGGTGGAGGTGGTATATGGCTGATTTGAGATTGGGAGGGGTGGAATGATGAGGGAGGCACACTCGCCGACGGTGCAGCAGTTGCCGCAGCGGCGGTAGCAGCAGCAACTTCTTGCTCTCGTCGAATTTGCTCGGCTTGCTGGCGCTCTAGCTCTTCAACACGCCGCCAGCGGTCATGGTCCCGACCCTCATCTCCGGAGAGGGAGCCAGCGCTGCTGCCACGACGGCGAGAATTTCTGCGCTCACGGCGCCGTGCTTCCCGTTGAGCTGCGGCTTCTTCTTCAGTCAGGCGGCGAAGAGTTACGTGTCGGCCGTCATTGTGCATCTTCACTTTGACTGATACTGGCGGGGACTCGACGTGGTCAGAGCGATGCCGGCTGTCGTCTCGGCGACGACTCCCGCTGTTGCGGCGATGGCTAGAGGCAGCACCCAGTGCGGCACCCGCAGCTGCACCAGCTGCAATTTCCTCTGCATGGTGGGGATGATGCGAGTGTGACCGCTCAGGTGAAGGGAAGTCACCAGACAACTCCTGGTGAATAGGAGGAATGGGAGGAATATCTGAAGGAGCAGCATGAGCAGCTCCCGTTGCCATGGGCTCGGGAGTGAGCATGGAGCTTCCAGAGGCGAGTCGCGGAGGAGGAGGCCGCGGCCGTGGAGTCAGATCAGTAGGTGTTAGGTCACTTTCGGTGTAAGGGCTTGGCCTTCGCCGTTGAGGATAAGGCCCGTTCCCAGATTCATGCCGTCGTCGTTTGCTATTTGCTCTTTGTAGAGCCTCATCTTCCTCTTCTCGACGGCGGATATCCTCCAACCGACGGCTCTCTTCGTCTGCCTTGTCCTTGTTGCGGCTGAAGATCCGTTTCACGGCCGCAAAAGCGCCAGCCCCGAGCAATGCATCCCTGACTCCATGGGAAGGACGGCGTTCCGGGTGCTCAGACAGATATGTGCTATTGTAATAGTATGAAGAGCCAGGGCTCTGAGGCCTGCTGGGAGGGCGACCAACCACTGGTGGGCGAGCAGGTTCTGGCCGGCCATCTTCCAGCCTGCTAAGAGAGTCTTCGGTATAGCTGTCAGTGCGTGAGTGAGCGGGCTTGTAGCGGCCCACCTCAGTATCCTCTTCGCGTTGGCGTCGGCGGTTCCACCACTTCTTTGCGAGCATACCAGCACCAGCCAATGCACCGATTTCAAGAATCTTTTTCCCCATCCGCCACCGCCATGATGGCGGGAAGACTCGTCAGAATATTTCTCATCCGAGTACGATGTCCGAGAATCTTCATATGCGACGCTTGTCGTACGGCTGCGAGCGCGCCGTTTGAACAAGGAAGCCAGTCCTGCGCCCACAGCCCCGCCGGCTAGAGCCTGGCCAAGGCCGCCGCCACCGCCTCCGTGGTGTTCTTCCACGACTGACGGACCTGTATATCTGCTGCCATGCTCACTTGCCATGTGGAACCCCTCATCATCGTAAAGATAAGATAGGATGAAGTAGACCACAAGGAGCGCAAACACTCCAACCGCGTAGAGAATGAAAAGGACTTTGGGAGAGCCATACAGCGTCAGACCCAGTGGTATTTGAACAATTCCCAGAAGGGCCAAAGCTCTACCAATCCACCGATGAATCTGAAAAGTCCAAGTGTTAGCATCTTCAAGACGTTGTATCTCACAAGCGGGACGTACCACAAGCTTCAACGGAACGTGATGTCGAACCCGTTTACTCTCTTTTTTATGCACAAACCAGCCCCACAGAACCTGGAAAATGACCATCACATAGATAGCCAGGCCAATTCCATGGTGTGGGTTGGTCAGGCTTCGCTTCGGGCCGACCGCAAACCAGCCCAGCACAAAAACGACTGTCGACAAGAGTAGCGTGAGTATCTGACACCAGGCGTGGATCTTGAATGCCCAGAATGGGTTCCATCGGGAATAGTATCGAATGATTAGGGTCGAAATGGGCACAAGACCCAAGAAAACAATTGTTGCAATAACGCCGTGCGCAATTATTATGGAATGATACCCGGTCATATCCTTGAACCGATTACCCATGCCTAAAGTGCGTTAGCGATTGATCCGAAATTCCCCGGCATACTTCCATCTAGACTCACCATTGTATCGCATTGTCTCGAAGTTCAAACCCATCAAGTTGGGCAGCAAAAAGGTGTCGCGCTGCGTGTCCCAGGTGCCATCTCCAACATGAAGGGTATTTGACGAGTATGTGCTGCTCCCAGGAGCCGTGAGCCCCGAGTCAGACATGACGACGATGGTCTTGACTGTGACGTGCGATCTCGATGCTCTGGAATGTCGGGGTTATCGAAGGAGAATTACCGAAGGAGATCTATTCAGATCCCCCGATCCGAAGAATGCACCATGCGACGGGACGGCAACTCAATTGAAATCGCAAATGACAGGAGCGCTTGCTGTACGGATCTTTGTATTATTGCAGTTGATGAAAAGGTTGAAATGGGGTCCTTCCCCGGAACAAGATAACACTGGATGTTGTCTAGCGGTGAGCGAAGGTCAGCGCGAGTTGAGAGGAAGAAGGAAGGGAGGAAGGGAGTCGCACAAAGTCAAGAAATTGAAATGTATCACCTTGAGAAAGATTGAAGATTGCAAACCTGGCTGAGAGTCACCGAATTGATGAGAATGACCAAGTGTCGTACAGGATCAACAACAAGCGGGCGAAGTGAGCGCTGTCAACTGTCTACCGCATTGGGTTTAGGGGGCCAACGCATAACCAGAGCAACGGGCAGAAACCGACTGACCGCCTTCCATTTCCAAAAGCCATCTGATAACATCACATGACCTGACCTGATCGACTCACTTCCTCCGGCTCGATTCGGCTTCCGAGAAACCTTGCTTATGCTTGTACGACCTCAACAAATTCGGTGTTAATAATACATTTAGAGGAGGGAGCCCCGTGTTGGGCAAAGCTCTTAATCATGGATCGTTCACAGCTGGAGATTTTCGTTCGGGCGCTGTCCCGGTAAGTAGCCTCGCTGAACGACGAAATGCGGGGGATAACTCGTTACTGATCAAATCATCACAGCCTGTTGGGATGGACATAGTAAGTTGCATGAACTCTAAATCTACCAGTCTCTCATGCTGGACGCTCTGCTGAAGAGGTGAACTATTGAGCTCACCGTTGAAAACAGTATGGCGAGTTGGTCATTGTCCTTTTTCCCTCTACCCATCTCAATGTGGCGCCGCAAGTCGACCTCAGGTGTCTCCATCGACTTTAACTTTATCAACCTACTCGGGTTCACCTGCTATAGTATATACACTGCGACCTTCCTCTACTCTCCAGTGGTTCGGTCCCAATATGCGGCCAGGCACCCTGCCGCTGCCGAGCCCACCGTTCGTTTTAATGATTTAGCCTTTGCGGCACTCGGGGTGATCATGTGCCTTGTTGCATATTCGATGTTTTGGCCTGGCCTCCTGGGGCTGCATACTCCTCGCCGCCAACGCGTGAGCTGGACTATGAGGGGCATGTTTAGTGGCTGCATATTAGCGCCCTTGTTGGTGAGCTGCATTGTGATGGCTCAAAGCCCCGACGGAGGGAATGACCCATTGTCGTGGGCTTGGATTGACGTGGTAAGTGACACATATAAGCCTCTGGATTGCCTGATCCTTAAAGTTATTTTTAAACCGCGGCGGAGTCTAATGCAAGGGCTACGCTCATTGTCTCTAGATCTACGTCTTTTCATACGACAAACTTGTCATTACGACGATCAAGTACGTCCCTCAGGCTTGGTTGAACTACCAGCGGCAGTCAACGACGGGATGGAACATTTGGACCATTATCCTGGATCTCATCGGCGGTATTTTGTCGCTGCTGCAGTTGGTCCTCGACTCCAGTCTGCAAAGTGATTGGAGTGGAATCACGGGAAATCCCGCGAAGCTACTACTCAGTAACATCACCATCTTCTTCGACCTTATCTTTATCGTTCAGCACTACATCTTGTACCGGAATGCCTCAGACCCCAAGGCACTGCCCGGACCTGATTCAACTACACCTTTACTAAACGAATCTAATCCCTAGGATTGGCCGGTTGACCAATTGGCCGACCGATCAATAAGGATCGAGAACAAGCGAAAGTGATATAGACGGGGAGGGGCTGGATTAGAGACATTATGTGGGGAGAAGCCCTATTTTTGTATATAGATGTCTTTCGGCATTCACAGTGCGTCCATATATATCATAAGAATCATCGGGATCAGAAAAGGACCATAGCTCTGAGACAACGGGGCCGGAAGTCTATCTGTGAACCCGACTGTTGGTTTTTCAGTTGTTATTCGCCTGTCTTGTCCTGTTTCGTCAGCTTCGTTGCTCGGCATTCGGAACATCTCGCTTCCCAATCGACTTCCTTCAGTCATCCGTTCCTCAGCTCCTTCCATCCCCAGCCCTATACCGAGACACTTCTGAGTCTACGCGGGACAGCAGTGCATGATACCAGCGCATGGCGATTTGAAATCACATCATCTGCACCGGCAGCTCGGTGTTAGGGCCAAAGACAACCCTCAGCCCTATCTCCGATACTAAGCTGGCTAACTGGCACGGCCCCCCAAGCCCCTCTCTATTCCCCCCTCCCCCTCCCTCCTTCTTCCCCCAATCTCTCTCTCTCTAGGACAGGCGCAAGTCCCTGTTGCTTTGTATGGCGCCACATGTGCGGCTCGGCACTGCACATCATCGTTAAGTTGTCGACACCGCTTCTCGCGTCTGGGAGCGGCCACCCCGCCCGTCTCAGTGGGATTGTCTGACAGCCCTCTGACTGGCTTGATGGTGGGCCAAGCACTAAGTCAATACGCTTAGGCCAATCATGGTTGCAGTAGTGCTTCTGACAGGGATCACGTCTCGGTTGTAATCGTCGGTGTCAGGCTTGTCGGGTCTGTCGGGTCTGTCGGGCACTAACCAAGCTGAGCGCGAATTTGTCTGACTCCTCCGTACGATCTGTACCTTATGTCTACTTTAGTTTATTCTTGTGGCTTTCCTTTTTCTTGTTTTCTTTTTCTGCCGGAAGCCATATTCCCCTTCCCCAGCTCGAATTCCAACGCGGACGTCGCACCCCTGCCTTGTTTCAGGAGGGATCGACGACGTAGCATGTGGTGTCTCGAATACGCTTGCCGTGCTCTTTGACTGTTTATCTCGGCAGCTGGACTGACCTCATACTACCTCAAATCGTAGCCGCACGATCGATGCTACCTTATGTTGCTGTTGCGTCCAGGCCCCCAGATAATTGCGTGTGCTAGGCTGAAATCGCTGGTCGCTACTGTTTAAACTATATCATGTTTCTTTTTTCGGCATTGATGGTTTGGTTCAGTCGAACTTCCATGTCGGAGTCGCCGTACGAGAGACTCGTGATACCCGGGGAGGGAGGTTAATAAAAGTTGGATATAGATGACGGTTCCATAGTTCGTAGCGGGGGAGGCAAAATCGTGGGCGGTTGGGTACTTTTGAACTCCACATGAGCATCATTGACAGCACACTGATTTCCGGTTTTGGTTACTGGAGGGTACCACCACACTGGCGGATTAATCATGTTCCTCAACTGTACTCTAAATAAATGGTTAGCACGGCATTGTGAACCAGCATTGTACTGTAGTGAATAATACGACACGCTGCGTACTTCATAGCTATCGAGTCATCATAATCATCGTCAATTCATGCAACTATCATTGTTTGGACTTGGGATACGACGTACATACAGTACTGTTCATTTTCTGAGCAGGCTCCGGATTGCACCTCCCGTTGTCTGGTAAGCACAATAACAGTGTCTCTCCAAGTAATAATGTGGCTTAGCTAGCGCTCACTGTCTGAGTCCGGTGGAGTCTGCGTACTTCCCTCTTCCAATCATGCGGCTCACTATCACTTCTGAAAAGAGTTCCACGACGCGCAGCATACCTTCCCCAGCTCGGCCCTTGGCGGAGATCCTCGGGGTTAAGCAGAGTCCCGTTGGTTCAACCCTCGTACAATCACCCAATCAGCGACAACCATACCACATCCATTTGCGGTAATTGATGGGTCATTCATCCCAACCTCCAATGTTGGAGAGACCTGGCCCAGGTCCCGACGCAGGCTACGAGTGTATTGTACTCTTGCCTAGGAGGTCATTCCAGTGATTCGACTGTACTTCGTACAGCCGGTCGAGTCCCAACCCCGGCCTCAGCCCTACTTGAGTTCTCCCACTGCCCAATAGGCGTACTGCCGTCACAGAAGAATCCATGTCTTTTCTTTCCCTTTTTTTTTTTTTTTTTTTTTTTTTCCCTTTTGGGCTCTACCACAGCTCTTACGTCGATCCTGAGTGACAAACCATGGCCGCCATGCCTCCCGGTCCTGGCATGAAGTCTGAATCATACTGAATCATTGGGGGATTTTTATTTTTATTTTTTACGATCGTTTTGGCCCTGTTCACTTCTGGAAACCAACATGTACCCTAAGCCATGGGGGCGGAACGCTACCAACTAACCTAACTGGTCCTGTCGACTAGCCTGCGTCTTGCTTTCTGTGTTGGCTAGTGGCTACTTGAACTTCAAGTGGACTCTTTTTATTTTCTTCTTGGTTCCCTTCACAAATTATCCACTCACCCACAGCTCGCATCTACATCCTAGTTGGTTCAATCCCCTCATGATTCAACGGCTCGAATGTGGATTTCTTTTTTATTTATTTCACCTTCTCCTATCCGAGTCAAACTGCTTGCAGATCATATTTTAAATTCCTAAATCTGCTGTTTGGAGCGCCTGGCTAGGCTTGACGCAAAAGCACTGCCTCCTCATCTGGCTCTTTATATACAGATCGGACTATCCGGTTCACGGAGTCATCAATTATCATCAACCTCAACCGGATTCCCCTCGTCAGCCTAAAATACGCCATTACCTCCTGAAGATTAGTCTTACCAGCCACGGTTCTAATCTCGACCTCCACTCGATACTTTGACACTCCCCCAACCGTCCCAAAGGGTTTGCGGAACGGCTGATTATTATAAATCTTACGGCTCCCCGGACACCGATTTACTTCACTTCCTCTACGATCCGAATTTATCCCATTCTACATCCTCACCATCCATCCTCAATCTTCCAGCATATGGCCTATCAGGTCTCATTTACTCAACAATCTAACGCTCTCATCTCCCCCACCTCTATTCCCCGCACCCCATAGTGGTTAATATGATGCACGCCAAATACTCCCCCACAAGCGCCTTGCTAGATTTTGACAGAGAGGTTCACACTCCCTCGATGGTTTCCGACGAGAGTTTGTTGATCAGCTCGGAACGTTTCTCACCCTTGCCCGACATGTCTGCCATGCGAGCTGCGCATTGGAGAGCTAAGGACATGGATGCCCCCGTGCCTGACAGCACGTGTGGCCCGTTGGGCCTGGCGGAGATCCCAGCCAGCTCGTCGACCACTGCAGCTGTGGTCCAACCGCCGCTGGGCTATGCGAAGGCCCCTCAGGACGTGAGGTCTTTCTTGGCACCAGAAACCTACTTATCAGACCGAGATTCGCCCGTCAGCGATGCCGTAGGATCTCTTTGCGCTTGGTCCAGTGCTTCCGGTACGGAAATGATGAGACCGTTGTCTACTTCATCCATTGACCCAGCTATCGCTTCCACCACGGCTTCGCCCTTCATGCAGCCCTACTATACGTATGGGTCTTCCCAATCATCGATGCAACCACCTATTCAAAGTGTCTCTGGTTATACTCCCCAGCAGATCGACAAATGGTGCATGGAGAGTGACCCAACCGGCGGGCTTTACCAGACAAACCCTCCTTACCCAGCAATCAGCCCCCTCGCCTTCCCTTCGACAGAACTACCTCAATCATGCTATCTAGCCTTCGCTGAAAACATGACCACCACCACCGAGCAACAATGGCTCTCTCCTCTCCCCGCAAGCTTCCCAACAGGCCCATCCTCCACCTCCTCCAACACAGCCCACACCCGCGATAGCAGCTTCCTCTCCCCATCTCTCGACTCTTGCTCCGGATTAAGCACCTCCCCAGCACCCACCATCCTCTCCGACTTTGAACCCTCCTCTTCCCACCAACCATCCACCACCCCCTTCCCCGCCACCGACCTCTCCCGCTATGGCATCCCCGCCGGCGATGGGGTCTGGAGATGCGCCCACCCAGGCTGTACTTCGCAGGCCCTCTTCCGACGAGGCTGTGATCTGCGCAAGCACTTCAATCGCCACCGCAAGCATCTGTTCTGCCGGCACGAGGGTTGCGCGCAGTCCAAGCAGGGCGGGTTCTCGAGTAAGAAGGACCGTGCTCGCCATGAGGCGAAGCATAACCCGGGCATTGTTTGTGAATGGGACGGGTGCGGGCGGGTCTTCAGCCGGGTGGATAATATGAAAGATCATGTGCGGCGGATTCATCGGCGTGGGGGAAGTCGCTGATAAGTGACTGATGGTCCCCTTACAAGAGTTATGTGTTACGTTGAATTTGGATTATGATTTCCTTTTTTGGTTTTTTTTTTCTTGGGAAGAGCGTTCAACTACTCTGAATCTTTTTCTTTGGTTTGGAATTTGGGTCTGTGTCCTTCTTTTGTTTTGGGGTTTCTATTTTGATCTGTATCAGTAAATACATGCGGGCTAGCGGGACTCGGTGAATTGGCGAACCTGAATTTCATGTTCTTGGGGATTTTGGGGAGATATTATTGGGATTAGACGGGGTGTTTTTCTTTTTCTTTTACTGGATTTTGACAAAATTGATGAGAAAAGACCGACCAAAAAAGGCACCATGGAGGGATTGGTTTCTTGCCTTCTATGACTGTCATTGATACACAAGACATTTTGTCAGCTATGAGATCATCCAAGAAATTGCGCTGCATTTTCCTTATTTTTTATTCTTCTAATTCTTTTTCCTTGGTTCAGTATCGTTGATTTCCGTCCCGATTACCTTACTTTCATTTTGTACTTTATCTAGGCGATCAACCCAAACGAGTCATTTTGACTCACACTGACCAACCTAGACTTTCGACAATCCAATTCACCATTTGCAGACGGCCAGTCCACAAGCACCATACAGTAGAATCTCCCTTTCGCAACTGATCATCATAGGATGAATCGATAATTATAGTAGTCACAATAACCAATCGAACCAACCCAATACCACCCCGCACTCCAACCCTCCAAGCCCAATTTTCAACACGTCACACCCCTTTGCCCTGCTAACAGGTATATTCATGTATTCATGTATCCTCCCATTGTGACGTAGCAAGCAATATTGAATATCGAACGAACAACACAGTAGAAATAGCCCCTTCCCTTCGCATGTCCCACGTTAAACCCCGCCCACCACCGCACTATTTTTAAGCTACACACGCGCTTCCCCGCCGTCGCCGCAACTCTGCCCGCTTTGGGTATCCCATTCGTATGGTGCAGAACTGTATCTTATCATGAAAGTGCAGTTCCTTCCACATTGGCACATCCAGTACACTCACTCCAACCATACAAATCCCAGTACCATATCATCCATTAACAAGAAAACTCCACCAGTGAAGCTTTACCCCCCCCTCTCTCACACCGCACGGAAATACTGTGCCGCCAAGTTCAGCCGCAGCTCCCAGCTCCCAGCGTCAGCTCCGGATCTGGTAATTACAATACGACCCCCACCATGGATCGACACCCAACCAAGCCGAGCCTCCATACCTTGGCGTTGGGCGTGGCGCGATTCCCTGGCGCACCATATCTCCCGATCGGTCACTAGCGTGTAATTCCAATATGTAATTGTACTACGCCCAGTGGACTAGCGGTACGATAGTGATGCAGCAAATTGCACAGATTCGACCTGAACGATAGCCTATTGCGGCCTAGGCCAGGACAGACCCTGACAAGTTCCTTGTATCGCTATCCTTGTCTCGACCCTCGACTCTCTACTGTACAGTATTCGAGTGCGGTACCTGGGCCATCGGGGGTTGACGAGCTGATCGGTTCATGGCCCGTGGTTCGGTTTTTTGGCCCCCATTGCCTTGATTTGGCGGGTTGTATCGACTGTTCGTGGGCTTTCCCAGGCGCGCTGGTTCTCTTACTGTACTCCGTACTGCAGTCTGCACTGTGGGTGAACGGTAAAAAGGTATGAAATGGGCTTAGCTGAGCAGAAGTCCCTAACCTAGCGCGCCGTGAAACATGTGCACACTCGACTGCTTAACCAAGATGCCGGGAAAAGAACGTGAGAGTGAAACCCAGCGGCAGCGAATATTCGACGCAACATTCGCCGATATCTGCCCGTGTGGCTCTAAACTTGTTCGGGTATAGAGTGCGAGAGGCTGAGTGTACAACTCTATTTTGTTCATGACCTTTTTCCTCTTCAGTTAACGATTCCGGAGACAAGTTACAAGTTACTATAGAATGGACGTTTTCGGTCCCCGACTTTTCGTTGGTGTCTGAGACTGGGTCGCACTGGGTCGCACCGTTTGTTCTTGTCTGGATGGCATTGCTTGGCTATGTTGGTGTATGGTTTGACACCATCGTCACGAGATCTGGAACTATGCGTGTACTAATTGTGGAAACTTCTGCGAGCTTGAGCTGATTCTGACAGTTTCTGCTATCCTTCATCTTTAAATTTTAGTCTTTCGGAGGCTGAAGAGCGCTTCTTGGTACTGTACCGGGTCTGGTTGAACGGACTAGCGTTTAACCACCATTTTTCATTTCCAGTGCATTTGGGGGTCCTGTCTGCTACATTCCTATAACTACTGCCCCCATTCCCGGTCCCAGTCCAAGTCCCGTCGCCCGCAAGGCAGAATCGCTTTCCCCCCCCCTCCCCCCCCCCCCTCTTCTTCGGGCGTCATTCCAATAACACCCGCCACATGGATATCAACATTAACACTCCTAGAATAGTTCCCCATCAATCGGAGTCTACTCTTCACATCTTCGAGAAAAAGAAACAACGTGAAACACTCCACCAACGCCTTCCGCTTTCCTTTCTCTCTAGTCCCGGTTTCACAACTGCGGCTCTGTTGGTTCTAATAATAAACCACTGCGTGGGATCGACAGCGTCTCGTTCGCAGTCGCACAGGTCTCATCCCTGTCTACCCACATGGGTTGCTGTGTAACCATGCGATGCGCGTTCGAGTCGAGGTACTGTACTGTACTCGACAGCAAAGGTGGACAATGTCTGCGGCGCACGTCATGATCGGTCTCTGACACAATGGAACCGCGCATGAAAGAGCCCCACGGGAACCTTCCGGCTGAGGTCGAGGCTATACTCGTCTTAGTCATGCGTGTTTCATGTTTTGTATTGTTCGCCGTGGGATGTTGTTGGCGCTGCGCAAGTGTTTCGTATGCTGTGCAACGGAAGAAAGAAGAATTGATGCTCGACCGGACGAAGCATGGCGTACTAGGTTGGACCTGGCTTTGAATGCATGGGGTCGTAGTATCAAGGTGCTCGTGGGGATCTCCTTGTCGAGGTTGTATCTGCCTTGGGTGGGATTTGGTTTCATCGAAGAAGCTGGTAGATATTTCAAGGTAAGGGTCAAGCCGCTATTACGAAGACCAATCTCATCAGTATCAGGATGAGGTGCACCTTGGTAAGTTCCAAGGGCGGTGATGATGGTAGGAAAGGTTTGAGTCGAGGGTTCAATGGATACCGGCTATCTTGAAGAATCCCGATACTATGCTTCGTGGATGCCATGCTATGTGTCTGTCCATCGATGGGACCTGAGACTTTCTGGGAGTATTACTGCCAGACTGCTCATTGATACGTATATAATAGCATTGCCATTAAATTTTGAACCACTAACACCGCGCTTAGTACCTGACCGAGCACGAAAGGAAGAAGGTAAGTTGCGAACGAACCCAAGAAACGAATATTCGGAGTCAGGTCCACACACAGCAGCACTTCCTGTTTCCCGCCTACCCCAAGCCAGACTCATTGCCAAATACGAGAAGAAATAGAAGAACAAGAGGGAAGCTCCTTCAAACTGACAGCTATGCTGAACGATCCTCGCAAACAAGAAGGTAAGGAAAGAAGATCAAAAGCTAAGAGGATGGGAAATGAAAGAGAAATAAATCGTTTGATATAGTAAAACGAGTGGACCTTTAGAAGAGAAGGTTCTCAAACTACGCAGCTATGCGATAGTTTGAATAGAAACGGTTTGATAAGACAGATAGAAACGAATGGCCCGTGTATCATCATGCTTCTAACAGGTTGACATGTGGTATCATCGAATGAAGAGAGGAAAAAAAAAGAAACAGAGAGTAGAAAACTGTGCTGCGCTGGAAGAGAAGCATGTCGAACAGGAAGAGCAATGTGAGTCCAAAGTAGAACCCGAAGAAGGTATCAGAGATGGAAATTCGTAACGCGTTAATATCGGTGTCTTGGTCGAGTCCAGAGATTTGGAGAAAGGGAAGGAGATGTGGTGGGGATAGAGGTGACGCAGCGTGGACGGTCGGGACGGCCATAGAGACCACTCAATGCATGTCATATGCTCCGGCCGGGGGCCATGCTTCCAGACGTGTAGATTAGGGACTACCCCCAAAGCCCAGGAGCAGAGTTAGTTTATCAAGCGAAATTTGACCTTCGTCGTCGTCCTCGTGTGCTCCCAACTGGGCGTTGTGCGAGAACTTGACGGAGGATAGGGTCGTCTTTACTTTTATCAACGTGGTGGACACGGACATGTCTGTCCCAGCCGCAAGATTAGTTGATCGGTCTTCAAGCGCGACACTTTCTAGAAGTAGGTTCAACTCACCGTTGAAGATTGTCTGGCCGAGGATACTTATGCTGTTGATCGGGACAGAAAGGACATACATAACCCGGCGAGTTATGCACCAGGCCATGCCGCATCATCTCATTCTTGCGTTTAAACCCCTTCCCACCTAATCCACGAGAACACCCTTCCACGGGACAGAAATGTGGCCGGTCTTGCGAGTGCACATTCGCGTGAGAGCTGCTCATTGTGAATTTACAGTCAGGGGCCATTGCCATTGGATATTTGGCTTTTAGACTGGGTACAGTCATGGATGGTTCTACTTACTTGAGCAAATACTGTGTCTGAAATGGTGCTGCTGTACACCCGGGATGTGTGCATTTATAGCTGCCCGTCGCTCCAGTCCCATTCAACGGCGCAGTCGAGCTCAATGCGGCTCGTTCACTGGACCCTGGGGTGGAGACAACCGGCTCTGTCGGTGTGGGATAACTGGTGAGGGGGCTCTTGCCAGTCATGGGGGACGTGTCGTAGGGTGAGGATGCGGGGTGCGGGGTGTCGACTGCAGGCTGAGGTGGAGGGGGTGGTGGTGGGGGAGGACCACGCCAGAATGCAGAGGAGGGTTGAGATGCGGGAGAGGGATTGTTGGAGTGCTCCTTGGCGCTGATAGGGGAGAGATGTGAGAAAGGACTGGGCGGGATATGTGATGACAGGAATTGTCGAGGAAGTTGACGGTCATGCGGGGAATCTGTCGAGGTCGCAGACCCCGGACAGGACGAGTAGGGATATGGTGGATGTATGGCATTGAGTCGAGTGGGTGGGAACTCGCTGGGTGAGAACCCACCGAGGGCAGATTGGATGGAAGGGAGGGTTTTGGTGTTGGGGTGACAACTGGCCGAGTCTGGAGATGTGCCGGCGGTGGAGGGTGGAGGCGAGAGGGATTGGAGGAGAGATGGTAAAGAGACGCGATGGCCTAGCTCGGGAGATCGTTTGAGCAGGTCCGGCGAGGGCCGTACGGGAGGGAATTCCGTGATGGACTGTAGACGCGGACGCTGTCGCGGTGAGACAAACTCACTTTTGAAATCGGATGGCGGCGCAGGCGGAGGTAGCACCGGGGGTAACGGTTTGGTTTGCGGGGATAACGAGGTCTGGCAGTCTTTTTTCTCGTCGACTTGCAATTTCGGTACTCCTTGCTCCACCATAGACTTGAACTTGGCCTCTTCCTCAGCAGATCCCGGTCCAGCAATCGGTCTCGATATGGCGGTTGGCGCTGGCGGTGCTGATACAGGCGTTGAAATTGGCGCGTCGTCCACGTCCATTTTACTACCACTATCACCACCACCACCACCATCCTCTCTTCCTCCTCCGACTTTATCCCAGCCCCCACGATTAATCCCTTCCTTCTCGCCCGGTCCCTCCTCCTTGCCTGACGACACAGGCGGGACTCTCCAATTTACGGGAAACCGATCCTGCTTGGTCGACCAGTCCGAGTACGGAAAGTCACGAGCATGCGCCGCAACCTCCGGACATTCTGGCCCTAAATAGCTCATCAGTACCGAGTCGCCGTGACGCGTTTGGGTCTGGGTTTCCGGTAGGTGCGGCTTACGGGAACGGTCGAGCGTTCCCTTGGGGTCTCCGTCCGTGGCTTTGGCGTGAGCCCTGTCGTTCACGGTCACGAACGGGGGTGGAGGAGGGTCGTCCAGCCCATACTTGGGCTTGGCCGGCTTGGGCGGCGGGGACCGCCCCATGGCGTCGTCCGAGTCATAGATGTCGGACGTCATGGCGAGTGGAGGGATGCATAGAGCAAGCCCGGTCGCCTCTGAGAAGCTTGGGAGGTTGCTATTGAGGCCGACTCGTGGCGGTGATATAGAGCAGGTCGACTGGTGTACACCATCAGCGGTGAGATGTTAGAATGACGAGAGGAGTCCGGTCGAGTTTCCTGTCTGGGGAGGTTAGCCCGAGGGTGTTGCTGATTTGGTGCCAGCGACGAGATAGAACGATGGAAAAAGGGGAAAATATCACGATTGGAAGCAATCTGAGTAAGAGCAGACGGGGTTGGGACGCAAGGTCGACCAAGGTTGACCAAGATTGAGGCTCTGCGCGGGCTCGGGATCTAACCCAGGCGGACACGACAAAACGGACCCCAAACGAGGGCTCTCCACCGACACTAGTGTGAACAGGCCAAGGGATGCTATCTGGTTCCGGATCGGGACCTGAATCTGGTTTGACCTCCTCGGGAAGGGGAAAGAATACCAAAGGAAGCACAAAACATTTGGTTGGGAGGAGGGGGAAAAGGAAGTGCAGGGGGAAGAGCAACGAGGAGAACTTACCCTTTGGGGGGTGGTCCGGGAAGAGGGGGAGACACGAGGAAGACGGGAACGGGTTGGGTGAGGCTCAACTCCACCAACAGATCCACGCCATTCGAAATGATATCACCACGAAGGGATGAGCAGAAGAAGAGAGGGAGCGGGAGAGAGAGAGAAAGCCTAAAGGGCAGGAGCATAAAGAGGCTCTCAACCCGTCGGAAGGAGGAGGGGGGGAAAGACAAAAATATGAGCTAAGCGCGTTCGGGAGGAGGAGGAGCGCAGTAGCAGCAGCAGCAGTTGAGCACGGGCCGATGAGGATGCGGCGAGAAAAGCGCCAGCAAAGCCGCAAACTTCTGCAAGCCACAGAGAATCGGGGAATCGGTCGAATTCCAAAAAAAAAAAAAAAAAAGAGATGAGGATCACTCCCAAAAACGGTCTGGAAGGATGAATGGGGAAAAATAGGATGAGCGGCCAAAGGGGAAACAGAGGAAATTAAAAAAAATAAAAGAGAGAGAGCGAGAGAGCGAGGCCGAAAGAATAATACTGTAATAATGGATAATGGCGGACGAGGAGCAGAAGAATGAGGCTCTGAGTGGGCCTGGTTCCGAGGCTCTCTTTTTTCTGTCGTTTGATGTATTCCCCGCAGCAAGAAACGGAACCTGTCACTGGAAGAAGAATAATCGTGGGTATTCTTCCTCTTCCTGGAGAACCAGTTCTGCTCGACTGGTCGACTGGATAATCGAGATCCGATTGTATGTTTCCAGGGAGAAGAGTAATCAGGGAGGCATAAGTACTACTGGACTCGAGACTAGAACCTACACTGCGCTCGCCTTTACGTCCGTTTGCCTGGTCTTATTTTTTTTATAGAGTTTTATCGATCAGTAGTACTCATCGATCCAACACAGCCTCAAGGGAGACACTTTCTACCAAGAACCACACCTCCTCTCGATCGCGGGCTATCGTCACCCTCCCTCGTCATCCTCGATCCGCTCCCCAGTTCCCACAGACTCGAAGCCCGACCCCGACACCGCCAATTCCCACCGCGAGACTCTCCTGACCACTGGCAGATGATCGTAAATACGTTAATCTATCGGAGGATTTGGGAGAATGGGGCTGGTCGCACGCTCAACTCTGTTTCCCAACTCTGTTAGTTCCACTTTGTGATCTTTCTCCTCCACTCTCCTTCTTCTCTAGGCTACACCATTTGTTTCTTGCCCTTTTTTTTTTTTCCTCTCTCTGTCTCTCTTGCTTTCGCCTTTGTGCGTACGGCCGAATACAATTACAACTTCGGAGTCATCAACCGGGGTCATTGGGGCCGATGAGTGGACACAACCGTTGCTGATTCTCCACTTCCTGTCAAAGACAGGCCAAGTTGCCAACCCCCCCTTTTTTCCCTCTCCCAGTTTCTCATGTTTCTCATGGGTTTCCAGATGCTTGGCCCATCTAATCATTACATCTTATTTGCTCTGGTGTTTTTTTTCGTTTCCCTTCCATGCATTCGATTGATTCGCACCCGGTGCTCCTCCCCCCCCACCCTGGCTTGAATCCCAGCTAGGGAACCTGCACGACTGTGCTTCTCCACTTCTTGGGTCTGTTGGCCATCCCAGAGATGATGATATCCCATGCTCTTTCTCTCTGGGATTTTGACTTTCAACCTACCATTCTGATTATTGACTGGAGCTTTTCATCCTCCTTCCGAATCGCCGCCCCCGCCCCCCGTTCGACGATACACACTCCTTCCCTTGTTTGGCTTCTTCATTCTGAGCTTGGTCTGGTCTCCTTCCATTCCCGCCTCTGACCTCCCCAATGCCCATGCCCAGACTTGCCTGACCCGCCTGGGTCCGAAGGATTGCCAACGCAACATGATCCACGTTGCGCGTTTCAGACATCCTGACGAACCGCCTAGTCTTGGCGTGGTCAACGCAACAATCGTCTGGTCTGGTCTGGTCTGGTCTGGTCTCTCCTCCTGCACCCTGGTTAAACTGCTGGGTCATTCTTCGAAACGCCCTTTGTGATGGACTCCCTGCTTCCCGTTCACCGTCGTCTCCCTTGACCATCACCTTGGCTAACCATGCTATCATCCTGTCATCCTACCGTATTCGCCCCTCATACCCTGGTCAGCATGTCGCTCTGCACCTTCTACTTCTGCTTCTTCCAGAAAGGCAATACGCGGCCCGCGCCGAGATCATTTGCGCAACGCCTGGGGTTTCCTCCTCTGGCGCACCACAGCGGCCTAAATTATTAAATTAATCAGCCTATGTAACTCCAGATGGCACCGTGCTAGTGCAACCTAAGTGGGTTCTTCAAGCCCCTTCAGGCTTTTTGCCCACTCAACGGACTCACAGGCCCCCTTCTCTTCGATGGAGCCCCTCCTGTGGTTCAACATTCGGACCACCCTGCGCTCGTTTCTTTTCTTCTTTCTGGTCGCTTGTTGGTCCGGCCCTCAGCCTCACTTTACGTAGAGCCGCAGGGCCAAGGTAGCCCCCCACCCCCCCCTTCCTCCCTTGAAAGTCGAGTCTCTTTTGAGTTCCCCTCTTTCGCAGACAGTCAGACCAGCCTATCATAACGTCCCTACCAGAGGACACGCGCACAAGTGGAAACGAAAGGAAAGTAAAATAGCCATCAAAAGTAATAAAAAAAAAAAATTCTTCCTCCTGCCAGTCTACATTGGGGAGAATTTCACCATAGCACCGTCAGTCCATGACCATGACCGTGGCCGTGTCTGTGACCCCCCAACTCTGACACCACCCCCTCAACTCTCAGCGAGTCATCGAATCAGCAAAGGGTTCTTCGACGAGGGTACGAGGTCGTCGGTGTGCAAAGTGGCCGCCAGCCGCAGGAAAATACGGGCGCTTCTCGAGTCGCGACCAACGTGGACCGAATAAGGTCAAGTGCTGACATGACCCCGCGGCAGGAATTAATGAAAAAAAAGAGAACCAATAACTCCGGACATGGTCCGACTGGAAATCAAGGATGGCAGCATTATTGAGGATGATGATTCTGCTTCTTCCTCGAGTGATGATGGAGATGACGATGGAGAAGGGTTGAACTTGTCCAACGGATGTTCTTATCCGAGTCCAGGTATACATGGACTGTGTACGGAGATATACTACGGGGTACCATGTACTTTCTATTGTCAAGAGATATCTCCAAGGTACAAAGTACTGCTACTACTTCGAAAACTGATATCCACAAAACGACGAGTTGCTCACTCCACGCTACATACGGATCTCCTCCCGTGAGAAAGAGAAAGAGCAACCGGACTTTCAAAAAAGCTGGCTCCCAAAACAAACAATGACATCCCCCATCATCAATCCTCTTCGTCTTCCTGCACAGAAACTCCACGGATTTATCCACGGACCCCGAAATTCGCAAGCAATCCTCCACCCGGGCAAGAATGCATCCTTGTAACCCCTCCCCAGCCGAGAAACTCTCTAGCGCGCCTTCTAGCCTTCGACGCAATCCATAGTCGCTAATCCACCTCAACGACTGGACCACGCTCGCCAGCCAGTGCTGTCTCCATCAATCCTTCCACGCACTAGTCACGACCATCCTGCACGCCTCAGGCAGAACGGATGCCATCATGCCATCATGCCGCAGTAGTCGCCAACACCCGCGACTAGGTCCCGCTGTCCTGCGAACCGGGCCGCAATGCGTGCAGATACGGAGCCTCCAAGACTCGCATGGCTGAGCCTTGGGGCTGCTTGATTGTGATAATCTATCAATACGAGGTGTGTGAGTGGAGGATTGGTTAGTCGCAGATGAATACCGGAATTGGGCATTGGTCGGGGAGGGGCCGGGTATTTGCAATGATATGATGTATGAGGACCTGACCACGTTATACCATGTGGATAATGAGGATCGGATAGGGCGTCTTTTGGTTGAGATTCGATTCTTGGAGGGCCCCGTTGGAGCTTCCTGGACGATTTGAGTGAAACTGATGGGCTTGGAACCAGCCAACTCAAGTACGGAGGGCACTGATAAGTGTTCATACTTGAGGCTTGCAGTCTTACCTTTGAGGGACACAGTTTCTGAGATCTAAAGGTGAGATAAGATAAAAGCTATACACATCCCATTTCTGGTCGTTCAAAGCCCATTCATACAGGAGTGGTCAGTGACGGAAACCCCTATAGTCCCACTCTAATACGAAGTGTGCGTGGAGCTCTTATTATCGAGGATTGCCCTAATATAGCAATAGTCTCCATTCTGAGACACTATGTACCCGCACGGCGTCTGGAGATTCTCCATAGACTGGATCCCGTAACGGCGGCTCTTTCTTCCAAGCGAGGCTCAACGGGGAATGGTGAGAGTCAGCCGTATCCATACATCACATGACCAAATCCACTGGAACTAAAATCACGTGACTTTCAGAGCAAACAGCACAAACACTCTCTCTACGCCAGCCCAGTTTCCCTCGACGCGAGCGCGCCGCGTCCCAGCGGTGAAGCGCGCAAGAGACGCAACTCTTCAAACTACACCGCAATTCCACCTCTACTTTTGCCAATCTCTCAATTAACCCTCCAAGTCAACTTGGGTCCACTCTCATTGCTCCCCTCTTTCATATTCCCTCTCCCCTCCCGAATTACCTCGTTCTCCCGGCAATGACCAGAGAGACCACTCCGCCTGCCACCATCCCCGCCACAAACGCCGTCCGCGAACCACCGTCCCTCCCCGCCTCCCCGCTTGCGAAGCGTACGAAAACAAACGACAACGCCGAAATGACTGCCTCCAATGCCCCCGCCGTCACTTCGATCCAGCAGCCTCTGCCCCCCTGTTGATCAAGAAGCTGGTTGACTCGGCCACGGCCCCGACGCGGGGCTCGGCCTTTGCTGCGGGGTACGATATGTATGCTGCCAAGGAGACGGTGGTGCCGGCCAAGGGCAAGGCTTTGATTGATACTGGTATTGCGATGGCTGTGCCGGAGGGTACTTGTATGTTTGACGTTGCTTTCACAGTATTTGGGATTTGGAAGTGGCGAAAAACGTGGAGGCTGATTCTTTTTTGTTTCTTGCAGATGGCCGCGTTGCTCCCCGTAGTGGTCTTGCCTCGAAGCACTTCATCGATACTGGTGCTGGTGTCATTGATGCTGATTACCGGGGCGAGGTGAAGGTGCTGCTGTTCAACCACTCTGACGTCGACTTCCCTGGTACGTGGTTTGACGTTGATTGATTAATTGATTGATTATACGGCAGTGATTGACATGGCTTTGATATCTAGTCAAGGTCGGTGACCGCGTTGCCCAGCTGGTTCTGGAGAGGGTAAGTGCAAATTTCCACAATTCACCGTCGAGACGCTCATATACCCTAACATCTGCATAGATCTATACCCCCGAGGTCGCAGTCGTCGAAGAGCTCGAGGAGAGTGTCCGTGGTGCCGGTGGATTCGGCAGCACTGGCGTTTAGAGACTGGAATGAAACAAAGATGAGGATGATCTATTAACGAATCGGGTTCTGGGGAGAAACAAAACGCATTGGAGTATATCTAGAATTGGCGGTTCTTTACCGGATTTAATGAATTCACATGTCGAGTACGACTCAACCGAAATGAGAGCTGGACCTATGCGGGAAGTGTTTTACATTTTCGAGATTCATTGTCATACCTGGCTGCCTTGATAGTAGATTGATTGGGCATAACTGACTGGTTGTCTCAAGTCATAAGTTTGAAAGTTCATTTAACTACTCAGGACACTATGAACCATCCTCGGTTATCTAATCCTTTCGCCAAAATCTCGTCTTTGACGATCTCGGGACAGAAGGGCTTTTGACAAGACAACTAACCTGATGTTCGCTACTGGTTGAATCGTAGGTATGTTCTGAACAGAGAGATCGAAGGTAGTACAAAAGATACTGAGAGCCCACTCAAGTCGCGGAATATTGAAGGTCACCTCGATGCCGCTGGTGGTGGAGCACGAAAGGACAATACCTTGGTGTATGTTCATCAGCTTGAACTATGATACTTCCTGTGATTTTTCACATCAGATACCATCTCGAGATGACCATGAGAGAATGGTAGGATAAGATTCTAAGAGACGCTATACATCAAATACATTTCAGAAACCCTCAAGAGAAGCTTTTGGGCTAGACTTCCTCCCGAATATTGTCGGGTTCTTGCTGTTGTCTCAAATCACTGTCTGGGCCCAATGAAGTAGAGCAATAAAAATTTCCAATCGTGATTTTCACGGAATCTAATATCAAATTATATGTGCGAGTCAAAACTGTAGGCCGGTAGAGAACCCAATTTCATCTCTCACTTCTATAAACTATTCCCTTTTCCTTTCATTGACCTGTCTATTCATAACGATATCCTCTATTGTAAATGTGCTGGGAGATCTTCCTTGTTCCATTCCTGCACCTCAAACTGGGAAGGAGGATCTCTCAAGAATCGCGTATTGCGAACCAACCGCACTTCCGCAGCCTTAGTCCGTCGTAGATGTTCGCGCTTTTGCTTCTCCTCCGGGTTCACATCCCCATTCTGAGTGGGGATATTCTTTGCAAGTTCCGCATCGCGAGCCTCCACCGTCCGCTCGAGAACGCTATGCATACTTGAAAGAACCTTGATGGTAGATTGAGCCAATGGCAGCTTACTGGACGGGACGTCGTCGGGAGACACCCACGATCGGGTGTTGCGCAGATCGTCGCCTGCAGCGTCGACGGCCTCGCGTAGTCGAGCTACTGTCAGTGCAGCGAACATGTCACCCGTACCACTGAAGAAACAGTCCAGGGCGGGGATGTCGACCCGGAACAGACGCGGAGATCCGTTGGACTTTGTGGTTGAGCCGATCACTGTCAGAAAGTTATCCGGTGGACTGGGGGTAGACCCGGACGTGGACAGTTTGAAAAGCTGCACAGAGGTGATTATGACGTGTGGTACAGAATAGATGCGATGGATGGCGGTGATCGCCTCGGCCAGGGTAGCGAGGGAAGTGATTTTGATGCCGGAGAGGACTCTATATGTGCAGGTTAGGTGTCGGTGCTCGATTTTCCCGTGGAGACATCGGCTGCATGGTCTGCTAAACTGGACTTACTCGGCTTCAAACTGGTTGGGAAGGATTAGGTCTGCATGGTGGATGATTTTCTTGTAAGCGGGGACAACGTCGTCATTAACGTATAAACGGCCCTGATCGCCCATCACAGGGTCCAATACTAGAATGGTCAATTAGTAACTGATCAATTCATGAAGTCGAGGAGAAGAACAGATTGGCTTACCCCAGAAGAAAGATCCGGGCTTTTTCTCAGCTCTTTGTTGCAGATCAATGCCAATGGCGCCTACGGCTTCGACAGCAGCTGCACTCGGGGCATAACCGGAGAGCATGACATCGAAGTCGGTCAAATTACTCAAGCATAGACCTTGGTAGATGTCCGAGATTTCCTGTGCAGTTGCACGGGTACCCTTGAATTGACGATAGCCGGTATGGTTACCTAGATAACCTTGATTAGCGATGCTGATACCATATCATGGGGAGTACCTCCTGGGAACTTTCCCGCGGAGTTGACTCATAAAGGTTGAATTGATTCGCTTAACGTAGCGGAAGAGATAACATACTGAAGTTGACAGTATTCAATGCGGCAACCTCGCAGCCCAATGACTGCATGACAAAAGTCGCCATTGTATTTCCCACATGGCTGGGAAAAATGTCAGCTTGGACGTCATCATCGGATGACTGGATGACTCCACAGAGAGCGGACCGAACACATACCCATAGGCAACCTGGAGGGATGTTAGTTATTTAGTCACGGTTGGAGGTTCTCCCTGCGTCACTTACATGGCTAGCCACAGCCAGCACTCTTGTCTCTGGGACGAGCGAGTCAGACATGATGAATAATGGAGGGGTGAAGTTCTTGGAGAGTGTGGGGGAGAAATGGCCGCGGAGTGGCCGGATTTCCTCTTACCTAATTGGCCCGAAGATTGAGGCATTCACCGGGAGGGCCTTGTACAAGAGTGGGTGAGAATACACAAGTTCTTAGCAAGTTGTAAAAAGTAGAGATCAAAGATTACGAGATCATCGTGAAAAGTAAAAAGGCATGTCGCGTGTCACAGTCGAGCCTCAGTGCCTGAACACACTGACCCCATGATTACTCTGTCCATGGCCACCAAATACCTCGAGCAAAAACGAGCAACCGCCCCTCTGGCTCCTTACGTCGTGTTGCACGCCGGCGTCCTTTTCATTTCCTCTCGAAACACCGACATAATCGTACACGCGGACCAAAAATTAGGTCCAAAGGGTCAAAAAAGGAAACAGAGACTGGCTGCCTCGTATCTACTGGAGAACGGTAGAAGATCAGCGTGGGATCATTTACCGTCCTGTGTGATGGTTCATCAACGTAAGACCATGGGCTGGTCTCGGCCTCGCGATCGTCTCTCATCAGCAATCCTTCAGCCATGCGACGAACCTTTCCCTTCTGAGCATCTTGAACTTTCCAAGAGAGGGCCGCGACGACGATACTTGGCCCCTGCACCATGCAAGTACCCCTGAACCGCTGAACCAGTACCCGTCGCCCGACTCCACAGAACGCTCTAGTCCCAACCAGCCCTGCTCTTTCAGGGCAAAGCGCACCGCGACTAGGCGTGTTCTCGGCCTTGGCTGCTCTGTCCATGCGATGGAGACCAGCACTAAATTCAACTTGGTCCAGTCTGGTGTTCCGTGCCCGGCTAGCAGCCTTCGTGGAGGGTTACTAGTACGGTAGACTGGCCGTTGTGCCCTCGTGGTGGTCATCCTTCTTCCTTTTCCAACTCCAAGACTGCAAAAGGGTGTTCAGCTTTCCGTGGACCACGTCTGACTCCGACGCTCGAATGTCCTTCTGATTCTCTTCTCGCCCAGTTGGGGGCCTCGATGACAGTGTAGGCTATGTCGGATCGTTCATAGCACGGGTATTGCGTTTTTTTTCACTCGCTTTTTTTTTTCATTATAGCCCCGTCGTGGCTACGTCGCTCGCTTCTACTACGGATTCTCATCGCCATGGATCCAATCGCTCACTCAGGGCACTACATCGGCAGTCCAAATGCCAGTCACTCGCTCTCTCCGATGTCTTACTCTCGTTCATCTTCACTGCGCTCCTGGTTGCGATCCGGATCGTTTCGCCGACCAGCACAATTCATCGGGCCGCTTTACCATGGCCTATTAATTCTAATGCTTATTCTCTGTTTCTCGCCGATATCAACGCTGGCGCAATCAACAGCCAGCGCATCAGATCTAGCCCCGGATGGGCCCCGATCGGCGTTGGGGTCAAGCGGAGAGATCAACCTGGATGATCTTGTCGAACGACGTCCATCATTTGAGCCCCACGAAATCATACAAGTTGATAAAGACCACAGCGACGAAAAAGCGACATTGCCAGGCACCGATCAGAATGATGGCTTGTTACTACCGAGAAGCATTGTGACTGCCGACAATTCGTCTTCCAGTGACCTGCCGTCTGCATTTGACACCCTCTCCAACAACTTCGCCAACGCCACCTGCGTCGCCTTCTTCGATACATTCCGCTCCAACTCGTCGTTCACCGACTGTTATCCAGTATCGGTCCTCCTCGGCAATTCCAATTCCTTTTTCCATACATTGACCTCAGCCGTGGCTACCTCCCACGTGCTCGACGTTGCATGCTCCCAACCAGTCGCCAAGTGTGCATCGATCATGAACTCGCTGGCTAAAGAAATGCTTCACCACAGTAATTGCGGTGGAGATTACGAATCGAATAACTCGGTTGTCCAAAGCGTCTATCAGGAGTTGATGGCATATGAGCCCATGTACCGCGCCTCTTGCCTGTCCAATCCGGATACCAAGGACTATTGCTTTGTCGATGCCGTTACCAACACGACGGCCCCGAACGATTATAATATCTATTTCATTCCCATTGGTAGCACCTTGAGTGCGTCGGGGAAATTGACCTGCAACGAATGCTTGCAAGCAACCATGAAGATCTTCGCCCACTGGGCCACCATCGACGGCCAGTCTCTCGACTCCACCTACGTGCCGTCTGCAAAAGTGGTCAATAATTACTGTGGCTCCAATTTTGTCACTACCAATGTCACTGTCGGCTCCGACAAAGTGACCTCCGGCGCTGAACAGGTGATGCAATCAGCTAATTTCCGGCTTATTACTTCACTATTCGCCATCGTCCTCGGGACAACGATGGCGGGGGTATTCTAATTGAAGCCTGAGCCTCAGTTCTACCCTTGACTTTTCTGCTATTTCTGTTTTGTTATGCATAGTTGGGTCGCTCCTTTACCCTTCTTCTCTCTCTCCTTCGGGAGTACAGTCATGTGTGATGCCAGCGAACAGCGTGCCATTTCATTTTCGTGATATACACATTTTTTCTTGTCTATTGATTAATACAATCTGTATATTTATGCTCTACTTTATAGGAAAATAAATGTGAATTAATATCTGGTGTTATTTGCTGTTCATTGCGACGAATTGCGCTCGTCCCCGATCCCTGTAGATCACTCCCTAGGCAATCTCTGCCTCTGAACTTGGCTTACGAATTATGCCTTTCTCATTCAATCAAGCCCAAAATTTCTTGAGAGAACTCTCTGGATATGTCGAGTGCATGCATCATGCACCAAGCACAGCCTTAAATATCAGGGGAATACGGCTAATTACACCAGGGGTATGCATCACCAACGCACACTTCGAGTCGGTGGCGATCCCTGCTCAGACTCAGCCCCCAACAACCCCAGTGGGCCGCCAATCCCAAGCGCCCTATAATAACGGCGGCTTGGCGTGAGGTTTCGGACCTCATTGCTTGTTTTCCTTTACCCTCGTGCGCCATGCTTCATCATGCCCGTGCCCGAAGCTCCGCGAGGCGTCCCATCTGAGCAGATCACAGACATTCTACCATTAGCGGACTCCTTGTATGACTCTACCAGCCGTGAGCCCACTCTCGTCAATCAGGCGCGTAATGAGCTTAGTCTACTTCGATTAGTGCTTGATGCGACAAGAACCTCATTGGCGCTTCTCTGTGTTGACTACCCCGTCGTAGCAATTGACAACGCTCTTGCCGGCTGTCGTGTAGCTCTACTGGAGCTGGAAGAGCTTCATCGACAAGCGGATGAAGTGGGGCCGGTTAATCCACTGTCCGATATTCGGGGGCGATTTTCGTCCCTGATATTTGAACTCAGCGTTATGAATGCTGATATGATGATGTTTGTTGATCCTGGAGCAGTCTCTGATGTGCGGACAGAAGAGCTAACCCTCTCTCTAGATCCTCACAAGCCAATGTTAACCAACTCCTGCGGGGTTACATTGAAGATGTGCGAGCAGGGAAGCGAGAGTCCGCTGTTGTCTCAAACGTTCTTGATGATGCTTCTCCGAAGAGTGAGAAAGATGAAGCATGGAACAAGCTTCAAAATGAACTGCATGATGTTGGCATTATACCCGAATGGTCAGATCAAGACCATGGCTATATCATTTCAACCCTACGATATGCTGTAGACAGGGAGCACCTCTTGGAACGTTGTGGCCAAAACGCAGTTACTTCAGCGAGATCGTCCTGGTCGAAAAAGCCCGCATTGCCTCCACGGAATTCGCTGTACAACACAACGCCTTCAGGGGACCCACTCACCCTACCCATTCGCTCGCAAGAAGATTCAGAAAAGGGCCTCTCAGACAAGGAAGTACTGCCCACGGAAGACTTTCCAATCCCAGTCGCAATGGAGCTCCAAGATACGGACGATACGCAAAAGCAAGCACTACCCATTGATGACTTCCCCATTCCCATGGCCATGGAGCCATTTTTCCCAACAAATAACGATACCGATAAACAAGCCGTACCACGAGAAACTCTTCCTATCCCCGTCCAGTCTGAGACCAGCGTCGAGAATAGTCAGGAGAACAGATCAGTAAACAGCTATTCTATGAACAGTTCCTCCCGACCAAAGTCAATTATTCGCGGCAAGAAGCCCAGCATTATGAAGCGCATGAAGTTCAAGCTCACTGGCAGCAAAGAGGATTTTGTGACCTTGATTCAAATGGGTGGGTTGTATTCCGTCAAGGTATCCTTGGACAAGGGTGCGGACGTGGACACGACAAATGATGCAGGAGAAACAGCCTTGATGGTAGCTGTATCATTTGGCCACAAGGACATCGTTGAGCTCCTTCTCCAGTACGGTGCGGATATTGAAAGGAGGTCAGACAACGGTGACACAGCCTTGGGGGCAGCCGCGCTGAGGGGTCGAGAAGACATTGTTCGAATCTTCCTCGAGAACGGGGCGAATCCCGATGCTGGCAAGAATCTAGGCAAGACTGCGCTCTCGCAAGCCGCTGCGGCGGGGCACGAAGGCATTGTTCGGCTATTTCTGGACCGAGGTGCTGATCCGAATGTTCTATGCACTAGTGGCGATACTGCGCTTTCGCGAGCAGCGTTCTATGGCAACGTCGAGATCGCCCGACTACTGTTGACCACGGGAGCGGAGGTTGACAAGACGGCGTACCCTCGGAAGACGCCGCTTTGGAAGGCCGTTCATCAAGGGAAGACTGATATGGTCAGCTTGTTGATGGAGTTCCTCGCAGACCCGTTGAAAAAGGACGTGCATGGCCAATCGCCATTATCGATGGCATCCTCACTTGGACGTAGCGAGATTATTCGTATTTTTGAACGGTACGGGTATCAAGCCACTCCATTTCAGTACTACTGAGAAGCTGTGAAGACACAGGTATATGCTATAAACTCAAATGAATGTATATATTTGAGGATTTTCCGTAAACCGGGTGACCGGGTAGGAAATAACCCGGTCACCCGGTGGGTTTTAGTAGTAATTATATATGATCGGATGGGTTTAGCTAGGATATCTGTAGGATCATGTAGGATTATATAGGAATATGTAGGCGCTTATCTTAAGTCCCCAGAGGCACGTAGAAAGATCTCCCAAAAGATATCTCTTTACGATTTACTAGTTATATAAAAATATACTATTCCTTCTTTAAAGCTAATCCTTCTAGCTATTACTAGTACTATCTATAAAGTATTATATATTAGTAGTATACTTATATTTTAGTTAGACTAATAGCTACTAGTAAAAATTAGCTATTTCTATAGCTAAAGTTTAGTACTAATCCTAACTAGGAAATCCTTATATATCCTACAGGAACCCACCGGGTGGCCGGGTGACTAGTATTAGTAGCTACTAGTAAATTCAACCTATACCGACGAGAACCCATCGGGTGGGACCAGATAATGGTCGGGTATCGATAAGGAATTTGCTTAAGATAAGCGCCTATATAATCCTACATGATCCTACAGATATCCTACTAATTACTAGCAAAACCAACCCGATGAGCTGTAAACCCTATATTTGACTTGCATATTGGCCAAGGGGCCAACCATTAGCTAGCATGCTTTTGTATTTACTCAATGTGCTCTGCCACAAATGCAGCGGCATAGATATCCATATCTTGTACGAAACCATTCAACCTCGTTGGCTGCCAGTCCAACAGTTGCTTTGCCCGCGCAGAAGATCCTCGGAAATTGGTGCACATTGCCTTGGAAAATAGATCACCGCCGTGTCCCTTTAGTTCCACTCCTCCCTTGAATCCCCATGTGGAAGACAGGGCATTGAAGATATCGCGCATGCTCTCCTGGCTGGTCACCAGATCAAAGACGGGGTATACTCCTGTGCCGGGGAAAAGGTGTACTTTCTCAATCGCACGAACAAAAGCTTTCGCCACGTCATCGACGTGGATCAGGCCAGGTCGAGACTGAGCATCTAGTGGGATTTCCACGTTCTGAGCCCCCGTCTTCGCAGCCTCCAGCACGGGAGTTATAAAAGGGGTCCAAATGGTGCTTTCTCGTCCATAGATCAGAGCTGGTCGCAGGATCATGATATCAAGAACGTCTGATGCCTGAAGCACAGCCTTCTCCACCCCAACTCGCCAGGCCACCAATTCCTCTGGAAGCGTGCCGGCTCCGTCCCCGACGATGTCAAGATCATTCACGGGCTCATTGGACGAGCCGTGAACCCATGTCCCCGAGCAATATATGTACCCCAATTTCGAGGTCTGAACACCTCGAGCGTTGGACGCAGCCATGCGCTCCTTGTTGACTGAAACCACGTCGGCAAGGAATCTGTACGAACCAGCATAGGCGCCAGCTACATCTACAACCACATCGACATGCTTGGAGCGGATGATATCCAGATAGGGTCCTGGTTGGTTTACTGGGTCTGGGCAGACAATTGGAATGATCTCTTCTTTGGCCAGTTGCTTTGCTTTGGCGGGGGTACGGGTCACTCCGTAGACGGTGTGTTGTCCACTCTGAACAAGGAGATTGGCAATTTGGCGACCGACATAGCCAGTTGCACCGAGAATGAGGACTTTGGGCATCTTGAGGGAAGTTATCTGGTCACTGTAGATTGATTGTTGGAGGTGAAGAACTTATACGAGACGAGGTTGGCGGGGGCGGGGTGCCATATATACGAGCCCGGTTAAATTTGCCACCATTCCGTGTACGTCCGGTTTGAAGCCAAAGAAGAGGATTTAGAAGCTAAAATCCGTGAAAAGACCATGATTTGGTAGATATCACCATCCATCGCCCGGGAACAGGTAGATGGATAGAACGCGAGTACGGGCAGAGAGCCGTGATCGCCTGCTATCTCCGCAAACTCCGCATCACGACCGGATATTGGACACATTACCAGAGGATTGCGGGACATGAAGATGAAAGATGGATGAACAATCATTAAATATGGATTTGTTTAGTGTTTTATTCTTCAACTCAATTAGCAAATACCGACCTGGCGTGGTAAATTTCAAAGATTGTGTCTTCCTGGATGCGTTCGAAGAAGGCTACCATTAGAGAACCTTACCTGTATCCAAATTTCTCCCGCGAACTTCAAATGGACCTATCTCGATTTCTCTCTGTTGAAGCTCTTGCGGTGCATCACTCAGGCCTGTATAACTTGCGATACATTTCGTCTCTTGCTTCTTACTCTCGGAGACAGCTTTCTCGGGGACTGTGGGAGGAAATACATGCCCGGCTTTAAGCAAGTCCGTTGACAAACTTTATTTTCTCCAGCAAATTCGTCTTCCGCATACTAGTATTCTTCGTGCTCAGAAAGAAGATACAACTGTTCCTCCAGAATATCAAAGAGATCAAGAATAAAACCTTGGCAATCTCACTCAAGGTTTCGTGTCATTTTCCACAATGGCATTTGAAGCATCGGAACCGATGCCTTTGACTTGACTTCCTTCGCCCATCGAGCTCATGCCCTGCCCGCTTCCTTTATCTCACTGATGCGTATGTCCCGAAAATAAGCTGCTTTTATGTCTGTAGCAGCATCGAACCATGACAAGTATCTGGAATGGTCTTTTAGTTCGAATATGCTACCAAGAGGGCAGATCAGTGAGCTGAACTGAATTGACCTACTGATCCCAATATACAGCAGCTTTCTGGTGATCGACGATTGAATATCCTGAATGGCCAGCCATTCCTCGAAGATCAATGCCTCATTAGGCGCTCTGCACTGGAAACGTGGGCGCCTTGGCAGCTAATGATGGCTTCGGCTCAACAATCCCGCCGCGAGTTATGTTAGCGTGTGGCTTTCCCCACTCCCTCTTGTTGTTGTTTCCAAGTGTCCAGTGCTCATTCCTTGCGGATTCCACTACGCCCGAAATCCGACCATGCCATTCTTGTAAGAATTGAGGGGCAGAAATCCAGCTGCCTGAGTCATGAGCCTCGTATATAACCCGTAAATGCCCTTCGTGTCTGGTCCTTACCCATTTGCCAAAGCACTGCTTGAGTCGCAATCTGTTCTCTTCTTTCCGGCCCTAATGAATTCATTCAATATGTCGAGCGTTACTGCTTCTGGTCTTCTTGGTCCCGTCGCCGCCCTCAATGGTTGGACTCTGGTTATGGAAGTATGGATGTATGCTGTCACGATTCCGGAGTATAACAAAATCAAACCTTCGGGCCAGACCACCAAGAGCCAGATAGATGCGCAGATGCCTCCCACTGCGCGGTGGAAGAGAGATAACTACAACCATCTCATGGAGCAGCCCACCCAATTCTACGCGGTCGCCTTGGCACTGGCAATTGCTCGTGGTGGCAAGATTGATGAACTGGACTCGGCTCTTGCTTGGACGTATGTCGGTACCCGCGTTTTGCACAGCTTGGTCCAATCTATCACCAATACTATGATGGCGCGTTTCTTGCTGTTCGGCTTCTCGTCAAGTATTCTGGCGGTTATGACTGGAAGGCTGGCCATGCTTGTCTTTTGAACCGTGGCAAAGATAGCCTCAAGGTTTGCTCCATTTATCTTGCAATGGGTACGTCAAAGGCGCATGGCAGAATTATATTCAAATCCTTCGACTGATATTTTCCAGTGACGGATTCAGGAGTCACCCGCCCGGGCATACATGCCTCGCTTTGAGTGAGCTGCAACGGTTCTGTGTATATAGTGTAAAGTTATATTGGAAGATGCGATTCATATATAGCGATCAAACAACTCTTGATTTGACTCAGTGCGGGGACGTCAAAGCAACGTCCAGTATATCCATAGTAACTGTAAACGTGAAGACAAATATAAACAAGCAAATATGCATCACAGATGTCATGATAAAAGGAAAGGCATGGCTCTTAACGTTCGTCAAAAATGAGCAAAGTAAATCGGATAGTATGTGCGTAGGAGGGCAGGTTGGATGGGACAAAAGCGCTCATAACTCAGTGAAACTAGAGAAATCTGTTTATTTAAGTGGATCAGCTTCTTCTTTTGACGCTATCCCCAAGAGCAACTCCCACCAGACTCTGAGGCTCGCCACCAAAGTTGGTGCCAGGATTCGTGGCTGTGGGAGACCCGGCACCTGAGATAGGACTTTGAGCAACTTCGCGGTCCCGTTTCACCCGAAAGTAGCCCAGCTTGGCGAAGCGGCTGAGATGAGTCCAGAAATGTCGCCCAGCTGGGTGTACGGCAATACGGTCTAGTAGGTCCACCGTCGCTTCCCGCACGACCTGGTCTGGATGGAAAAGACCCATGCTGACATAGAAGAGTCCCGCTTGATTCTCGGGAGCAACGGTCAGAAGTTGACAGATACCGGCGTAGTCTTTGACAGCGTGAGCCAGCGCAAGATAGATGGCACCTGCTTCAGCATGGGACAACTTGAGGGACCGAAGTCGATCGTGATGGTGGTGTATGTCAGGCCGTTGAATTGGCCGTGCCGGATAATACATCGCCGCAATGTCTTGGATATACGAGTAGTATGAACGGGTATTCCGCCAACCCTCAATCCGCGACACAGAGGCGGAGAGCTCGCGCTGTTTAGTAGCCTCATCGGACCAGACGTACCCATGACCCCTGAGAGATGTAGGGTCTGTCGGGTCTGTTTGATGGCCCGTCGGGCTGTCGGGTGACAATTCTTCGCCAGGCCCAATAATATAGAGGTTGGAAGCGCCATATACAGCCTCCTCGAAAGCTGCTGAAACTCGAGTAAACTTGACAATATAAGCGCGCCATTTCGCTCGGATGGCGTTCTCGCCATGACGCTGGCTGATGCTACGAAGAATGTCATCCATGAACATATTGTCCCCCGTGGGGTCTTGGTGTGTGTTTGAAGCATGATTTGGCAACAATGCATTTTGCTGCTGGAAGAACAGAAGCCCTTCCGTTACTGGGGCAGATTCAACGTGGCTTGAGATCTTAATACGACCTGTCGGTAGATCGCACAGAACATCCCACCATTCGGGATGATTGGCGAAAGTGGGATTTGTTACGCCGGCAATGAATCCAGGCACTTTGAGGAGATCGTCGATTTTCGTCAGATCGGTATAAGGGAAGGCATGTCGAGTGAATCCGCGTAAGATTCCACCAGAAGCGAGTGCACAGGCTGCGAGAACAGCTTCAGCTACCTCGCCTGATGGCCGGTTGTGTCCCAGGAAGATGACTCGTTTTTGCGTGAGGATGGCGTTGACAAGCACGATGATGGGATGTGTGAATGGACCGCTGGTCGTCAAATGAGGATGGATTGGGAAAGGTTGCGGGGAGGTAGCATGAGGTCCGGCGAAAGTCTGGATGAGTTTGACGAGAGAGAAATCGCCAACAGTCTCGGGCCAGATGACCGTGGGAATCTTGACAGGGATGGGAATGTCGTGGTAGACCACTTTGGACTCGAATTCATGTGTGTCCCGAGGTAGAACGTATCGGCTCGATTTCTTTGGTGATGGGGGACACTCCCCATCTTCCGCTTCTTCTTCCTCTCGTTGGCGAACCATTTGTTCAAACTTCTCGATGAACATGTCCTTGGTGTTACTGGATTGCAAGATGTGCCGCTCCAAAATAGACATCTTTGGCATCAACGAGAGATCCATGTTATTTACCGCATCATATAAAGACGCAAGTGTTTCAGGGTAGGGCGATTTGAAATAATCTTCCAGTGCTAACAGCAATAGTGGCTATGGTATCGTTAGATTCACCTCTCTATAATATACAAGGAACGGACTCACTTTGTAAATATGAAGGAATGAATGTCTCGTACAGATTGCCATGGCCTTGACGACAGCACCACTATTTCTCTGGTCAGATGGAAAGCTTTTCAGGCACAAGTTATGGGGAAATCATACCGTCGAACAGTATTATCCTGCTTCGTATTCACCAAGTTCAGCACGTACATCAAGGGCGGCCCTTCCCCGCCCTCATCGTCATCACTGCTGTCACCCTCAGAGATTTCACCCTCCTCCTCTTCAGGCATATCCGCCCCCTCCTCATTGGCACGGTATCTTGACTTTCGCTTTTTCTTCTTCTTCCCGCCCTCCGGCTCTCCCTCATCATCGCCGCTCGTGTCCTTGTGCAAGAAGAAAATGGTCCAATCCTGACTTCGCACATGGGTCTGATCCGGAAGCATCAGCTCTGCGAGCATACTCTCGTCACCACTGATTGCCGCCGGATACTGATGCTCCATAATCGGGCCCCGGTCGATATGGAACGACGCTACCAGAATATATTCCACATGGCGCTCTGGCGAGTCCAGCGGGTATTGCGCCTTACACCGCCGTGGCCTATAGCCGATCGGATTCTCGGTCGATGTGCGTCGGAACGAGGCATGCGAGCCACTTGGAGACCGTCCAATAAAGGAGGCTGCGGGGGAGAGACGAGGAAGTCCATTGGTCTTAGGGTTGGAAGTGGACAGGGAGTCGTTCGACGGTCGATAGGGCAGCGTCGACGCCATCTCCGGAGGAATTGGGCGAGGTTCGAGATGGGCCAGAGTTAGGCGAAGGGACTGAGGGACATGCCTTGTCTAGAAGGCCTCGCGAGCGAAAGAATAGCGACTGGAGCGGTGTTCAGTGCTGCCAATCACCGCAGGCCGACAGTCCAATGTTTCAGGGGTCAGTTCAGAAAAAGGGCGATCTCCACAGCGGGGGCGATAGGCGATAACAGCTGCAGTGTGTAGACCCGGCGGGACATTCAACCATGACTATGGCAAGATATAATATTCGTCAGAAATTAGATACTCGTCATGAAGTATGATAAGTCCAAACTGATCTATCGAGTCTATCGACCCGGTTGTCCCATCCACTTGCGTCTCAGAGTGTCAGTCGACAGCTCCAAAACTACTGTTTGGTGGCTCCGCACGTGCCTCATCGGGCCGACTGTGTTGCCGGGGCATTGTTTACTATCTTCAACACTCGAGAGATATACTCCGCACGCCGCACCACGAGACTTGCGCAATCATGGTAAGAATTCCAGCTTGCATGGGTCAAAATCACAATACGATAATCTGATGCATCATGCAGTCCAACAATCAAACTTTCAAACCCTCACCGCTGTCCTTTGGGAGTCCGCGGGCTTCGCCTTTCCGGCGTCCGTCTACGCCCAACTCCCCGCCTGGCTCAGCTCGTACGGGCGGCACGCCAGGAAGCTCACCGAGTCGAGGGTATACACCAATGCAATCGCCGAGCAAGTTGAATCAATCGTACACTGTCGAAGAAGAAGATTCAGTCTCCCCGAGAAATGATCCTATCCCACAGCCCAAGTTTACTCGAGAGCTTCCTCCTTCACCGACCAAAGGAGCGCAGTCGCCTGGATATCAATCGCCAATAATCGGAAACCGATCGCTTGGAACGACCGTTGCGAACGCTGATGCCTCTTCCAAGCTCCCCGCCAATCAAATCAGAGAGATCCGGGAAGCGTTCCAAGTCCTGGACCAGGACAACGACGGGCTAGTCAACAAAAATGACGTCGCAGATGTCTTGTCGAATCTTGGTAAGTGGAATTGTTGTTTTCCCAAACCAAGCCAGCCTTTTGGTATTAATTAAGGCTCTTATAGGTCAAGACGCATCCCCATCAGCGCTCTCGCGCTTCTTCCCACCTGGCGCATCTCAAACGATTAACTTCCCGACCTTCCTGAACACCCTCTCTCAATTAATGTCGCCCATGTCTTCTTCTCAAGAGCTTCTAAACGCCTTGGCTGCATTCGACGATGATGATAATGGCCAGATCGACGTGGCAGAGCTGCGTGATGCCCTCCTGCACACCCTTCCCGAAGATGGAGGTGCTTCCTTGACGGAACAACAAATTGATGAGGTATTCAGTGGATTTACAGGGCGACGGGCTTTTGGAGGGCGGGGTGCAAAGGCGGGAGCAGTGAAGAGGGGCGAGGTCTTCCAGTACCACGACTTTGTCCGAAGTGTGGTGGGCGGAGGGGAGAATGGCAACAATGGACGTCGCGAGGCAGGTGCAGCTCAAGCTTGAAGGTTGTTACTATGAAGGATTGGGTTTCCGACGGAGTTGGCGTTGGGGGATGTGTTGCTTCAAGTCTCTGTTTTGTCAAATGCCCACCATCCCGGTAGGCTTGTTGAAATGATGCCATATGCCAGTGCCTTTCAGTAGATATCAAATTGTGTTTCAAGACCTGCAATAACACTGACGTATGATCAATTGAAAAGATAGCGTATATATTCGCCTAGTTGATCTTCCAAAGATAGCTCGATGATGCGGTTGAGGAGGCCCGACCAAACTAAACGCGTGCTCCGCATTTCTCCAACGGCAGAAAACCGACAGCTTCCAGCCACCGGAGCCCTAATAGTTAACCCTTTACAACTACTCCCCCAAAACCAGATAATACGTGATATCAATCAACCGATGCTGTATTGATTGTTCAAATGGCCATGCCTCAGCCGTCTTGGGGTCTTGGTGGCCCCGAGGCACCAGCTTCGCCGCGGACGATGCGCACGCTGCGCAAGATCCAATCTCACCAGGTCCTGACAACATCTAGTGCCCTCATCGCCCAGACTCAACCCTCTCACCTCTCAGCGTCTCGGTCCAATGATACTGGATCATCTGCAATACAATCTGGCTCCACGACACGTACTCCAGCCCGAAGGCCGCGATCAAATAGTGACGCGGCTGCTCGTGATGCATCATTGGGAGCGCCAGTCCCGATACAAAGGCGCCCTGCTCGAAAAACAGGATCGGGTGTGGGAATCAAGAGGTCTCTTTTGGAGAATCTTGTGCGTGATGGGCCACAGAATGGGAATACAAAGGAAGCATTACAGGAGCTGAAATACCTTGTCCTGTCAACCGGAGTGGACGCGGATGGAGATGGCATGGTAAGCATCCGACCTGGTTTTCGTGGCAGTGGCTGGCATGAGTGTAACTGACTTTGGTGAAATTACAGTCCCCGTATCGAGTCTATCTCTGGCTTATCCTCCTGAATGTTGCGCCTGTCCCGACCGACGATTACCTTGCCCTTGTCCACCGAGGCGGCTCACCCGCGTACGCGAAGATTCGCAATGATACTTTCCGCACCCTGGCAACCGATCCCCTCTTCAAGCGCCGTGTAACCGAAGCAAGTCTCATCCGGTTACTCAATGCTGTGGCATGGAAGATCCATGACTCCAAAGCCAAGCCTCGATCCCGGCCTTCCTCGTCCAGGCGTCTCGAAATGGAGATGCTGGTGAACACACCACCCAGCATTAAAGAAGAACCAGAATTGGAGGATCGCGGCTCAGGTCCCATCACAACTGTCAATGATTCGGCGATTTATGTGCAAGGCATGAACGTTCTTTGCGCACCTTTCTTGTATGCCGCTCGCAGTGAGGTGGAGGCATTCGCGCTCTTCCACTACTTTGTCACCAAGGAGTGCCCGGGCTATATCCGAGGCGCCATGGACGGAGTGCACAGAGGTCTTCGCCTAGTTGATCGATGCTTGGAGATCGTGGAGCCCAAGCTTGCAGCTTACCTCTTCTCCAAGGGGATGTATGCTGAACTCTACGCTTTCCCATCGGTATTGACCTTATGTGCCTGCACACCACCGCTGCCGGAAGTTTTGCATTTGTGGGACTTTCTCTTTGCATATGGCCCGCATCTCAATATCTTATGCATTGTCGCTCAATTAATTCGCATGCGGGACACCCTCCTTGAGAGTCCGAGGTGAGTAGTCCATATCCAATCTATTCCAGCTTTATATCTCTGACATGCTACTAGTCCCAACAAAATTCTTCGGTCTCTGCCTCCCCTCGATGCCAAAGGTATCATTGCTCTGACGGTTCTTCTGGTGCAGAGAATCCCTGATGATCTCTATGCGGAGATGGTCAATCATGCAAAGTGACCTAAGACACTTCTGTTCATGTCTGTTCATGTCTCTCTTATTATTATTTTCCTGCTTTTTATGGGCATGGCGTTTTGGGCATATCCTTTTATTGTTTGGTTGGAAGTGGTGATTTGGGTCTTGGCATATGGAAACTGCATTGCAACGACCTTTCCGAGATATACGATAGTTTGATGAAATGAATTGACGATTCTTCTCCTAAGATTCCATGCCTATATCTGTTGACTTCTGGATAGTATGATCTGCAACTCACCTCTTCATGTTGACAGTAACAATCAAAGATTGATGATTCCTAAAAACTAACATGGTAGTCATCCTGCGGCAAGGTTATGTTTCAATTGCCGGAAGTCTCCAAGCGATGCTAGAAGCCAAAGGCCGTGTCAGTCTGATACATGATGATAATAAATGGCTTTGTTGACAGGTCAACAGTGAGACAGCCGCAAAGTATGCTGATGGTTTGTGCTCACTGAATTTGACTTACAAAAGCACTTCAAGTCATGCATACATACGACTATCAATATCCCCCGATCTTCAATCTCCGAAATATCTAGCATATAAGTGACCACCTGCCTGGTTATGTGAGCAGTATCACGGCTGCAACGACGCCATGCTATCTCTAGCTATTATTCTTATCTTAATCATCGCACCAACTTTCTACTTCTTCTACGCACCAAAACCAAAGCCCATCAGTCGACCAGTCGATGTAGTGCTAGACGTAATCCGACCACTAAGCAAATGGACAGCTTTGTTACTTTCGGAACTCGTGCTCTGGATTATCCCGCCTACGATGAAAATGGGCTGAGGATGGTTGGTATTCTGGTAGGGGCTTTACTAGTTAGTTTGTAGGGTAAGGAAGACTCGTCGAAGATGACGTGGAGACTGGAGTGTCGTGACCAGTAAGTTATGGCGGCGTTAGAAGCTAAGGGGAGGCTGATCATGGAGCGAGATGCCTATGATGATCTCGTGCTGTTGGACACACGTTGATATGGAAGAATTAGGAGCTACGCTTCCAGGTTTTTAGATCGTGGAATTGGAGTCAATAATTTTTGATCCTTCAAAACAAATAGGCCACAGCACTTTGATACATGGAAGACTACCGGTCTAGGGTGAGAAACATTGCCTATGTAATATTACAGAGTAGACATCAAAGCCCCGGTGAGAAAGAAGTAATCCAATAGTCAATATCTCATTCGGCAAGAATTAATAACATAATACAAGATCATCCATAACCAATACCAATCAACCAAATAGTGCTCAACCCAACCCACCAAATGACATTACCATCCCAATCCCTCAAGTTATACGTCCCTAGGTTGGCGCAGACGTCGACAACAACTCTAATGACTTCTTCTGCAGCCCACTACCATCAACCACAAACGGCTTGTGCGGGTCCACCTGCTTTGATTCCCGGAATGGAACATTATGGCCGCCGCCCAAGCACTCAGAACTCTTCTCGCTGGGTGTCTGCTCTGTCAGATCGGCATCGTCCAGACCCACCGTGCCATCCCAGCTCCCACTTCGTGTCATATCGGGGGAAAGATCCAATTTGACGCGAATCCGGGAGCCCATGAATGTCATGCCATTGAACATGTTCATAGCTCGCTTTGCTGCGTCCACGCTGTGCATGATGGCGGAAGCGTGGGCACGTGCACAAGTATCATGGGTTTCAGCGGTTACCGTGACGTTGCACTGTTCCACGGCCCCAGAACTTTGGAGTAGAGTTGTCAGGTCTGCAGTAGTGCTTGCCGGATGCAGATTTGCGATGTAGACTGCTCGCTGGGCGAGATCGGGAACAGAAGAGCTGGAAGTGGGAGAGTGGTTTGCCCAGGCCTTGCGCGGGTGGAAGCGGGGGGGATAGTGGTCTCCTACGTGGTCGTGGAGGTTTTGAATGGGCGAGATTGGGTATATGGGCATCATGTTCCAGCCGGGGGCATCGTACATTGAGCAGTGCATCATGGGAGATGGCGGGACGCATTGCATTCGCTCTGGCATCATGTAGGGCTGTGGGGGCATCGCCATTGGGCCCACCATTGCTGCGAATTCGGGGTATGGGTGGGTTGGGCTAGCGCAGTGGACAGATCTGCTCATGTTAGATAGCGAATCTTATGGATTCACACGGAAGGCATCTTACTCGGATGAGATAGGTGAAGGGGGCATGCTCATATTTCCTTGAGACTGTGGTGGCGTGGAATGACCCGACACGTAGCCTTGAATCACTGCGGGTGGACTTCTAGTAGGTCCAGCAATAGGCTTAGTCGGAGCGCTGGTGCGTGCCAATGTCACAACCAAGCTCTGGCCTTCCCATCCATTGGTTGATAGCCGATCTGCGTGAGGAGTTAGCAAAGATCCAAACAAGCCTACAGTGTATGTCTGAGAAAAGATTACTCACGATAGGTCCTCCAAGCTTCATCCTCATTCTTCACAATGATCTGGCCTAGACCTGTCGGAAAGCCATTGCTGTCATCATAGACCACAGCTTGCCGAATATGCAGAGCTGTCTGGCGCACCAAATCCTTCAACTCTTGCCAGCGGCAATGGGCTGGGATCTATCAAAGGATATCCAGTAAGCAACCCGAACTCTGTTGTCAATTTTGAACCACCTCAAACGTAGAAGAACTTACTCCCTGGAGGAACACGACGAATTCATCTTCCGATCTTCGGGATCTTGGGCTGCGGCCTTTTTCTCGACCGAGTAGCGGCATGATGGCAATGAATGCGGTTTTGTTTCCAATCGAGAGTACCGGTAGCTGCTGTTGCTGCTGCTTCCCGACACAAGCGTATCTCGATCGGAAACGCAGGTAGACGTATTGCCAGTCGTTGCGGACCTTTCCCGTGGTGCAAGTATCCCAAGAAGCCGGCGTTGCAAAACAGTCGGAGATCGAACCCGTCTGACCAGGGTTGTGGTCGGTCGAATCTGGAACTGGAACAATCGCTTTGTAAATCCGGTCGACGTGGTCTTTGCTTATCTTTTCTCTCCATAAGCACGAGTCAGCACATGGCCTTGAAGAGAGAGAGAGGAGGGCCTAAGATAGTGTGGAGGGCCTTGTAATGTCAAGCAGAAAGCGTGAGCATGGTAGACGAAATTGTCATCGCACGATCATCGACATCACTAAGCATAAAATGCAATGTCTTTCTTTTCCTCACCTGGGGATTGACAAGATCACAAGAGCAGTAGGGCAACAGTCTTACCTTGTTGCAGCGAGATTCAATGCAGGTCAACAAATTGGTCAGACCGACACATGCGCACTTTGCAGAAAAGAAAATCCAAGCTATCCGCGAGCCAGCGTTAAGGAACTATCTTATTATAGGGACCACAACCACAGCGATGGAGCTAGAGGGGAATATGCAACCAGGAGATTCTTGTAGATGTTTCACAAAAGGTATTTGCATCGTGGTTAATCCTGAGCAGGGCAAGACTAGCAAGGAAATAAATTTGGAGACACATTGGCGTGTGCAAAGCAGCAGAGCAGTAGCAGCATCAGCAGTAGCAGCAGACAGCAGCCGACGAGTTCGGAGGCGAGACCCAGAAAGCTGCAGAAACTGACGAATCGAGAGGCGCCGAGAAAGAACAGCCAGCCAGTCAGGACGGAGATTGTTCGACTGCTTCTGTCTGGGATGTTGAGATATGTCATTTTCGCGCGCGACGAAGCCCGAGCTCAGTTCCTCCGGCCAATGCCAAATGCAATAAATCATCTCCCCGTACCACCCCACTGGAGGATACATGGATAGTGCCACTCAGGAACCTGCACTTGTGTCATCTGTTCGTTGCTTTTTCTTCTTACTCCTCTGAGCCACTCTTTTCTCATCGCAATCCATGGGGGCTCTAGGGGAAATGCTATCCCAAACAATGTTGGTTTTAGATCGCCTTCATGTCGGGTCGTCCCGTCTCTTGGATTGCAGGGGAAGCGGGGGTAAAGTGGAGATGGACTGGGTGTGTACAGGAGACAAATCCAAGATCTTCGAGGGCGAACAGTAGCATCGAGCATGCTTCGTGTTACACCGCCAGATTCAGATCGGCCATGGGTGCTCCTCAAAAGGTTCTTCGGGTGACAGACGCCCTTGGGGCTTGAGAGGCAGAGAGGGAGGGGGCCAGTCGTGAGGGTAAAAGTGGAGCTCGCTGCGCGTGTGCGGAGCGGCCCATATCGATCACATTGGCTTTATGGGCTGCATCGTCCCCTTAGCTTTGCAGAGTGCTTGTTGGTGGAGTTTTGGTCAGTGGGTATCATCAACCAGATCGGATCAAAGAGTCTCCACACCCAGAAAAAGAAAAGACAGGAATGAACAGCTTACAGAGGGAGATCAGCGATTAGCGATCGCCCAGGGTCACTAGTCCAACCAGTAAGCCAACGAACTGGTCGACCAGTAAACTCAGGGTCCCTGCGACGTGAGCAATCAGATGAAAATCCACAGCAATGCCGAACAGCGATTGGTTTTGCTTTTGGATGCGCTGCGATTATTGATTCGTGATATCAGCCTAGTTGGGAGTACCTGCAGCGGCAGCTACTGAGACCTAACCGTGGCTGGCTGCCAGCGCGGGACACTGAGAGTGAATGAGGCCGAGTTCGAAGGGTCTCTCCACTTGGAGGTCGTTGGAAGGGAAATGGTCGACTCTTGAGAGCATCACGGATGCACAGAATGAACATGGCGTTTGGACCCCGCACGGACGCAAGAGATGGTACATACAAGGTACGAAACTCTATACGTTTGGACGTCACATCACGCACTCCTGCTTTCTGCATAAAATAGTCATGTCAAGTCAATCGAGGTTGTCGAGAAGGCGTTACTTGTCGTCCAGAAGGCGTGCAGAATGGCATAGGGTCCGCCCACATTGTCCCTTGGGAGGTGTGACAGTCATGCCGCGATAAACATGAGCTTTGGTAGCACTGCCACCATGGCGACGTGCAAAAGGCAGGTTTTCTCTGCGAGTCTGCGTAACCTGCGCCATTCTAGAAACCTAATAAGCAAGGCTCAAGAAATCTGCAGGTCTTTGGGGAGCCAAATCCTTAAGCTCAAAGGATCGCCCCTGGTGTTTTCGGTGACCGAGCATCCTATTCGACAGCGGGAGCTGGGGTTGAATGTGTAATGGCCGGTGCTTCAAGCGCGTGTGACCCCACGGTAGAACATACCCTACATTATCTGCCTTTATCTATCAAAGTCACGTCATGCGAGGAAGCTGAGGTGGCACACAGTCTGAAAGTGTGATAGGAAGAGAAACACGCAACATTAGCTGAGGGGATGCGGAGGATAGCAGTTTGGAGGCGAAGATGACGAATGTTAGAATAACCAAGAAGGCGGGAAGTGGCCATCCTGATATCTGTCTGTATTATGTGTGTCACGAGAGGCTCTAGGCGACGCAGAAAACTAACGTTTCGACGCTGTCACTTGCCGAATTGAACAAGTCATGATCGTTTTGCTGTGCGATTATTGGTCGTGGTTCTCACTTAGCGTTGTATTTCTATGCTGCTGATAAAAAATCATGCATCGTAGGATAGGGCCCGCTCCACTATCTTATGAACCTTAACATCGATCCAAGACGCATGAAATATGATCACCCCTTCCAAGAATGTTGTAACTTTGATCGCCCAGATCAATGAGCAACGTCAGTGAGCGATATTCACACCGGACTTCGATATAGCTCATCCACTAACAAACCGCATGAATAGTCACAGAGGTCTTGTCCATAGATGTTATTCCAAGGTTGATAGGCACTGGTGCACGTTGAGTGAGCAACGTATCAACTGAATCGGCACCTGTGAGGTCATCGCTAACACTCACTAGAAAGTCTCCTTCATTACGACTTCCATTAGAAGTTACAAGTAATAGCGCCCATACCATTATTACCACCCAGAGGGCACTTCTCTAGGCTTCAGTACACGAGTCATTTTGCTACCTTGCGGACTTACTTAGAAACGGCCTCAGCCCTTCATACCCTACGGTCATGTGTGATAAAATCAACGAAATGACAGAATATTTAGTCTGAGACAAGAATATTAAAGTATCAATACGAACTTGCAAATTTCATAATCATTCAATTTAGTTTGTTCATTGATCACATCGATTCGACAGTCGGTAACCCCTCTCAATCATCTTTCCCTTGATGAGGTTGCTTAAGGACTTCATAGTAAACTCCGTTTTGAATCAAGACCCTGATAACGTTAGTCCATGGCAACATAGACCCTACTAAAATAACTACCAACAGCCAAAAAGGTAGGAAAAGCAACTCTCAAGACCTACCTCCTAATGTTACCAGCACCCCCGATACCAAAGCTCACATGTCGGACCGACTGCTGTGTAGTGTCAGCCGAATTGAATTCTGGTATAACGAAGCGCGAAGTTCGACGTAGGATTCCTTTTTCAGTTTCGTAATCGGTGAGCAGGGCATCACTTTCTTCATTATCTTTGTGTCCCTCGGAAGCTGCACATAGTAATCTGGGAAAGGGGTAACCCCTCCAAAGTCCGACCATCTTCTGTCTGAAATTCGGTAACAGGAGGGGGATTCGTCTTTGCTCAGTACCTATTGCTTCTCAGCTTGGGTGGACTATTTCTTCATAGCTAGTTCTGTGCCAAGTTCTACTTACCGTTCCTGGGCCTTGGCTATTTCGCGTAGAATGAAGCCAAGAAGACGCGATCAGAATATTGCAAGCGAATCCCCGCATGCACTCCACACGAGCCAAGACTCTACCTTTTATCTATATCCTTGGCGCATAGCCAGGCTACCACTGCCTGACTAGGATTTGTTCACTTCATTACTATGAGACATTTGTTACGATTTGACAGACGAATACTTTTGGGCTCAGATCGCAACCATGCAACCGAATTGACTGACGCAGTTCCTCCATGTCGAACTAATTAAGGTCATATGTGGGGAGAAAATGTCAGACCAAAATACAGTCAAGATAAGCTGATGCGATCTGATTGCTCTGTTGTGGAGCGGGCTTGAGAGGTGCAAACGCAGCGAATAGGCTCCAAGCGATTACGGGCGTCGACAAGAGATGACCAACGTCACTCCTCGGCCGCTGTCGAATCATCTGGTCACTCAGAACCAATTACCAGAGGACATTGTGGGCTTATCTCCACATTTTGGAAGTTAAGCTTTCAGACAAGCTTCTCCCTGAGTAGAAAGTGCGGGATGGATATAGTGGGGCCGTAAGGACAGCCTCTCAACACATAGAAAGGACATTCTCACGAACTCTTCTCCAGCAGAGATAGCCTAGTGCTTTGGTGCTCTTATCCCGATTTTTATGTGTCATGAGTCTTTTATATGGCTCTTAACTCTGTGGTAATAGCCGACAGAAAATTTCCTATTGGCCCAGGATTTACTTTCGCCTTATCTTTCGACGCTATCAGCTCATCGATGCTTTATCTCAAGATGACTTGAGTTCTGGTCAAAGAGCTGCTAAGTTAGAACCGAGAAGGTAGCAAAATAAATACACAAGCTGATAGGGAGGGGTTTTATTGGAAGAACAGCGACCATGGTCCTGTGAAAAGTCGAGAACCTAGGCCAGAGCCATTGATTCCAAAGTACACGAGGCAGTCCGACTGCTTATATTTCTAACATCCCCGCCGTACTCTGGGAGCTGATTCTGTCCCGAAAATCAGTGACGTCCAATTCTTGATTCCAACACACCTGCATTAGCTTAGGCCCATTCTGAGCATTGACAAATATGTCAAATGTAACAGCTTTGACCGACCCGGCCCCAGAGTAAGTCATCCCGAAGCAGTGCGGTCTTTATGGATATGAGAGAGTTCTAAAAACGAATCAAAATAGTTGGCTTAATAAGGGTGATCAAGCATGGCAGTTAACAGCAGGTACACTGGTGGCACTCCAATCAATTCCAGGCCTTGCAATCCTCTATGCAGGCTTCGTGAAGAAGTATGTCCAAGAATCCCTGACATTTTACGCCATTCTTTTCCAAAGCTAACAGTACATAGAAAATGGGCCATCAACTCTGCCTTCATGGTATATACAAAGAGCACTTATCTCTTGAAACCTCTTCCAGGCATGCTAACCAAGCATAGGTGTTCTATGCATTCTCCGCCACGCTTGTATGCTGGGTCATATGGGCATACAAAATGGCATTCGGTGAGCAATGGGGAAAGTTTCCTCTAGTTGGGACACCTGGGCCTGTCTTGACCATGGAGCAAAATCTGGCCCAAGCGACTTTACCCGCTGCCGGTATCAGTACCAATTTCAATCTATCGACGATGATTTATTTCCAGTTCGTTTTTGCCGCTATTACTGTTATCATCTTGGGCGGGTCGCTACTCGGTCGAGTCAATCTTCTGGCTTGGATGGTGTTCGTGCCGTTGTGGATCACACTTAGTTATACCGTCGGGGCATTCAGGTTTGTTTGTTTCCGAGAGTAGTTGTGATGTAGGCTGCTGACGGCTAGTACAGTCTCTGGGGTGGAGGCTTTCTCTCGCAAATGGGTGTACTCGATTACTCGGGTGGATATGTCATCCATCTAAGCTCGGGGACTGCTGGTGAGCAGGGAATCTTACCTCGTTGCCGATTGATTTATACTAAGTTCTTGCTTGTACGTGACAGGTTTTACAGCTGCGTATTGGCTAGGTCCTCGCCTGAAACGCGACAGAGATTCCTTCTATCCAAACAATGTCCTCCTCATGCTGGTTGGCGCGGGTATACTTTGGGTGTGTTGGAATGGGTTCAACGGAGGTGACCCATATGCTGCAAGCCCCGATGCAGGCGTTGCCGTCCTGAATACAAACATCTGCACAGCCATGAGTCTTCTGGTGTGGACTACTCTCGACTTTATCTTTTTCAAGAAGCCGTCCGTGATTGGTGCTGTCCAAGGCGAGATCACGGGTCTTGTCGCAATTACGCCCGCTGCTGGCTTTGTGACCGGCTGGGGGGCTATCATCATTGGAGCATGTTCAGGCTCGATTCCGTGGATATCGATGAATGTCCTCGGAAGAATGGAATGGATGAAGAAGGTGGACGACGTCAGTAAGTATACCATTCAGTTTCAAGCCATCGCCATTAGATTATCCTGACATTTCTATCTTAGTGGGTGTCGTCCATACCCATATGGTTGCCGGTTTCCTCGGAGGTTTCCTTACGGGTATATTTGCCACGATCGATGGATGCGCAGCATTCGGCCTTAAGAATCCTGGGGGTGCGATTGAAGGTAACGGAAAGCAAGTTTGGTTGCAGATTGTGGGCGCATTATTCATTATCGGGCTCAACTTGTTCATGACCTCGATTATCTGCGTGTTCATCAAATATGTCTTGCGCATACCATTGCGCCTGAATGAGCAACGACTTCTCGTCGGCGATGATGCAGTTCATGGCGAAGAAGCCTACGCGTTGTTCTTTGAGGGCGAGCGAAGCCACATCAGTCTCCACACGACAGGATTTGAGAGCGGTCATATTATCGACACTAATCTGGGAAGCAAAGAAGGAAGTGGCCACGAAAGCCCGGCGAGACCGAGTGCCGCAAAGATGGCGGTTGAGTGAGTTTGTTCTTTTAATAGTTGCATTTAATACTTGGAATCAGAATTGTATCTTGTGAAAAGTGCAATGAGCTTTGTAGGAAATGCAGAGCGCCAATGGGTTGGAGAGCAAGGCAAGCTTCACGCCCCCGTTATCCTGTCTCATAGAGTGTCCCATGGTTTACGTGCCCTAATACGAAGCTATTCCCATCGTCAGGTGGCTGGACTGACCTCGCGGGGAAAACGGCGTCTCGGCTCAAGCTCGCGCCGGTAGAACGGTACCTTAAAAGTAGGAAGCACAAAGGAAATTCGGATGGGAATAATTCACGCGAGAGTTCAATGACTAAAATTCTACTAAACAGGATGAGTCAAGTAGCGTTGATAGTATCCATTTTCGACTAGCATTGTGGTGTACATTAAGTTTCAGTAGCGACCCGAACTCTCTAGGGCAGTCTGACTGGCTGCAAAATGTTTCAACATGCCGTTCTGAATATCAAATGGCTTCAATACAACATGACACGCAAGAAACCTCGCTTCACACCAACCTGATCAGATAACCGTGTATGGTCTGACCATGCAATCGTACAAAATCCAAAGGTCTCCGCCAGACGGGGACCTCCACAGGGTCCGCCGTTCTTGAATATCGGAGGCACAGTGAATGCAAAGAAACATTCATCGTCCGTCACGTTCACGTCGGCTAAAGAGAGTACCGTATCTGAACTTTTTCCCACCCGAGAGTTTTGGCCTCACGACTCAATTGTCTATCGGAAGTGTCTGGCCACCTTTGCCGGGGAATTGATTGGCCCCCGAATCCGAGATAAATGGGAATATAGGAACACCCGCCCTATCAATTGGGTGATCGAGCTTCACAAGGATGAAATCCCGGCCGTGGTCTGCACGGCAAGATTGGGGCGACGATAAAACATCGATTTGAAGATGAACCGGAGAATCAGAAGGAAAGAGTCGAAGGGTCGAAGGGATGGTAGGAAATCACGTTTGTTTGTAGGTTATTGACTGGTCATACCGTTGATTTGAGGGGAGAGCTTCTTTGTTGTTGTTTTGGAACCACGGGCCCAGCCTGTATGTGGTGGTGGAAACATAATCGGTAGGTAGGATTTGGGCGTAGTATTGTTTTTGATTCGACACGACCATGCGCGTTTCAACGTACAAAGCCGACCTTGGACGCGCAGCGGTGGCAGTAGTAAGAATTCATGCCGAATTGGACGACCCCCGAGGCGGTGGAATGACTGGCCAAGCTGAGGGACTGTTGACACCGCGAGCAGCGGACGATGTCGAAGATCAGACCCTGGGCAGGAGATGCCTCAGATGGAGGGGGCACGGAGGGTTGCGGCGAGATTTGGTACACGGGCGAATTCATGCCGAGGTCTGGGGTCGCCGGAGGGCGAGCAGGCGAGCAGGTAGAATATTGGGTAGACGCGATCGAGGTTGTCGAAGCATGGAAGGACGGGAGGGAGAAGCAGTTGGAGGGAATAGTAGAAGTAGAATAAGTAAATAGCAGATGCCTAGGAGGAGGAGCAGGGGGGCGGAGTCGACTCAATAATAGTCAGCTTTTGGTGAGAAAATCAAGAAATCAATAAATCTTTTTTGAATAATCCGGAAGACTAACTAACTAGTTAACTAAAATGGCTGACTCGAGCAGTCACCATTCCACCAGTCAGGTTAGGTCCACCATTTCATTTTCTCGAGTCGTTAGGCGTGACTGCAGAGCGGTGGATCCGCGTCCTGATAGCGTCTTCTTTGGGGGACGCCCCAGTAGTTTAATTCGCGTAACCACGGACTGGCCTCCATAGTACATCCTGTACCACAGTCATTTGAAGCGCCTCGTCGGGCTGTCGTGACACCAATAACCTGCTCCTAAGGGATTCGGAATTTCGGCGAGTCAAGTTTCTCCCCAAATCATCCAAATCACCCAAAAAACACAGATCACCAGTCACCAGCCACTAGTCACCAGTTCCCAGTTACCTTCTCCCCGAGGAAAGCTAAAACTCCCCAAACCGGCTTTTGGGACAGAATTCTCGTCGTGACTGGGATTTCCCATGTGCAAAAAGAAAATACCAAAAGATAATGAATGATTCACCAACCCATCGCCCACATGGTGGTTTGTCATCCGTAATAGTGTTTCACTAGATCATCCCAACTCTCTCCACCCACTGTTGCGGATCCCCTCACCCCCCAAATGTCTATGCTGAGTCTGAACCCCCTACACCTGGACAAGGCTCCGGAGAGTGTTTCATCACCATCGAAACTCATCTTGGGCTTATCTCCACATGTTGTTAGAACCCAATCCAAAACAACTTCACTCCGTATTTGGGAATACAGTCCTCGCAGCATTATTGGCAGTCATCCCACCCCTCCTCGGACCTTGTCCGATCATCGCCTGTCATTCGAGGGCAATCCCTCCTTCCATACCCTTCGATCTCGATCGAGGTCTTCTCTGAGGCCGATACACCCGGTCGGGTGTCATCTAGACCATCTGCAGATGGCCCAAACAGGAGGGAGAACGGGTTGAGAACTTGGGCCTGGCTGACAAGAGAGACCCGCGGGCTGCCGAGTCAGCCAAACTAAACCAGATCGGACGTGTGATCTGACCATTTCAGGCTCGACGCCAATGCGCTATTCGGTTTAAAGTGTGGCACAGTGCTGATCATATCCAGTCTCCCTCGTTTGTCAATCCAGCCAGGATGGACGAGATCTGGCGGAATCTAAAGTGACTAGATTCCTCCATCATCCGAAGAGATCAATAACCCGATACGGAAAGGGTATAGGACTGGTGTATCTTGTAGAGCGAGGACAAGAGGCAATCTATCACTTTTTGGTGGTATCCTACAGTCGTAGTGGTATGATTCTGATGGTGAACCACGAGGCTGTAGAGCCGAAAATGGCAGTCGAGCATCGACGTCATCTCCGCCTCTCCGCCCATCGCAACTCGCATCAACTCGCCCCCGCCAAACCCCACCAAAGCTGTGAAGAACCCTTTTTCCTATCTCTCCTAATCCCTGACATCTGATATCGAGTCGTTTCCTACTGTAGTCTGCAAGCCTCTCAAACTTCAACCTACCCAGTCTCCACCATCTAGCCTCTCTGGTATCCGACTCCTTACGATCGTGGCCTCCCCCTCCTTCCCCCTTCCCTTTTCGCAAACCACCCCTTTGCGACCATGGCCACCTCCCAACCCAATCTCTACAGCTTCCCCAACACCGAGGCGCTCGCCAAGCAATTGCGCTCCTACGTCCTGCGCTGCCAAAATGCCGCCCTGGCCCGCCACGATACCTTCCGCATTGCCGTCTCCGGCGGCTCCCTGCCCGTTGTCCTCGCCAACGCCCTCCTGGCTGCCAGCAATGGCACCCCGGAGGATACCCCGCAGTTCAGCAAATGGCACATCTTCTTCGCCGATGAGCGCGCCGTGCCCCTCGACGACAAGGACAGCAACTACCTTCTCCTGAAGAACGAGCTGCTCAGCAAGATCCCCGCGGAGCTCGGTGCTCCGACCGTCCACGCCATCGATGAGCAGCATGTCTACACCGGCGACACCCAGGCATTGGCCGACCTGTACCAGGAGGATCTGATGCGCTCGTTCGCCGCGAGGGAAAGCGTCAAGTTGCCCGTCTTTGACCTGATTCTCCTGGGCTGTGGTCCAGATGGCCACACCTGCAGTCTGTTCCCCGGTCACGCGCTCCTGCGCGAGAAGGATGCCTGGGTGGCTCCCGAGACCAACTCGCCGAAGCCCCCGCCCAAGCGTATTACTCTTACTCTGCCCGTGGTCACCTCTGCTTTGCACATCGCCTTTGTGGCTACTGGTGGGGGAAAGAAGGAAATCTTGAAGGCGATCTTCGATAATGACGAGGGCCGCAGCCTCCCTTCGGCTCTGGTGAACCACGGCGCCGGTGACAAGGTCAGCTGGTTCACTGATCACCCTGCTGTGGAGGGTATTGCCTTCCCTCGTCGTGGCAGCCTGTGAGGAGGATTTTGCTATGCGATTGGAGTACTGATGGACCCGACTCTCATGGGTGGGTGAAGGCTTGATACAGGTGGAATGCCTCAAACTCCAAACTTGACTTTCCTCGTCAGTGATGTTATTGGCTCCTGTGCTCTTATGAATGTGTCACAGTCAGATAATCTCTAATGTTTCAAAAGTGAGATTCCCTTTGTGCCTTGAGCTTTTTGCGACCAAGGGAGCTGGTATGGCGCAGATAGAATGCAATGAACAAATATAGAATTATGCCATTGGTTCTCTTGCACCCAGTAAATACAATCTAGAGAAGAGAGTTCTCTCAAATCACGACTACTGGATATGCTGTACGGAGGTATAGTATAACGAATTCCAACGTGAGGGGTTCGTCATTAAAGTTTCGCCCGGACTGTGCGGCCCCAAAGCTCCACTCGGGAATTGTTTTGGGTGCAGGAAGATCATCGCGACCCGAAGAACCACTTTCTTTCAGGAGCTCGGGGCCGAGTCCTCTTGATTTGACCTTATTTCAAAGAGGAAGCGAGTACGGGATGCGTGCATCCCCTTTCATGACAGACTGTGACGACCATGCCCATCCCAACGCGCTCCGCCTCACTACGTGAACCTCGGAAACCTGTCAGTCGCCAGGAGATTACCTTCCCCAGGATCCCCAGCATTCCTCGCTAATGAGATGGCAGATCTCTAATATAGCACGACCCACGGCCATCACGACAATCCCAGCCGCCGGCTCGATCAAAGCATCTACCCGCTTGACGAGTGACAAGACCCGGTCGTCAGATAACCCCTCGCCGGCCGAGGGTGTCCCCCTCAGAGATAATGCCGTCTCCAATCGCGGACGAACTCTCCTCCCCCAACGCAGCAACCCGGCGCGAGACGATGCAAATGGCTCGGCACAGGTGCGGTTTCAGCCACCAGAGACCAGGCTTCAGCAACGAGGAGAGACATCACCAAAGAGACAGCCCCAGGCAAACACGGGGGAAGAGAAACAGAGAGCGCCATCGACAGCCCTGACGAGTGGTACGCTGCCATCACGTCGTCAGAGCTTAATGCGACCAGCGGCTCTGAAAACAACCTCAACCAAAGGCAATGTCCCAGCTCCGACAAGGAGTTCAGCACCTACATTCACGCCGCCGTCACCACGGAAGCCCTCCACATTGCGATCGCCCACTCAGTCCTCATCGGCCCAGCGACCCCCCTCGCCCAAAAAGACGGACATGCTACCTCCGCCTCGGCCCATGCGATCTGCCTCCTTGAGACAACCTCGGGATGCTGCAGTGGGACCCCCAGCAACCGTCCGAGGCCATGCCCGACACCGCAGCCAGATGGTCCTGGCGAGCACGAAACCAGGCCAGCCAGATCCATCACCCGTCACTCAGAAGCCACGCGCGCAGTTCTCCACATATCAACAACACTACTCACCCAAAAAACCTACCAAACCTCCCACACCAACTCCGGGAGCCACATCTGCACCCGATAGTCTACTCATCCCCACCTCATGGCCAGACATCGCCGCTTTACAGACAGAACTTCTCCAACTCAGTCTCTTCCACTCCAGCTCACTCCAGCAACATGCAGAGTGGAAGACGGAATCCGAATCCCGCCTGCGCAAGAAGTACGACGCCGTCGCTGATCAATATCGGTCTATACTAGTGGACGAGAAGAGCCGCCAGCACCAGCTGAACACGCAGGCTTTGGCTTCTTGGCTCCGGAATTGCCGTGACCACCAGGGACCACACGGATTCTCTGAGCAGATCCAGATATTCTCACAGGTCCTGCAGGAGGTCTCAGACCTGGAGATCGCCGGAATGAGCGGGCGGTATACAAAAGCTGTTGCCGTCTTTGAAGACTGGTTCCAGCAAGCGGATTATATCCGGCATCAGCGTGAGGAGACAGGGGCATTGGATGGAACGACCTTTATTGACCCGCTCGATAAATCCTGGAAAGAAGAGGTGCACGCTCTACATGCGAAGCTGGAGCTCTGCGCGCGACATCTCCAGAGCCTAGATATCCTGGGCTTTGGTGAGGTGGAACAGTTACCGCAATCTGCACTTACGCGTCTGGCTCAGGGTCTGGCGGAATCGATTCGGTTGATGATACAGGAGATTCGTGCTATGCGGGCTTTGGAAGCGGAGCTTGTTCGCTCGGAGAGGGAGTGTGTTTGTGCGATTGCGAGTGAGTTGACTGGGTCGCGGCGGGAGATGAGTGCGTCACGGGTGGGGGTTTGGAGATGTTGAGTTGTGAGATGATTAATGAATGAAGCGAGTTCTTTTGTATTATAATACTCTACACGTCTGTCTCGTTGCTTAGGGATAGGAAGTGTGTTTATTAGCTTCGTGGTTAGGTTAGGTGTACTACGATCAAGCCAAGATAACTATGAGCTCAGGTAGGATAGTAGAAGTGTATAGTGTATTACTGCAGGGTAGCTTCTAGTAACCCAGTTAAATATACTCCTATCGTCGCATTCATCCTTGTAGTATAATATTTCTCAGTTTATAGCAAAGATACTATCAGATATCGAGCTTCGGCATCTAGAAGTCGAGTCCTGGATTGATATGTTAGCTGGGATGACTCAGCCCTGCCTGGCGCCATCGGTGACTAGGTAACGAGGGTACTGTAGGCTAGTGAACTGACTAACTGTATATGGTATAGTCATGACTGGCCACTAAACTCAACTCGGACAACCGTCCCAGCATGATTGATACATGATTGACGATTGATGATTTGATGATGGACCCCTGGTCGTTCAACTGTGGTCTGCTGGTTCTGGATCCCGTCCGTTCGAGCCCAAGTCCTTCCCTGGGGCCTCGTGAACCTGTTCTGCTTTCACTCCCACTGACCGGTTTTGTTCCCCCTCACGAGGCTCTGGGCACTTGCCACTTTCAAACACCTTTTTTTAACCATCACGTCTCATTTCTTATCATCTTCTGCCTTCACTTGGATACGCTCAACCAGTTTCTTTCGTGGATCTCGACCGTTACCTGCCTGACGTCATCTACAGTTCCACCTGGTTCCCACTTGCCCATTCGACGGTCACGCCCCCACGACAGCTAAGCAATAAGACCAAAAAAAAAGAATCGTTCCTGCAACAACCGCGCCAACAAGCTACCGTGGGTCCATGATGGTCGGCGATTCCCCTGGTCACTCGCGATCATGAAAGACTCGCTGTACGAACGTCTCTGGCGCCGAGAATGCGGGGACCTGTCGCCATACGCCTCGCTCCGCGGCATTTACGGCTCCAAAGAATGGATCAACGATCTCGACATCGTCAATGAGTTGGGCGGTCATACGGGCTGTGTGAATGCTCTCAGGTTTGTGGAATCTTTCATCTCCCTCTGATCGCGCTCGTATTCCTCCAGTCGAAAGTCCACGGCAGAGGGGGAGAAAAGATGCGTTGTCAAACCCGCGCTAATGCTGTCGCAGTTGGGCCAAGTCCGGACGTCTCTTGGCCTCTGGCTCGGATGATCAGCACTTGAATATCTATTCGTACCAGCCCGACTCCTCCGATGCGCAGTTCGCCTTGAATACGACCGTCGCCACTGGCCATAGGGCCAACATCTTCTCCATCAAGTTCATGCCACACTCGAACGACCGGACGTTGATAACCTGTGCAGGCGATTCGCAAGTGCGCGTCTTCGACATCGAATATTCCAGTGCCAACGGCAATATCGCTTCTACTTCGGCGTTTGCAGCCTCGGCTCGGAGTCGGCGCTTCAATAACTTTTTCGAAGGGACGCGATATCTGAGCGAGGGTAACACCAATGCTAGGGTTTATCGCAGTCATGCCGATCGCGTGAAGCGTATTGTCACTGAATCATCGCCACACCTGTTCCTCACATGCTCTGAAGATGGAGAAGTTCGCCAGTGGGATCTTCGTCAGCCCTCCGAGGCTTATCCTCCACCACGGGGTGGTCAGGGGGTTCATGGCATATCGGCCTGGATTAGACCATGATGACTCTAATGTCCCGCCGCCACTTATCTCTTACAAGAAGTTCCGCCTCGACCTCAATACGATATCATGCTCTCCCAGTCAACCGCACTATATTGCCCTCGGTGGTGCTCACATGCACTGCTTCTTGCATGACCGACGTATGCTTGGCCGGGACCTTCTAGCTGAACGAGGGAGCCCGAGTCTATCTACACCAAGCGCTGCCAGTCTTGACGATGAAATGATGGGCAAAGCGACCCGATGCGTTCGGCGCTTTGCTCCCCGGGGTAAACGTCGCCTCAAGCACCTCGATGACGGGCATATCACCGCCTGCAAGATCAGTGATGCAAACCCAGATGAGATGATCGTCAGTTGGTCTGGGGATCACATCTACAGCTTCGATCTTATCCGAAGTCCGGATGCGCGGGACATTTCACCTGAATTGCCTTCTGCATCGAAAAAAGCTAATCGTCGCAAAACTGACTCCCAAGGCCGAAAACGCAAGCGTCCTAAGCCGGCGTCAATGTCGTCCCAGGAAAGTGGTGACCGCCACCGACCTCATCAGCGCTCGGGAGAACCGGATGCTTTCAGAGTTACCTATGAGAATGGTGACTCCGAGGACATTCTCTTCCCGACAATTCCCGATGATGATGAGCTGGCTATGGTTCAACGCGCGAGATACTCTGTGCTGAGTGAGGCTCAGCGACTTAGTATGCAGATTGCAAAGGGGCTCGTTAAGCTTCGCCGGGCGCTGTTCTCTCTAGAAGCTACAGCGCGAGAAGCCAGCGAGGCCGAGCAGTCGAGTCTCACGCCATATTCGGGGGCCTTTGCCTCTGCCTTGTCACTGGCATCGATCTGGCTACCCCAAATGGATGAGGTCATGCGCAAATGGCATTACCCTATGAATCCATCAAGTGATACTGTTACTTTCCAACAATCCCTTCGTCACAACCGCCAAGCGTCGTGGCGATTTGTCCAGGCTGCTGGGACTCTTACCCGAGCTTTGCACGGTGATGCCTTGGGAGAAGATACGTCCAACGCGGTATTCGACTTTTCTCAAATTGCCCCTGCCCCTAATGAGGATGAGTCTATTGACCCAGAGGCTCAGTTTGGGTATGATTTTCTCAAAGCGATCTTGCTTTGGATCCAGGGTGGCAGGCAAGAACTACTCAATGGGTTCAAACGACGGCAACATTCAAGACGCGTAGAAGGACGGTTCCCCATTCCAGACGGAGCTACTGATGATGCAATCGATACTATCCTTATACCTTATCTCCGGGGGCTTGCTAAAGACACTCCAATCGTCAATGTGGACGCCTCCCGCTTCGAGCATGATTCCACTCGCATTCTGTTTCAGACTCAAGTTGCCGCTGTGACTGCGTTCGGCAATGCAGTGCGGTTGCCATTAGAGGAATTGAGAACTACAGCTGCTCGCATTGATCGCCGCCGCGTCTCGAATCCATCTTCGCATGTTCGGTCCTTGGATCGAGCATCCGCTACTAGGTTCTGGGTCCTGCGGGTGGGCCGAGGCATTCTCATGGATGCCGGGACTGGTGTCAATTTCTCATTTGTTAACCGAGCCTTTGGTGGAATTCATACGACTACCGATGAATCGACGAGTGAGGAGGACTTGGAGAGATCCCAGGATGATATTGATCCCGATGTGGAAGAAGCCCGTGTGAAAGAGATCGAGGTCGTGAGGACTGCTCGGTCAGGTCCGATTCCCCCTCCAGAAGGAACCACGGCGACTCCTGTTCGTGCTTATCCGGGTTCCGAAGCCTCCGAAGCGGAAGTGCGTCCGAACCGCGGTGATAGCAGCGAAGAAGAAGACTCCGAGGGTGAGGACGAGGATGAGGAGATGCAAAGTGATGAAGGGGAGGAGGAGGAGGAGGAGGAGGAGGAGGAAGAAGAAGAAGATGGCTGGCACCTGGGCTTAGGAGATTCCTCGGAGGACGGCGATGACGGGGAGTCGTGGGATGAGGACGGCGAAGAGCCACTATTCATACGTGGTACCACCCGCAAGTCACGCCGTGGAGAGGTCGAGTCTAGTGCGCCGGTTTCTGCTCACACGCGGGTCTACCGTGGACATTGCAATATCAAGACCGTCAAAGATGTCAATTTCTTCGGGCTGAACGATGAGTATGTGGTCAGCGGGAGTGACTCGGGACATCTTTTCATTTGGGATCGCAAGACGGCGAACCTAGTGAATATTCTCGAGGGAGATAGTGAGGTTGTCAACGTTGTCCAAGGTGTGTTGTGACTTTTAAGACGGATGTTGAAACACTGCCGCTAATATCTCCATACAGGCCACCCTTACGAACCCACCATCGCCGTCTCTGGTATTGACAGCACCATCAAAATCTTCTCTCCAGATCGTTACGCCCAAGATCTCGCTCACCGCGGCATCAATATTCTGGATCCCGACAACCCCGCCAACCTCGTCGGATCCGCCGTGCGCAATCTGGGTGGACTCGAGAGCCGCAAGCGCATTCACGATAGCTACCGTATTATGAGTCAGAACGATGTCGATCGTCGCGGTGGCATGAGTGAAGCCTACATCACAGTGCGCTTTCTCCAAGAGATCCTTTCCCTTCCCGATAACTGACTTCTCGAAATAGAGAAGCATGCTAGCGCGTCTTGCTGCCACCCTCCGTGGCGGACAAGCTGGAACTGGCGGCCTAGCTGCCGGGCTGGCTCCGGGCGAGGGGGCTACCGTTGTCCTCGATGATAATTGCCTTGTCTGTCCTTCCTTAATGACCTTGCAGACCTTTATTGGAGAAAGCTAACACAAGAAATAGGTAATGTGATACCTTGCGACAGTGACTACGGGGAGCGCAGTCCCCACTATGCATGCCTTTCTTTATTGTTATTACTATTACCCCCCGATATCCAGATTGTTTGTTTGCATTAAGGGGAAAGCGGGGTTTCGATTCTTTGGATGTAATTCGAATCAGAATTGAGAATGCATTATGAGGCATGAACGGGTTTAATTGGGTCATCATTTGTAGAGATTGGTGATGGAAAAGATAAATATCCAAAATAGGATGAATAGTCCATTACAACCTGCTTTCCTGTTCTCTAGTTAATAACCAGCTATCTTAAAATCCCAAGAACAGTCTACTTATACTTATTGTATACGGAGTCCCTAGACCCCTCGACACCCCCACCAAATCCATCGGAAATGCCCCACATGCAAGAAAATCCACTCCGCCACAAGAATTAAAGATCTGAAGATTTCACCTTTCACAATTGTCCACGTCCACATTCCCTCGCACCTCTAAATAACAGGCTTGCCAGTCATGCCAACAGACCTCCTACAGGCTCGCGCATCGAAAACCGCCCAACTCTACGCCGACCCGCACAATCCACACCTCTACCTTGACCGCGCCCGCCTCTATGAGCAACTAGGTTTCCCCGATCTCGCTGCGGCGGATGCATACCGGGCACTTTCGCTGCTGGAGTCTGTCGTTGATCCGGATGGATGCGAGTTTCATGCTAGGAAGGTTGATACTACTGGCAATGGGGAGAAGAAGGATCGTGACGATGGAGATGAGGAGGGTGAAGAAGAAGAGGACGAAGACGAGGACGAGGACGAGGGAATCCCCGTGACGCAGGAGGAATACGATGCGATCATTGGAGATGTATATGCCGTGCTGGTACGCAGTCTCGTCCGATGTGGCTGCTACCGCGATGCGTTTGAATTCGGCGTGCGTGGACTCGGACTACTTCGCGAATTAGCTCTGGAGCAGAGCGCGGATTCTATCGCCATTCTAAACGAGCAGATGGACTCTATCAAAACGATTTACCAATCTCGCACGGGTATCAAGGACGATATCGAGCTGGACGCGATTGACTCTGCTGTCCTGCCGGCACAGGGCTTTGCGCGTCGCATCTTGTATCCCTGGAACGAGCATGAGCCTGATCGTCGTGCGCCGGAGGAACTCGCCCTCTTGAACGAGAGACTGAAAGATGTCGCGCCCAAGTGCGAGGTTCGTGCCGTGGTGCTGCCGGCGCTGCACGGGGAAACACCCGATGAAGACGAAGTTTCCGTGCAACTGGGACTCTTCGCGAAGGAAGATATCGCGCCTGACGAGATTATCCTGCGGGAATCGTCGTTTCTGACGGCTACGAATCGTCTGCATGATGATCTTTGCGACGCGTGTAATGCGCCTCTTCCGGATCTTTCTGCTGAGAATCCTCCCGTTGGATGTGAGGGTGGTTGTGCCGATACCGTCTTTTGCAGTCAGGAATGTCATGATACTGCGCAGAGGGTTTACCACGGGGCGATCTGTGGTCTGGAAGATGGTCTCGAGTCTATTGGGAAGGATATCCCCGATCCAAAGGATAAAGCGGATTATCTATACCTGCTCCTTCTAGGCCGAGCTCTCGCCATGGCCGCCACACAGGACGTCCACGCCCTCGATCTCCCCGAGGTCAAGTATATCTGGGGAGATTTCCACGAGTTCGACCTCAACCTCGACAACTCCCCTTCCTCACCGGCAAAGGATGAATCCGCCACCCTCCCTTTCTCCTTCCAACTAAACATCCTTCAACCAACCCGCATCCTCGAAGAAATGGAACTAAACCCCTACACCACCCTCCCCCGCCACGACACCTGGATCCTCAACACACTCTACGCCAAATTCCGCGGCACCGCCTCCGGCCGCCTATCCACCTGGGACGGCGGGCCGGAACTCTGCGCCGTCCATCCACTCTGGTGTCTGGCGAACCACTCGTGCGATCCGAACGTGTGCTGGGAATGGGGCGGGGAGATTACTTTCCGCGCACGGAATGACACGGAGACTGCTGTTTGGACGAGGACGGGTGAGGAGGGGGATGGCAGGATTGAGATGAAAGAGCCGAAGAGGGGGGGGGATTAAGAGGGATGAGGAGATTTTGAATCATTATTGTGATATTGGGTTGGGGGTTAGGGAGAGGAGGGAGTGGGCTTGTGGGGCTTTGGGGGGGAATTGTAGGTGTGAGAGGTGTGTTTGGGAGGCGAGGGAGGATTAAATTTGGTTGGCTTGTGATTGGAAGGGACATGTAGTATAGAAAGAATAGAGATATAGAATTGGGTTCGGCTTGCTGATTGTTGGTTGATGGTGATGGTGGTGGTGAGGAGATACCCATTAGATTCGGTTGCTTTTGGCCTGTCAACGAATAGCATATGTATGATGGTATCTAGTTATTGAGCCTCAACAAGAGACTCGAGTCAAAAGACAGGAGAAGTTAAAAGTACATGGAGTTTGAAAATTAAATTCATTGACTTGTTTATGTTTCCTAGCACCAGTCCAAACCCCAAAATTTACCCCAATACAAGGGCCCCAAATTGGACAGACTCGTGCCGTGAGAGTAAAAGGAAATTTTCAAAGATGAACAACGCTGACGATGATACACCCGCTTAGCGGCGACGAGGGGGAGTCCGCGAGTAGCTTCGACCCCGGGAGTCATCACGTCGTCTAACAGGAGAGCGCGAAGGAGATCGAGAAATAGACCGGTCACGATCACGGCGAGGTGGAGGCGATGCTGATGCTGATGAGTGCCGTCTTGCGTTCTTAGCAGCCGGTTCCCGACGAGGGGGCGATGCCGATCGAGAAAGTGACCTCGAGTAGCTACGGCCTCGCCGGCTAGCCGTGGCCGGCCCTCGGCGTGGAGGGGAGGCTGATCGAGAGACTGAACGGCGGACCGGGCTGCGGCTAGGGCTGCGCGAGTAGGAGCGGGCCCGGCTGCGTCGATCTGGAGTACGCGATACAGTCCGAGATCGGGATCTGGACCGACTGTTTGACGCATCTCGTGGGCCGCGGCGGACAGGAGAGCGCGAGCGTGAGCGGGAGAGCGATGGTGTGTAACTTCGGCCTCGTGAATCAGGAGGGATGGAGCAGGAGTAGGACCGGCCACGGTCCCTTGAGGGAGAACGAGAATAGGTGTAGGAGCGGGAGCGGGAACGAGAGTAGGAACGAGATCTTGAGCGAGAGGAGCGAGTATAGGATGAAGACCGCGAGTATGACCGGTCTGATGGTGAGCGGGAAGTGCGTGCAGGCAGGGCGGGCACGGTAGGACGAGGAGCATTCTTGAGATGCTCGCGCATGTCTTCTGTCAACACACCCATACCAATACTGGTGAAGTAGTTGATCGAGAAGCGAGTGTGGCGCGGGTTCTCGAGTGGGAACAGACCCTCGAAGCTGGGCCGTAGGATCTCGTCTCTGAAACGGGTTTGCAGGCCGGGCAGGCCAAGATTCTCTGCGAGGTCCTGGAAGAGGATTTTGATGAAGATACGGCTACTGGAGGTCGTCTCCTCCTCATTCATATGGATCACAGACAGAACGTGCCAGCCAATGGCGTCGTTGCTGAGCATATGTCCAAAGAACCGTGCAATGTTCCGCAGGCGGTTCGTCTCATAGCGGTGGATAGTGTCGTAGTATTTGGCGAACGCGGCCTCAAACAGGTCAGACCAGAGCCGGTTAATCTTGGCAAACCGCTCTCCAATCAAACCATAAAACTTGGAGTAAGTGCGTTCCTGAGAGCAACACTCGATGATCATGGAAGGCAGTTCAGGCTCCATACCGGCCGGAAGGTTGATCTTCATCAGCTTGTGACAGCATTCTTCAAAGTCGATACTCGACATGATCGTCAAGTAGATCGTCCGACGAAGGTTGACCAGGTCTGTATTGGTCTGATCCTTAATATCCATCTTCTGTTCCTCGGCGTCCGGTTCATCTTCGGAACTCTCGTCCTCGTCATCATCGTCTTCATCCTCATCGCTGTCCTCGCCAAGAATCTCGGCCTTTAACTTCTTATATTTCTCCTCATTCTGTTCCCATTCTGGATCGAACTTGAAAATGTTCAGAGTGTCCATGGTTTCGACCTCATCATCCAACCCAATTTGATGTGTGATTTGATCCTCTTCCTCCACCAGATCAAGCTCCTCCTTGATTGCTTGGTTATCCTTATACCGGTCCTTGCGCACTTGGAACAGGACTTCAATCATGTACTGCACACGCTTATCGATATCGGCTTCGTGGAGGATATTCCGGAACTGGTCGAAAACGGCATTCGCGATTTGAGGGTTCATTTCCTCCAAGTGCTGTCCGACTTCCCGGGTGAGACCGACTGCGATTTCCACACTGTCGTCGGTGGGCTTGTGGAGCAGCAAAAGCAGGATCTGCGCGACAAGCATCTCGTTGGCGACTTGATGGTTGACAAGGTGTGCAATAAAAGTCGTAGACGAGATGCAAACAGCTTTGTCATTTCGTTTGAATGCCTTGCGGAATTGAATGATCAACCGAGAGACCAGCAGCTCTCCAACCTGGGGTAATTTCGTGTTCACAATGGCGGTCATCGCCGCGTAGATTGCCGTAAAAGGCAAACTGGCAGCTTGCGCCTTCATGATGGATCGACAGAACAAGCCACGGCCCCGGACCAAGTTCTCGGCAAAAAGCTCTGGCACGATATACTTGATGTTGGAAACGTTGACCTTGTTGATCAGACCGTTGATCGACTTCTTCAACGCCTCCCAGGCCATGCGCTGGTACTCCTTACTCGTCTTATCCGTGATTTGCGCCTGCAACGCGCGCAGTCGAGCGGGAGGAATGTATGTGCCACCAGACCGCATGTTCAAAAGCTTCTCGTACTCAGCTTTGGCCGCTGCCTGTTTCTCCTCTTCGGTCATGGGCTTGCGAGCAGCTTCCTGCTTCTCGTGCTCGCGTACACTCTCGGCGAGCTGGCGTTCCCGCTGAATTGCGCGTTGCTCATCCATACGAGGGACATCAGCATCATCTCGGTGCGAATCGCCAGGGGGGAGCGACGACGATTCGGCGAGGGCGATCGAGAAGGAGGCGAGCGCTTTCGAGCACCTGCGGTGGGTGAGAATGCCCCGGGGGTGGAGTGGGCACTCGCACCGCAGATTGTAGAACAACCGGGTCTGACATTGTGGAATCTCAGAGGCACCGGAAGGCCAAGTGAGAGGGGATGGTGGTGTGGTGAGGAGGAAACACCGGAGGCGCGGTGGTGAGGTTCTCCAACGTGACGGAGCCGCGAAAGAAAGCTCTGGTGAAGGTCACGTGATCAATAAAAGAAGGCTGGCTACAGTGGAAAGTAGAGAGGCATGGCATATTACCGGTAGAATATTAATCTGATCGTCCTGAATTGTACAATGTACTTTAATTTAGCACTAGTCTGATTACTCACTTTATATGCTCCTTCCTATATTCTTAGTCCACTTAAAATGTTACTCCCTGATCGTTGAACAAGTACAGTACAGTAGTGTACACTCTCTGGCCTCATTTGCCAATATCCGTACAGCGCTGCATAATTGAAATCTTCGAATATTTAACAGTATCTAACAAGGTTCTTACTATGAGCCATAAAGAGGTAAGATTGATCTAGTAAATAAGATACTAGTGGGTCAAAAATGCACGATTGATTTTATCTGCAGATATTTAGCCAGAGAGTATAACAATATGTACTCCTACTGTACTCGTGGAGTGGAGGCGGCAGATGAAAGCGGTGTCGCCAGTGTCAAGTGTCCACTATTCGAGATCAATAAACGGGACGAGCTCCTGACCGCAGCACCGTTGGCCTTTCCACGACCAGGGCTTTCTTCTGACTCCCCCCTCCTTTCAGTGCGTTTGATCGCGACCGCTCCTTAACAGAATGGTATGATCTGCTCCTGTTTACTTGAACCATTCTGTCCTGAACTGACCATGTTGCCATTAGCTGGGTCAACTCGTGGGTTCCGCCATGCTCTTGGCCGCAACCGCTATCTTTCTTTACTACACCGCGTGGACGTTGTTGATGGTATGTTGTTTACATCTCCGATGGCTTTGCAATGGTTCTCTTTCTAACACATGTCCTTTGTTTAGCCCTTCGTCGACCCCGGCCATCCTCTCCACGACCTCTTCCCTCCCCGTGTCTGGGCCATTCGCATCCCCGTTATCCTGACTCTCCTCGGCTCGGCCGTGGTGGGCACCTTCATAGGCATTGTGATGATCAACAGCAACAAGAAGAAGGCCGCCAAGGCCAAGGCTGCTGCAAAGAAGAAGACCTGAAGAGGTTGTGATGGGATCAAAAAGGGGGGGGCTCCAAAGGATAATGACTGCGATCGCATGCCATGGCCTCTGAAGGAGGAGGCCCTGTACCACCACCTCTTCTGTATACCCGGTCCTTTTTGCCTAATTCACAGGCAAATGGCCGACTAGCTTTTTTTCTTACTAGAAATGCAAAAGAATGTTGCTCCAGGATGTTCCCCGCGCAATGAGCGCTTTATGACGGAGCTACGAACAGGCCCGAGGTCTGGCGTTTGCAGCAGCCCAGTATGGCGGGCTCTGCGACCTTGGAATGCGCGTATCGGAGGAAGCAGCATAGCCTCCCTCAGCCCATGACGGAGCTGATTCGCGGCATTACTCCTTGTTTCTCTTCAGTTACTTAGATCGGACGCCGATTGCACGATGATAGGCTGAATGCTCGTCACGTTCTTGCAGGTACCCCGTGACCCCTCGACCATCAAACTCCCCCCACCGGTGATCCACGGAGATCCCAAGCGGACTACCGATTTTAGATCGAAGGGCTCAAAGGCAGGATGATGACCCTAAACGGATGCGCGCAGACGTTCCACGGTCGGCGGGTGGCCATCTTGTCGAGCTTAGATAATCCCTTTGTGTGTGGACGTCGTGTGGCGTGGCAGGGAACGTTAGAACTGGGACGGAAACTGGAAGTGATATCCAGATTGAGAATGACGAGAGCAGGTGGGTGATGATGCAAGTCCCCTGGAGATCTCGTGGAGGGTTCATCAGCTCCGAGTGAGCACCATCTGGACAGTCCCTAAATAGTCCGAAAGAGTAGTCTTGGAGGCCATTTGATTACTGTAGCTTGGGGGCGGGATGTGACCAGCGGGGGAATGATGGGGTCAGCCAGGCAGAGTCGTGACAATAACAAGATGTAAATTACAGTAATAAGAAGAACAACAAGAATGGGGGGTCTAGTCTTCTGCCCGGTTTATGTCCAGCTGTTGAACAGCCGTAGTTAGCGCAAGCCCCCATCCCCCGGTAGTTTCGCTGTGCCTCGCTGCGTTCGGGACCTCTGACTCAGGTACCACGTTCCCGACTTCCCCCCCCTCTTCTTATCGTGCTCCCTTCTCTCCCTCTCTTTCTCTCTCTTCGGCTTCACTTGCTACTTGACCTCGGGTCGACCCATCTCCAAAGCTATTATACTCTTTTATTCTACGCACTTGCTGGATCTGTCCATCCAGTTGGTGCTGTCGCCTATCGGCCTTATCAAAGCTTCCCCGCGTATCGAGAGCGTCTCCGCTCCAGATACGCCAGCATCCCAGCAACCCCTCAAAACAACGAACAACCCACGATCAAACTCACCCGACCTTGTATAGGTATGTTGAACTGAGCGCTATGTCTATTTCTATTCAACTCCCTTCGATTATTCCATAAATGAGCAAACAACTAATGGAGCACCTCACGGCAGACCCGACCCCTCCTCGTGTACTTCAGCTAGTTACCCCCACCTTCGTGATCCGCAGACGGTGTCAACCCCTCCGTTCTCAGACCTTACCACAGGTCCTGAGGGCGGTCATCCCGTGCTCTCGAGAACTTTCCTCTGTGCCTCTTCTTCTGAGGCAACCGACTGGTTGAATGCCCCCGGCAGCCCCTGACGATCTGATCCGCCAGCACAGTCGGTCTTTAGAAGACGATCACTCCGTAGCGCCCACCCTGTCAGCCGGAACCAACGCCATTCAGGAGCATGAGCCAAGTGGGAAAAGCAAGAAGAAGAAGAGTGGTAAAAAGGCCAAGGGGGCCAAGGCAGCGACCGAAGCCCCCCCAGAGGATTTGTAGGGCTTCATCCTTCGTTTCTCCCCACGAACTCATCCATGACTGACACGCGGCATAGAATCCCTACGGTCCCTGTCCCCGAGGAGCCTGCATCCTATCCTGATGCTGAACCTGAGCCTGTACTTGTGCCTGAAGATGAGCCTCCGCTGGATCATCATGTTCCCCTGACTGTAACTTCGCCCGTCCTTGATGCTCTTGAATCAATCGTGGAAACGGTGGACAACGACCTCGCCACTCGGACAGATAGCTGGGCACAGGCGGTCCCCTATGGCAAGAGTCCACCCACGGATCTGATGGATGGAGAGCTTCCTAATGAGTCTCCACTCAATTTTCCAACCATTCAAGAACGGGGTGGCTTCAGCCAACCCTCTTCAGCATCACCGCCGGTTCGGATTCGACCATTTAGTTATGGCAGTGGGTATCGGAGCAATATGCAGTCGCGCCAGCAGTCGGTCGATCGACGAAAGAGTCATTCCTATGGAAGTCCGATGAGCAATTTGGCTCCGCCTCCGCATCTACCCCAGGCCCATTTCTATGGCGCCCCGGATATCGACCTTCCGACCCAGAACCGTCCTGGCGATGGGGCCTACTCCTTCTGCAGTTTCGACACCCTGCCGAACATGTCGGCCAAGATGACACGAACGGGGATGAATGTACTCGTGGTTGGCACTGACGGTGCTGTCGAGGTTCTCGCCGTGGAAGATCGTCGAACTCGAATGGTGGGGCAGATCAGTGGGTTGAATGGTCGGGTTCTTGACGTGAAGATCTTGTCAGGACATCAACCTACTGATGGGGCTTCTTCGACACAGCCACACGTTGCTATCGTCTTGCATGGGCCACTTCCACTTAGCGAAGATGAAGGTCGGGTGTCTGCCGCTGCCTCGGATGTGAATGAGGTTCCCGCATCTGTGACGCGAGGCTATCCGGGCGACAGGCGATCTGTGAGAGGAGAGGCTTTGTTCTACCAGACAAGGGTAGAGGTGTATTCTCTCCGATCTGGCGAGCATGTAGCAACCCTGTTTACCAGCAAGCCAGTGCCGTCGCCAGAGAATATTCCGGGCCTTCCATCCTTCGCACCTCCGCCGGTGGGTAGTCTGAGACTTTTCCACAGCGGGAATCATGTGATTGTTGCTTCTGGAATCAGTGGAGAGGTATATACCTTCAATTATACCTCGTCGGGTGCCTATCAGTGTCTGGGGAAGACCTGGACCAACATTCAGCTTGGAGAAACTCGGCGATACTCTACTTCGTCGAGTTCCACCGATGCTGACGGATCTCACCATGACACCCCTCGAACTTTTGTCACGGAGCGACCAGTCTTGGCCGTTCAAGGAAGATGGTTAGCGATCGTGCCACCCACTTCTCACAGAACCTCTATCCAAGGAACCGTCCCGGCGCATTTAATGCATCCCAGAGCTCAAGGAATGGAGACTCGCAGTCCGCCAACTGTGCCGTCTCTGAACTGCGCCACGGATGCAGGCGAAGGAGAGAGTTTGCTGGACAAGGTTGCCAGAGGTGTTACGCAGGAGCTAGTCAAAGGTGCCCGCTGGATGGGTGACCAAGGGCTTCAAGCGTGGAACAACTACTGGAACAATGGGCAATCTTCTGCCCCAAGCACTCCCCCTCTGCGGCCCATCCGGACTCCAGATTCCCCGGGGCAGGGGTATGGACTGTTCCCACCGACACATGCTCAAGATACACAAGTAACGTCGTCTCCGGAGCCGGATGCGGTCTCGATCATCGATCTCAAACGATTCGATGATGGTCTGGATGCAAAAACAGTGTCTCTCAATCCCGTGGCAACATTCCAGGTTCCCAACGGTTGTAGCTTCCTATCTCTCTCTCCTAATGGGTTGATGCTCTTCACTGCCAGCAAGAAGGGAGATGTGCAATATGTCTGGGACTTGATGCAGCTTAAACACTGCCGTGCCATGGCGTTCATGACTGACGACCAAGGTGGCCACAGCCCCAATGTCCGCCAGATTGCCAGATACGCGCGATTGACCACGTCGAGCATCGTGGATGTGATCTGGACGGCCCCGGTTGGTGATCGGCTGGCCATAATCACGCGAAAGGGAACTGTGCATGTCTTCGACTTGCCGCGAAGTGCATTTCAGTGGCCTCCTTTCCGTCGAGCTCGTCCATCCGCCAAGAAGTCGCCAACTGTTGCCCCTGTAGGCGATGAGTTGTCGGGTCCAGCAGCCGCTGGAAACCCACTCTCTGCGGCTATGACTTTTGTCGGCGGCAAGACACAGCCATTCCTTTCTGCGGTCCGAGGTCGTGTTCAATCTACTGGCAGCGGGTTTCCTCATGTAAGTGGATTCGCTCTGCCCACTGCGGCTAGCATCAAAGGTGGAAAGGTTGTCGCTGCAGGACTTAGCAAATCCATGGGAGCGGCAGCCACTGGCACTGTACAGACCCTCCGACATGTCGGCGAAAACCGACTCCACCTGTCTGGGCTTGCTCGGGATCCCGCTCCGGCTCGAGTGATTTGGATCCTCAATAAGGGACATATTTTCATGGGCGTGGTGGATGATGGACAGTTCAAACTGTATCGTCTAACGCGAAGCACATCCACCAACAAGAATCGTCAGTCATACTCTGTTATTGGCAGCAAAGACGTCCAGTTCAAGCTGCCTACCAACATGCAGAACATCTGTGGGCCGGCGCCTCTTGTGCCTTATGATCCCGAAAAGGTCGTTCAGGCATCTCTACTCTTGCCCTCTGCCAGCTCTCAGCCTAGCAATGCAGGAAAGACGTTTTGCCAGCCTCTTTCTCAGGCTGAGATTGAGACCAACACACCCTATCAACCTTTCCACACTGATCAGCGTGTGAGCCTTCATGTCTATCCCACTGACAGCAAAGCACACGTGCCTAGCGTTCAGTGGGTCTTTGGTGATGATATCCCGACCACCAAGGTGCATGTGCGGTCGTACAACACCAGCGGTGATGATCAGGAGGGTGAGGCTGATGAGGACGGTGCCATCCACGGCGACTCCTTCGGCGCGGGTGGAGAGATGGAGAATCTCATCACTCTTGGTAACAGCACTGGTGATGTCGAGGAAGTGGTGATCACCACTCGCCGAAAGAAGAAACACTCCTCTCCCCTCAAGGCCGATGATGGGTTTTTCGAGGATGACTGCGAGGTTTTGGACTTTGCACGGGATCGAGTTTGAATTGAATCCGTTCTGATTTCGTTCCCTACGTGAGAACAGATTCTTGTTTTGCTCTCCCCCCTCTCTCTTTCTTGATCGATTTAGTGATTTAGATTTTGTGCTCGCGCGGCGTTGGAGAATTGCAGCCGGAGTTTGTTCATTTTCCCTTTCTTGACGCTTCCTTGATGGAACAATACCTATGAATTTGCATCACATACATGCTGGCTCGTCTCAGTTTTCTGCGTTTCGAGTTCGGTTTGCTCTGTTATCATCGTTTTGGTTTCGTTTCGTTTTGTTTACTTCTTTTTTTCTGGCACTTTGCTCACAGAAACCCAAATACCCAAACCATGTACTGATTGTTTTCTTGGCATTTTCTATAGACTGGAGGATATCTCTTGCCGTTTCTGTTTTTCTTTTCCTGCCTTTGTCTCTCGAGATGACAGTCTCTACAGAGGACTTTCTTTTTTCCTTTGGCGTTGGGATCTTGATCAGAATGATCTTCTTCTCCTTTTCTGTCCTTTTGATGCTTTCCTGCACATCGAGCTCTTGGCACTCGCTGGAAGCCCAGAACGGCTATACTGAACATGAATCCATGCAAAACCAGTGGGGCTATAACACCCCATGGTAATCAATATGGAAAGCACTCTTTCACGCAAAAAAAACTCTATAATCTAAAGATTATCTACTATCCTATCAAAAAAACATTAACATCAATAACCTTTCGGTTTATTTTGGTACACTTTCTACTATTTACTGCACCTCAATAGGCCCTAATAATTAATCTCCTAATCCATGAATTAATTAAATTATTTACTCTTAGGAACCCTTATCTACTAGTTCTACGGTCTCCCGGACAGGTATAGAGGGAGTACTAGTCTTAGAGTAATTAAATGAATCACTAGGAGACCGCGAGTCTTACTCTGGGTAAGGGTCTACTAGGAAAAGGCTTTTCTGGATATAAGGGCGAAGCATAAGTTCTCTCTATATTGAGCTCGCGTATCGGAACGCATTTTTGACTAACCACGATCTCCCCGGGGTTAAGCAGCCCCTAAAGGAGACTGCTCCTGGGAGCCCGCTGGATACTCCTGGGAGCCTATCAGACTCGACGCCATTTTGTGGATGTCTGCAAGCTATCTTCACTAATTTGCTTATTATATTCATTTTTGACTGCTAGGAACTCTAAACCGTAAGTATTACCTTGTACCCGAATAGATCAAAATTGATGACCAGAATTCACATAAATTGACTGTCGAATTGACACCTGAGTTAACCACCTAAACCGACCACTCTAATTCTAATGGTGAGTTCTAGTGATCGATTAAAGCAGCGAATTCAGTTTTTGGCCAATTTAGGTGAATTCGGAGGTTCCTTTCTTAGCTCGCAGCGGTAACTATACTTGGACAGGTTTAGACGCTGATGGTACTTTTGTGTCATAGCTGGTGAAATGATACATGGTGGGATAGCTGTGGAAATCATCAAATATAGATGTCTGGAGGGACTTAAGTGGCTCAATGTCATTCGAGTCCGTACGATTCAATAACTTGGACGTATGTAGATTGATAGTTGCGTTCAAAATTAAGAAGTGAAATTATAGGAAACAAGGAAAAGGTTATGGTATAAAATTGGATTTATCGTTATGATGAGCACTAGATCCCTTTAAGTATGAGTGAAGAAACTTTAATGATCTTTCTACCCTTTTATTGAGAGCTACACGACTATAGGAGCATATAGACTAGCTCTGTACCCTGTAGAGTAACACAGCTTTGATGAAATCTTGACTGTTTCATAACTCTAAAATTCTGAATTCTTAATAGTTTTAAAGCCTGTTCCGTCTGCACTGGCGACATTCGAAGATAGATTAAGGTAGGTATGTGGACCGCGTATGCACTTCTATCTATCGTGGCTACACTTATGGTTGTTTCGGAGCTCGTGAATTTTCCCTACGAGCAGAATATCTCTTGACGGAGGAGTATAAGTGAGATGTTTCTAATACTGAATCTGTAGCTTCTGACGGTGTTTATGATTCTTTATCCGACGACTCGAACCCCTCCTAGATTTCTTCTCTAGACCTATTAATCTCCGGTAGAAGCTGACCTTCCGGGTAAGGGTTATTAATAGCTAACGGAGGAGCGGCCGTAAGGGGAGGGTTTGGCTCTCGATTAATTTTTTATATGCACGCGTAAGGAGACGACGCTTATTCTATTGTTCGTATGAATAACTTTTCTACACACAACCTATAGTTATAACAAACTAAGCACCATAGTGCCAGCTATCACGACCTATGTTTAGACAATCACAAGCAGAAGGGGAAAGAAAAGGGCCTACGAACGTTATGTGTTTACAACCATGATCCAGTTCTACCATTCGCCAGCAGGAAAAGAAGCGTTGCCATCCATTCTCCCGCGCTGTTTCTAGAAGTAGCTGCAAGAAAGTATCGTTTGGACAATTCCCTGTATGCGCCCGTCCTTTGCAGCTCGTACGCGTTGTGTGCCCGCAATCGGAATACGGCGCTATCTCACCCTCGATATTTAACGTTTCGATGAGTGAATTCGAAGGGCCTGGCTAGATGCTCGGCGTTCGTTAGTCATCAAGCGAATAGGATGTCTGCGTATAACTATAATACAAAGCTATAACTATGACGTATGCTCAGAAGTTTGAGCTGTCCCGTATACGCTGCTTGCATCATATATGGTACTGTACGGAGTATCTCCGTACATTATGCAATGTGAAACTACCTTAAATACCCACCTTCGCTGGTCTGATCAGATGACTCAGGAGATCACTTCATTGGTTCAATTTAAGGATCATATGATGTACATGCTAAGGTTTTGATGTTGACGTCATGACCTTGTTGCGGAAGTTGAATTCACATTATTTATTTCAACTTTGCCCTTCCAACCCGTTTGGAAGTTCGCATATATGACAAGAAGAATTGTTATTTCTCTCCAAAGACAGCTGCCTTTACCGCGATTAACATAATCAAAATTCTCCAAAATCATCCTGATGGCGGCTCCACGGATTGAGCACTATACAACAGACGTTCACGCCCACTGGGAAGGCGGTCTTGCTAAAGATTGGTCCGAGGTTGATCTACTCGGATATGAGACTGCCACAGATCGGATGTTCCGGGAGTTGTGTGAAAATCCCGACGCTGCTCTTGTCCAAGTTGGCCATAGATCAAAACTGATCAATGATCACGGCCATGACTATCGGTTTAATGGAAAATTCACAAGTGACCAGAGTCAACCAGAGCACAGTCACCATGAATACAACCACTTTGGGAAGTTGATGAAATGGGAAGGGGATCGTTGGTATAAATATGACTTTGAAGTGGAAGTGACTGATCACATCAGGCCTTAATGACCGAGGCAATATGGTTCAGGTGACGAAGGCTATACGTGAAACAGAAGCAATTTATGGGGCAGTATTTTATGGCCACAGCATTGTATTTACTATGCGCAATCTCAGGGAATTTCTGGGGTCAAAATCAAGAATCTTTCAACAAACAATATATACGCAGATTACAGCAATAAGTTTTCTTTATCTTTCTGTCCTTTATAAGAACAAACCTTTACGGACAGTTTCGTTCATCAGGCTGATCTAATTTTGTGCCATTATATTCCTGTAATGATTTTTGAGAGTGGATATATGCATTTTTCAGAATTAGAGCGACATTGGATGATTTTGCTGGTAAATCTAGGTATGCATTTTTAGGCTTGATTTCGCATCAAAGAGTATTTTTAAATGGATATCATTGTTAGCAAAACATCTACTCCTTCATCTTGCAACCAACGCTTATTCGAGACAAAAAGCGGAGACATTAGCATGATAGGATTTAGAGTTACGTGCCAATCGAGATGAGAACAGATGTCTGCATTCGGTGGTAACTGACAAAGATATCAAGTCTAGGGAAAGAAAGAAGAAGAAGATACAGGGTGCAAGGTAGGCCCTTTTAATATCCCTCCTGACTCAGGCACCCGCCAAGCACACTTTCCCATTCGGCAGCGTACAAGGCGTCCAAAGCAAACACCATACTCGCCAGTTGCCATCAACGGCCTCTTTTGAAGCCGGCCATCCGATCATCGACGGTCGACACACAGTACGGTTTTTTTTTGGAGAGGAGAACGAGAGTGGAAGGTCGAGTACCTCAAAAAACAGGGGCAGGGTGAAAAATGAGGTCCATCAAAAGTAGGTCGCAAGATATATATTACGTATAGTGTCCAGGGTATATACATATTCTAAACACCCCCAGTAGCACCCTCCATCTCCTCCTCCCACCACCCCCGAAAAACCCTCAACCTCTCCGTCCGCACCCTCGCCATCCCCCTCCCACTCTCCGTCTTCATCATCCCCTCAAGCCTCTCCAACTTCTCCACAAAATGCTCAATAGAATTTCCCATCTCCCACCCACCCTCCCCAGCAAACTTCTTCCCCTGTGCACCTAGAAACGTAAACGTCCGCCCAATCCCAATCGCCCCGATGGCATCTAGTCGATCCGCGTCTTGCACGATCGCCAGCTCGGGATACCCGTCTTGCTCGATGAGACGCCGTATCAGGGCGGGGTCTTTGCATTCAGTTGTGTATGAGACGTGCGAGACGACGGTTTGCACTTTTACGGCTAGGTCGGGCGGGGCGCCGTTGTTGAGTAGGGCTATTTGGACCATTGTTTTGGGGTTGATGTCTGCGGTCTCGCTGGTTGTCGAGGACAGGGTGGGGAGGTACTTTCTGTCGCCGATGTCGTGGAGGAGAGCGGCGAGTTTGACGACGGCTGCGTCGAGGGGTTTTTGGGGATGGGCTTTTTGCTCGGCGTTCAGGATGGTGTTTGCTAGGGTGGCGACGCGGTGGACGTGCGCTGGGTTGTGGGAGGGGTCGTGGCCGGACATGCAGGTGTTTACGAAGGTGGCCATGGCCGTGTAGAGGGTTTGGAATTGGTCGCTGGTGACGTCCATTGTTGCGGGCCTTGAATGGGTGTAGAGCTTTGGTTGTTTGTTGGCGCTGGATGGAAGGGAAGAGTAAAGACGAGAGTATATTGGATGGGAGAGTTGCTTGTAAGCGAGGTTTTTGCTGGGATATACTCGAGCGTGGGGGTGAGCAGGTATGACTTTGAGGAGAGAGAGATATTTGTGTTGACTGTACGATCAGCAGAAACTTTCTTCCCCCGCAGTAAACAACGCGTCGGTTGGCGGTGAACCTTGAGGATGATCCATATAGAGCCACCAAGTAAAATATATCTACGGTAAGCATCAAGGCTTTGGAAGCTGCGCTCGCGACCATGAGTTATGATGATGGATACATTAAATCTGTAGATATAGTATGACTCTTGCTTACTGTTCATTCTCCCCTGCATCGCATATCCCCCGGCCAGTGCATATCCAAATTGCCTAGAGAACGTACTACCTTCTGCACGATCTCTATGCGGGGAAGCAGTGGGGCGTGATCAGCGGAATGCAACAATCGCAGACTCGATTCGATCCACGCGTCGGCTCTTCCTTCTTTCGCTCGGGATGCCGAGGAATGTTAGGACTACAATTTCCCAAATGAAAATGAGGGAATTACAAGTACGAAAAGGAGGATCCAAAAAAAGAGCGCGAAGTTGACAATGATGGGTGATGAGGATCATCCCCTGGTTATTATTCGTATGTCATTCACAAAAGGCCCTAATCCAGAACCCAGAACTAAGTATTGTCGATACTATCACACAAGTGAAAAAAAATGCAGTAGAGCTCGTGCCGGCCACGGGGCAATTGGATCGAGATTCTTCCCGAAAACATGTTGCCTCGTAGCCCGAGACGGATCAACGAGTGATTGGTCCCTTGGTTTCTCCATGGTTGCGCGCTTACAGAGCAAAGGCAGCCAGGACCAGGCCGAAGAGGCCAGCGCCAGAGGCACCCAGCTTGATGTTGGCGGCCGCACCGGTGGACTGGACAGCGCCGGAGGAGGTGCCGGTGGCGGAGCCGCTGGTGCCGCTAGCGCCGTTGTTGGCTATAGAGAAAAGACACATAGTGAGTGGAGGGATCTGGGGATTCAGCTTGGATAGGGTGATGCTTACAGCTGGAGCTGGCCGAGCCAGTCTCGGAGGCTGAGCTGCCCGAGGCAGTGGTGCGCGAGGAGCCAGACGCGGCAGTGTTGGTGGCAGCGTCAGCGACGCCAGTGGCAGGGAAGAAGTGCGAGCTGTAGCAATTTTGTTCACAGTCGGCGTACTTCTGGGTGTCGGCGGGCGAGCCAGTACCCTGGGGGCAAGCAGCGACACAGCTGTTGGTGTCGTTGGCCTGGTTGTCGCTGGGGCAGGGGACCTTGTAGCACTTAGCAATGCAGCAGACATCAGTGGATTCGCCTATAGTGAAGACGCGTCAGTACTCCGAATGGAGGTGGTCATGATGGAATTGAGGCTGTATTCGGTGGGAAGTGGGCACTTACACTTCTGGGCGCACTGAGCCTCAGCGCTCAAGGTGGTGGCCGGGGCCGCCGTGGAGGTGGTGGAGTCTGCGGCGGCAGCCAGGGCCAGCAGGGTGGAGAGTGCGATCAGGTTGAACTTCATTTTGAGTGGAAGGAGGTTGATTGAGGAAGAGAGAGTGGGATAGCGAAGTAGTGACTGGAGTCTAACGAGTGACGTGAACAGCGAAAGCAGAGAGAGAGAGGTGTGGAGGAGGAAAAGAACGAAAGAGGAGAGCAGGAAGACCAGTTAAATACAGGCACACGCAAAGACCCAAGGAAGAAATCAAAATGACGGGGGGATTGAGCAGGGGCATTGACATGTTGGACGACTCACCCTCAAACGATCCAGTTCTCGTCCAAGTTCCGACTCCAACCCAAGGAGTGGCGCTAGCTCCCATTCGTCCTGTCTCAGATTGACTCTGTGAGAGTATCCAGACTTTTCTACCACTTTCTGGTTCAAGTCGGTCCTAAAGTTCCCTCAATTGGGCCTTGCAAAGCAGTGGCTGTAGCCTGCAGGATGCTTTCATACCTTGCTTCCGCGAGAAGGGTACCTACAACTCCCTTTCTGTCCTACCCTTGGGGGCGTTGAAATAGACCATCCTTGATCCATTGGCGCCCCTTGACAAGGGTGCAGGGGTGGAGAGCACTAACAGACGCTAATCAATCCTGCCGTCGGACCCTGGCGCCCCCAGTGGATCTGTCAAATCTGGGGGTCCTGGACGCTCCGTCCGTGCCACCAGAGAGTGAGTGCCATTGTTGATCCTGCCTAATGGTTATGATATGTACTCCGTACATGTTCTTTTTTCTCGTTCTGATCTTTCGATTAGTGATTATTGATTTCTCCACATCCCCGGTACTAGCGTCCCCTCGGCAGTAAGGGACCCAGGTTTTTTTTGGGGGGGGGGGGGGGGGGGGGGGGAGGATAGCTTTTCGTATAGAGCCGATCGGGGCCGATCCTCGCCAGCAAGACATCCTGACCTTTTCGCCAGAGTACCTTCAGTCAAGTTAATCAAACCGTAAAATGTTGGATTGTTAGATTCCCAACTGGCAAGCAACCAAGCAATTCCAATTGCGCTCTTAGGTTAGCTGCAATGGCAATGGCATATTCGGTACTCGGTTACACGCGCGTCCGTTGTGCAGAGGCTGCACGAGTCCGGAGCTGGTCTTTCTCCATCTCGGAGCTCAGCCTTCACGTCCATTGATAGCGGGAAAGATACGATGATAAACTAGATTTGAGATACTCATGGAATACATTTGAGATATAGTACATATTATTTACAGCCACATCTCAATGGACTACTGTACTCCGTACTGTACTGCGGAACATTGCAGGAGACAAACCATGCAAACAACCTATTTGGGTCACATGACTGCGCGACACCCTCGACGCGTGGGGGTTTCCTCCGTAAAGTCAAGAAAGCGCTGCCCAGCGCTCGACTGGCGCCATGTCCGCAACCGAGTCCGAGTCGGACTATTTTGACGATGATTTTGTCGTACCAGACTCCCCTCATGGTAAGATCACGTCACCGCGTCCGGTTAAGCGGCGTCGTGTGCAATCGCCGACGCGTGGGAAGAACAATCATGATGCCGCGTCAGGGACGGACTCATTCTCCGATATAGATGAGGATTTCCCACGGAGGCGGGACTCATCGGCAGATGTCGACCAGCAAACACGATCCAAGTCCCGGAGCTTTGTACCCAGACGGAGCAACTTTCAAGAGAACATCTTTGTTACCCAACTCACCCAGCCCGACTCGAGCCCTGAACGAATCCGCGGCCCCAGGTGGCAGAAACCAGTAACCAAGTCGCCTTCGCCAGTGACCATGCCTCCCCAACAGGCCAGAGATACCAACAGATCGGTGGAACGGGCGGATGCCAACTATTATGATGAAGAGGAAGCACTCAGGGCGGCTTTGGCTGCCTCGCTGGATGCCTTCGAGGAGGAGAAGACCATGCGGCAAACAGTCAATCCAACTTTACGACAACACCGAAACCCTCAGTCTAATGGGGTAAGCGCCTCAGTGGACGCCTCGTTTGAGCTCGACGATATTCCCGATGACGCGTTCGATTCTTCCCCATCGTTGTCACCAGTATCACGACCAGCGCAACTCGCGGTCCCCCACTCAAGCTTTCAACGACCTCCAAACCGACCTCAATATATGCGACAAATGACGCTCTATGGCATGGCTGCACAAAATCAAAACCAGACCCCGCAAGAAAGAGATTGGGCACCGCCGGACAAAGACGAACGGCTGACCCATCACAAGTTGAACCAGGATTCATTGAATACATGGTGGTATCCCACCAATGTAGGAACCGTCCGAGATTATCAATTCAACATTACCCAAAAAGGCCTTTTCCACAACTTACTCGTTGCATTACCTACCGGTCTGGGAAAGACCTTCATCGCAGCAACAGTCATGCTCAACTGGTTCCGATGGACGAATGATGCGCAGATGGTCTTTGTGGCTCCTACCAAACCCTTGGTATCGCAGCAAGTGTCGGCATGCTTGGATATTGCTGGCATCCCACGATCGCAGACGACAATGCTCACGGGAGGTGCTGCGCCGGGCCTTCGTGCAAAAGAGTGGCAATCAAAACGCCTGTTCTTCATGACTCCGCAGACCCTGATCAATGACTTGAAGACCGGAATTGCAGACCCCAAGCGCATTGTACTGTTGGTCGTCGACGAGGCCCACCGCGCTACTGGAGGTTATGCTTACGTGGAAGTGGTCAAATTTCTCCGACGTTTCAATCAGAGTTTCCGTGTCCTAGCATTGACAGCCACTCCCGGATCTACAGTCGAATCAGTACAAGCAGTAATCGATGGACTGGACATCTCACGAGTCGAAATTCGTACAGAAAATTCCATTGACATCCGAGAATACGTCCATAGCCGTGATGTCGAAATTGAGATATTTGAGAACTCAGATGAGATGATCTTTTGCATGGATCTGTTATCCACCACACTGCGACCGCTCGTCAGCCAACTTCGAACTATGAATGCTTACTGGGGAAATGACCCCATGGGCCTAACGGCTTTCGGCCTCACCAAGGCGAGACAGCAGTGGATGGGCTCTGATGCAGGCCGTAACGCCAACTTTGGGCTGAAGGGCAAGGTCAATGCCATTTTTACCGTTCTGGCAAGTCTAGCACATGCCATCGACTTATTGAAATACCACGGAATTGTTCCGTTCTATCGCCACATATTGCATTTCAAGTCCAACACCGATGGCCAAAAGGGAGGAAAGTGGCAGAAGCAAGTTGTACAGGACGAGAGCTTCAAGAAGCTCCTCAGCCACCTTGAACCTTGGAGCAAGAACCCGGAGTTTATCGGACATCCCAAATTGGAGTATCTTAAATCTGTGATTTTGAATCATTTCATGGATGCAGGAGAGGGGAAGGAGAACGTGAACAGCAACGGCAGGCCTGCAACGAGAGTTATGATTTTTGTGCATTTCCGCGACAGCGCTGAAGAGGTTACGCGAGTGCTGCAGCGCTATGCTCCCATGATTCGACCGCATGTCTTCGTGGGACAAAGTTCAGCCAAGGGCTCGGAAGGAATGGACCAAAAGACCCAACTGTCGATCATCGAAAAGTTCAAAGGAGGGACCTATAACACCATCGTCGCCACGTCAATTGGCGAAGAAGGCCTGGATATCGGCGAGGTCGATCTCATCGTGTGCTACGATTCCTCCGCATCACCCATCCGCATGCTGCAACGAATGGGCCGAACTGGCCGCAAGAGAGCGGGTAGGATCACCTTGCTGCTGATGAAGGGCAAGGAGGAGGATAATTATACCAAAGCCAAAGACAACTACGAGAAGATGCAACAAATGATCGCCAGTGGGACTCGGTTCACCTTTCATGATGACCGGTCTGCTCGCATTCTGCCTCCGGGGATTCGTCCAGTCGCTGACAAGCGACACATCGAAATTCCACCGGAGAATTCCCAGCAAGAGCTTCCCGAGCCAAAGCGCAAAGGGAAGGTGCCTAAGCGACCGCCAAAGAAATTTCATATGCCTGATGATGTGGAGACGGGATTCACACGAGCTTCGACGCTGGAGGAGAGCTTCGCCAAGTCGGTGAAAAAGAAATCGACACCCAAGAAGCGCCCCCGCATACCCACGCCTGAGCCAGTGGATGTGCCGCTTTTGAAGGATGTTATGCTATCTGAAAGTGAGCAGCGCGAGCTAGAGCATCACTATCAGAACATCGGTGATACTTCACCACAATTCATCCGCTACCCACGAACCGATGCCTTTCCGCAATTACAACTCGTTCCCAGACCGACTAAGATGGTGTCACATGGCTCTCTGACCTGCCGAATGATCACGACCTTGCAAAAGATGGACAAATCAGGTCCTGACTGTGAAAATCGATACAAACAGGTCATAGCAAGAGAGACGGAGAAGGCCGCCAAATCTCGTCGATCGTCCTCTAATGGTACGGCGAAGCAGTCACGCCGACCAAAAATTGCCAAGACATCCGAGAGTTTTGAGCTCTCCAGATCTGCAGTTAGCGTGTCGGACGTTGAATATGATGAGATTTCTGCACTCATGTCGCCTAATATCTCTGAATCTGACCCCCCACCACAGCAACCGTCTTCGAAACCTGTCGAAAGTGACTTTGATGACGATTCTGACTTTGACCTTCCGGACGCAAGTGTCATCTTTCAGCCGAAATCAAAAGCCCAACCTCAGCCCCAATCGCAGCCACGAAGGATGAAGAGGACTATCTTTTCTGACAGTGAGGAGTGACGAACAACAACCTTTGGATTACCTGATTCCTGTCGAATATTGGCTGGCATTTTGACGTCCTCCAGTAACTTGAACATATGTACATAGAATAAACAAGTCATAAGTGGGGACAGCCCTTCAACTATCCCATGTTTCGAGCTGTAGTCGTCCTAGTCTTCTGGTTGATTTAGATGGCTGATCCTAGCGCCACGAGGACCCACCGAAACACCCACGCACCTCCAGCCGTCAACACCGCCGACTAGTGACCTCAACGAGTATACACAAGCACAACCCCCTCCCACACCATGGCTGACGCACAATTCGATAGCGCGCTGTAAGTATTTGCCATGTTTATCCTCTTCTGCTCTACCACCCTGCCTCGTTGACCATGAAATTCCCAACACCGGCACTGGAAGCCCCTGCCGCAACCCCGCCCCGACTACACCACAAGCCCGCAAGCTGACCATTCTCCTGCCAGCGACCTCCTTCGACGCCTAAACCCGCGCGATACCAAGGCGAATCTCCAAGCCATTACCACCATTGTCCCCGATCTGACCGAAGACCTCCTCTCCTCCGTCGACCAGCCCCTGGAGATTCGCCGCTGCCCGCAGACCAGCCGCGACTATCTACTCTGCGACTACAACCGCGACGGCGATAGCTACCGGTCACCATGGAGCAATGAGTTTGACCCTCCCTTGGAGGATGGAACAGTTCCCAGCGAGCGCGTGCGCAAGCTCGAGGTTGCGGCCAACGAGGCGTTTGATGTTTACCGGGAGCTTTACTACGAGGGCGGTGTTGGGAGCGTGTACTTCTGGGATTTGGATGATGGATTTGCGGGTGTGATTTTGCTTAAGAAGGGTATGACAAGATGACCTTTGCTCATATTCACAGCGTGATATGGGTGATATTTGGTCTGTGGCTGTCGCTGACTTGACTATTCTCTCCTCCAGGGGTGACCGCCGGTTCCCAGAGTTCCGGTGATTGGGACAGCATTCACGTCTTCGAGGCTACCGACCGCGCGCGCATGTCCCACTACAAGCTTACTAGCACTGTGATCCTGCATCTTGCCAATGGGACCGATGCCCTCGGTGAGATGGATCTGAGTGGTAACATGACCCGCCAGGTCGAAGCCGATTTGCCCGTTGAGTCGGACGCGAGCCACATTGCCAATGTGGGACGGCTTGTTGAGGATATGGAATTGAAGATGCGGAACTTGTTGCGTATGTGGTTTCTTCCGGAAGGATTTTGGAGATATTTTGCTAATGCGGACTGTTTCTTTAGAGGAGGTTTACTTCGGCAAGGCCAAGGATGTTGTTGGTGAGCTGCGGAGTAAGTTGCTATCCAGTCGTTTCTGAACGAGCTGCAATACTAACATGATATCTAGGCCTGGCACCGCTCTCGGAGACTAACCGGGATCGGGCGACGCAGCTCGAGATGATCAAGGGTATGCAGAAGTGATCTCTTTTTTGGATTTGTATGATGCCAGGCAGGTTAGAGTCAGGAGAGGCTCCGGGAGCCCGATTTAGACAACCTGTTATTGCGTTCTTTCTCTGCATAGCTTCGTTCTGTGAACAGTCGTGGATATCTAACCAGATACAATTGATATCAATAAATGCTGGATTCTCTAAGCCCTTTGCCTCCTGTAACCGGGGTATCATGTAAAAGAAAAATTCCAAAGCCATCTTCCTCCCGAGGAAATCCATAGTCCCTCTTAATCGACCTGCATCTTCTCGGACTCACCCGACTCTTGCTTCAGAGAGCCATTCAGTCCGTCCGGCGCATTATCCAGCAGCTCCACGAAACCCTTCGCAGCAGCCCACAGCTCAGCCTCCTTGTCCTTTCCAACAGTATCCTTCCGGCTATTCAGCCAGCTAACGTCTAGAGGGTTCGTAGCTCCAGAACCAGCACCCACGGCACCCACGGCACTGGCGCCAGCGCCAGCTGCATCTTTGGAGACCGAGTCTGTTGAAAAGAGGGAAGCTTCTTCAACGGCATAGAGTTGTCGACGTAGTCGGACATCGATGGAGGATAGAAGAGAGAAGTATTTTGCGGTAGCTTCTTTGAATTGGGCCTTGTGGGATTCGAGGGAGCCATTCGATGGCGTCTCCGAGTCTGGCTTGGTGTTGGTGAGAGCTTGGATGGCGAGACCGGCTGAGTGAAGCAATTTTGCTACATCCTGTACAGAGCATGCTGTTAGCTGGGTGAATTGGGACGAGGGATAGCTTCATATATCCCGTACCTGGTCGATGTCATTCAGTTGCCGGATGCGATCTGCAGAAGTGAAAGTTTGTACGGATGGAGCTTCTTCGCCCATCTTGTGAGTTGGTAGTGCGAAGAAAATCTTTCAGTGGATAGTATCTCAAAGATTCTTTTGTCACCCCCGTTTTTGCTTGTGATTCTGTATCAGTGAGGGTGTTGTAAACTGAAGATCGTAGGTCGAAGCTCGGACATGGGACGGCATCACGTGCCTAGGAATCCGGGGAGCTTATTCAGCCGCTAGCGCCGATAACAGCGATATCCAGCCGGATATCAAAATCATCCTGGTATTCCTCCTTCGACCACTTCGTCGCGCCCCTCGTTTATCATCGTCCATCTTGTACAATCATTGATATCATCACAAAGTGTATTCTGGAGTTTCCCACATCGGCCAATCACGATGTCCGCGCCAGGCGGCGCTCCCAGCCCTGCGCCGCGCGGCGGCAGCATGGGGCCTGGCGCAACTGGAGGCAATATGCCTATGTCGTCGCAGCAACCTATGTCTGGAACTCCTGTACATTCTGCACCTGCACCTGGCCCACCACCGCCACAGAGTGGTGCTATGTCACAGCAGAACCTGAATCAGATTGTAGGTGATGCTTTTCTTACTTTCCATACACTGTGTTCCCTATGGCTCCGGTTCCGAGGAGTGGCCATGCTCTTTGGATGGTCTTGTCTCCTGCTCTCCTGCGTTTTGGTTGCCTGCCGTCCCTGGAGCCTGGAGATCAGTTTCAGCTCGATTCATGTTTCCAGTCAGCGTCTACTGGTGCCTGGGAGTCGTTCTATCCGAGGTTGGAGGATTTGATATCCGGTCTATCATCAAGACCCTGAGCGGGGTTGCTTTCGTCTAAGGAATAGTCCCCGAGATTGCAAGTGCAAGTTGCCAGTCATCTGTTGTGACGGTGGAAAGCGTGTTCTCCTTCCTGGATAGGCAAGACCTCTCTCTCATCTGTCACTATCCTCTCTCCTCTCGTCTTCCACGGGACACATTCTTCTTCAGAGCAACCTTCGATCGTCACGTTCTACTCTTCTCATTTCTATCATCACTTCCGTGCGCTTTCTGGGACCAGATGGCTCCATCAAGAAATCGTCGCAAGCACCCGAGACGGGAAGAGAGCGATGAGGAGTATCTCCCCCCAAAACCAAGAGGCTTGAACCCGGCTGGAATCACGATCCGATCTGGAAATCAGAGCCTCCGACTCCCAAAGGAACCTCCGTCTCCCGTACCCAAAGGATATGGCCCCCCTACTCCAATTCCCGAGGCCCCACGGATGGCAGCTGGCAAGCAGGCCCCCGAGTCGCTGGTGCCTGCCCCTTCCCTGAGAACGAGCCCGGCTCCACGGCCTGCACGTGCCAAGACGCCTGTGCCTTCTTCTGCGGAGACTCCATCGCCCAGGACTTCGTCTGGAATGACTAAGTCTCCCATGAAACTTGTGTTCCCTAGAATGTCTGCTGCGTTGGAAAACACTGCTGTTCGGAATACCATGTCCGCAGGGATTACTGGCAAGACTGGGAAGACCGACCCAACTCCAGCCATTGATAGTCCTCGCAATTCCGAGACTGTTTCGCAATCTGCTTCGACACAACCTGTCCAGGAACCAGCACTCCCGGCTGAGGATGCCCCCAATCTTGAGACGCTGCTAGAGCAGGCCTCGGGACCGGACTGCGTCCGTTTCATTCATTGTTATATCAAACATTAAGGGCCACAAACTAATTTACCATTTTACCTACAGGTCATTGATTACCTAGCCAAGAAAGGCTACAGTCGTACCGAAGCCATGCTCCGCATGGAATCTGCGAATCAAGAGATTGATGGACGTCCGCTTCCTCCTCTCGGCGAAGATTCTCGTCCCAAGTTCAAAAAGGGATTTGGTAAGTACCTTTTTGGAGTATTTTCGGCTGGTGCGGGTGCTAAGCAAACATCATAGACCTGCTCAAGGGATGGGTCGAGGAGAATCTTGACCTCTACAAGGTAAGATGCCCTTTGCTGTTAGCCGATTGAAGATTTCTGACCATACCTTAGCCCGAGCTTCGTCGTGTACTGTGGCCACTGTTTGTGTATTCGTTCTTGAACATGGTTACGGCCTTTTATCCCCAAGATGCGAAACAATTCTTTGATGCCAACAAGAACATGTTCCTTCCCGAGCATACGGACGATGTCCGTAAACTCGAGCCCATCAGCCTGCCGGAACACGTGCAGGCAAATGACACTGCCAAGCTTTATAGAAGCAACAAGTACCGCATCGTTCTGAGCAACCCGGCCTACACCAATCTCCTTCAATACCTGGAAAGCAAAGAAAAGGAGGGTGGTTCCGTCATGAACGCGATTTTGAGCAGTTACTGCACCGTCAAGACTATGGACCGTGCTGCCGATGATCGATTCAGCTTCGCGGCTATGCTTGGCCAGATTGGGGCGGGACAAACATTCCCCTCCGAAGACGAGGGTATTCCCGGTCACCATCCCGGCTCGGCATACACCGGAGATAATCCAGCCATGGCTGGAACCCTGCCCAGACTTCGGCTCGGGAAGCTGCCAATGGAGCAAACCTTGGAAGAAGACGTGCGTGCGGAATTGGCAGAGGAAGATGCGAAGGAACCCCCTCCCCCTGGCCGTAACACACTCGTCCAAGAGTTTGATCAGATGATCAAGAAGGAAGACGAGGATGAGGCACCCACTCGTGCGGACATTCCTTTCCCTCCCTCCACTGCCCGTGACGTCGCAATCGAATGCATGAAGGTCCGGGAGAACAGGGATCGGTTCAAGATTGAAGGTCGCACTGGTGGAGTTGGTCCTGGAGTGAGCGTGTGCATGTTTACCTTCCACAACACCTTTGACAGGTAAAACTTGCACTTTTTACCTCTAACATTTAAGCTCTGCTGACAAGTTCTAGTATTAACTGCATGGATTTCTCCGATGACAACATGCTCGTCGCTGCAGGGTTCGCTCAGTCTTACATCCGGGTCTGGAGTCTTGACGGCAAGAACATCCAAGCCGCCTACCCAGATTTGGATGACCTTCCTCCGGCCAATTCTCGGCGCCTCATCGGCCATGCTGGTCCAATCTATGCTGTTGCGTTCCCACCATGTGCAACCAAGGCTGAAAATGTCTCGAGCGAAGACTATGTTCCTACCAATGCTCGCTTCTTGCTTTCGTCCTCCGGTGACAAGACCATCCGTCTGTGGTCTCTCGACACCTGGCAATGCCTCGTTGTCTACAAGGGCCATGATCGCCCGGTCTGGGACTTGCGGTGGGGGCCTTTTGGCCACTACTTTGTGTCTGGTGGCTCTGATCGCACGGCCCGACTGTGGCTCACTGATCACATCCGCCAACAGCGCATCTTCGCCGGACATGACCAAGATGTGGACTGTGTCTGCTTCCATCCCAATTCCGCCTATGTCTTCTCAGCCAGTTCCGACAAGACTGTACGGATGTGGGCTATCACGACAGGAAATGCGGTCCGTATGTTTACTGGACATACTGGCAACGTGACTGCCATGGAGTGCAGCCGTGATGGAAAGATCCTGGCATCTGCAGATGATGCTGGCTCTATATTCCTGTGGGATCTCGCATCAGGCCGGCTTTTGAAGCGCATGCGGGGTCATGGAAAGGGCGGTATCTGGTCCCTTAGCTGGAGCGTTGAGTCGACAGTCCTCGTCTCTGGCGGTGCCGATGGCACTGTTCGCATCTGGGATGTCAGCGGTCCTCAGGATGGCACCCAGGGACGCGTGATCGGTGAAGGCGGCGCTGGCACTAAGCTTGACGCCAGTAATGCTCCTGCTAGCACTGCAGCCTCGAACAAGAAAAAGAAAGGCAAGGATGTCGTTGTCACGCCTGACCAGATCAGCGCTTTCCCAACAAAGAAGAGTGCTGTCTACAAGGTCAAGTTCACCAATATGAACCTGGTTGTTGCTGGCGGTGCCTATCTTCCCTAGATGGGCGTGGGCGTATTCAGTCCCCCCGCACCCACACCCTCTTCACCTTGACCATTTCTCATCTTCGGCGCAAATACCCCGGTACCTTCAGATACCTTTTTCGTTAATTTTCTATTTGGTTCTGTAGTCTCCAGAACCTTTCTCGCCATCTTTCTCGTGGGTTCTGATGGCGTTCTTAATCTGGAATTCAATCTTCTCCGGTGTTATGGCATGCCGGTGGCGCGGAACTCTAGCCGTCAAGGCCTTTTGCTTTCCCGAAGAAAAATAGTCGCTCTTATTCTCAGCGACCGGTTGGTTCTCCTCTGCTTGGTACGTGAGTTTGACATTGCGGCTGTCGTTTGTGGTCCTCCCGTCTTTCTAGATGGGAGGACTCGCGGACTACTGCAAAGGCTACGAATGTGACTTCTACGGACCGATACCGAGGATGGAACCATAAGGTCAAAATATCTAGCGCTTTTCTTCTGATCAAAATTCACACACTGATAATAATTTCACATCCAACTCCATTTGTAGTCCTCTTGTATCGGATATCTCACACCATGATTGTATCCTCTACTTCTAGACCTTGGCATGCTCCTGAGAACTTGAACTCGCTCATGGCATTGTACGCTTTGGTTTACTTGGGATGGCCTTTCTCGAAGGCGCCAGCGCCTTTCTTCATCGCAGCAGCAGCTTGTAAATCACCGACCTTCGGTGGCAGCACCAATGCGCTACGATCATTCCGTCTGTAGAAATCAGCTAACACCTGTGCCGTCTTGCTCGGTTGGTCTTCCTGGATGAAATGGCCTGCCTCTGGAAACACCTGAAGCTGGTATTTGCCTATGCGCGGGCAATCATTAGTCCTTGTGTCAAGGTGGGCAAAGAAGGATTGTGCCAGTACCTTGCATTTGCCCAATCATCAGTTCTTTATCCAATCGATCCGTTCCCGCTAACAGCAACAGCTTGCCGCCCCGTGCATCAAGGAATTTGCGACTTAACCCTATAAACCAGTTCTCCCAGAAAGGTTTTGTGGCAGAGAGATTTGTCCGCCATGCCCAGGGACGTGAGCGGTCTGTCGGCTCTGTCTCCTCGTAGATGAGGGATGGGACGGAGACACGAGCTGAAGTGGTATTTCGGATTGTGCGAGAGCGAGTGCTATGGAGTATTTTAGCTGTATGCCACAGATAGAGCATGATATTTTAGGTGGGAGATACTTACTGCCATTCGATGCCTGATGTGAGTGAAGGGAATCGGGTTGGTCGAGTGGAGAGATAATTCTCCATACTTTGGAGGGCGTCCATGGCGGATCCTATCCGAGTTGTCAAGATCAATTACCGGCTTTTGAACTATAGTGGAAATTACCTTCAACAACATCTAGCACTGCATACGCCAGTAGCTTCGAGCCAAGTTCGCCCTTCTTGGCCACATCAGTAATGACTGCACCGCCAAGACTATGACCGACAAGCACAATATCCGGGAGTGTCTCCCAGCCCATTTTCGCCTGTGTCTCGCGAACTACAAAGACGAGGTCTCGGCTGAGAGTATCCAGGTTGAGGTCAAGTTCAATGTTCCCATCAGCCTCGGCCTGAGCAGCGGCCCCAGTGGAAGGACTGTCTTGGTCGAGAGACTTTGATTTGGGAGTCATAGTGGTACGGCCATGGCTTCTTGCGTCAAGGGACAAGACACCAGCTTTCGGAAGGAGTTTCCGGAGCTCTTCTGCACAGGTTGCGAATGAGAGGCCTGACGAGCCTGCGCCGTGATGCATCACGAATAATGGACCTGATTCTGACGGCGGTGTCAGGTACACATGGTGAATGATGTGAATTCCGTCGATTTCCTCGGGGAGGAATAGCTCTTGGCTGAAGAAATCCGTCCAGGAGAGTGCTTGCGTTGATTGCCTAAAGGTTGGTGTTAACTCAATTGCTTGTAGAGACGGTCCTGAAAAGCAGCCCCATGCTTGGTATCGAGTTCAACTAGTAAATACCGAGAATGATAGCAAAAGACATACGTACCCGCTGCTTCTTCGGGCAAACAGATTCCTTGTGGGCGAGGGCATTAGAGTCCCAGTTGAGGAGACCGAGGAAGTCGAGGAGCCCTCCTCTTCGCCATGTTCTTCGCGAATGTTCATTGGGTGGTACATGGGTACTTCGGGGGAAGCTTGCCCAGTTTAGCCTTAGCAAAGGACTTCTGGAGGTCGCTCATGAGATGTACGTTGGGAATAAACAGTGCGGCCACAGGTCCGAAAATGGGGTAATGAAGGTGGGCAATAAGTCGAGGTTGATTGTCGTTCAAGCTAGCCAGCAAGAAATCAATTCAAACACGCTGCTAGGAAGACTTGGGAGGTCACTTTGGATACAACTTGAGATCCTACCACCGCACCGCGTTCATATGGTCGGGGGCCGTGGACAAGGCTAGGCGTGGAAACCTTAGTTAGGTAAGACACTCTACCGCCACAATTTCGTCCCAATTGGGAAATAGACACCTGACTGCCTGATTACCTGTTAAGTCCATACACTGCACTCTCCCTTAAAACCACGCTCAATTAGCCACTTAACTGACCTGCCTAAGGACGCAAGTAAACATCCCTATCATTTACTGTATATCTCAGTCCAGCTACACTATGTCTTACGCTAAGTAGCACCATCCCTCCAAACATCAAGCAAAACAAACTTCTAGAGGTCAATATATAATCACCCGAAAAATAGCATTTAGTATGGTGGTTCGCTGCGTGTTTCTGAATTACTTTAACTACCTAACTGTCCAAATAAATCGGATAAAAAGATAAATAAAAAGCGGCCGAGAGTCAGGCTTACAGACATCAAGAGACTGGGATCTACTTGAATTTGGCCGTGTAGCTTATTCAATGGAGTTACTCGTGACCGTGCTCGATAATGTTAGAGACTAGATACAGACAGAACATGATGGTGACGACCAAGCCGTATGATTGATCGGTTCCAAGATTCTGTCGATCGAATGATTGGGCTCATTATCTAACTCTCGACTCCTCACCAGGCTTTGTCTTCTATGGTGGGAGGGTTCTTTTTCCTCCACGAACACTGCTCACGCCAGACCACACAAGCTTCTCGGGGACCATGGGTTTCATATGAGCAAGCCAGACTTGTTCGTACAAGCCAGGGCTACCATCAATAGCAAGGCTGTTTGGCTCCAAGCTGCCCAAGAAACCATAGTTCTCACAGCAAGCAGATTGCGATCCCCAAAGCGGGCCTATTTGAGGGAAGAGAGCTGGTTGTCAGTACTGAAGGATTGCATGCTGGAGACCAAATGGAAAGAAAGGCATCTTTTACGTACCAGCAGCCCACATGGACCAACCTATATAAACCGGGTTCTCTTCCATGTAATCAACCAAAACCTTAAGCATGTCGTAGCAGCCAGTTGTGTTGGACCCACCAAACTCAGTAATCATGGCTTTAAAGTCATGCTTTTCCAACCAAGATGTCAAATTTGACAGGAAGATCCGTGGGTCAGACACACAATCCACGTGTGAGCCGCTAAAGTCCACATCGAGGTATTCATGGATATCAAACGCCGTATTGTGGATGGGATCGTGTAACTTCCACATCACGTTGGCGTTTGAGTCCTCGCCATTGTCAAACCATGAGTGGCCTCCAGCCCAGTCATTTCCAGGGGCGAGAATCAACTGCTCACATCCTGCTGCTCGGATATGGTCGATGGCCGCCTGGTCATTCTTTAGTACCAAGGATGTATTAGTACCCCACGGCTCGTTCATGAGTCCGAAGATGACTTTTTCATTATGCCTGAACCGTGATGCAAGCTCGCCCCAAAATTCACCAAATTGTTGCGTTGTAGCAGCCTTGGGATCTGACCAGTTTCCAATTACACTACCGCTGAGAGGCTGTTCAGAGGCGTCGTTGTAACGCATGTAGTTGTGAGGATCCAAAATCGCATCTATTCTGCATATCAGTAATCATGGGGACAAGAGTGAAGAGAATTTGGGGGTTGGAGTCTGTAAACTGACAGGCACCCCTAGTGAGTGTGATATGATCAATTGCCTCTTTGTAATACTTGAAGTAGGTCTCATTGAATTTGCTGCCCAATCCATACTCCAGGGGGCACATGCGCTCCAACAGAAAGGCGACACGGAAGAGGTTGACCTTGGATAGAACAAAGTCACGCGTCAGCAGCTTGATTCTATTCTCTATAATTGAGTTTGAGGATGGTAGGAATACCTTGCTTTCTTTTACATAGATATCAACCGCCGAGTTATTAGTGAAGGCGTAGTCGACACCAAACGTTCCCGGAAGCACACCTGGTGCGAATTCTCCGCCAGACTCATCTATGCCTGCCCAGTAAATGGTTGCTAAGGTGGGAGTAATTAGTGCGCTTACACACATAGTGGCAGCTAAAAGCCGTTGGACTCCCATCGCGACTGACGTTGATTTGGTAAACTGCACTGAGTAGCTTTCCCGATACCCCGTAGGTATGGGAGATAGGATATCGTGAAAAAAATAGTGAAAGGAATGTGGCACTAATCTTTGGAGCCGAAGGAATGAATAAAGCGCTACTAGTCACTTAAATTGTTCCTCTGCTCTTCATGGCAGAGAAGCCGAAACACATCCTTGCTCAGGCGATCAAAATATTTCCTATTTGATCCCATTGTTTCCGGTATAAGCGATTTCTACGTGGTCACCAGGGGAGATGTGGAGACCAAAGAATGACTATTGGAAAAAGACAATTCCGAGATCGTCGGACTTGGATCGTATTTACCTTCAACTGTAGAAGAAAGGATCCATTCACCCGTAGATGGCTGGTCCTCGGCTGGTGGAGGAATACAGATTCGGATGTGAAGCCGTTCCCAACGCGGTCGGGGTAAAGCTAAATGCAGTAGCTTCAATATTCTGACTGCGGGGAACCCAAGAAGAATCCCTAGCTGGTATAGCGTCCTATTCCTTGCTTAGATTACCGGGGCGGTACAGGTATAGGTGGAAATTCCTAGTAGTCCTGGCTAGTGAGCCCTAGAAAGATGAGGCACTAGCTCCGCACCACTAAGGGAAATGCAACTAAATTAGCAAAGCTTCCCTCTTTATGAGGCCTCAAGTTTGGATGTGAACTTTACAATTACTTGCGCACTATCATCGTAGAGTGATTATGGATCAAATAGAATCGATGGATCATGTGATGATTGTTTATTTAAGGTTGGAGAGGAGATGATATAGGCGATCGAGGGTAAGCAGATACCAAAATTCAATTGATTATGGAATATACAGCGTCTACTACCCCGCAATTAAATAGTACAGTGGCAGTTGAAAAGTCTGAATCTAGAGACCAAGAAAACGGTCCATCTAAATACGCCCAAACTTTCTGTTTGTTTGAAAGGTATTTCCAAATGGCTTTGGAATTGTCTGTTTAGATACCTGGGCAACATCCCTCGTATTACATACCCAGGATACAGTGTATCTCCAAACTGTTGCATCAACCTTCACTCGTTCATTGATTCCAGCGCCAACCTTGGAAAGAAACACTAGTCCACCTTGGGATTTGCTGGATTACCCCCTGTCAGTTGGGCTACAAAGTGACAGCCCTTTATGAAGCACCTACTCCATCCGCGCTTTTCCAGGGTTCTGTTCGCGAAACCGGCGCCACAGGAGAAACCCAGCCATGGTGAAAATGGTTAGGGGGACTGAAAATACCAGGTATAGCCACCAGAGACGAGAGACCACAAAGATCGGCTCGCTGTTATCCGTTGAAGTATCTAAAGCGATCAAGTTTGTTCCAAACAGACTGCATACAAAGGTGGCTGGGAGATAGAGTAGAGTCATGGCTGCAATAATCTTCATAGAAATGCTGTCTTTGCGTGCTTCTCGGGCGATCTTTGCACTTTCAGAAGCAATCTTGAGATTGATTGTGCTGTCGTGGCCCGTGATAAGATTGTATAGAAGTGTAATGAAATTGCTGGTTCTCCTTTGCAGATTCATGATCCGGCGGTGACGGTCTTCACATAAGTCATGGAGCATAAGTAGGTCGTCACGAACCCTTTGATGCGCTGTGCGTTCAAGTTCTGTTCCATGAAGCTCAGCCAGCCGCCCAAGGCGCTCGTGGTCTCGCAAAAGGTGAGCAATATTTGATGCGTCGCGTTGATTATTGTGCTCCAGGGTGATCAAGTTCCGCGACATCTTATGTAGCAGCTGAATGTATCTTGAGAAGCGATCCGGACTCGTCTCTTCAAATATTGATCCTTGATGAAGTTGTGTCTCGATCCATAGCAACCATTTGATCAGATTGTTGAGCTCGGTATTTCGAGTCGAAAGCACATAGAACATGACCACCAAGTGAAGGACTAGCGGGTGTAGAGACTGCTTTTCCTGGCAACTACCCAGCTGCTTCTCAATACACATGTGATTTTGGGGGAATCCCTTGAATCGCTCACCAATCGCGTGAATCAGATCGCGTAAATCACCATTGGGCTTTGGCAGAATGTATAAGGTGTGCCCTGTTAGAGAATCATAGCGGAAGTAGATAGGCTCGTGTTTGTGGTGAATCTTGATATCAGTCGGTCCCCTGGAGCTGACACTGGAGCTACTGTCCAAGGGGGAGGTGTCGCTCGCCGTATATGACAGATTCTCACTGATGGTGTAGCAAATTTCGGTGGGGTTGTCAGTGGGTGAGAGTCATGTAGTTGCAAAAAACCATGCGAAACTCACCGAGACACGGGCGTCCATTAATTTCCACGCATCGACCATGGTAGCTAGAAAGTAACGGGGAGGACAAAAAAGCGACATCATCCAAGCATATATCCCAAAATGACTCGAGTAGTTTCTGGATCTTCCACTGATCTTCCGGAAATGTGCCGTGTTCGCTCAATAATCTCAGGTGATCATGTGAGATTCATGCTTAGCAGTAAAGGGGGCACAGCATACAGTACATAAATTAATCCGGGCGTCTTAATCTCTAGTGGCGATTCCGACTGTACACGATGCTCAAAATCATGGCTATCTATGTTACATTAGCTTCGATCGCGTTAGATACGAGGTAAGTAGGAAGTAGGATCACCTTGATCTAAGACCACTATTGACGCAGCGCGAGATGAAGAAGCAGAGCGAAATATAGACTGTCCCTGACATAGGAATAGGGCGTTTTCCAACACCGATCTATGGTGGATACTTGGCATGTTGTGCTAAAGGGACGTCCATTCAAATCATTAAGGGAAATGAGTTAAATCTGTATCTCTCAGTAACATGTGACCCTCAAAACATATTTAGAGAATGAGATACTGGGTGAAAGAAGGCATTAAAGAGTAGTGAGAAGCAAGACAGGAAGGATAAGGTCGAGGCTTGGCGGGGGTGGCCGTGCTGGGCAATGCACATTGTTTTTGATTATTTACGCAGAATGGTGGCGGTGTAGTCACTGCATGAAAAAGCACAGCAGATGTCGATCATGCATGAATGAGGGAAGGAAAGTCATTAGCTTGATGCATCGACTGGGGTTTAAATCGCGCAAGCAAAAGCCGGCTTCTCATATCGCTGATCATAAAGAGCTTCGATCATCAGGGGTGTAATAGTTCGCCTTCGACCCACTTGGGTTTGTGGTGCGTATAAGCTTCCAAATTGTCGTAGGTTGTTGCGGGTACTGATCACGGTCTGCTTACTGTATTCAGCCTGTTCAGCCATTTCAGACGTGGTAAAAGATTCACTATTTATCAAATCACGGATAAGAACAAGCTTTATAGGCGAGAGTCTTGGAGCCACGTTGCCTGGACTGATAACTGTAAGTAGGGAACCGTTGTGCAGGAAGTTGTAGCTTGTCCCGGAAGGAAGAGAGGAGGTAGATTACGTCCGAAGTGGTATGATCTGATAAGGTGATTTTGAAATTTTCTGGGTGTTTCAAAATTATGGAACCCCGCTGTAGGCTTTCCTATGAACCAATATAGCCTCTTCTTCCCCTTCTGCTGGCAGTCAGCGGAGCAGTTCATTGAGAACCGCCACGTCTCTCTTGGCGCCTTGGGGTTTGAGGTCGTGTTGGTGACCTGCATCTTCCGCAAGAATTCTTCGTAGCATGCAATGTTATCTTTTGTATCCCCAGATTCTAGCTGGGTCGAGATACGAGCTGGAAATTTGAAATCACAAAAGTGTTGGCATCCCCGTGTTAATGTAACGGGCCAGAGCCTAGGAGATCTACCATGCAGCTATGGCCTTACCGTTCCATTTAATGAATATGTACGATAAAATACTGGTTAATGATACTTGAGAGCTTAAACTAACTTAACGCTATAGAATATTTTATGTCAATTTTAGTTAGCGGATTGGTCGTTCTATTCTATAGGTTTTGCTGTAGAAATAAACACAGATTGATCTATGTAAGCAACTACAACCTTGGAAGGAGACATTGATCTTGGAACGCAAGAATTGCTTGCTTTATTTGAAGAGTTATTTATCGGCCAATGATAATTGTAATACGATAAGGATAGTACTATTTTGAAGTTCATGAACTGCATGTACCATTCCAAGAAAGATGACGCACGACATTTATCTCCCGAAAATCCTCGAATAGAACTAGCCATCCATCATGAAAAAAAAATCAAGCAACCCATCTGTTATTTGTCTTCTTGTTCAATTGTTGGGAGTAAATGCTTCTCTCCATGTTCATCCTTTGTTTTGTTATCAAATCACCCGAAGGGTTTGCTTCTAATCAAGAACTCCTTCCCCACCAAGCAAGGGGAATGAATGACGTCATACGTGCTAGTTATTTATCAAACCTGATCTACCACGAACTATGATCTTCCTGCGCGCGCCCCTCGTTGATTTTGAAATTTCACGGAAGTCAGCCATATTGGGACTATCAAGATGGTCTCTTTCTGGCAAAAGAAAGATGAGCCTGACAGGCCTGGATCGTCTCGCTCTCGGGACGAAGGGCATGGGAGTGGGCCCGCAACAGAACATGAAGAGCCAACTGAGCGTTCGAGGTTGCTACCGCAAAGTAATGATCAAGGATACCTGAGCCCTGATGATCCTGCTGTAAGATAAGCTGTTCAGAGATAATGGTCTTATTGTATACTGATAACCTTCAGGTCTCCCCGTACAATCTATGGAGTGTACGGGCGTTACGAGGACTGGCTCTCATTGCACTAGCTGCGAGCTTCATGTGGTGGACCTTCCTGTTGGTGTCGATATTCGTCAGTCCACCACTGATGCACTCTCGGGGCTCTGGCTTTTTCGCCTTTTCCTACATCACCCTGACAGCGGGCTACCTCGTGCTCGGTCTGCTGTTCTTTGTTGTCCCCTCAAAACCAATGACTGTCTGTGGCATTATTCTTGCCGTTCTTCTCCTGATTGATACGTCTATCATCGTTGGCATACCGGAAATTCGCTTTGAAGAAGGCTGGGTTGGTATTGCTTCCGTCGTCTGGGCTCTTGTCATTTCCGTCTACCAGATTCTTCAGAATCAAGTAGTGACACGCGGCAAACGGGAGGAAGAGGAGCGATTGACTGGTCGTGAAGAGACCCGCCGCTCTCTTCGAGAATGGTTTGCTGTTCTCGCTGAGATAGTCATCCTGGCTATCATGACCTTTGCGACACTGCTGTTCACGGCAACGTTGATCTTGCGTGCTCGGGATGCTTCACTCGAGCCTCCTGGAAAACGGTACTCAGTTCATGGGGACACGTATCAGGTCCATTTAGCATGCGTTGGAAATCGCACCAGTGATCCTCATGAGCCAACAATCCTCGTGGAGGGCGATTATGGCCCTGTTGAACATACATTGCAACCATTTATCGACGATGCGTACCAGTACGGAGCTATTAGCAGGTACTGCTACTGGGACCGACCTGGATTCGGGTGGTCAGATAACGCACCATCACCACATTCAGCAGGCATGTCTGCAGACGTTCTATCCGAAGCCTTGGCGCTGGCTGGTGAATCTGGACCTTGGGTCGTGGTTTCTGCTGGTGTCGGCAGCCTGTATTCTCGACTGTTCGCTAGTCGCCGTCTTCTAGAAGTCAGCGGCATCTTCCTCATTGATCCGCTCCACGAGGCGTATCTTGCTGACATTGGCCAACCTAACCGGGGATTCATGCTATGGCTCCGTGGCATCCTATCACCTCTAGGCTTGGATCGTCTTGCAGGGGCTCTCTTTCGAGGACGCACCCGTGAAGACCGAGTCATCGGCCGCTCCGCCTATCAAACTGGAAAATTCATCAAGGCTAAACTACAAGAGAATCTCGTGGCAGTCACAATGACTTCGGCTGAAGTACAGTCTGCTCGGCATATTCAGATGGGTGCTACTCCTTTAATTGTGGTGAGCTCGGGTCGTAAGATGAGAGCAGACCCGGAGTGGGCCAAGAGACAGGAAGATCTTTCGCATATTACGAATAAGCTACTTTCCTGGGACGTTGTTCACGATGCTCCACATGAAGTGTGGACCGATGGGGAAGGAAGACAGGTTTTGGATAGTCGACTGAAGGATATTGTTCGGGCAAGTCGCGAACACAAGTCTTAGGTTGTTGGCTTTTTTGAGCAGTAGTTCTGTTCTTGTCGGTTATGCTGTTTTTTGTATCTGGTTTCATTTCAGACTATAGATACAGGATTGGGCAGATTGTGGACTAGATTATTTGCGTGCCGAATAGGTATGTTTGATGCGACGAGTGCACGAGGATGGTCGTGCGGCGTAAATGGGGTATTATTTCAGTGCTGTATTTGATTAATGGTACTCTTAATGCAATACATATATGGACATGCGCCCGTTTCTTCATTTATTGAATGCTTAAATCCAGAAGTCCGCCAGCCCACTGATGACAGGCAATAAATGTTGAAGTATGAATAAACCTGTGAAAAGCCTAGCTGAACGCCATTAGGGTCGCTTTTCCATTCCACCTCTCCCCCTTCCTCTCCTACACCCACCGATAGCCACTGACGAGAAGCTCCTTTCGAGAATGCACCTGGAGATACAAAGAGTGACGGTTTCTTGAAACAATCGGGTGACGCCATCTGTAAACCTGCGGTTGTCATCCTATATCTCGAGGACGAGCATGATACGAGCGGGGCCTAATCGAAAGAAAGATGGGAAGAAGATTGGATGTCGGAGAAATAGAACCAATCACTCTAGACTAGTTCCCTTGAACCTCTTAGCAAGCTGTTCACCGTCGGACTTGGGAGAAACGGATCGGGGAAGATAGGCGGCGTGTGCATGATGGGATGGCGGGCGGGTTGCCTCGGCCACGGTGGGCCAGGGCCGCTTAGGGGGGCGCTCACCACTCTCCTGAAGGATTGTCATCAAGGTTGCCCAGCCGGAAGTATTCAGCAGCTGCATTCCATCCACGGGGGCGTGGCCCGTCGCAACTCGACCGAGGAGCGCTTCCTCATCCTGTCGTTCGAATCAAATTAGTATCTGAGAGATATTACCCGCAAAGTATCATTGTGGGAAGAACTGACCTCATTGAACGTAGACAATCCATGCAAGAAGCACAGGAGATGGAAGTCGGATACGCCCTGAACAGCCTTGTCGGGGTCTCCAGGTGACATCAACTTTTGAGCCACATGTCGCAGTTCCTGACTTTCACCGATGATCTCGCGGTTCTCGATGGGGAATTTGCTGTTGGTGAAAAGGGGCATAGACTCGGTGGGGAAACCGTGTGTCAGCGTGACCAGCAAATAATCCACGGGGAAGCTTGGTTTAGCATTCTCCTGGACGCTTGCACCATATTCGTTGATCCGGCGGAAGAAAACTTCGGGAATGTATCGTGTCTTGCTGCCTACATCGTCGTCATCCTCGGACTGCACAAGCATGACAGAGGGTTCTGCAGAAGGTTCAACGATGTCGGCTCGAACCATCTCTACTGCTGATACGGTTGCCTGATATGAGCTCACGGAAATGGCGCCAGTCTCATCTCCACTCAGCACACACGTGACGAAGTCAGAGCCAAAACGCCCCGTCCGGCTCCATTTCGTGGCTTTGGGGTTCTGAGCCTGGAGCCGAGAGGCGAATGCAATTTCGAGGGATGACAGGTAGTATGAATCGATGTGCCGTTTGCAAACCACAGAGCCATCTCCACGGCCCGCGTCGAGGAGATCTGTGAAAATGACTCCTACCTTCTGCAGGCCACACAGCTGAGCGACTTCGTCAATCTCCTTCTCATTATGCCAGTCACGAAGTGTAACACCATCAATCTCGCCGTTCTGTGGGGGCTCGTAGATTGCTTGGACAACTGCCTTCACGCCCAGAGGTACCTCAGTGTATTCTTCGTATGTCCCGTAGAGGAATCCCAAACGTTGAGCACCAGACTTCCGCCAGAAGTCCAAGAGAGAGTTGATCAGGTCAGGGGACGAGAACTCCACGTGGTCGACCATGCGGAACTCTTGAGGCTGTAGACTGATCGCACTGGGCTGGCACTTTGTGCAAATACCCTCTGGCCACTGAGGGTGCCCGGATGGACAGTCGCGCTGTACGCGATAGTATGGCTCACTGAGTGGCGGCATGTATGAGCTCTTCATCTCCGGCTTGTTGGTTGCAGCATTGATCTTGCGAAGGTATGAGTGGAACGAGAGGTGCTTGATCTTCTTCTCTGCGAGGTACTTGGCATCGTAGGGCTCCAGAGGCATACAGTAGTCGCACATTCCCCGTGGACCATGCTTGCACATCCGTTGGTCCTTGTTCCGCTTGATCTTGCCATCCTTCTTATCGAGAAGATCGTCCAGTGGGGACTGCTGCACCACGTCCCATGGATTTGGAATGTTGAGTGTTGGCGAGGTAGGTTGGGGGCGGATTGGCACAGTCTGTTTTTGAGGAACTGGAGCTCCATTTAGTCGACGTTCGGAGGGGGGAGGTGCGTGTCCATTGGCGGTGCCGTTCTGTTGAGCAGCTCGTTCCCGATAACCGACGAAGAGCTTATCGCCATGCCTAATGGATTGTACAAATGAGTATACTTGATGGCTGGGTAGCTCAGAGGCACTGTCAGAATTACTCACTTGAGGCCAACTTGTGCGATAGCAACTCCACCCAAGGCTTCTAGTTCTCTCTCTTCCCCGCCAGTGCCGATCGGTTTATTAGAGAGGGTAATCGATGAGGGGTCAACCTCCGAGGGAAGATGTTCGATGATCTGATTTTGGAGCACTATTAGCCTCAGTTCCACCAAAATACCCCGTCGCGACTGGTCTCGACAACACCTTTTCTTGGAGAGAGGTAAACTGGTCCTGCTGGTTGACCGTCAATCGAAATTGGCCATTCCTGCTCTCGAATCTCAGCAGGATCGGACGGTCCGCCATTCTGGGAGACAGGCTCTCAGTTCAACTTGAATATGGGCAAGATGCAGGGGAAAGTGTTGGGTATCTTCAATAACTTAGAAGAGCAGGCGCATAATGTAGAGTGAGGAAGAAGACTTGGAGCTGCCATCAAAGCTCCAGCAGGTCACGTCACAACATGCGGGCGGTGAGCGCCACAGCTCGCGGGCGGTGAACGTTACATGATAACCAGATATACACGTGATCGAGGGGAATTAGCGATATAATAATCTATGTAATACAAGTACAATAAACACTAGGCACTGGAAATTTCCAGACCAGGGGGCTTATTCAATGGGTGTTATTTGAATAAAATGTGGCCTAGGAGATGAAGTAGGGTGGGTGAGTATGTGCTACTTTCTTGCATAGTCATGCCGGACAGTAGAAGCGGCCTACAAAGTCTACAATTGGTTTGCACAGCTTTGATACCATAGTGTGACGAGAACTTTCCATTCAGGGAGAATTAGCTTTTTATCTAGGAGAAGCCTCTAGGATCAAAGGTGGTCATGTATATCCATATCGTCATCAATAATTCGAAACGCCTACGAGAACGCCCCCAGGAAGTCACAAAGGAAACCCAGAACAAGTGCAAAGAGGAAAAGCTAGACCCAATCAGTTACAGAATAGTACACTTCTTGGGCAAGCCACATGGTCCTCCTTCACTGTCCCTCTCCTTTGCTGCTTCCCGGTTGCCCTGCTGCTGCTGCTGGGCAGGCCGCTCAGACTGCTGAGCAGCTGCACCGGCAGCGGGGGCCGAGGTCTCGGGCTTCGACTCGGCACTGCCATGCAGTCAGTTGACCTTGGCAACGGCTTCGTAGAAGGCCTTGCCCTGAGCCTCAGCAATCTGGAGCTCGAGAGCGGTAGGCTGGCGAGAACCGTCGACACCCTAGGAGAATCAGTTAGCTGGGGGAGAATTCACGCTAGACATTGAGTGTTTTGAGGCAGGCTTACAGCGAAGGTACCAGCACCCCAGGGGCTGCTACCGTGGACCTCCTCGAGGTTGGCAAGGAGGGGGAAGGTGGTCTTGTAACCCAGAGGGACGTAGATGAAGCCGTGGTGGGCGAGAGTGCTCATGGAGGAAATGACGGTCGACTCCTGGCCACCGCCAGGGGTACCAGTGGAAACGAAGACACCAGCATACTTGCCCCAGTAGCCGCCGGAGGCCCAGATGGAGCCGGTCTTGTCCCAGAAGGTCTTCCACTGAGCGGGGAAGTTACCGTAACGGGTGGGGATACCGAAGAGGACGGCATCGTACTCCAGAAGCTCGGTGGGCTCAACAATGGGATAGCTGGACTTGGCAGGGGCGTGCATCTTGGCGAGAACCTCCTCAGAGAGAGTCTCAGCAATCCTGGAGAAGGTTGTTAGCTTCAAGCCCAAGGAACGAATCGGTTCAATGCAGTGCCGTACTGATAGATGGTAGCCTCGCCGCCAGCAGCCTCAATACCCTTCTTCTCAGCCTCGGCCAACTTCTGGATGTGGCCGTACATCGAGTACTGGTAACCTGGAAGTTAGTCGCGGAAGTCATCGGAAGAGGAAAGACCTTTGTAATGGGGGAATTGACATACGAAGACGATAGCAACCTTGGGCGCCATGGTGAATGGATATGGACTGGAGAGTGGAAGAAAGAGGTAGAGAGAGGAGAGTACAAAGAAGGTTGGAGAGACAATGGAAGGAGTCGTAGAGCGGGGGAGGGGAGCTTAAGTATTCCCAGGACGATAGCACTCTGGACCTCGACCCCCACCAGCCACTCGAGGGCTTCTTGGCTCCTTGCTGGGCCAATTGCTTTTCGTTACGGTATGATGTCGATTAGCAAAGCATAGCAAAGCTTCACGCAAGCGCATCAGTCATTGATGACAGAGCATTGCGGCATGCTGATTGGCCCGGCAGGGTCCACCCGGGTCTACACGGATTTAGCTGTGTTTTGTCGAGTCTGACCGATTTCTGACAAATGAAGATCAGTCGCCAAGAGAGAGGATACTGGGTTTGTCCGTACAGTTTTTCCTTTGACCAGATATGCAAGTCAGATTATCGGGATGCAGTCGAAGGAAGGTCTCGGTTGGAGCTCAATTGATTCTCTCTTTCCTTTTCCTCCAGCATCCTAGGCCTAGGGCAATGACGAAAGCACGTAGCGAGAGCTTAGTCGATGTCGATGATGTCATTGACTTTCAAAACATTCTCTGCGGGCTGGTACATAAATGATACCTCAAACCTCTCTCGTATTGACCACCCAATCACATCAAGGTCGTATCAAGGTCGTGCAATACGACCTTGAAAGGCCAATTATGCAGTGACCGACCAATTGGCTTTCGTAGCTGAAGATTAGCCCTTGAACTGTCTGCTTACGGGAGTAGTAACGGGATACGCTTATTGTTCAGAGGCAGCGGAAAAAAGCCGTTGGCGGATTCCATGGAATTTCTGGTTATTATTAATCGTTGATTTTGGGCTAATCTGATCTTATCATACATCCGGCTATATGAATTTTGAATGGGTATCTTGATGACAATCTTCAGCGACCGCCAGTAACTAAATCCAGAAGAAGACAATGCTCCCCAAAAACACCCCCGCCGTGAAAATGCAAGTCCGCAGAAATGTGGCGCCTCTGGTAGGCAACATGTACTCCGTAATCTAACCCCTCCCTCGGCCGCGATAACGGCCTCGCATGAAACCACCTCCCCGGCCACGTTCACTCCGCCACTCGCGCTCTCGTTCCTTCTCACGCTCTTGTTCTTCGCGGATCAGAGCACGCTCATGCTCCAGCTCTTCCTCGGTCTTTTCTGTCCGCATGGTTGGCCGCGGGAGATTCTCCGTCCATCGAGGGTGTGCATTCGTGCAGCTTTTGCCGTCGGGGCAGAAGCCGGCAAGGTAGAACAGGCAGAGCTTTCGGCGAACGTGTCGCTTGGCGCAGAGAGGGCCCAGTTCACAGAATCCCCGATCGTAGTGCTCACATGGTGGCAATCGGGCCTCTTCGCGAACGTGTTGATAGAGACAGTCATCGCCGTTGGGGCAGTATCCGGACCGGGAGAAGGATTGGCATTCGGGCATGCGTCGCAGGTTGTATTCGTGCAGATACTCGCACTTCAGCCCCTTCTTGCAGAGGCCCTTGAGGAAATGCTTGCAGACGAGCGAGCCATGTGTGGTGGATGGTGCCATCCCTGAGGCGGTGGTTGTAGATGTGGTGACTCGGGAAGGAGTAGGATGTCGGTCTGGGCAAGCAGGGCCTAATGGGCAGTGGCCTTCGCCGTAGGCCTTGCAGACGGGGACATCGCTGGCGAGGCCGAAGCCGAAGCTCTTGCGGAGGAAGGGCGTGAAGGAGAAATCGTTGTAGCTAGGGTCGCGCGTGGGCTCTGCAGAGAGGACGCGAGAAGCCGCGTTGTGAACATCGGCGGTCATGTTGGCTTTGAAGCTGAACAAGCTTCGAGATGTGACAGTGCTCGCTTAGAGAGGGATTAGAAAGCTATTCCAAGAGGTCGAGGCGTAGTAGAATAGAAGGTCGACAGTAAATAGCCCGCCAGGAATAACTGGGCTGTCGAAAGATGAGTTTCGCGAGAAGATGACTAAGATCCGAGATAGGTCGAAGGTTCTGGTGGCCTTACAAATTTGGCGACTACACTGTTTGCACACGTTTGCTAGAGAAATACCTCGCCACCTAACTATCAACAGCCAATGAGTAATTCTTTACACTTTCAAATCTCATGAAAATTATTCTATTCGACCATAAGCCAGTATACCAGTTCAATTTAAAACTCTATGGACTAAACATATCTGAGGTTGCTGTATCGAAGTTTCCTCTAGACAGACCAATCATGCGGTCGGTTTATTGATCAGCCCGAGCTGCTGATCCATCACTTCATGAATCATCTGCTCCCAAGAGCGCCATTTCATCCCAAGTTCTTGCTCCGCTTTGCTGGTGTCTAATGGGAAAGATCCCACTTCCGTCTCGACACTAATTTTTGCGCCGACATTAGGATAGTCCCTGTGCACAATTTGTGCAACCTCTTTCCAGGTTGTCCGTTTGCCAGCCAGCAGGTATTTTGCGCCATTAGGAATATTCGGACTAAGGGCTTTGACGTGCGCTTCAGCGACATCCTCGATATGCACTCCGGATGCCGGGCTACCAAGGATGCCAGTCATAACGGGCTTCCAAAGAACACCATTGGATCCGATCCCCTCTTCCGCAGATGTCTGTACTAGGTTCTTTCCGAACACATAGGCTGGGTGAATCGAGACCAGCGAGTAGTGCGGCTTCGCGGTCTGCCAGAAGCTCCAGGCCGCGTTATTGGCTAGTAGCTTTGATGCGTGGTAGAGCCTGAAAGCCGTGCTCTCTGGGTTTTGGGGGTCCTCGAAGTTTGAATCTTCATCGACGCTGAAATCCCAGTCGTTGTCCTCTAGAAGAAAGGGAAAAGAGTCAACGCCTATCACCAAATATCAGAGCCAGGAATATATTTACCTTTCACAGTGCCACCTTCAGGAAGTCCAGTAAACGGAATAAAAGCAGCCATGGAAGACGTAACCACCACTTTCTTGATGCTGGCGACCCGCTCAGCCTCCTTCAGCAAGGCCGTCGTTCCTTTGATAGCCGGAATGAAGTAATCGTTCTTGTCTGTTCCTTGCGGGAGAGGGGAGGCAAGGTGCAGAATGTAGTCAACTCCGTTCAGCTTTCCATGAAAAGCCGTTTCGTCCGTCAGATCGGGTACAGTCACATATTCAACCTGCTGACTATACTCAGACAACAAGGCTTGGAGCTTTGCTGATGGCTTTCGAACGGATATCCGGAGTCGGTAACCTGCTTTCAGGGCAGTGAGAGCAGTTGTAGCCCCGATAAAACCGGTTGCGCCCGTGATGAAAATCAATTCTCCTGTCATGATGATTTGTTCTTGTCAAGTGTTTGCCAAAACGATGGATGATTGTTGGAAAAGCAAGTTTACACTTGAAGCAGCTGGAATTTATACGTAGGAGATTCTCTGTGTTTCTCAACAATCTTACCAATCTCAGACTTACCAATCCAGAATTTGATGATAATATCATCGAGGTCATTAATCCTCCTCATTGCACTATCCAGAATTACGACTAACATATGCATATCTTACTTAGGCACTGTGTAGCCTGCATGGTGTGACAGTACCACAGGAATTTATAATCAATTGCATCAGTTTTAAAACAAGGTCAACCAGTGATGACATTAAGGTTATCCTAGTTTGAACACCCCTGGTCTATCAGAATACCGAGGCGAATCGTTTTTGATAAGGTGATCAGGGAATTGGTAGAGTGCCGGGGAAGATGATTGGCGGCCGGCGATTTTGATATTACGCTATCTCCCCGAACACTTGGTACACCACGCACTAAAGTACGCTATCCAGATGGAGTTGATAAAATAATACGCCCGAGGGAATTGCGCGAAACTAGATTTCTATTTCCGGGAGTATTTATGTGAAGCTATAACGCCCCCTCGTAGATAGCCCTTTTTTTATTATCAAAGTTCTCTCTGTCTGCGCTACAAACACAGTCTCAAGATGCCTGTTTGGTATATCAATCATAGTCCTAATGTATTTTCCGCGGCCGAGAAGCAGCAACTGGCCAAGTCCATCACGAATATCTATGTCTCCAGCGGTTTACCCGCGTTCTACGTTCAAGTCCACTTCGTGGAGGACGCCGCTGGCTCTGCATTCGTCGGTGGCGAAATTCACCCCAAATTCGCAGGGATAACAATCTATCATCTCGCGCGTGCCTTCACGAGTGACGAAATCAAACAGCGGTTTCACTCGCGCGTTAACGACGTCCTCAGCCCTGTGTTCGAACCCAAAGGCATGGACTGGGAATACTTTATTACGGAGGCATCAAGAGATCTGTGGAGGATGAATGGTCTTGTACCCCCCGCAGCTGGTTCCGAGGAAGAGAAAGAATGGGTGCGAGTCAACAGAGCCGTGAAGTATTAGCGACTAGTTCAATGCAAGAATCTGGAAGGCGGCGGCTACGTCGATTCTAGCTACTCCAACTCTCGCACTGGCGAAATCTTTGGTCAACATCGATCATATAGTTGTAGGCGACCGAAAGTGTTGGACTTTGTATCGCGATCCAAGGCAGAAAGGAGCTCTGCTCAACGCTCCACACTTCCATTGTCATCCGTTGAGCGTATCTACAGGGAGTACATTACCAATGTCTCGGATAACTTGCCCAGTGGTCGACACATCGCGGGGAAGAGTAAGGGGTCGACACAAATCCTGTCGCACTGCCTCACCTTGCAAAGTCTCGGCCAATTGATTGGGCGTAGCGGGCGATCCGAGCATAGCGAGAAAAAAAAGCAAATATAACAGCTATGTCTGCGTGACGCTCGTGGTCTGGGCTGGTCGATGTCCCCGCCACGGGGAGACCGGAATTCCACGAGGCCATCTCCATGGAAAATAGCGCATCTTCAAGGAGGACGATGGGATGTCTGCCCCTGGCGGTTGCCTGCGCGCAGTTGGCGCCCTGATCCGCGCTAGCTTCGAGGACAAGGCCAAGGGACAAAAGATCGAGGAGCTGACAGACTGAGTTTCCGCCTCTGCGAATCCCCCACATGCAAGTCCATCACAAGCGAATGGGCTGTCGCCTAATCGGGTTGACTGCAGGCGTTAGTCAAATCTCACCGCACGTCATCTGGGGTTGTGAGGCGCTGCCCCTGGTGTGCGGTGGCCTTTCAACGGGTCTCGCGACGCCTGCTGGTGAGATCTCCAAGGTGCCGCCTGGGTTGACTACAACCCAAGGGACGAGTGGCCAGTCCAGGGCCCAGGCTGCAGTAGTGATTGGCGGCAATACGAAGACCAGTCTCCCAGCCCCTTCACGGTTGGTCGCTCCATCATCCCCCATGTTTGCCAGCGAGAAAATTCTGAATTCTGGCATGCCTCGCGCTAGGCCGAGAGCCCCGCACATTCGCACCGTGCGATCGTATCCAATTGATGGCGGATCGTTCTTGAGGAGGGAGGGGGGACCGAATGGGCGCCCCCACAAGGTCACAGCCCCCAGAATCAGACGTGCATTGTGAATCTCAATTTTAGCCGGTAACCATCCAATCGTGCGGATGATAATTTGGTTTATGCGGAGAAAAATCGAGACGACCAACTCACCAGTGCCTTTCGCGACAGACTCAGCAGCTACCCACGTGACGCATGCCTGATTGGGAAGCACACCGGGGAGAGTTGTGCACGCGCTTGTTTCTTTTTTGTATTTCTTCAATTGACCCTACCTTCCTGCTCGCGTGCTTCCTGGTTCCTTTTGGCAAATCTCGTCTCGCTCAGGGGGGTTTCTTTTGTATCTTCTCGGGCTCGTCTTCCTTTTTAAAGGGCCGAGGCTTTCCTTTCAGAGCCAAGGCATGTTCTCTGGCATGTTCCGCCGGCGGCAGGCTGTTGACCCCGCTGCTGCCGAGTCGCCCGCTACATACGAAGTGCCTTTGTACACCAACGCAGCCTACTACCCTAACTGGCGGATCTACAAGAAACAGCCTCCTTCATCGCTGCGCCTGGGGTTTATTTCTCACGTATTCTACGCCTTTGCTTGGTACGTAGCCAATCATCTCCGAGGAATCGTATAGATAGGCGCGCTAATCTCGATCTGGAATCCTTGCAGGGTGAAAGACGATGGCACAATTTATGTAAGTCTGATATCACTGCTCCATATTTTCCAAATCTAGTATATCTGGATATCTCTAATCGGACGGCCCTTTGCAGTTGAGTGATGAGTGGGCCGATACCCAGATGCCGGTTGACGGCACGGAAGGCTGCCTCCGTGCCTTTGTCCAGTTGAAACAGCAATACTCGAAGATGCGGGTCATTCTCTCCGTTGGCGGCGGCGGCAAAGGAAGTGAGAATTTTGCAGCCGTTGCTCATAGTCGGTCTCGCGTGGAGACATTCATTCGTAGTGCACGAGCACTGGTGGATGAGTTTGGACTGGATGGTATTGATGGTAAGTCGCTGATGATACATAACATGATAAACCTACGGCAAGAGAGAGAAGAATTTTAACGGTCCATGTAGTGGATTGGGAACATCCCGCAGACCTCAAGCAGGGGAAGGACTACATTCGTCTAATCGCCAAGCTGCGCGAAGTGTTGCCTGCTCCACGCTATGTTCTAACCTCCTGTCTCCCCGCTGGTCAATGGGCTCTGCGAAATATTGATCTGGCAGAGGCGCAGAGGTATCTAGACATGATCAACCTCATGGCTTATGACTTTTCTGGGCCTTGGGAGGCCGAAACCGGTCACCAGGCCCAACTCTACGGCTCGCCTATCTCAGGCTACTCGGCGGTTGACTATGTAATGTCGCAAGGGGTACCCTCACGAAAAATCATCCTGGGCGTGCCAGTGTATGGACGCTCATTCCTTGGCAGCAACGGACCTGGTCAACGGTATACTGGTACCGGCGGCGAGGATGGCGTCTTCGACTACCACGATCTCCCACGGCCAGAAGCCCAAGAATATCATGATAAAGAGGCCGGTGCTGCATCTTGTGTTGGACCAGATGGGGGGTTTGTGACCTATGATATTCCTGCGACAATACAACAAAAAGCGGAATTTGTGACCTCGTCGAAATTGGGTGGGCTGTTTTACTGGCATATTTGCTCCGATGCCCGAGGGCCACGCAGCCTGATCGAAACCGGGTATAACACGCTTCATGAAATGTAATATATCAGAGGGCATGATCGCATTCTTCCAAAAACAATGAAAAAGGCAATATTCTATATGGGCGCACAGGGTAGGCTTGCTTTCAGATTATTCGTTACGCACATGTTTCGCAACTTAATTAAAACGAAGACGTCATAAAATGCGCCCTCGACGAAGGCGTTCAATGTTGATACGCTGTTTCGGCGCTTTAACGGCGAAGTGTGGATGATCTCTTGATCAGAAGCACGAGAGCCGAACGGCCGAGGTCCATTTGCAGAATGTGTCAGGTCAACTAAACTTTGGTGGCACCCATCAGCTCCCCCACCAATGTTCATAAGGAACACATTTACCCCGGATTTAATCTTTCCTTCTTAGCATATCCCTGTCATAGCAATAGTAATCTAATATTTTTACCGCGTCGCCGTCACAGCACTCCGCCATGTCCCCGTCGCCACCTCAGCCAGCTACTGCGGAGAGCGGCTACATCACTCAGCCAGCTCCGCTGGAGAACACGTACACAACCGATACGGGTCTCCGACGAGCGCTGGAATGTGAGTCGCTTCTGATTGCCACAAATTTACTCAGTACTGATGGTTAACAGGGTATCTTCCCGCGGCGACGCTTCGATCAGTTGAACCACACTTTACACAGCTGGGCGCCGAGGCGATCTCCGAGCAGGTGCGTGAGTGGAGCGCAGATGCTGAAAGAAACCAGCCATACGTCAAGAGCCATAATGTCTGGGGTAAACGATATGATTATGATCGCCTCATCACCACCGAGGGCTGGAAGCAACTAGGCAAATGGGGAGCCCGTCATAGAATTGTCTCCGCTGGATATGATGCGACATTGGGTCTGGACAGAAGAACAGTTCAATATGCACTGTAAGAAGCAACTACCTGTTGGAACTGATGAGATAAAATCCGAATCAAAACAACTACTGACACTGGTCTAGGAACTATCTCTACTCTCCATCGTCAGGGCTCTACTCCTGTCCCATGAGTATGACCGATGGAGCCGCCTTCATTCTTTCCTCCAAGATCAAAAAGCTTCCTCCGGCGCATCCATTCCATGCAGCATATAAAGGCCTGATCTCGGAGGGTGATGACCACTGGACCTCGGGCCAGTGGATGACAGAGCGCGCAGGAGGGAGTGATGTTCAAAACACTGAGACCTGGGCAACTCACTCCCCCCTACCCAAGGATTCAGGCTTCGATCCTCTGGGCGATGGCGACTATCTAATCAACGGCTTCAAATTCTTTTCCTCCGCCACCGATGCCAACGTCGCTCTTCTTCTGGCCAAGACTCCCTCTGGAAAACTGAGCACATTCTTGGCGCCTCTGCGGAGGACGGTTGTTGGTAGTGATGGTGTTTCCCGCCAGGTCTCAAACGGAGTACGAATCCATCGTCTGAAGAATAAGCTGGGCACAAAGGAACTTCCGACCGCCGAGCTGGAACTCAAGGATATGAGGGCGCATCTAGTCGGAGAACTCGACCAGGGAGTCGTCACTATTGCACCCCTCCTCAATGTCACTCGCATCCATACCTTTATCGGCTCTCTCTCTGGCTGGCGCCGCGCCATTAGCATTACCAAGAGCTTTGCAAAGGCACGAACTACCGTGGGCGAGCCTCTGTGGCTGATTCCTATGCACCTGCGCCTCCTGGCAGACCTGGAGGTCAAGCACCGTGGTGGCATGAACCTCGGCTTCTTTACCGTTGCAGTCATGAGCTTGGTAGAGAACAGGGTTACTCAGCCTTCGGAGCACGCTCATCTCCCTCAGCCAGGCCGGGAAGCCAACGTGGTATTCCGAACTCTCACGGCCACTGCAAAGGCTGTTGTGAGCAAGATGTCAGTGCTGGGAATCCAAGAGTGTCAGGAGGCTATGGGTGGCGTTGGCTACATGGACGAGGCGGATGAGCCCGAATTCAACATCTCCCGAATTCTGCGCAATGCTTCTGTCAATTCTATCTGGGAGGGAACGACGAATGTCTTGGCCAGTGAGATGGTTCGATTCCTTCTCAAAGCTGAAAACCTGGATATCTTCGCAGCATGGGTTGACCGTACGTTGACGTTGATTCGCAACGTGTTACTCCGAAAAACTCTTACTGCCAAGTGGTCAGCTCTACGAGCTCGCTTCTCCACAAAGAACCAACTGCCCACCACGATTCTCGCCGATGCGCGCCGGTATATGTTTACCCTTGCCTGGGTTCTTTGTGGCATTCTTCTGGCCGTTGATGCTGAACGGGACGAGGACCCGGTCAGTGGAGAGATTGCCCGGCGCTGGATCCTCAGAGCTGAGGGCGGTGTTGGGGACATGGTATTCCATGATATAGTCACAGTCCACAAGGACACAGCTCAAGAAGATGGAGAGGAACATCTTCAGTGGGATTGCAGAATTGCTTGGGGCATTGAGCTTCCTGCTAAACGGGCGTCTGGTCACCGGTCACTGCAGAAAGCGAACTCCAAGTTGTAAGCATTGTCGCAGACTTGCAAGGCATACCGCATAGCAAATTGAAGAAATCGCTAGTTCGGGTTCAGTTAATGTATATACACAACCCTTGACCCCAAGTATTCAAAACTGTTCTCTATAAATTCGATGAACACGAATATGATTAGTATGGCAGAGGATGGCGGGCACTTTATATAAGATTTCAAGGACTAAAAGAGCTAGGCGTAGTCAACCTTTCTCACATGATCTGGTCATTCAAAGAATATGAATTTTATTTAGCAAAACCCACTAAAAAATTCTTTTTTATCGAAGTAGCGAGAGACAGGCTTGACAAGACATTTGGGGGGCCATTGAATAAGAAGTCTATATCTCATAGATCTGAACGCATCCATTGTCTGACTAAATCTTAGCCATTCGGTATCCGGCTGATGCATCAGATGGAAGATCGACTCCCCAAACAATCCGACAGTCCCATGCCGTGCGCTCACGGTCCGTCAGCTTTCTTTCATGAGCCAAAGCAGAACGTTGATAGATGAGATCGGTAAATGCGAATTCTCCGGGTACACCCTGCCCTTCCAAGACCCATCTTCGAGCAGCTTCTCTAGCAACGCTGTTGTTGTCTCGTTGTGCATCCATAGATAGCAGCATACCACTGACAAGCCACGACAAGGTAAATATGATTTGGCGTCCAACTCCCAGCACCCCAACTAAGCCCCTCTCATCTTGACCAGCTTCAAGTTTAGACTTGAGAGCTGACCAGACAGCTTGAAGGGTCGTCTTGAGGGCCAGATCAGATACTTGGTGGATCGCATTGGATATCCATACATGGAAGAGATCCAAATTTTGGCCTTTGGTCAAATGCCGCACCGTCTCACTAGCCAAAACATTCGTGGTGCCTTCCCAAACACTGTTACTCGCAGTGTCTCGCCACAAGCGACTCACGTTGAACTCCGGCTCATCGGGCTCATCTTTATTAATAAACAGGTAAGTAGAATTCACTAGGATGGAAATCATAAGCACTTACCGATATAACCGACACCACCCATTGCTTCCTGGCATTCTTGGAACGCCAAGGTTGCAGATTTGCAGATTACAGCTTTGGAAGTGGATGTAAACGCTCGAAGTACAACCGTTGCAGTGGTCGGAGACTTTGCTAGCACAGCATAGACCTCTGGTATACCATTCGGGAATCCATTGTCCACATAGCTCAGCAGCGATGAAGTGAAGAAAGCCAGCTGCATCCAACCCCGGTGTTTGACTTCAAGTTGAGCGAGCACATTCAAATGCATCGGGAAAGTCCAGAGGGGCTGGTCGATAGTTTTGCGCGCCCTAGCAAAAGCCTTTGCAATATCCATGGCACGACGAAGACATGAGAGTGCAGTAATGAAATTGTGAGTGCGTGTCGTGTTTAACAGCAAAGCAATCGTCGCAATTCCACGATCTTTGGGACCGATGAGATGCGCCCGCACCCTTCGAAGTTCCACCTCTGCAGTTGGCAGTTCTTTTGTACCCATCTTGTTCTTGAGACGGTGAATACGAATGCCGTTTGACACTCTTTGCGTCTTTCCAGAGGCGTCGACTACCGTTTTAGTGGTGGGGGCAACAAACAGAGACAACTCCCCTGTGTCTGTCTTAGCCAACAAAAGGACGACGTCACAATCGGTCGCGCTGCAAAAGAACTTGAACCCGGAGAGCAAGTAATCGCCCTCTTCCATATTACCGAATCGACCTGTCTTCGATGCCAACGGGGAGTATGTAGCAACCGTCTCACTGTTCCTGACGTCGCTACCACCAGGGCGCTCTGTCATCCATTGGGCTGAGATCCAATTGTTTTCTCGAGCAATGAGCTTTGCGTAAAGTTCGTGGAATGGATGGTCTGAGGGAAGGTTGGAAATTTGGAGTCTAACCAAACGTGCCGCCCCCGAGGTCATTGAGACTGGGCAGGAATAAGCAGCTGATGAAGCAGAAAACAAGTAATTACTTGGTATAAATTAGCCAGGAGAACATTCAGTCATAACCTGGGAACTCACAATGCATGCTGCACAGTGCGACGATATGAACCGAATTCCTCTTCATATCCAAGTCCCACAACGCTGTTTGGCACGGTTCTAGTTAGTCGATGATTCTGGATATGTCCAAGGATTAAAGAAGACATTACCCATGCTTGATGCCCCATTTACCTAACTCCCTCCAACCTGTACTGGTCACTAAGCCATTTGACTCGTAACGTGCGCCCCACACGTTGTGAGCTTTGACGTATGGTTGTTGATTCTCCGCATTTGCAATAAGAGAATTAGTCTCCGCTGAGATTGCATTGGATCCAAACATGCGCAGCTCCGGAATGATCTTCCCGAGCACATCCTGTGGCAGATGCCCTATTGAATGGAAATTCGGTTAACTTCCATGCAGCTGAAGTGTGATATTTGTTATTGAGGAAGCCCGTACATTGTAAGATGCGTTGGAAAACTAGATCAGCAGTAGCTGGGTTTTCCATCGCTGGAGTTCTGAGGATGAATCCATCATCGATGGTGGAAGGAGTTAGACGTTCAGGCATAGCGTACCAGTAGATACTAGCGAGTAACAGCGCACAATAGTGCCAAAAGAGACTGATAATAGTGAGCGTATCTTATATGATGCTCAGCTTGTAGCTTACACTAGCCTGTCACGTAACTTGCGGGGTCGGCTCCCCATGTTCAAGCTAGCCGACATACATTTGGTACTGTTTGCCGAGCAAGATGCACCGATGATGACCGACAATCACCGAAAAGGACCGTATAATGTATTTCGGTCAAGCTGAGACCCATTGAGTGGACCGAGATGTCTAAGAAATGCGGGGAATGTATGTTGGCGAGAGCCGATCTCCGAGCGGGTATTAAGGTGAATGGTGCAGGCTGCCAGTTCCGGTCAAATCATACGCGTTCACTTTAACATCAGCAACTATATCATCATATGAACTGTCTCTCTGATTCAATTCGGATACAATTTTCAACGTCTACGAAACATGGCTAATTCTGTGTCCACCGATAAAGCCCCCGGGCTATCTCCTATCTGGAAGCCTACTTTGCCGCCAAACAAGATTCCCATGAACATCTATCGTGAACATGTCAATCGAAAGTTCAACCAAAGTTTGCAGACATCTCAGGAGCTACACGAGTGGTCTGTAAAAAATCTGCATGATTTTTGGATTGATCTCCACCAATACACGGGCATTATCCCACAGTTGCCTGCAGGTCTCACGACTGCATTTGATCCCAACACGCCAATGGAGGACGTGCCCGAGTTCTTTCTTGGAGCGACAGTTAACTACGCCGAGAATGTTGTTACTGGCCGGGACTTGAACAAGACCGCTCTTATCGGCGTCCGTGAAGGCCAAGATTTGAGCGGAGAGGCTTGGTCGTGGGGATTGCTTCGAGAGAACATCAGGAAAGCACGGAGTGCATTACTGCGATTGGGTATTCAAGAAGGCGATCGAGTTGCTGCTATCATTTCCACCAGCGTGTGGTCAGTTGGCCTCTTCTTAGCTACCGCCAGTATTGGTGCGATTTGGACCAGTATAGCGCCTGATCTGGGTGAAGAAGTAACTAAGCCCTTTCCAATATGCGAAGCACGATAACTGACTCGACTCAGGGATGTGTGTCTCGACTACAACAAGTTACACCAAAGGTGCTCTTTGCCGACAGCGATTCGACGTACAAGGGTAAACTACACTCAAACGTGTCAAAGATTCGAAATATTGTTCAGACTATGAAGGTCCAACCCAAGGTATTCTTGATTCCTCTTGGGACCCAAGATCCAGGCTTTCCAACTCTTGATCGGTTCTTATCATTGTCGCAACCCGGTGATAAATTGGAGTTCAAGAGATTGCCGTTCTCTCACCCACTCTATATCTTATACACAAGCGGCACAACTGGACAGCCAAAATGTTTGGTACACAGCCATAGTGTGATCTTGCAGCACAAGAAGACATCTGTTCTGCACAACTCTCTGACAACCGATGACATCGTCTTCCAATACAGTAGCACCTCATGGGTGCTCTGGAATATCATGATCGGTCATCTGTCCGTGGGTCCAACCTTGATTCTATATGACGGATCGCCCTTGTGGCCGAACGCAAAAGCAATGGCGAAGATAGCCGAGTATCACCGCGTGACATATTGGGGTTGCTCGCCTCGATACTTGCAGGAACTCGAGATGACCCGATGTATCCCAAAGGTCGAATTTGACCTTTCTTCATTGAGAATGGTACAGACGGGGGGTTCCCATCTGGGTGCCGACCAATACCACTGGTTTTATCGGGCATTCCCACCAAGTGTCCACCTAACTAGTGTGACTGGTGGGACGGATCTGGTAACCTCGTGGATTGGAACTGATCCCGCTGGCCCTCTGTACCCGGGAGAGATCCAGCTTCCCATGTTAGGCCAAGACGTGGATGTGGCAGACCCCGTTACGGGGCAGTCGGTGAAGATGACAGGAAACCATGGCGAGTTCGTCTGCCGTCAGCCTTTCCCGTCGATGCCGGTATTCTTCTGGGGTGACAAAGATGGGTCAAAGTACAAAAGCACCTATTTCGACAAGTTTGAGAATTGTTGGGCTCAGCATGATTGGGCAAGCTACAATCCTCGAACGAAGGGCTGGCAAATCCATGGACGAAGGTCAGTCAAAATTACTGTACATACTCATTCCATGCGCAACACTGACACTCTTGATTAGCGACGGTGTGCTCAACCCGCAGGGTATTCGCTTTGGCTCTTCCGATATATATTCCATCACTGAGTCGGCACCGTTCAACAAGGTCATTTCTTCCACTGTTTGCATCGGCCGACGCCGACCGCGTGATTCGGATGAATCAGTTTTCTTGTTCGTTGTTATGCAGCCCGGTCAAACATTTACCAGTCAACTCGCCCTCGAGCTAAAAGCTGCAATCAGAAAAGGACTCAGCAGTAAGCATGTCCCGCGATTTGTGCTTGGCGCAGACGAGATCCCTATGACCGTGAATGGGAAAAAGGTTGAGACTCTGGTGAAATCAGTTCTTTGCTCTGGAGAACTGCCTAAAGTTATCAGCAGCACTGTCGCAAACCCAGGGTGCCTGGAACATTTTAGGCAATATTACCACCTGGAGGTTGTCAAGGACAATAGAGGCAAGCTATAGAGTGGGGGCGGTTTGTGGCGCATTATAGCCTCTTTGGATGATAATCTCCTTGGCCGGCAAGGTTACCCTTCGCCTGTTCAATAAAAAAGAGTATAAGCTCTCGCTAGAGTATTATTAGTTTCTAGAAATTGATGTACTTGACCAGATTCATCTGATCAAGACCCTGAAACATAACTTGCCCACGTGGGTGGCTGAGCACTCGCTAGCGCGATATTCTAGAAGGAGGGGGTCGGGTTGCGCTTCACCTGCGATGTGTTGTCTACTTCTGAAAATCCAGCCTGATTTCAGATCCGTATCATCAAGTTAAACATCGAAGAGAAAGATGGAATCAAACCCAGCAGATCAAAAACTTGACCTTGAGCGCGTGAGAGTGGCGGAAGAGCTGAAACCGTTCGAAGACAAGCTGTTCAGCATTTTGCATGACCTACTTCAACCAGGTCCGATTATTAATGCTGCTGAAGCAGCCACAAAGATTAACGATCTTTTCCCTTCAAGTGAAGATGATACCGAGACTCCAGTTGATGAGAATGATTCCGCAAAAGACCCGGATGCCTTCTTGTGGTCTTTGTGGGGTCTGATCATCCAGGTTATGAGATTGGTTCCTCCTCAGCATCCGGGTCAAACACGTATGATGTCTTTCATGCAGTCTTTGGGAAAGCTACCATCGAGAACACTGGATATTTGGGGTGTAAGTGAAGAATTATTCCAAAGTTGAAGTTTTCTGGAGCTAACAAACAATAGAGTGACCAGAAGCTTTGGTCAGATTTCCCCATTCTCCGACCTTGTTTGAGGGACCATCTGGAGTGTGAGTAGAATTCTCTTCGGTGTGCATTTCATTTTACAGAATGCACTGACATTTAATAGATATTGGGGAACCTGATCCTGATGGCATCTCAGAGTGGATCAACCAAAACTCCTTCATGGCCCGGATTGTGGGAAAAGAACTCCTCAGCTGGGATACATTGATCATCTGGATGTTGAGAGATGCACTGGAAGACGACCTTCCGCAGGAGCAAATCGTTAGAGATTGTTACATCTCCGTTGTAAGTGAGTGGATCACACATGCTGGGCAGACCATCTATAGGCAACTCAGCGACAAAGAGTTGAGCGAGCAGCAGAAGCGCGTGACAAGAGGCGGCAAATTGTACCATGGGAAGCTCGGTGTATGCGCTGAGAGATGGGGTTTCTGGAAACAGCGAGTGGGCGAGATCAGCAAGGACGTGTCGAAAGAGCTACAACCTGTTGCCTTGGCTGTGGCAGACAGGATGGATGACATTGAAGAGCTGGCTCGGATTGAAAAGGAGATGCGTGAATGATATCATGATGGTGAGTTTAACGAGCTTATGATACGTAAGAAATGTTACATGACTTGAATGTGATGGCGGAATAGCTTATCGTTTACAGGAAGGGAATATTCGTCAAGTATTTTGAGTACTACTTAGTCCGTGTAGCTATGTAGAGGCAATAAGCATTCCAAATAACCGGAAGTAATGGGGATTCACTTTATATACAGCTCCTTGGCTGTGGAAGTTTCTGTAACCGGCTGCAACCCTGATAAAGTTGTCGTTCCAAATGCGGGCTCGAGAGGAGACTTCTTAATATTTTCATAATGTACACTTATAAGTTGAGCAGCCAGGAGCCACTCCAATCAAACCCTGACCCTTCCCAATTACTAGTGAAAGGCTCCAAACTGGTATCAAGAGCCGGGAAGCCGAAATCATCTGCCGCCTCGTCCGGCTGAGTACTGAAGGGTTGAACCACCTCATCCGAATCTTGAACCTCGGCCAGTGTACATGTAGCTGTAGTTACCGGCAAGGGAGTTGCAGGCTCGGCAGACTGCCCAATCAAGCGCCACTGCTTGCACAATTTAACATCGAACCCGTCGAAGAAAGAAGCCGTGTCGAAGTCAAGCTTTGGTGGTGGACCGTCTAAGGGGCCTTGTTCTCGGACTTTCTCGGTCAATTTGTTGAGAGCTCGGAGCGGTCCGACCGCAGAGAGCCACCTCTCGGATAACTTTTGAAGAGAGAGCTTGATGACCGTCAATTCATGCTCGGCCGTGCTTTGCAATTGGGAATATCGCCAACTTGACAGTAGGGACAACCCGCTGCAAAGGGGATAGAATGCAAACACAGGTCCTAGATAACGAAGCTCGTCGCGAAGGAGAAATTCTTCATAGATTCCTGCAATGAACGATGACGCGACCAGCGACGCTGCAGGTGGCACGCTATTCGGTGTAGGTGAGCGGTGCAGCATAGTCAGTACTACAAAGTACATGACCGAGAGTTGTTGGACTTCCAAATGTGAGGTTATAGCGTCTTCTTGGAGTGTAGCTGATGAGCGAAGCTTTGGGATAACCTGTTTGGCCCATCTATATATAGCATTTTCAAGATCAACTCGACGTTGTCGGGAGATCTCTCGTCTTAAGTAGCACTCCACGGTATCTCCCAGGTGGCAGGAAATCGTACAGTATGCCAGAAAGAGCTGCGCCTGGAAATCCTTCACAGGAAAGTCGTTCATGGATGGAGGAAGGACGTCACTATCTTTGAGGTTGATCGTGCGTGGTCTACCCACCCCGACAGATATGACATTATCCCGAACCTATGATCATATTAGGGGACAACACACAAGGTCTCAGAGCTATTAGTATTGCCGGGTACGCACCACTAGAGACCACCATAACCGTCGGCGAAGACCACGGTCCTTCGCATTGGGTGGAGGTTCCTTATGTAGTCCAATCTGGAAAGCCATTGCCCCAGCCGTTCGAATCCAGAACCCACTCGTGTCTGTCGAGACATCCTCGGGTCCGACCGGATTATACCAGTGCAATAGACAAGCAGCCACGATTGAAATCAGTGAATTATTGCGGCCGCCAAAGAAGAACAATAGTTTCGCACGCCGATAGAAGACCTCACTTGACCCGTAATCCAAGTGTGCCTTGGACACCCTACTTCCGGCCAGGAAAATCGACTGGAGAAGCAGCATCGATGGCGGCGTAGTCTGTTCCAGCCATTTAGGGTCAACCACCGGCGTCCACGGCGCGCAGTACTTGTTAAAGCTAAGCATCAACTCTTTCTGGACCGATAGAGGCGGTAATTCAAATGCGCCTTGCTCGCGTAACATCTGGAGATCTGCGGCTGATGCCTTTGGGCTGGTGTACGTTGTCTCGTGGCCCGGCTTCACCATATTTTCATCAAAAGGCACACTGCCGCCCAAGTACTCGCTCCGACCGCGGTAGCTTTCCTCTTTGATAAATGGCTCACCATTGCTTGCAGGGAGAGCGGTGGGCTCGCCATTATTGCCTACAGGAATTGCATTGTCGCCAAAGGACGATAGCCCCGGCTGTTCAACTCCGCCTTCAACGGGCGCATCGGCGGGAAGTTGCGAACTGCGCCGACTCACTGAGTCACTGTTGAGTACGCGCCCTGGCGACAGGCTATTGGTGAACCTCTTGCGCTTGCGTGTATATGGTCTTCCCAGATCAGCTTTTATGCCAATCCATCGCTGGAGAAGTTCTACTTACCTGCACTCCACATCGGACTTGGTGCAGTTGGTGCAAGGGTTGTGGGTCGCGAAATCGCATCTCACCTGGGGACCGTCAGTGAACTCGCAAACTTGGTCGACGGGAAGGACATTGTGGAGATACGATGGACCCCGCACTGCAGCTTCGGAGATAACATACCTTTCTCTTGTGGCAGATGATGCATGCGCTCGACATGGCGGTGATCGAATAGTTGGAGGATGGCAAGTGTGGGGTTCAAAGCCGAGGCATCTCCTCTGGCTTCCCCGAACCCCCAAACTCTCTCCTCCCGCTTGTGGAGCTTGCGATGCTCGCGACGCTGTTGATACTGACCATGTCCAACAACTATCATGGCGGAAACAACTGTAGTATTGACTGATAAAACCTCCAATCCGGGAATCACAATCGTCGCCATCAATCGACCCCAGAGAAAGAACGCAGTCGACCCTGCGACCGCAAAGCAGCTATACGAGGCCATTCTCGCCTTCGAAGAAGATGCAACGCAGAAAGTCTGCGTCCTAACGGGCATCGGGAACACATTCTGCGCTGGAGCCGACCTGCACAATGTCGCCCAGAAGACGGACGACTCTCCTCCAGCCGAGAACCTACAGCCCGTCAACAACCGCAACCTAGGTCCCATGGGCCCCTCACGGCTGATCGTGCAGAAACCGGTGATTGCTGCTGTAGCCGGATACGCCGTGGCGGGGGGACTAGAACTTAGCCTTCTTGCCGATATGCGCGTTGCCGAAGAAGACGCAGTCTTTGGCGTATTCTGTCGCCGTTGGGGCGTCCCTCTAATTGACGGCGGTACCGTCCGTTTACAAGCCATCGTTGGCCTGGGACGCGCTCTCGATATGATCCTGACTGGTCGTCCCGTGGGAGCTCAAGAAGCCCTCTCGATGGGACTTGCCAATCGCGTGGTGCCAAAGGGACAGGCTCTCCAGCAGGCACTGGAGATTGCCAAGCAGCTTATCGCGTTCCCGGAGCTCTGCATGAACACGGATCGTCGGTCTGCATACTATAGTGCCTACGAGGCATCCTCTTTCCAAGATGCCATGTCCCAGGAGTTCAACGCCGGGGTTAAAGTCGTCTCGAAGGAGGCAATTGCAGGCGCTGCCAAGTTCAGTAAAGGAGCCGGTCGGCATGGTAGCTTCAAAGAGCTTAGCAAGCTTTGATGTTTGTCTATATCAACGTTGTATATGAACCTGAAGGGCTTGCCCTCGTTGCTAGCGGGCAAGGCTTATCAGCCAAGACTCCGGCATTGTGGACAAGATCCACGAGGCCAGCATTATCCAGAATTCAAAGCTTTCGAATACAGTGTGTTCCACAGTTTAAAATGGTAGTATACATTAAATGGTTCATTCTCAAGGGTGGGATCTTCGCTCGAGACCACACTCACAAGAGAACAAACCCAACGTCTTAGGCAACGACGGCTTTTTATAACATGGAAGATCTCCCCTTGGTGGATTCAGACAACTAATCCCTAATTAGTCTTTTTCTCACCCTCCTCAGCCGGCTCAGGCGCAAACTGGATCCGCTTTCCATAAAGGAGCGGCGTCCGAGAGATCAATGATCCGACAGCGTACCCGATGTAGGCGCCGGTAAGAATGGTAATGGGGAAGGCTTGCCATGGGCGGTCCCTATATAATTCTTGTTAGCCAATGACCTCCCGGATGTTCAATGTATCAATTAGCAGAGCGTACCAATCAAGCGGGATCGGAATAGCTCCGAACCATGCACCTAGGCCGGTACCCAGAGCGCTACCCCAGACTGCGTCCGCGGGACGGGATATTCCCCAGACTTCCTTCCAAACTGAGGCATCCACGCCGTGTACATAGACCAGTCCGGTTGCGGACAAAAGGGCCATGTGTGCTGCACAGAGGAGCGTCTCCGCATTGTGAGTGGTGAGCGGGGCACCGAAGAGAACGAGGAGGACGGCAATGAAGGGGGTGGCGAGGAGAGATGTGAGAGAAAGTGAGAGGAAGGCAGGCTGTTAAATAAATGTTAGCAGTCTGTAGAACAAATCAAATGGAAACAACAGCAAGCATGACCATACCATTAACTTGGCCCAAGCAGACGCCCAAGAGCTCTTTCCCGATGAGTGCTTCCGCCGGTACCCAGGCTTTCCAGGGCGAAGGGAGGGCCCTGCAGGTGACCGGGGAGTCTTCTTCTTCTCCTCATCAGTTGCAGAGCCAGCTTCCGCGGATACCGTCCCAGCCGGCGGGAGACAAAGCATCACATAAGCGATTTGCAGGGCAGCCAGCCAAGGCAAATCTGCAAGAAGCTCCCGCACGGGGTCAGCAACCAGCCCCTCGAACCGCCATGCACATAGTCCCAGCAGAACTGGCGGGTGCGCGTAGGAGTATACCTGCGCGAGCGGGGATGGAAGGATGTTGACGGGTGGAGAGGAGGGTTTCTCGGCGGGAGCTTGGCTCGGTGAGCCTGAGGTGGTCAGGGTTGATGGGGGTGTTGGGGAGGCCATTGTGGGCGCATTGAATCTTGCGCTTCACTTTTGGGAAGATTCCTTCTCTCCCTGAGTGCTTTTTTGGAGCTCCGGTTGGCTCGGGATGAAGATGAAGGGGCCATGGAAGTGGGGATGTTTGACTTGATTGATTGATTTGGCGGCTTTGCATAGTTATGGTCGCCTTAAATTTCAGGCGGATATACGCGAAGTTCACGCTCGATGGCCACCTTCAAGACCCAGGATCAGTCTTGAGTGTTGTTAAATGATGCAACGTCGAGGTAGGGAGATGCTTCTGAACAAGGATATAAAATTCTGCTTCAAAACTGCCCACGATCCAAGCTGATATGCATCACTCCTAGTACTCTGACCCTGTACAAGGATCTTCTACAGGGAGCAATGGCCAGTTCTTTCCATGTTTATGTTCGGCAGGACCAAATCTAGAATTTAGGGTATCATTACCAGACAAAGGGCTACTCTAAGACTCAGAAACCTAGCGTAAACAAAGCATCGTGATGCCAATCCTTTCTCTAGAACGGCACCAACGCATCGATAGCAGACCCAAGCGGACAAGAATCCGACCAAATGGAGTTGAGAACAGACCCATCTGGGAAGGAAAAATATTGTCGAAGTATTTAGCAACATGATCCAGGCGTTGGCCCAGACTCTGGCCGGTAAAAACAGGCGCTCAGAATAATATCAACGCAGACAGGGGAGGTATGGGCACAAACAAACCAAGAGTGCCAACGGAATTGGAAGCCGTTGAGGCTTACAGGGATATCACACTGACAAAAACCAACGTGGGAAATTCAAGTCATCCGATCCCAAGTAGTTAATATTTAGCGCCAAACAACGCCAGGCTGAATAAGAACTAGAGACTCTGTTTAAGATTCCCAGGAACTTGGAAGGTACGCTGTATAAGGAAACGACTGAAGGGAGAGAAAGAGAAAAACGAATTTGTGAAGAAAAAGGGCTAGTCAAAGCGATACACAGTGGTTTTGAGTACAGTACTCTAACAAAAATGAAACAGGTTCGGAATCGTCGTATCTCGCATCAGCTCATGCGGATGTTTCTTTGTCGGTGGGAGTTACTTCCTTCGATGGTTCAGCGACAGCAGGGGCCTCCGCTGGTATTGATGTGCCTTCAGTAGCAGGTGTTTTCTCGGATTCAAGCTGTTTTTTGAACTCCTCGGCAGTCGCTGATGGTGCCTCGGGGCTGTTTGGCTCCTCGGGAATGGCAGGAGGAAGGCCTGCTCCGGGTAGGGGAGAAACAGGTGAGCGAATGGGCTCCTCCTTAGGCTGGTCGATAGACACATCGACGGGCAGCTTGCCATTTGCCTGGCTGGGAAGGCCGGGGGACAGTGGTTGATTTGCGGTGGATAGATCGGTGTCTAGCTGGTTGGGACTCTTTGCTCGTTCACGTTCATCCTTCACTACTTGAGCCATCTTCGCCTTGAATTTGCCGAATAGGCTTCTCTTCTCCGGTTCAGCATTTGGAATTGAGTTGCCCTGGATGCCTGCATCCAAACTCAAAGGCTGACTGGTAGGATCATTGCTCTGATGCGATCCGCTACCAAAGGAGGTGGTACTTTTCTCGGCACCAAAATCTGTGGCAACTAATGGAGGAGAGGCGAGACCAAGTCCGATCTGCTCACTGCTGCGTTTCGCCGAGCGATGGAACCGCCAGCTGCGTCGTTTATCTCGACGTTCAGAGCGCGAGCCATCCTCCGGCTGGTCCAGATCTGAATGATCCGTGAAGGACGACCGAGAGTTCATTGACGGCGTACGCGACTGATGTGGTCTTAAGGAATTCTCGGTATTAGGATGCGAAGAGCTATCGCCCAGTGTGGGAGTTGATTCAGAGGGTGCATCACGGTTGCTCAGCGTCGCGGTGTTAGGAGGTTTCGGGGTAGTGTCTCCTACCACACCGTCGACGGACTTTCGCTGCGAGTTCGGCTCCAAGGACGTGTCCCAGTGTGGGTCGAGAGAGTTGGTTGAGCTCTGCGCACTGATGCTTGCACTACCTGGGATACGCTTCTTCCTGAGACGGTTAGGCTGCCGGGCCTCTCCTTCGGGCGGTGGAGATTTGGTAAAGAGGTTAGACAACTTTCGCTCACGGGTCGGAGTGACAACCTGAGGAGGTGGTGGAGACGCAGGGCTGGATACGCCTTGCAGTTGAATGCTCTGTGGTGGTACAGTTGCTGGTGCGGGATTTTGCGGGGGATTTTGCGCAACGTGGTTGTCTTGTGGCAGAGTACGCTCGACGATGTTAAGCTGCTCAGCTGTTGCGACCGGTATAGGGCCATGAGTTGATGTATGCACAAAGGCGCTTCCAGTAGGAGCCCCCGACGGGGCAGTGCTAGGCTTTTTTGGCTCAGACTCTTCACGCAAAGAAGGGGCTCGGCTTCCAGACCGAGAGCTGTGATGGGAAATCGACAGGCCAGACGGGTTACCAGAGCCGCTTTCCCCAGCGCGCGCAAAGCGGGCCGACGCCACAACGGGGCCCATCTTGGAGGGAAGGGTGTTGCTTCGATGAACACCACCACCCGAGGTTGATGTGGGCGTACCGGGGCTAGGAGCGTTGTTTGAGTGACGGGAATTGCGGGAGTTGCGAGACGACACGGAGACATTTCTGCGAATGTCGATCTTGCGGTGACTATCATTGCCACCGCTTGCATTTGAGACAGATCGCCGAATGTTTGAGGTATTTGATGGACGAGGTACTACGCCGCCTTCAACTTCCTTGGCAGATGGGGCAGGTTGAAGGCCAGCTTCAACCTCTTTAACTTGTTGCTCATCGGGAGTAGTGCCGCTCATTCCGACCAAAAAGTGGTCTTGGTTCTCAATGAGGAAAATCAACACATCCTGACTCAACTTGTACTCCTCTGGCGACATATCGTGTTGCGGGTGAGACAACATGCCGGGTTGGAAGATAGCCGAAAGGTTGGCTGAAGTCATGCGGTTCTGGTCCGACTTGGATGCAAAGACGGCGAGGAGATCCAGGATATAGAGAAGCAGCTGCTTATTCAACGGCGGGAGCTCGACGATCAGGCGCTGGTAGGTTTCAACAGCCTTGCCGGGATCGAATTTCTCGGCCTCGACGCCTTCTTTTTCATCTTGGACTTGTCTCTGATAGATGCGCAAGGGTTCGCGGAAGCGCTCGTAGAACTCTAGAGGAACGATTGGCTCGGGCAACTGGTTCAAATATCGACGCAGGACGTTGGCGGCATCGTGGACGGTGTATCCAGACCAATCGAGGCCTTTACCGTAACGCTCGGGGGAATCAAAGATCTCTTGCAGATCTTTAATGCGCTTGGCAGACCCGTTTAAGCGGAAGATGCCCTCTACATCGGTGGCTATGTCGAATAATGTCAGTAGTGTATCAACCAGTGAGCGAGGCATAGACGCTCTGGGTTTACGAACCTCGGTCCTTCAGGAACACGCCGCACTTGGCCACGACGATGGGTACGTATCCATAGATGTGGCTTTTGCCATGTTCGCCGGTCAGCGAGATGGCCACGTTCGCGTATTTGATGCTGACATTGAGTGGCACGCCAAAGATGCCTCGGGGTTGTTCTGATCCAAGAAGCGGGTTAGCTTATGTTTCTGAACGGACAATGCCCGCCAGACGAGACAAGGCTCCGCGATGGGTGATATTCCGCCATGACAGCAGGACGAAGAAAATTAATATCTCAGGACTGCTAGGAAATGCAGTCAGGGGACTCGCGATGTGCAGCGATCGCAGACATGTCAGATCGCGCAGAGCTGCTATCAGACGGGGCGCCGCCAATTTCGCGCTCCCCATTCTTGGAGCACTACCAGCACCACGTACCTTTAACTTCATCTTTCCGTGTATTTCGTTTGAACTGCCTCCACCAGGAGGCCAAATCTCGCTTGGAAGGCGGGGAGTTGGAGCCGGTCGGGTCAGGGGAGGTGGCAGGGAGCTGAACTGGCTCGACGCCTGGCTGCGACTTGCCGGTCACCATGGTGAACCGGTATCGAGAGAACGGGGCCGGTTTCGAAGAGGCACGAGGGGGGAGGGAGAGATAGAGCGTTCGGCGAAATGAGTACGACGGTTCAAATCAAGAGTGTGGAGGGGAATGAGGGATGATCGCGGGAACAGTCAAAGGCCCTGCGTCACCGCCCTCGTGTAGAAAATCCCGTGGAAATCCTGGGGCTGGGCCCAGGATGGCGATGGCAAAGGAACAGGGGGATCTCAAGTCGTCGCAACAGCAGGGGGAGACGTGGGATGGACCGAAAGGAAGCAGGGCGAATGAATAATAAGAGGGAAGATGGAGCGTGTGAAAGAGACAGGATGAAGAAGGGATGCGACAGAGTTCGACAGGGTTGTGGTTGTCAGGGTTCGAACTGGCCGAGGGGGGGGTCCCGAGGAGGGGGGGCCGATGGGTTTTGGGTCAATTTGGGTTGAGGAGTGGGCACGAGCCACAACTGTGGTCTTCTCGGGACCAAAGCCCAATGATTCGGTGGTCCCAAAGGGGGCCAACGGGACGAGAGATGAGCAGAAATGGAATAAAGGAGGAGAGTCGGAGAAGGAGAAGGAGAACAGCTGGGCGGAAGATTGAAGTTTGTCCGTCGAAGCCACTAGGCCGATGGCCTAGATGTCCAAGCGTGTGCTAACGATGAATTGCACCGATAGGGATGAAAGAGTTCCCCCAAGGTAGGTAAAAAAGGGAGGCCAGACTGGTAGACAAGCAGAAGGATCCGTAGACCCAAGTGATTGGCAAAGACTAGAGCAAAAGGAGAGCGCCGCACGAAGGAAGAATCGTCGAGAGAGTCGAGCCCCCAAAAACGAGGACGAGGACGAGGACTCTACATGAAACGGGACCCTATGCGCGCGCCTCTGAACCAGCCTCTTATATGACGGAATGGATATGGAGTTATGGATATCAGAGAATACAGAAAGGTTCTGGAAGTAAAGATAGAAGACCCTTGTGGAGTACACAGCACAGAGCACGAAGGACAGTACAGACTACTGTCCTGGTATGCCCTGGGATGGTGGTACGGCTGGCAGGATTACGCTCCCAATTTTCCATCGTTTCCAGCGTGACCTGCAGAGATTCATAAGGAACATGCCGACTACTAGTTACTAGTGGACAATAGTCACTACGCATCCATGGATAGACTGGATTATCGTTCTACAGAACTACATTTATTAATAGCAACTCGAACCCCCCGGGACCGTTGGCGGGACCGAGTGTCTGGACGGGGCCATTTGGGAGGCGGAGAGTCTCGAATGACCGCCGGATCCAGGAACCAGCTCCATCGGTTCCAGCAAACCTGAGGTCGTCAGGCACCACCTCGGTTGACGAGCCCGGGAGGATGAAAAAAAAAAAAAAAAAAAAGAAAAAAAAAGGCCGTGAAAGAGATGAAAAATTGGAAGAAGTAGACAGGATCGCGTTTGGTATATCTGTAGTCGAATTACATAGCTTCGCAAGAAGCAAATAGCTGACATCAGTCTGCAGAGCAGGCAGAACTTCTTGAGGAATATGTGCTCCAAATCATGTCTACCAGCCCAAGTAGCCGACTGCAAATGGATACAAACAATGATTTTCAGAGCCTGCACCATGGTCCTCTCAATCTCTGTCATTTTCTGGCGTCAGAAATTCGAGCTGCCGTCTGTACAGTTGTCTTACTCCAGAATCCAGATCCGTTTCTAGGAAGCTCTGGGGATGATTCTTCGGCACAGTCTTTGATGGGCACGGGACTTGAGCTCCACACCACAAGCAACCGATCAGGTGACTTGTCTCTGCAAGCAATCATGTGACTTTGAATGAGATGCCATACCCTCTGGACACAGTCTGACTCACGTGATTCAATCCCGGTCCGCGGACAAACGTAGTTGCGCCGAGAAGCAGCTTCGGAGCTCCACGCCTCGCCGAACCGGTTGTTATTTTGCACGCAGACGTCCTTCCTAACAACCACTTAATCTCATTCAACTCTCTATCACACATAATGGACGGGTATGTCTTCCTTCAATCGCCATCAACAATAAAAAAAAATGGCATCTCCATCTCGCCAGCAGGTTCCGAAACTGACAAATGACATGGTGATAGCCTCAACGCAAACGAGCAGCGCGAGTTCGCTGCCCGCATGGAGCGGAAGCAGCTCAAGGAGTTTATGACTGTACGCTTCACCCAAATTTACCCCCTTCCACGGAACACCTATCCCACCCGGCCGTTCAATCTGGCATACCTCAATTTCGGACTTTCGAATTGAATCCGTCTTCGCCATCTTTTTCCAGCCTTACTTCGAGTCTTCCCGCTAGAACCCTACCTCATTTCTAATACCCCTCTCTAGATGTACTCCAAGATGGTCCAGCGCTGCTTCGATGACTGCGTCAACGATTTCACCACCAAGTCCCTGATCAACCGGGAAGAGCAGTGCATCATGCGTTGCGTCGACAAGCACCTCAAGAGCTCCCAACGTCTGAACGAGCGCTTCCAGGAGCAGAACGCCGCCATGATGCAGAGCGGCCAGCTGGGCGGCAAATAAGTGTTTAGTCTCTGATATCCTGGATCCCGAGGGTGCCTTGACAAAGACGACAACGATCAAGGCAGGAGATGGAGAGAATGTTGTGACGATGATAGAAGAAGAGTTGTGCTTCGCTCGGACCGAGGTCAAGACCGAGTAAGATCTTGACCTAGACGGTCCGGGAACCTCCCCTCTCTGGGAGCCGATTGCAAAATCCCCCGGTGGACAATGCTCGTATAGCCGTGTTCATGGAGGTCTACGGGAGGTTCTGCTGGGGGTTTGGGCTCCCTTCATGTACCATAGTGATTTGGACGGGATGAAATACGGAGAATGATCGTCCCTATTCATTTCGATTCCTCAAATATAAAAGCGGCATCGCCCCAGTCTGATGTTAAAGCATAGTCTCGCTAAGCCGAGTGCCAAGGTCCAGATAGGATCATGTCTGGGAATGTAGAGTACAGTCTTTCAAACCCTAGTCCCATCAACAACTAAACCAGATATCTATTGAGAGTCAATTACAGGTTCAGTATGTGCAAAGAAATGACACATAGGGCGAATATAGGTAGACGCCGTGCGTCTACAACGAGCACTGTTGGCCGAGCGAGGCTCACATTGCTGCGGAAGAGGACAGAACTCGACAACATTCAAACTAGAGCTCTGTATATGACCTTATACGGAAATACGCGCTTATGCCCATTAAAACAACCAATTTGTGCTCACCAGGAAATCCCCTAATACAAAACTCAAGAAGTAGTCCAGGAGGGTTTCGACGAGCCAACAGACGAGTCGGATAGGTTGTTGTTGCAAGCACTTGATAAGTGGACAGTTATACCCAGTTCAGCAACAACAGCACATCCATTCGCAATGAGTAATTCTAATTCGAGAGTCCTAATCACAGACTTCTATCACAGTCCACATCACAGTTGACGCTACCTCACCCCCAACCTTCTCCATCACCCTCCGACTAGCCAGATTATACTGAGCCACATCCGCATGAACCCACTCTGTCAGTTGCTTCCGCGCCATTTCATCTTCCCCTTTGCCCCCAAACATCCCATCCGGATGCATTCCCCGACGCATAGTTTCCATCGATAAGCAAGAAGCAAGTCCCTTGCCCCGGTGGCCAGGCTCAACATGCAGCGTCGCTAGAGCGCCATCTAGGCCGAGGAAAGCCCACGCGATGGGCATTTCATCCTTCTCCTCGCAAGCAGCATATGTAGAGTCTGAGCCGCCATGCGTATTTTCTTCTTCCCTCGAGTCGTGGTATATCACCACGCTCGGGATACTCGACAATTGCGCTTTTGACCGTGGAATATACGTACGGCTCTGGACAAGGCCCAGCTGCGAGGCGAGGACACCGAGTCTCCCGCGTCTATCACAATACCGATGGCCCTTTGGCAAAGGAACCTCACCCCCAGCAAGGACGAAGTCGAGGCGGGACTGTTGAAAGAAATATTTCAGGTAGGGCCGACCATCGAATCGATGAATCTTTATACCGCGATAGGGGTCTAGATCCACGTCTGCGTCGATCAGTGGATAGGCGAACGTCTTTGAGCATAGAAGAAGCGTGAACAGGCCCGTATGTAGTGACCCGATCAAAAAGGCCTTCGGGTCTAGAGTAAACGCGTCGTTGTTGGAAATTGGTGGTGATTTGGCTCCGATTGCGGATAGTGATGTCAGGTACTCTGGTAGTAGGTTGGCCTTGACATATAACAGTATATTTAAGAGTTGCTCTCGGGTGACGTCTAGGTGCTCCGGGCTAGCTGTCAGGAACGACGCAACGAGATTCGTGTTGATGGAGTCTGGGCCGCTAAATCCTGTTCCGCGCGATTTGGTTGCTTCATGCGCAGGATCAGTAGGGAGAGAAAATACTGCCGGAGGTGATGTATGTTCGGCCTCGAGGCTAGAGTACAGAAATATCTGGGTTTCTCGGCCCCGAAAAAGATCTACTCGTGCAACCAGCCAGGGCTGGCTAGGTGGCGGTGACGATCCGGGAGGGAAAGTTGCTAAGATTCTGGCGGTTGGAGATGGGTAAGCAATGCCATGTTGAATACGACGTAGAAGGGCAATTGTGCAGCTAGATGAGGAAGAATTCCGAACCCGTGTTGATAGATTTGAAGCTTCCCAGTTGCCATGGAGAATAATAAGCTGTTCGATGTACGTATTGCGAGGCGATGAAATGCAAGTCAGAGCGGGAGTTCTTTTATTTCTCTCGATTATTATCTTCCCATTCTAATTTTAAACCACTCAAGTCATCAGTTTTAATCCTTGTGTGCTGGTTACTATGAATGCGAATACCGATAAGGGATCCAGACCAGCGAGATTAAGCGAGTGGCTTAAACAAGTTCAACGCTTAAATACAAAACCGCGTCATCTCCTTGCTTTTAGGGGATTGAGTGCGCGCCTCAATCTATTGCGGTCCGCTCAATCATTCATCTGTACCAGAAGTTCAGGCGCTACGGACCCTGATCTACGGTCTGGACGGGCCGATCCCGGCACGATCGTGGGCCACGATGAGAGCCGACGCCGAGCAACGAGCTTACACTACCAAATATCGTGTTTTCCGGCCATTTGGTACGTGCTTCGTCGGTACGGACGAAGCCATAGTACTAGTGGGTAGGGTGGCTATTTTTGGATAAGTGACAGTGCCATGACTGACTAGTGTGGACGGAAATAATGTAGCTTATTTTTTTGTATAGTATTAGCGTGTCATGTGATTAGTGATTAGGACTGGGCATGTTTCGGCAGTCTCGGATTCTAGATATGTACGAAGTAGCTTCATCATAACAAACCTCTTGAGAAGAATGATAGAGCGCTTGGCGCCTGGCCATGATCTTGGCGTGATTGGTCGAGTACCGCGGAATTGCAACTTTTCTCAAACGCCGGAACCCTTTGCCCGTTTGGGAACCCGCGAGGGAGAAACTGCGATAAGACCGGGGGCGGTCCCGTATCCCGGCGGCTGGACAGGATTCCCCTCTCGTGAGCTCTCCATCCTTATGCGGGGTCAGATTCGCTATGTTCTTTTATAGATTCGATGCGATGAGCTTACTACTCGCTTCCGCCAAGATGTCATCCAGTAGACTCTGTGATGATTCTCAACATTGTATAGTCACAAGTTTCTTCTTTGTGTAATCTGACTATCGATTGTCTTCTGCATGATTCTCTTGTCCTGGTGGGGACGGAGACGGACCGTGTCGCTGTGCTTTTCCGAGGGCATCCACTCGAGAGCTGGATAGCTAGCTCGATAGCTACCTTGTAGATAGCTCGACGCTCCAGTAGATTCAAAGATAGACTGCATCGACCAAGTCTCCCAATTATAACCAGCGGAAAGCCCCTAGATCGCAAAGCTACCGGGCGCGTCGGGCCAGCCAGCCGTTGGAGACGGGCCCCTCACGCTCTCCTCATCTCCTCTTCTCTCCTCTTCAGGTTCCCATACTTTACCGTATTCTTCTCCCACCTCCTCAGTGCGCTTCTTCCCCCACTCCCCTCATTGCCTGCTTGCTCCACTTTCCACTTTCCACGCAAATTGCAGCCCTTCAAAACCCTTCACTCGTCCGCTTTCCTTTCCTTCCCGTCCTTTGCTCTAACCTGCAAACTTGGTAAGTCTTTTCTGTGTCCCCCCCCCCCACCTTCCGCCGACTCCGTCACTGACCACCACCGCCTTCTAGAGTTTTGTGTGGGACGAAAGCACATAACTTCCTTCACATACAACCATGGCCAGCACCGTAGGAAAGGTACTTTGCTCCCCAATCCCGGCCATACTATTTTTTACAAGGTTGATCAGGAAACTAACAATGCCCGCTAGACCATCACTTGCAAGGTAAAGCTCAAGCTCCCCTTCCGATCCCGCGCGTAATGACGTTGGCCTTACCCCGCGCTACACCACAATGCGCGCCGCAATACACCCCGCCATCAATTGCACCGACTGGTACCCTTCCATGACCTAAATTCTAACCGAATTGTTTTCATAGGCTGCCATTGCCTGGGCTGCCGGTGAGCCTCTGTCCGTCGAGGATGTCGAGGTCGCTCCCCCCAAGGCCCATGAGGTCCGCATTCAGATTCACCACACTGGTGTCTGCCACACCGGTAAGCCCCGCGATTAGGCCCCGCCATGCACAAAGCAATGCGCAAGGTCAGGGAACATACGAGATGGTGTACTGATCCCCCAACTAATTAGATGCCTACACTCTGTCCGGCAAGGACCCCGAGGGTGCTTTCCCCATCGTCCTGGGTCACGAGGGTGCCGGTATCGTCGAGTCGGTCGGCGAGGGTGTGACCTCTGTCAAGCCCGGCGACTACGTGATCGCCCTCTAGTATGTTTTCTTCTCTGATTTCTCATGCATGGCCTCTGCTTTTTGCATTGGCTTTTTTTTTCTTAGATGAACCCCTCAACTCACCATGTTCTAGCACCCCCGAATGCCGTGAGTGCAAGTTCTGCAAGTCTGGCAAGACCAACCTCTGCGGCAAGATCCGTGCTACCCAGGGTCGGGGTGTCATGCCCGACGGTACCTCCCGCTTCAAGGCCCGCGGCAAGGATATCCTGCACTTCATGGGTACCTCGACTTTCTCCCAGTACACCGTCGTCGCCGACATCTCCGTCGTCGCGGTGACCCCCGAGATCTCCACTGACCGCGCTTGTCTGCTGGGTTGTGGTATCACCACCGGTTACGGTGCGGCCGTTGAGACCGCCAAGGTCGAGGAGGGTTCCAATGTGGCTGTCTTCGGCGTCGGCTGTGTCGGTCTGTCCGTCGTGCAGGGTGCTGTCAAGAACAAGGCCGGCATGATCATTGCTGTTGATGTGAACGATGGCAAGGAGGCTTGGGCTCGCAAGTTTGGTGCTACCCACTTTGTCAACCCTACCAAGCTCCAGGGCAAGACTATCCAGGAGCACCTGATTGAGATGACGGATGGTGGCTGCGACTACACCTTTGACTGCACTGGTAACGTCGGTGTTATGCGTGCTGCTCTCGAGGCCTGCCACAAGGGTTGGGGTCAGAGCATTGTTATTGGTGTTGCTGCCGCTGGCCAGGAGATTTCCACTCGGCGTAAGTCACCCTGTCTCTGCTATCTTACTGCAGTCGTCTTAATATCCCAACTCATACTAACCATTTTTTTTTTTTTTTTCATAGCATTCCAATTGGTCACCGGCCGTGTGTGGAAGGGATGTGCCTTTGGTGGTATCAAGGGTCGTACCCAGTTGCCCGGTCTTGTGGATGACTACCTGAACGGCAACCTCAAGGTGGACGAGTTCATCACCCACCGGGAGCCTCTGTCAGCCATCAACACTGCCTTTGAGCAGATGAAGGCGGGAGACTGCGTTCGCTGCGTGGTGGATATGAAATAGACTGTTGTGATACGTGATATAGTTGATGACGATCCCAAAAAGGCTCGATGTGAAATATGACTTCCTTTTGTTGTGATGAATATAGTTGTGCCAGAGTCTCAATGTAGTGTTGTAGAGTCATCAGCTCGCCAGACAGTATCCCAAGGGACGTGAATGGTTTTAGTAGGTATTGGGAATTCCACAAGGTCCTCACCCCGAGACACCTTGGTGGTTGGTATTACCTGGACGAAGTGTGTGTCAGTTAATCATCCCTCTCTCGTATGATGTCTCACCTTATGGAGGGATTCAATTAACCTAACCCATCTTCACTCCCAACCCTAAACCAACCCAATTCCAGCATAGTCCTCTCATAACGATAACCCGCGGAGCAATCACCCAACTCCGACACCTCAAACTATACCTCCTCTCCCGGTCACCGCTTACAATCGGCATCACCATCGATACGAGGCTGCCAAACCTTCGATCCCTTCCATTTTCATCTTGCACACCTTGCACTAATCCACTAACCCACGATCATCACCCGATAACCACAGCGGCTCCCTCCTCACCAGCCAGTCATGCCAGTCATCTGGCTGCGGCAAATGTCCGGCTTCCCCACTTAAGGTTTCTTCTCCGCAGTGATGTGATAAGGAGCACCCCTCCCGATCTCGGTATATTTTCGGTTAATTAGGTACCGTTCTGTGCTGTGTTATGCTGTAGGGGCGGGATGCATGGATGATAGGCATTGGGATTGGATCGGTTGGTCCTGATGGGGTGATTTTGGCGATGGGGGGAGGAGGGGGTGATGCATGCTGCGTGTTGCGTGTTGCATGTCCTGCATGTTTTTGGTGGTGGTTGTGGATATTCACGGACGATGGCCGTGAGGGTTAGATGTATGTAGATAGTAGTTAGATAGTATGTAGGAGGGGGGTTGACATATAAAATGCCCTTATGTCTCTCTCATGGCATGGATTTGACTCCATTGAATCAAGTCTGAGTCTACTGTTTCCAATTCTATTATCCTGCCATTCTACGAGATCTTTACTCTGTACTCCTCCGATACCTACTCTGCTCTTATATAATCCCACCTTACTACAAGACTATCACCACTATACTCTACACTGTCTACTACAATGACTATCACCCCTTCCACAAGCAATCTATCTACCACAACCTCCCCTCTCCCCCTCCCACCCCCCTTCTCCACCATCCCCCGAACCCCCCTCCTCCTCGGCCCCTCCCCCCATCCACGCCCTCCCCCCGCATAACCGCCGATCTCGCTACCAACAACCCCCATCCACAAGTCACCATCTACGCCAAACGCGACGACCTCAACTCCGCCTACGCCTACGGCGGCAACAAGACCCGCAAACTAGAGTACCTGCTCGCAGACGCGCTCGCCCAGGGCTGCGACACGCTGGTCTCCATCGGCGGCGTGCAGAGCAACCATACCCGCCAGGTTGCGGCCGTCGCGGCGCGGAGCGGGCTTAAGGCGCGGCTCGTGCAGGAGCATTGGGTTGAGTGGGAGGATGGCGGGTATGATGTTGTAGGGAACATCCAGTTGTCGCGGTTGATGGGTGCAGATGTGAGACTTGATCCGTCCGGGTTTGGCATCGAGCATAAGAATACCGTTCGGTCTGTGGTGGACGAGTGTGTAGCTGCGGGCGAGAAGCCGTACTATATACCCGCGGGGGCATCAGACCATCCACTCGGGGGACTGGGCTTTGCGCGGTGGGCGTTTGAAGTCCGACAGCAGGAGGGTGAAATGGGCATCTTCTTTAACACGGTGCTTGTGTGTGCCGTGACCGGGTCGACTTTCGCGGGGATGATCGCTGGCTTCAAGTTACTCGCCAAACTGTACCCGGATGATCCCCCGCGCAAGGTGATCGGGATCGATGCCTCGGCGACCGTGGATGCGACCCGCGCGCAGGTCCTCCGTATTGCGCGCAGTACGGCGGCGAAGATTGGACTGCGCGAGGAGGATATCTCGGAGGAGGATGTGGTTCTGGATGATCGGTATCATGCGGGGGTTTATGGGGTGCCTGATCGGAAGACGTGGGAGGCTATTGAGTATGCGGCGAGGATGGAGGCGTTTATTACGGATCCGGTTTATGAGGGGAAGAGTTTTGCGGGGATGGTCGATTTGATTCGGCGTGGGGAGATTGAGGGGGGAATATCTTGTATGCCCATTTGGGAGGGCAGTTGGCTTTGAATGCTTATTCGGAGATTGGTCGTGTCCAGAAGTAGAGGGGAGGGAGTGTGAAGCAGTCAAGGTATAGAGGTAGCAATTGACTTTTGTTGATAAGCGTAACTGTGGATCTACGATGATACTACTGGGTACGAGGCAGGAATACTTCGAGGGGACGAGAATATCAATTTCAGTTTGCATTGCAGTCAACGAGAGACTATAGTTAGGATGGTGGTCAAGTTAGACCAGAAGGATCAACAAAGGGTAGCCTCAATTACAGCAGCTTGTGCTCGAGGGTCATCTCCGACTCGGGCTGGAGACCAACGCAGGCACGGAAGATGTTGATCAGGGCAGAGCGCTGCTTGCCAAGAGCGTTAACAACCGGGGTACCGGGAGGAGTCAGGGGAGCCTTGAGCATGTAGCTGAGCACGCTCAGCACACTGTGGAAGCCCTTGTACTCGGCACCCTCGCTGTCAGCCTTCCAGCTGACACGGGTCATCATCTCGGCAAGAACAACCAGATCAATGATCAGAGGAGAAGCCAGCAGAGAGTCCTCGCAGATGTTGAACAGACTAATAGTCTGGTGACCACCCATGAAGATCTCGGCGTAGTACTCGTCCAGAGCACGCTTGTTGTCACCCACGGCAGGCATGTACTTAATGACAACGGTGTGATCCGGGTGCTCATCCTTGCCGTACAGGATGTGGTTGGCAGCAACCATGTCATCCACAACGTTGGACTTGGAGATCTCCTTGGAGCGGAACTGCTTCTGGGAGCTCAGGTTCTTGCCGTCGTTGTTACCCAGGTGGTTGTAGCTGGCAATGGAGGTGATCTTGATACCAGCGTTGATCAGGAAGTCAACCAGGGCGGACTTCATCTTGGTCTGGCCAGACTTGAAGTCGTCACCGCCAATGAAGGCACCACGCTGCTCAGCGAACTGCAGAGCACCGGGGACGAAGGTGTTCTGGGGGGAGCCGTTGATGAAGGGAGCATTCTCCAGGATGGAAGCAATAGCGAACACGGTGGAGGGGGAGACCTCCTCGTGGCCGTTCTTGATCGAGTTGATCAAGTTCTCGGCAGTATCGTTGACACCGGGGACAATGTCAGCGTAGCGCTCAGTGTTGGCGGTCCACATGACAATGACCTTGTCGAGGTCGTTCTTAGCCTTGAAGTCGCTGTGCCTCTAGTTAGCAAGAGCAATGATCTCCACAAAACTACTGCAGAGGGGGTACTCACCGAATGTCCTTCTGGATCTGCTCCACGTGAGCCCAGCAGGCCTTGGTACCCTCAATGACATTGTCGGCACGGTCCTCCTGGTTGGCGGCGATGAAGTCCGGGTAGTAGATGGAAGGCAGGGGCTTCATCTCGGCCATCTCCTTGCGGACCAGGGTCTTGAGGCTGGGCTCCAACACCTGGGCACGGTCCATAGAGGCCGCGAGGTCAAGGCTGCTGATATCCCAACCGCCAATGACAAGGTCGTTGGGGTGGACCATAGGGAGCAGGTCACGGAAGGGAATGTTGATCTCCTCGCCCGTCTTGGCATCAGTTCCAAGCTTGACGGTCGAGCTCATGACGATCGAGCCGTAGTAGTTGGCATTCTGCTGACCCTCACGGGTCTCCCAGGAGAGACCACGGCGGTTGGCAATGATACCGGCGGTGACGGTGGAACCGTTGTTTCCACCCCAGCCGACCAGCATCATACCGACCTTGCCGACCTTGCGCTCCACCTTGAAGTTGTAGTTGATGGCCTTGGGAGTGGCCACCATCTTGTTGTCCGCAGTGCGGGTGATCTCGGTGGTCTGGTAGGCATACTGACTCTTGATCTCGTTGTCGGTGTAGACAACGTTGGGCGACTGAACAGTGAAAAGAGGGGTGGCCTCTTGGCGAGCCGACCCGTTCACGGTGCCATTGGCAACATCCGAGCTTGCGTGGGGAGCCATTGCGTTCACAGGAGTATTGATGAGAGTGGTTGAGATTTGAGAAGAGTGAACTAGAGCGTGCTCAGAATGGATCTACTGCAAGTATAATGCGTAATCCGATGCCCCTCCACGGTTGGAAGTGCGTCGGCCGTTGAACGGGTGGTGCCGCCTGGGAAGAAGCTGGTTAGCGACTGCATTGAACGGAAAGTTGACGACGACATTGCCTCGAGAGCAGACCGAGGAGGCCGACGAGGCGAGGGGGGAAAGACTCACGAGTTAAGCTGAGTGGCGAAAATTTTGACGGTTGTATGTGATCACTGTCTCGAGGAGAAGTGATCGAACCTACTGACAAGGCTTATACGAACCGAAAAAAGGGGTTGGTAGCTGGAGGAACGAAGAGAGTTGGTTGCGGGAAGAAAGTGGGCAGGGACTGGTTAAATAGTGGCAGCACGAAGGGTTGGCCCACACGTGAGGTCCGCTTGTCTCCGGGGCTCTCCTGTCTCTCCAGTTCCCCCCCCTTTTTTTTCCCTATGTGTGATTCCCACATCTTCTTGTTTTTTTTTTCACTACTCTCCCGGTCAACAATCTACTTGGACCAATCAGGAAGTTCCGGATTCAAGAGATCTTCGATGGATTTCCAGGACCAGCTGGTTGTTGGGCACTAGCTCCTTCAAGCCGACTGCGGGCGACTGCCATCCGGTGCCTACCACTTCTTCATTTGACGCAAGCCAGTCCGTCTTGACCTCGCCTAATGCTAATTGCATTTATGGAGCACCAGCAAAAGTGGGCATCCACGAGTACTGGGGCCAGTCGATGGCTTCCAAAGAGTCTTTGTTGGGCCAATGGAGGCCGCTATTCCCGTTGGCCACGGTACGCTCCGCTTCTGGCCAGGCTTTGTCGGGTACCTGGACTCGCGTAATGGTTCCAGCCTTTGGCCAGGTACCCCTTTTTCGCTGGAGGCTACGTTTTCATCAACAGGTCGAGAACTTGATGCTGGTCATGCAATATGCCATTGATCAAGCCATTGATCATAGAGTTAACCCTCTCGAGGGACGACTGTGACCCGTTTTGACCCCTCGGACTCGACCCAGCCGGTGATCCGTGCTCGCAATCGCAAGGAGGGGCAATCGTTGTCTAATCATTCGTTCACTGATCGGCTTTCGCGGGGCTCCAAACTGGCGGTCTGCAGTTCCGGGCTCCCCTCGGCCCTGGTTCCTGCATTTGGTGCCACATACGGAAGTACAGAACTGCTGTTTACTGCACGGCTGTGCTGGTCACCGCACTTCTGGCCTTGGTTTTGCCGGCCACATCACCAATGGCTTGATAATCGTCAATGTGGTGGGATCATTGCCCCTCCTGGCGTCGTACATAATCAAGTAATATATCTCTGTACTTCATGTTCCGTAAACAACCCGTAGTGTTTGGATCTGCAAACTCAACTCAACTAACACATCCTGTTGGAATCTTCCTCTACTCGTGATCATATTCCAGTCTCGCTTGTGATCGTCGGACCTCTCCGTAAGGCCTAATCCAGAGGAGACCAAGTACGATCCGCGGATTTTGTATGGGGAGCTCGAATTCTGAAGCTTTGCTGTTGTCTTGGAGCAGAGGTCTTGCAATTGAGAACCAGTTATTACTCCCTTTCGAAATATTGCTGTTTACCTGTGGAAGTTAGCTACCTCTATAGACAGCTTGAGCATGATCTTCTGGTATGTTGTTCCGTATGAGCCAGAGTATTGTCCATATTCAAGTCTTCTAGGCTTCAATGTATTACTTGTTTGAGTTCTCCCGATTGTCCACTCCCCAAGATGCCGCAATGATTACAACGACATCAAGATTCGCGTCTCGGAACAGATCGTTCCATTGGATCCATTCACGTACCCATTGACACGTTGCCAAAATCTGAATTTCGCGATAACGAGGCTTATCGGGTTGATAGAAGCAGCTGACACCTGCACCGACCTGCACCTCATCGCCAGAAAGAGCCTTCTAGCTGCAAATCACAGCGACCATCTCCAACAGTTGGAAGTTTCCATGCTCTCCCTCACCCACCATCTCCCCCGCACCTTCACCCCCGCCCTCAGATTGAGCCTTCTCATCAACCTCCTGCTTCCACCGCTCATCTACACCGTCAAAACCATCACCCTCCCAGCCAACACCATGCCCGTCGACCCCTGCTCAGCAAGCGACTGCACTAAACCCGGCACTCTCACCTGCGGTAGCTGTGACCAGCCCAAATCTTGATACTGCAGCGCAGACTGCCAAAGGAAAGACTGGCTATCACACAAGCACACCTGTGCCGGAGCCCAAAAGCAAAACTGCTTCTTTATTCGCGCCACGGCCCCCAATGGAAGCACCAACTCCGCCGATCGCATCGAGCGGTTGCCCCTCCGCGCGTATGGCAACTGGGGCGCAGAAATGAAGGAGCTAGAACAACGACTTGGGTGGCCTCGGGCTGACGAGGCGGGTAAATTTTACTTGCACCAGGAAAAGGAGGATCATTGGTACTACTATACGTATTGCTCTTCGGCGAAAAATCTACCCGTGAAGGATATTGCTACTCGATGCAGCCATACTGGTCAAACAGTTCGTGGAGATGTCGCGGTTGTCAGATCAGGTCTGGAGGGGTACACTCCCTGTGAAGAGGTCTTTTTCGAGATGGGATCTTGTGAAGACTGTGAAGTACTACGAAACTGCCAATTCGAATCAGGTCTTTGATCAGCGGGAGAAGAAGCGGTTTGGGAGTCGGCAGGGTTTCCCGCCTGGTTTCTTGGACGGCGTGCCCAACATTACCATCTAGTCTGATGGGGTGCTGAACGGTATGAAGCATTTCGGTTGATTTTACGGAGTTGGAAGGGAGAGTTTCAGAATGTCTTGATTTAGATATCCCCGTTGGTGTGTTGATTTTCATGTAGCTCTACTAGATCAACCAATAAATTGGCAAAGATCTTCGAGTCCGGCCATCCTTCAGATAAACCTATAACTTCTCGTAGATTTCAATGTTCATCCGTATGAGTATGCCTTAGCATGTTCCGTCACTGCCTCGAAGGTCCTACGTCCTCCACGTGCTCCTCAGCTGACGCCTTGTGCAAATCACTGGGCTTGATGCCAACTCGCTCCGCTAGGCGACTCTCAATACCAAACAGTCGAGACATTTCTTCCAGCGTGCGGCCGCGGGTTTCAACTGTAACTTTCTGTCAGCTTCCCAATCTATTCACCATTGTAATAAGAAAGCTTACATACCCATTGCATAGCGAACAAAGAAAAAGGCCACGACACAGATCCCAGAATAAATAATGTACAAGCCCCAGCCGATAGCATCAGCGATAGGAGGGCTCGCCTGCGCCACGATATAGCACGCTGCCCAAAGCGAAGCAGTCGTCAGAGCATTGCCCTTGGCTCGCATCGAGACGGGGAAAATCTCGGCCGCATAGGTCCACGATCCCACGCCCCAGCTGATGTTGAAAAACACGTAGAACAGGTACGGGAACATGATGATCGTGTAGTTGGCGTTATCACCTGGGTGGTGCTCGGCATGCCACTGTAATACGGTGATGCCAATCATAGCTCCCATCATTCCGACTGTGCCGATTTGAAGCCAGGACTTTCGACCAAGTCGATCGAAGTAGAAGATTGGGATCCAGGAGAAGACGAAGAGGACAATACCCACGCCGCCGGTAGCCAGGTTGGCGGTGCGGGGATCTTTGATTCCGCCGCGCTCGAATAGCGATGGCTGGATCTGGTGTCAGTGTTGATCTTCCGGGTAAATGGTGACAGCCTCTTACTGTGTAATACAAAATCGAGTTGGTTCCCGTAATTTGTTGGAAGAATTGAACCGTCATTCCCAGCAGAGTCACACGCAACACGGGCATAGTGAACATATCCCCCCAGCTGGCCTCGCTCACCGTGTGCTCGAATTCGATGGAACTCATGATCTCCTGCATTTCAAGTTCTGCGGCCTCGGACCCGTGAAGTCGAATGAGAACTTCTTTCGCGCAATCATGACGATCCTGGCTGGCTAGCCAACGTGGACTGGGAGGTACCCAGAACCAACAGCCGACTCCCAGAATGATGGCTGGTACAATCTGAATGGCCAGTGGAATACGCCACCAATCGTCAGTCTCGAGAAAGTTGAATCCATAGTTGATCCAGAAAGCGACTAATTCTCCAAGACATAGGATCATCTGTTCGATGGCGACGATCCGGCCTCGGATCGCGGGTGGTGAGAGTTCGGCGACGTATAGAGGGACACCACCGGCACATGCTCCAACTCCGTATCCTAGAACCACGCGGCCGATGGTCTAAAATTTTTTAGCACGGGGGTATTACATAGCTGTTTGGCCTGGGTAAATAACTTACAATCTGGGTGATCGAGTAAGATGTAACCTGGATAATTGCGCCGATGATGAAGACAATGCAGGCAATCGCCAGCGTCCGCTCACGACCAATTGGATCCGCAAGATATCCAAGAGACATGGCTCCGATGAAACATCCAACATCATAGAGAGACACGACAGTACCGGTCACCCCTACATCCAGTCAGTGACAAGACATTTGTACCATCTCATTCGAACTATACTCACAAGAATTCTTAGGATGCATCAAATCAATCCATCTTTGATCCGCAACGATAACTCCCATCGCACCCTGATCATAACCAAACAAGAATGCACCGAGAGAGACAAACGCAGTAACCACATAAAGATAAGTCGTACTCCCCTCCCGCCTCTGAAGCGGATCAGTGCCCGACGGTGGCTGGATAAGTTTCGTCTGTTTAAGGGAAAACATGATGTTTCGACGCTCTGGGAAGAACGGTGCCATCTCTACCCACGGAGACATGCTGCCGGCGAGTTTATATACCACGGCGATTTGCGATGATCCTTCCCCGGAGGCTCTCCAGATTTCCGCCGAGCAGCTGGAGGCGGATATTCCTGGGGAAGTGTTTTCTCCAGATTCAGACGCATCGGCGGCTTTCCGATGCTTAGTGGCTTGATGGAGTATGGGCGTTGGGCGCGCTGCGGGTATAAACTGCCTGATCAGTTTCGAGCGGGGCTGTTTCGATGCGCTCGCGGCCGATCTTATCCTGAAAGTCTCCCGAAATGGAAATCTTGCGCGCGGTTAGTGGGCTAGTGCTTTGGCTCACTGTGGGGAGTCGGGAGGCCCTGGAGCACATAAACTCAAATTGCTAGCCCTCATTGTATAGATTCGACGATTACTAGTATGATCATGTTAAGATAGTTCATTTCTAATTGAGGGCTTCTCAGAGATTCTCTATAAAACTTGTCTCGTCCCATTTCCGTCCTTTCTTCTGCTTTGTTCAGTGCTCTGTCCAGCTCAACTGGCCTTGTTGTTAAGAATGAAGCATGCTCGAAGTTCTTGGCCGGGTTGCAAGAAGATGGATCGCACTAAACACATCGAAGAGGAAGAAATTTTTACCAGTTTCCAGGTGACATTCCAGTGAGCTTTTTCTAATCGGTCCCTTTGAACTTGTTTCTACCAGTTACCATCACTCTCGCTGCTATCGGCATGTAGCCCTGTTGGAGTCCCGAGAAGAGCGGTGGCGGGTAGCTGCTTAACCATGATGTATCTCTGTGCAACAAGTACTTCTCGAATTTCACATTAGGGTTGACGAGTAAGAATCAATTCTGCAGTTTCACAGCATGAGTGACAGTGGGGCAGTTTCTATCTATGACGCCAGACCAAAACATTACTGGAATGGAATGTGGTAACGATAACATTTGCCAAGAAGGTGACTATTCCAGCGAAGCACCCCCAGCTAGGATGTTTTCGAGAGACGTTGAGGGTGACAATACTCTCAAGCCTCTCAGGAGCTAAATTAGCTTTCCATTCATGACCACCAAAGTCAATCGCCATACCCGTTCATATCGTTTCAGATATAACCATACTTCCGCGCTATATGACCCCATTCCTGGGTCTTCGGGGCAATCGCCTCAATGTGGCGGCCCTGTTGGCAGTCACGATGCCTTCTATCGTCTCATTTGGCAAGCGCTTTTGGATTCATTCAACTCATCGTCGCCCGTCTGGTTCTCGGTCTTGGTTGTGGAGGTTTGGTCGCTACTGTGCCCATTTGGCAGTCCGAAATATCATCGCCTCAAAAGCGAGGAGCACATGTGTCGACGACCGGTCTATTTGCCGGCATGGGTACATCGCTTAGTCTCTTTCTCGATCTTGGCATGTCTTTTGCTCCTGGAAGTGTGGGATGGCGCTTTCCCTTCGCTTTTCAGGTCCTGTTTTCTATCGCTATAATCGCAGCCATCTCGTTCATGCCGGAGTCGCCTCGATGGCTGATACAACAGAATCATGTTGTCGAAGCCCGCGATATCCTTTCAGCCCTGGAAGATGTCAAGCCCGACGACCCTATGATAGACGCTGAAGTTGAGGCTATACAGTTATCACTCAAGCTCTCTGGTGAAGGATCTCTTTGTCAAATCTTCCAAATGGGACCCCAGAGAGTTTTTCATCGAGCGATGCTTGCCGCAGCTGTGATGTTGTTCTTGCAACTAACTGGTATCAATGTCATTACGTTTTTCAGTATGTTATTATCATTGTTCTGTGAGACTGAAACCTTCTAATTCCCCTGCTTTGCTTTTAGCCAACACCATATTTGAACAATACCTTGGGCTAGACTCCCTGACCTGCAGGATTCTAGCAGCCTCTTATCAACTTGTTAGTATAATTGGAGGTACGGTATGCATATTCACCGTAGAAGCCTTCGGTCGGCGGGGCTTGCTGCTGGCCGGTGCCGCAGGTAATGCCATCTGCTTGGCTCTTGTAGCTGGACTGGGTTCCCAGCCGACAAACAAGATCGCGATGCATGTCGCGGTTGTATTCATCTTTTTGTACCATTTTACTTTTATCATCGGTTTTGGAGGAGTCTCTTTCCTCTATGTCGGCGAGATCGCGCCCTTGAAGATGCGTGCCACTATCAACGGTATCAGCGTCGGCACTTTCTGGGCCTTGAATGTCGCGATTGCTGAAATCACACCAATTGCCTTCAATGCAATTGCATGGCGATTTTTCATCGTCTTTGCCGGGTTGAATGCCGTCATGGTGCTACTTGTGTATTTCTTGATACCCGAGACCGCTGGTCGCAGTCTGGAAGAGGTGGATCAGATTTTTGTCTCCTCTGCTAGCATTTGGGACTCAGTTTGGGTAGCTAAGCGCCTACCACGCTCAGTCGACAATCTGCAGAGGACATCGCAGTACCACCCAAAGGTTTCGCCATAATGAGATTAGTACAATTGGAGGAGAGAAGTGGGTTGAAGGAGGTAATGATTCTCATGTGGCCCTTAATGCTTCAAGGTGATCTTTGCTGGGACTCGAGCTTAGACAGAAGATATAGATTGCAAAATGATAATTCACAATAATAGGTTGTAGTTTTTTTGGGAGACTGGAGAAAACATCAGCCTTTCCCTCTGGACGAGATTGATGGAAGCGGATGTTGATAACATGACATACTTTAGGTCTTGAGCAATCTTCAGTCCATATGTATGAGCAGCAACTTTGCATTCAAGACTGGAAGGTCGAGAAAATTTGTAATTTTGTAACGACTGACGGCGACCTTATTATTCGGGACTATTTGGGAGTTTATACTTCTGTCGGAGGGACTCCGATCTGGCTCGAGCCTCCCCCACAGGCCCCAAGAAAGTCACAGGTTCCACAGCACTTTTCCGCACCTCCAACTCCAACTTCTCAATTTCTCAGCAATGACAACCACAAAGGAAATCAAATCCTGGTCAGAGACGATCACAATACCCCTAGTTCGAGCGTTACTAACGCATCTGTACATCTAGTGATCCATGTCGTCTGCTGCATCATAAATGTGAGAGGCCCCAACTCCATAGCTTCCGTGCGCACCGCCCAATTCTGACCATACTCGAAGGCGATGGCAACCTTCCACAATGCGGCCGATGTACGCGCACAGGACGAAATTGCGTGCGCGGCCAACGACAGACTCGATTTCGTCAGGCAAGAGGACGAGGGCCTCGCACTCGGTTTCCGGGTAACCAGGTTTGGGTCAAGCCGCCGCCACGAGGTTGGAACTACCTTGTCCCTCATTTTCAAATGATTGTCTAATTCAGGCTATTTTACTTGCAGTTGATTTTGTCCTAGAGTCTGGCAATGGAGAGCTGGATAATACAGTCGATCTGTCTATTGGGACGCAGCCTTTGGCCGACGGGTTGGGTTTCGGCGACAACCCACCAACTCCGAGCCCTGACACGCCAAAGTTTCCATCGACCGCACACGGTTTCGACACTCTGAATCACAACAATAATACAGATGAATCCCAGAGCCCAGTATATTACGGCATTGCCGAAGGGCATGAATTATCCCCTAAGCAGCGATCTTGGCCCTTGAGGGACCCGGAAGAGGCCTTCCTTTTGAAACATTTCGTCGACCGAACATCATCATTCGTGAGCGAATCCTCAATTCCTTGAACTGGTTGTTGCCACTCCAAGACGAAAAGTCTGACTATCCTATACCAGTTTGACTGTACAGATTATCAGCGGCACTTTGCGGTCCACATTCCCAATCGTGCCCGATATTGCGACACCTTGTTCAATGCGATCATGGCCCTGTCGGCGCGACAGCTGAGTTGTACTACTAGCTATGATGCCTTTGTATCAGCACAGTACTACCAGGCTTGCCTGGAGACCTTGATCCCGGCACTAAACGATCAGGAAGTGACTATGGATGACGATCTGTTGGCAGCCACCGTCATTCTCCGCCTGCTAGAAGAATTTGACGGTCAGTTCCCCTCGCCAAGTGATTCAATACTTTGCGTTAACTGTGATTGAAGTCCCGTTGGCGGGCTCGGATCTTCGTGGCCATTCTTTCGGCACAAGGGCTTTCATACAGGGTCCGCCACCGTCGATGACAAGAACCCCAAGCCTGCGACAAGCAGTCTACTGGAGCGGGTTGCGTCAGGAAATTTATAACGCGCTTAGTCTGCAACAAGCTCCCGACGTGGACCTGAGCTCCCTTCATTCGCTGTTTACGGCTCTGGGCCCCGATGATGGAGATTGTTTATGGGCGAACCAGGCTATCGCACACTGTGCAGATGTCTTGTTATTCTCATTTGGCACGAATCCACGGTCTACGGCAGTGCATACTGACTTACAAGAACAGAACCAGCACTGGAGCGACAGTCGGCCCCCCTCCTTCGACCCATACTTTATAGGTAGTGACAATGTTGAGATTGGAGCCACCTTTGCCGATGTTCGATATAGTTCTCCATGGCACGGTAAGATCTCTTGGGGAGCCTTCTTTTTTTAATGGAAAATCTTCCAGCTTTAAGCTCATCACATATATGACCAGCAATCGGTTACCAATATCATGAATTGGCCAAGATTTTGCTATTTGTGCACGACCCTGGCCTCCCGACTGTTGGGCCACTGAGAAGACGTTTAGCAAAGGAAGCTGATGTAAGTGTAAAGCGCGATCTGTTGTTATTTGAGATTGATGAGAAGAATTGCTAATGGATAGCCAAAGTATCAAATTCGAAAGAGCGTGTGGACAATGTGCGGGGTCGCGTTATCAAACAGCTCTGTCCCCCCTGCAATGGTTGTCGGTTGCATGGCCCTCCACCTATGTGAGTGGCCATCATCAAATCAATATCCGGTTTACAGACCTCGAACTTATGAATGAGTCCCAGGTGGCGATCGGTTTACAGAAATGGTAGAACAGGAGATGCTGATTCAAGTCCTTTCACGCACTGAACGGTTGCATGGGTGGCCAACACACGCGCTGCAGCGTCAACTTAAGGAAACTTGGGGAACACTCGAAAGCGATTGACGAGAAGGGGATGGAAATGTCATGGATTGTGGCACAAACTGATAACGGCACAGTCCTGATAACAGAGAGATTACCAAGCGATCCTCCATTGGGCGGGTCAAATCGACCGCTAATGGGAGACCCGGAAAGACTGGGTATCACAGTCATCCCAACGGTGGCATGAATATCTGTCACCTACTCAGGGATCCTCAAAACCACTCGCCCCTCGATCTCCGCATTCTCAAGACGTTTCAGCACGTCTAGAATATCAGCGAGATCAAATACCTCAATGCATGCCTTGATATCTCCCGCTACCGCCATTTCCATCAATTCTTCCATCTCCTTCGCACTGCCAGCAGAATTCCCAACAATAGTGAGACCTGGGATGATATGGTGAGAAATAGCCATAAAGGAGTATGCAGAAGGGAAAGGATGGTCCATTTTATGACATACCTTTGACAATCATATCTACCGGTGTGACCGGTAACTTGAAAGGAACATTCGGAATACCAACGCAGACGAGAGTCCCTAGACGACGCAACATTTGCAAGCTCTGTTCGTAGGCCCTTTCTCCGTTGGCCGTGCAAATGACGGCATGTGCACCGAAACCCGATGTGGAGGCCTTGACAGCTTCGACGATGTCAACTTCAGAGAAGTCAAAGAACTCCGCAGCGCCTAAGTCTAGACAGAGCTTTCTCTTCTTTTCACCTCTAGTTTGTGACAGCATTAGGCTTGACAGACGGAGCCGAGGAATATAACCGTGTAGACATAAAACATACTTGTCAATTGCGATAACCTTGAGTCCTTTCTTAGCAGCTATTTGGACACCCCTAAAATAGGAAATATTAGTTAGAGCACATAACCGGTACCCAGAATGTTTGATCATACATATGTCCTAATCCCCCTCCTGCACCCAGAATAACGATTGAGTCGCCCGGGCGTGCTTTGGTCTTCTTGATCGAGGAGTACATTGCAATACCAGCTGCAAGATATTAAGGGGTAAAAACTAAAGAAAAACAGGTCATTAATTGAACATACCGCATAGTAGGGGAGCCGCGGTATCTGGAGCCAGCCCCGGCGGAATCTTAGTGGCATGAATGGCCGGGCTAACGAGGTATTCTAATTCAATGGCTCAGTTGTTTCCCATCAGTGAAGTAAAAGTAATGAAGAATATAACTTACGCTGGAAGGTTCCTGGCACGTTCTAGCAATGGAGAACTGATATTAGAACGGGACAATATTATGCGATGGAAAGAAGGGACTAATATTCGCGCTACGCCAATATCAGATTGAGTACGTACCGCTCCGGCATTCTTTTGATAGGGACATGAGGTATGGTTGATAGCACAGATTTCACACTCTAAACAAGAGCTGTATAGCCATCTAATAGGAAGGCTTTTAGTATCAAGCTACGAAGCGAGGTCAAACAATAACGAGACTTGGTACTCACCTGATACCCACCCTTTGACCAATCCACTGTTGTTCGTCCAGGCCAGGCCCAGCTAGGTAATTTTGAAAGTTAATCTCAGTGTCTTGTAGACCAACAAAATAGAAGTCGAGTCCGATGAGACTAGTCTTTTGGAACCCCTCACCTGCAACAACTTTCCCCACTCCCTCATGACCAGCAACATCGGTCAGCATAGGAGTATCGCCACGGATGCTGTGAACATCGCTATGACAGACTCCAGAAAATTCCAGTTTGATAAGCACCTCTCCATCGCTGGGTTTGGGAACAGGGTGTGTCTTGCTGATTTGTATGTTCAAAGATCCATTAGGTCCTGGGGGTGGAATCGCAGCAGCGACCTGTGCAGATGGGATGGCCATAGTTTCTGCGTTGAAAATGCGATGACTGTAAGTAGGTCCGTACAGGGCTCTGTACAGGGGAGACGGTCGAGAAAAGGCTGTAAGAAGGAAGGACTGAGTGTGCTCAGGCTTGAAATGTGCTGGCCGATTAGCAGCGTGTAGATGCGGGGGTTACATGACGCTTATCTACGAAGGCAAGATAGCCGAACATTTGGCCAGCCACTGCTCAGGGATTCATTCAATCAACATGCCTCTGATATTCGGTCTCTACAGTTTTCAAGGCGACATATAGATCGATATTAGACATAAACAATGGGACTGCCCCATTTCCCCTTAAGCCTCGACAGCAGTTGTATTAAGTGTATCCTAATCACCGTAAAGTTCCACACCCCAAAATCATGTAGCAATATAAGACAAGGGCTCTGCTGGTCTTTGCAGAGCCGAAGAGAAGAAGTGGCATAGCACCCCTGAATGCAGCAGAACGGCCCCAAAGCGGCCTGAGCAGCTTGGAGGACAAGGTATATCAAAGTTCAAATAAAATCTATAGCACGAGAACAAAAGGAGGACTTCATGCGTTTTCGGCCTGGATAGTTTGCTGTATGAAGATCACTGAGTCAGTATATGATCGATATCCAATGTAGAAGGATGACTTCTGAGAGTTGCCGATAACCGAGGAGGGGCAAATAAACATACCACCAGCCAGTCCATGCCTTCATTAATACCCTTGCCATCGATAGCAGAACAGGCAACAATGCTCCAGTTCCGGTCCCGCAGCTCGCCCAATTTCAACGCCTCTGAAATCTCACCGGCACCCTTAGCCCCTGGCTGATCCTGCTTGTTGGCGAACACCAGCAGCGCCGCGTCCCGAAGTTCTTCTTCGTGCAGCATTGCTGCAAGCTCATCTGCTGCAGTTCCCAGTCGTTCAATATCTGTAGAGTCGATGACGAAGATGACGGCAGCGGTGTTGGCGTAGTAACACCGCCAGTAGGGGCGGATCGACGTTTGACCGCCGAGATCCTGGAAGATCGGCCGTTAGTAACGCGTACAGCTCATATAGAGGATGCAGCCACATACCCAGACGTTAAAGTTCAGATTCCGGTATGTGACCGACTCGACGTTAAATCCAATAGTTGGGATGGTTGTGACGACTTCACCGATCTAAACGGAGGGTGGGTTAGCACTCCATGGGTTGAATGTCGCTCGAGGCACGATCCTTTGCCTATCTTACCTTAAGCCTGTAGAGGAGGGTGGTCTTTCCAGCGTTGTCCTAGATTCGAATAGCTCAGTTAGTCTTTTATTCACATGACCGCAAATGGTTGCCTGCGTTTCAATCTCCCCGCGCCAGTCAGAGGTTGACATACGAGACCGAGGATGAGAATTCGGATCTCCTTCTTCGTCCAGACAAGGGACCAAAGACGCGATAGAGACCCTCCCATGGTTGTGTATGATCCGGTGCGGTGCTCTTTGGTCGCAGAGCGCCGGTGTTTGGCGGCGAGTACGGAGGTGAATGTTGATGCGGTGGCGTTTTGCGGGCGACGACGAGGGATGCTGTCGTCAAAGGACGGGGTAAGGCCGAGTGTCTATAGACAGGAGAAGTGGAGGAATATGAAGGGACTTAAAGGGAACCAGAAGAAGCGTGAGGATGGGTCCTTTTGGTGGCAACCGCCTTGGACGCTGTTGATCTGCCTGTCCGTGCGGGCGGTCAATCGGAGATGCGAATGAATGGCGCCGCGATTCGCGATGGACACTCGCACTTCCCGACAAAGGCATCTTCTTCTCTCAGTTCTCTTCGCGTCTCTTTCCTTATACAACCTTCTACATTTCAAGACTGTGGATCTTACAGTTGAATCCCATTGAGAACCAACAACTGACCCATCGAGCGCAAAGTCCGGAGACAACCCGCTCCAGGTTGCGCACTCTCCACTCCCTAGATTCCGTCGCACCCTAACCTCAATTGACCCCGAACGAACCAGACAACCACCGCTACCAATTTGCCCATCATGGTGGGCAAGAAGTCGGGCAAAGCCCTCCGCGATGAGGGTATGTTAACACATCCTTCCCCTGCACTGCGCAGAGGAGTATCTACTAACGAGCTGGTAGGTCTGGAGCGGACGGATAACAATATGGATCTATCGAGCTGGCCACAAGTCGCCGCAATCAACCAGAAGAACTACTATACGTAAGTCTCTAAAAGTCATTGGAGCGAGACAGTGCTGATTGCATCCCCTCGCTTTTAGTGATTACCTGAAGAGAGACGATCAATACCTCCCATTCCGACTGGCAAATGAAGAGGCGAGAATCAAGATGACCAAGAGCGCCAAGGATCGCGATCGCGCTCGCGCGATGGACAAGTCAACCGAAGAGGCGGATGCAGAAGCCGAAGCAGATGCAGACGCCGATGCCAACATGGAAGATGAGGAGGAAACTCAGACGGAGGCTGCTGGCTCGAAAGTCATCGTGATTCACGTTGGCAGCCAAAATTTGCGAATTGGCCTCTCAAGTGATGCTTTGCCGAAGACCATGCCCATGGTTATTGCACGAAAATCAAAAACCAATGAAAGCGAGGATCGAGAAGAGCCGAAACCGAAGAGGCTCAAGCGGGATGACGGGTCTGATGAAGATCCAGAGAGAGTCTTTGGACCAGAGGTAAGCTTGATATACCGCTGCACAGGCAGCCTGAACATGGCTCATCAGATGATAGTGGTCTTCTCAATACACCAAGATGTCTGCGGAGCTCAAGGTCCGAATGAAGGCGAACAAGCGTCGGATGTTGCCTAACCCGAAGGAGGGAGTGATCAACTTCAACCGCAAGCAGACGCCGGAAGTCATTTCAGAGCATAATGACCCCGAGCGCGTTGATTGGACGGAGCTTGACTCGCCTCCACCAGAGTACATTATCGGTCAACCGGCCCTAAGGGTTCCGGATGCCTCAAAGCCTCGATACAAGCTCTTTTGGCCCATTCAAAACGGATGGTGCAATGAACGGGACTACACGAGCAAGCGGATGCTGTTCCTTGATATTTCTCTGATTCTCGAAGAGGCCATCAAAGCCCAACTGGGTCTCCACAGCAAAAAGGACTGGCCTCAGTATTCCTGTGTATTTGTGATCCCGGATCTATACGAGAAGTCCTACGTGACGCAGGTGCTGGAGATGCTGATGCGGGAGTTTTCATTTGCCCGAGTGTGCTTTATCCAAGAGAGTTTGGCGGCCACTTTTGGTGCCGGTTTCACCTCTGCCTGTGTCGTCGACATTGGAGCTCAGAAGACATCAATCTGCTGCGTCGAGGAAGGCATGTGCATTGAGAACTCACGGGTAAACCTGAAGATGGGCGGAAACGATGTGACCGAGACCTTTATGAAGATGATGGTGCACGACCACTTGTCTTATGCTGATATCAACCTTTGGCGTAGGTACGATTATCTACTGGCCGAGGATTTGAAGAAGAACATTTGTACTATGGACGAGGCCAAAGTGTCGCCGCAAGCATTCGACTTCCATCTCCGAGTGTCCGGTCAGGATACCGAAAAGCACAATTTCAAGGTCTTTGACGAGGGACACTTGGCCCCTATGGGCTTCTTTGAGCCGACCATTTTCGATAACTCACATAAGCTGGAAGGACGACGCAGGCTGATTGAAAGATCTGTCGATATATATGATGGCCAGCCCAACGATCCCACTTCGGCAGCCCAGTCCGAGATCATGACTGCCCTGGCTCCCCCACTGCCTTCCAACGGCAAGGCCAACGGAGAGCCTGATGTGCAGGCGACTCCCAGTCGCCCCCAGCAGCCAAGCGCGCTGGGTCGGATTCAAGAGCAAGACGCCACCCCTCGGTCTTCTGTTGCCGGTTCTCCTGCGCCTGAAGCATTTGGGACACCCCAAGCAGGTGGATCTGGCACACCAGCAGTCACTGCCCAATCGACTCAAGCGGCTCGCCCAGCTGTCGAGTATCGTGATGACATATTGCCTGTTTTCCCTCTAGACAACGCAATCTTGACCTCGATCGCCCATGCCGCTCGTTCCGATGAGAAGAAGATGCGAGACTTCATTGGTGGTATCATGGTGGTTGGCGGTGGTAGTCTCACCAACGAGCTCCATGCCTTCCTGGAGGCACGACTAAAGGCTCTTCGCCCTGGTTTCCTTAAGGAGATCATGATTGGCGTGCCACCCCGAGACCTCGATGCTCAAGTGGTTGTCTGGAAGGGCGCCAGTATCTTTGGAAAATTGAGTGGCACGAACGACAGCTGGATTGGCCAGCTGGAATATGATCGGTTGGGCCATCGCTTGATGGCATACAAGTGTATGTGGGCCTACTGAAGGCATTTTGAGGTGTTTTTCTATGTTTCTAGGTTCTTCGTGAGGCTCTCTTTTGTGGATTGGTGTTTAGGGTAGATCATAGGGAGACCAGAAGTTCTTTTTCAGTCTACAACATCAACAGAGATTTTCTGTCATCCAGGTTCGAAGGCATTGTACAGTATGTCCTTTTTCACAGTAGATCATCGATCCATGCACGGGCCACATAGAGTCTCGTACATGGTCACGAAAATGGAAGGCGGCCATGTGTGGCAGAATAAGCACCAAGTCAACGATTTGGCTACCGAATGCCGACAGTTCGTGTTGTCTTGCAGTGGTTTGGTCCCTTTCACCTCGAGTCTCCAAGGCCTTTTGCCAGAAATTCCCACCCAAGCATTGAGTCTCAGCCCACTCCGGATTGTGGACTCTCCCTGTCTCTCCCGCAGCTCCTGCGTTCTCTCCTCCATCATCCTCTTCGACCGACACTTACCACTCCGGTAAGTCTGCTCCCACCAAGCTTCGTATGAGAATTGAGAACTGATTCGCATCGATAGGTTTGCCTTTCGCTTGCGCGCAAGATTTTATTAGATCCTGCGCATCACCGAACATTGCCCGCCCTCCATGTCTTCCAAGTCCCGGGGGGACAAGTCCTCCAGCGGCTTTCACCAGGAGTACATCGCGTCCCTGCGCTATCGCAATGACCTCCCTCCGCCGCATATGCCCCCAAAGCTGCTCGACATCCCGCACGAGGGTTTGAGCCGTTTTCTCACTCCAGGCTTTGCCTCCAATCTTGCCCGGCGAGAGGAGCCCAATATCGATGTCGACGCCGAGGGCGGTATGCCAATTGACCTCGTTGGTCTACCGGGCTTGCATTTGGGAGATGAGAGTGGTATGTGAGAGCGCAACAAGACTCAACAATTCAGCAATGCTAACCAGGTTGTAGCTATCATGGCGCCTGAGCACCCCCAGCCTATGGACCCCGCCGACCTCCCGCTGTTAATGACCCTCGACCAGCTTCGTAATCCTGCCCCGAGAAACACAAATGTCAGCTTCCTTCGTCGTACCCAGCACATTTCAGTCGATCGCACCGCTGGCCTAGGGAGCGCCCCCGCAAAGGGTCTGAATCCTGCAGTAAAGAAGGGCAAGATCTCTGTGGAAGACCCCAAGCACATCAAGAAGTTTATTCAGAAAGGATTCGATATCGCCTACCCCCACAGCAAGCACACTGGCGAGGATACAGAGAGTCAAGTCAGGGGTCTCCCGGCGACGAAAGCAGAGACTGATGCATGGGCGCGACCTGTCCACCCCGACAACCCGAAGCTCAAGCCTGTCGGTTTCTTCCCTTTGCTCCCTGACCTCTCGGGCTTCCCCGACCCTGGCGGTTTCGTCCAGTTTAAATTCGACAAGGCCCCTGTATCTGCCGTCGCTGGCAAGCGGGACAAGCGTATGGACGTGGCTCTTCTTCACCCATCCGCACCGGAAGAGCGCATCTGCCAGGAGCACGCCTCAAAGCAAGCTCTCCACAAGGCTAACCCCGACCTCTATCCCGACCCTGGCCCCATTCCCTTCGATTACGACCTGCATCTTCCTGAAAAGCAGGAATCCGTTAAGAAGGTCTATGCTAGCATGGACCTGAACAACCCGGACCGGGACAATGAGGATCTTTACACCAACGAGGGCCCCGATAGCACAAGGTACCACCGCTACGACCGTGAACGGACTTTCGCAACGAGCGCCCAGACTCTAAACACCGACCAAAAACTGAAGGATATTGCCTTGACTCTTCACCAGCCGCGTGAAGGGGAGACCAAGCAGCAGGCTGCATACTACTATCCCATCATCAGCAAGGTGCGCCTGAAGCCGGAACGCGCTCGCACCATTGCACAGGCTGGTCTTGCCCCAACCGCGTCGCAAGCTCCGGAAGAGAAGATTGATCAACTCCACGTCACCGTTCGTGATCCCGACGAGGCGGAGGTCTACAAGCGCTCGCTACACCGCGCGAACGTCGATCCGAAATTCGAGCAGACTCTCCCGCCGCCGCCTGCTGAGGAGGATGTCCTCGAGGAGGAGGAAGGAGGCGATGATACTCGGATGAGCGACGAGTAAAGAGAAAGACCATTTTTGAACAAGACAATTCGATTGTGGCATTTTTCTTTCTTGGCCCTTTCGGAGTTGTTTCATGGAGCTTGGCGTATCGGAATGAGACAAATTGGCGTTGTTTGTATGTATAGATTTCAGCAGAGTTCCATGGTGGTGCAAATATCCTTGGCCATGGTTTCAAATATCATGACTATTAATGGTGTTCAAAATGCTAGACTTGGGACACATGTTAATTCAAGTAATGAAAATAAGTTCAAGCAATCAAGAGCTATTGAGCTATTGAGCTATCTTGAAGACGGGTGAATCATATCTAAAAAATCTCCCAGTCAAAATCTTGTACTCATACGCTCTCTGCCATATTCTGGGGACTTTTCATTTCCCCTTCATTGTGCTCACCAACATTCAAAGCCACCAAGAACCGACTAACACAGTTATACCCTGCAATAGTCGTAGTAAGCTCTACCACCTCGCGGTGGGACGGTAGAACCTCATGCAACTCCTGAAATACCTCGTCACTCACTGCCACACGAGTCGTCATCTCATCGGTATATTTGATCACAGTCTGCTGGGCTCTCGTCAGGACACTACGAGTCCAGGCTTGTCGCGAGTGCTCTCCTTCATCAGTGAAAGCAGGAAGTGTTGCCACATCGTTCAGTTCATTGACTGAAACTCCTGCTTTCAATGCTAGCGGCCCATGTATATTCCACTCATAAACGGCTTTATTAAGAACACCAATACGACAGACACTGATCTCCAATATATCAGGTGCGATACTGGTTTTCGTGCGAAGGGACCCGATGAAGGAGTTATAGCCATCTGCCACTGGAGGTGCATGTAAAAACGCAAGGTCCAAGGGGACTAGAGGTCGTGGTAGGCGACGAGCTGAGATCCTTTGATAGATTTGAATCGCCTCGTCATCGGTAGGGTGTGGTGTCGTCGGGGCATATGGGAGACGCATGGTGTGAGATTGAGGGAGCACATAAACATGGATCGATCGAATGAGGAAGCTTTGCTGCCGAGTCAAGGACTTAAGCTCAAGAATACAAGATAAAATAATACCCAGACTCTCGAAGGGAGTCAAACCGAAAGTAAGTGCTGTTGGAGTATAATTGTGTTTTTAGTTCAGCCCGCGGCCAAACACCGAAGCTGATGACCTTGTCGCCGGTGTTGCGGCGATTGGCCGTTTGACCCCCAATGAATTTCATGTCCACTCCGGAAGACCTCATGAAAACTTCAACTCAGAGAAAGCGGCATCTTGACAAAGGGCTGGAACGAGGGCTTGGATCCCTATCCCTTTTGCCACAGACAGAATCCTTACAGAAGGGAACAAACATCAGAAGAATGAGGCTTTTATTTGGAATTAGTAAACCTCCCGACTCATGTTCTTTTATCAATCTTGAGGTTAGATCTTAGATATATGTTACTCTGTTAATACATGATACTTAAGCTCACTCACCCACTTAGATCCCTCCATATCTGCCAGTATGTCCTCATGAGGCGCTTGGCTCAAAGTTAGCCATCATCAGATCCAATTGCCACTTTCGCAACCTATCCTCAATGTCTTTCTCTGTTCTAGAGACCGTGTTTTCTTTTGGAATATCTAATGGTGATACATTCAGGAAGAAGGACTGTCTGTCAGAGGGAATCTCTGATTGAATTTCGGGACGCATAGTCAGATTCTCACCAGTATGGGAAGACGCAATCCTCGAATCTCACCTGTGGCCTTTACGGTCCCGCGGGCGTTAAGGTACAACTCAAATTGATGCAGGCACCTTGCGAGAATTCTATTCTGCGGAATTCGGCTTTCTTCATATAGTTTGTCAAGATGACGTTCCATACACCCATACTCGTTGCAATAGGTCTGACATCCATGGTAAACTATCTCACGGCGATTCTCATCACAGAGGCCGGGGCGAATCTGACGCACACGCATGCGAATAGATTCAAAGCATCTTAGAAGAATAAATAGCAATTCGTCAGGCCCAGCTTCTTTCCTCGACATATACACCGCTAAGTCCTTTTTCAGATAATCAGGCAATGGTATCGGACAAAGCAAAAGCCAGGAAGTGATTTGATGATTGGCAGTATCGGTCGCAGCATCGGCTGTGACAGGATTCTGAAGACCGAAGTCTGATATATGAGATGGAGAATAGAGCAGGGGTTCGCGAAGAACCGTAGCTGGCAATTCGTATGCAATGTCGTAGGCGTCTTCACTCGCTGGTTTCGTAGGTATCACATAGTCATCTTTGGCCGATTTCCCTTCAAAAGAAAATGCACTTGACATATGCTGTTTGGCAGAGTCTGGTGTTTTAACTAATTTTGACGATCTTTGAAGATCATCAGCGAAGGAACTCTTTGTGGAAAGAGAGCAAGCTTCATCTTGAGATATTTCTATTTTCCAGATATCATGATATATACAGTCTTGCTTACCTGGGCCGAGGAAGCTTCTTTCCAAAATTTAGATCAAGGAGGATGCACTGAGTTCCTGCAGAGTCACAATTGTTGCATGGAATCCTCAAATCCGCTATACATCGCTGCTTTCTCATTCGGCACCGTTGACAGGCGTTGCGAGATCTCTTCCGGTTGGAGAAGCGTTCCATCGGGAGAATGAATTTTGAAAGTGAATATGAATATGTGAAAACTTGCAGACCCAGCTAGTGCTTTAGATAATAAACAATCGAGGGGAAAGAGTACTGTCATTACAGATGGCGATTGCGATCGCGTCTTTTAAAGTTGCCTCCTGGTGGCTAAAATTACTTGTTCCCTGGTCCGAAGTCTCTCCTCCGGGCATTTGCCGACAACCGGACTGTAAACCGGCCATTTTCCGTCTCGAACACCGCTCCGACTTCGCTACCTGGTCAGCTTGTTTACCCATTTAGGGCAATAGTCTGGTTTCTTATTACTTTGACTATGACATAGGATATATAGGGCACCATATGAACTGAATAAGGTGCCGCACTCTCAATATCGACGAAAGTCCAAAGCGCCTGGAATAATAACTTGAGGAAACTCAATTGTCTCATGTCAAGTGCTTGGTGATCACTCTAGTAGCAATAAAAACCAATATAAATGAATTTATTGAGTATACTGATGCATTTCGTTAATAAATAACCATCCTACGACACGAAGCCATGAATAATCCATTGTAACTGTGTGGCTTGTCATGATCATCGCGCGAAACAAACTTCATGCGTTGTTCGGAATTCCTGAGGTTTGTTCTGCCAATGTATCAGCCTTGAGGGCTGGTCTGTCTGCTTTTCCCGCCGTTGTCTGTCGCGTAATAGCCTCGGGGTTAACATGAAACAAAGGAACCTGCACAGAGACAATTGACTCACCCCTCCATCTACTGGCATAATCAACCCAGTAATCCATTTAGCTTCTTGGCTGCAAAGAAATAGTATGGCTGCAAATGTCAGGTCGGCAATAGGGAATAAGGTAGTCAGAATGAAAGGACATACCATAGCCAACATCCCAGCCCGTTCCCTCCTGCTTGAGGAGGTTCTGATTGATACGTGCTTGACGCATTTCATCCGTCATTCCCCTCCCTCGTACCATAGGAGGAAATACCATTCCAGGGCACACGCAATTAACTCGGATATTCTCAGGTCCATGTTGAGCAGCCATTGCTCGGGTCATTTGGATGATTGCGCCCTTACTGGTAGGGTACAAAAGACTGGGATTGCCTCCCAGGACTGAAGTCTCCATGTTAGCGTTGAGAGGTGAGAAAATCAAGAAAAAGACATACGACCGCTGACGGAGGACATATTGACGATGGCACCTCGCCCGCACTTCCTCAATTCCGGGATGACATGCCGGCTCATCAAAACCATACTCATCACATTAATTCTCAGATCACGCTCCCATGCGGCAAGATCAACCTTTGTAGCATCGCCCATGGCACCTCCGACCCCAACTGATAGGAAAAGCGGTTGGTGTTCAATCAAATAAATTATTTCGGGAGCTCTTACCAATGTTCACAAGAATGTTTACTGCCCCAAAGATCTCAACTGTCTGAGCGACAGCCTTTTGGCAACTCTCCTCATCAGTGACATCAGCCTGTATAACTCTTGATGTACCACCCTCGAGATTAATCATTCGTTTCGTTTCCTGTGCCCATTCGATGTTGTAGTCCACTAAAGCAACCTTGGCGCCCTGTCGGGCGAGCAGGATCGCAGTTGCACGTCCATTGCCAATTTTGCCTATAATATTATTAGTCACACTCACCAGTCATGTCAAAAGAGGAGAAAAAGAATGGAGAAAGAAAGAAAATCTGTACCAGCCATGCGAGATCCTGCGCCGGTGACGATGGCTACTTGGCCCGTGAAATCGAAGGCTTTGGTAGGTGACATGATGGTAGCTCCTGGACTCTTGGATGTATGCTGAAAGAAGCGTAATTGTATCGCAGTTCTCTGGAATAGGGGATAGAACTTATAAAATATATACTCACTACTCATTTCCTTAGACAAGGTAAACCAGGCTTTGGGAACAGCAAGTAAGGATTGCAATGATTGGCACGGCCATTCTCCGGTCCCCGCCCTCGGGCCCCGCGCCAAACTGGGCTAGGAGCATATTGAGCGACGATCATAGCAGTCAGGAGTCAGCCGAACGAACTTCTTGAACAAAATACGCTAGAACATTCATATCCATGTGGACAATCCCCTCCCTGGCACCAGTCAGAATGTGTTGGGAAATCATATCATGCCACCGAGGGATGCAATAACAACTGCCAATATTCTCTCCGGTCAAGTGGCGGTTGATGAGCAGACAATACACTCTTGTAGATTTTAAAATCCCTGGATAAGACAGGTGCCTATAATTATGTCTGTTGGGGAAATATAAATTGGGGACCGATAACATCTTCTATTCTCCAAAGCTTAATATGATCCGGAGTTAATCCAGCCTGAAACACATTCTGATTTTATTATAGGTAGCACTACTAAGACAGCCAGAAATCAAACCACTGTACAATACCCTGTAGACTTTGTTCTTTCACATATCCTGTGAGGTATTAGCTCCGTAGATGGATGACTTCCACGGTTCAAGGAGGCGGCAACTCACGTTCATAAGGATTTTTCATATCCCCGCGAAGAGCAAAGCCGTGCTCAACGCCCGAAAATAGTTGGAGATGATAGGGTTTGCGCCCAGACTGTAGGATTCCCAAGGCCGTACGACGAGAGTTCTGGTCAAATGTATGATCCTCCTCGGAGCAAGACAGGAATAAGGGTTCTGTTTTCGAACTTTGAGTTCTCCGGTAATTTGCTTGGGCATACGGGGATCGGTGCACATACTGGTAACGTTTGTAAAATGTTCTTCCTTCAAGAAAGCTGGATGAGCAAAGGCACTGGCAGTTACACTCTCTTTGGCCAATTCGTCGCACACGTATGGAGCACCAAAGCAGTATCTGAGCGCCATTGCCGACCCCTGGTTAGAATGAGAGTTCTCGGAATCTCGGAAAAGAAAGACTCACCCCACGCATGCATATTTGGTTGCTGGTTGGCCATACTTTCGTTTTACCTCGTCAATCCATTTTGGAACCGCTTTGTCTGCAAACTCCATATGCTTCTTTTTCCATGCCTCATAATCAAAATCCGGATTGGATTGATCGTGACGATCGCGGCGATGCTTCCACACGGGGTCCTGCAATAGGTCAGCTCGGGTCAAATACGTAACTACAACAAAATAGCTGGCTGAATGTCATACTCCTCGGAAATAATCCAAGCCCAGCACGAGATATCCCGCATCCGCGAAGGCATCCATTACCAGAAGACCGTTAGGAAACATCCCCCAGACATCAGGAAAGTAAAACAAGATATGACCATTTGCATAATCGGCTTTGGGCCGCGAAATATATGTTTCAACACCAGCAACTGCTTCAAAATGCCCGCGCGATGTACCATCGTGCAATGTTCCTTTCAGGCAGCAAGGCCCAGATGGCTGCGCTAGCCAGCGGGTGCTCCTCGCAGTGTCGTCAGTTGGCATTATGGGCGGAGGGGATAAATAGTAAATGCTTTCGTATTAAACTTTCCCAGTCGTTGGGTGTAGACTAATTTATTTATCTCTGCCTTTCAATATGTCGGGCTTTTGATTCTTCGGGCAATTGCCGCCAATGCCTACCCCGGCGTATGGCCGTGTGGCGTTGTGGGGATTTCCCCGCAAACATTTGCTAAGAGCCAAAGTCCATCCCCGAGGAGTTGAAGGGGTTGTGCCTATAAGTATCATGCACCCCAGACTGGAGAGAATGCCACGGACGATCGCTGGATATTCTCATCTAGAGATCTTGATCAGCATTTTCACAGCTGGTGTGAGCTCTTTTTTTGCGAATTGCCACTATGCTCTCCCCACCGAAACAGGACTCCTCTCGCAACATGCATATTGAAGAGGCGCCTGTGAACGCCTCTCAACTTGTTGATGAGATCGAAGAGGCTAAAGATTTAACTCTCAATAAGGTATGTTTTCTTGTTGGAGTAGAAGTACTTGATGCGGGAAGCTGTAGTCTAACACATTTTCAAGGCATATGGAAACTCGGTCGGGTATAAAGAGTATCGAGAGGGGCTAGAGATTTCCGTCTCAGAGAAGGAGGTAAGCGAGTAGCCCCTTTGCTTGATATTATTAGTCTGCGTTCATTCTTGCCGGTCGCTGATGCAGTCCAGAACTCTCGAGTCAGATGGAAAATTGATCTCGTTGTTCTTCCAATTTTTCTTATCACCCAAGCCCTGCAATTCATGGACAAAACCGCATTGAACTATGCAAATCTTTTGGGTTATCAAAAGGCTCTTGGCCTTCATGGTCAGCAATTCAATTATCTTTCTGCAAGTAAATCTCCCATCGCGTATTGGCTAATCCTTCCCCAGCGCGAAGTTACTAACGGTGTTCTTTCCCGAAGTGGTATATGCCGGGTACTTCTTTGGACAGTATCCTTGTGGGTGGCTAGTAGGCCGATTCCCCGCACAGCGTGTCCTTGGTCTGAGCTGTTTTATTTGGGGCTTGATGGTTATAATCATGACTCAATGCCACACCTTTTCCAGTGCACTTGCAATCCGTTTCATTATGGGATTGTTCGAAGCTGCAGTTACACCAGGGTTGACCCTAATGACTGGTTTCTGGTATACCCGACAAGAGATTCCACTTCGTCAGTGCATTTGGTACTCTGCTTTAGGGTGGGGTGGCATTGTCGGCTCTTATATTTGTTTTGGCATCACTAAGCTACCGGTCAATTTTGAGCCAGAACGTTGGAAGATACTCTTCTACATCCTAGGCTCGGTAACGTGCCTCTGGGCAGCGGTCATTATCTTCGTTCTTCCCGATGCACCCTCGAGCGCATTTTTCTTGTCAAAGACTGAGCGTATCATTGGGATCAAAAGAGTGGCAGGTAATGAGACAGGTGTTAAAACGAAAACCTTCAACGCCAAGCAAGCAATAGTCGCATTGTCTGACCCTAAAGCTATCTTACTCTTTGTCTCAGTTTTTGCAGCAGCGATTCCAAATGGTGTCGTCAACTCGTTTTCCACAATCATCATAGAGGATATGGGATTTTCGACCACCAAGACTACAGAGCTCAAGTCTGTTGGAGACGCAGTCCAAATCATCGCACTGGTCATTGGCGGCGCAATAACGCTGAATATACCCAACAGCAGATTGCTCACTGCGACTGCAGCTAACATCATGTGCACGGTTGCCGCCGCATGTATGGCATATTTACCACGCGAACAGAAGTGGGAGAGACTGGCTTGTTTCTGGCTTGTCAATGCCCAGTCGGTAGGATTCACAATCTCGCTTGTCACGATATCCTCAAACATGGCTGGCTACACTCACCGTGCCATGGCCAATGCTCTTGTGTTGTTAGTAATTTTCACTACAACGTTCATTCTCTAGTCGTCCCCACTGATTCACCCTTTTTCTAGCACTGCCTATTGCTGGGGTAACTTTGCTGGGCCATTTGTGGTCAAACCTTCCCAAGCCCCCGAGTACAAAGGTGCTACGATTGGCCTTCTTGTTGGATGCGCAATCAAAGCGGGCTGCCACATATGCCTATATCGTATGTCAGATTGATATCTTCAATATTGCTCATCATACCTATCATTATGCTAACCTGTATGAATTATAGTTTACATGTTCATCGTCAATCGGCGTCGAGACTCAGTTTATGGTCTGCCGGATAAGGCTCGGAGCGATGAAGCTGGCATGCAGGATTACACTGAGTTTGAGAACAAGAATTTCCGTTATGTATTATAAGGAGTGAGAATTGAGCCTGATATGCTCGAGATTGATATCGAGGGCTCGAAATACGTGAAGCTGTAGATCCTACTCCAAGAATTTGATTGAGGGCCAGTAAACAAGGATCGAATAATGACGCAATAGGGTAGAAAATACATGATCCAGCGGCTCTACTGTTGAAAGAAGCCCTCCAAGGCTGTAATATTTCCTTCCTTTCATACTACTATAGACACTGATCCTATATTTTCCCTTCGGCCTAGTTCGGTCTCATATCACGTGTCCGGTAGCTTTCGTCCTGGCGGCGTTTGAGTTCCCGCCCAGTTACCTTCACTAATGTTCATTCTATGACCAGGACACTCGCTTAGAGTGACATCCTGGCTATGGTGCGACATCAAAAGGCTGTTTGCTCGACTTGCCGTCGTCGCAAAAGCAAATGCGATGGAGGCATTCCGCGTTGCTCCGCTTGCGTCGCTAGCTCGTCTACTTGCCATTATGAGAAAGCACCGTCCATCGCTTATGTGCGCTCCTTGCAGTCCCGGATTCATGAGTTGGAAGCAAAGTTGAAGAATTCTGAAGGTGTCTCTTCTCCGCCCTCCCCTATTCTTGACACTTCCGCCTTCATCAACCAAGACGACAACTCCATTTCTCTAAATGCCCAAGGGGGCGTCATTTACCACAACAAAACCTCGGCCATCCACGAAGATCCACCGGATGCTTCCGATGAATCACCAACTTCTGCAACTCAGCCTTCTACATCAGCAGCCGTTGAGAAGATTACCAATGATACTAGACACCGCCTTGTTGCAAATGCTGCGGCTCAGAAGAATCTCGAATTGCTTACCTTGAATGGCACATCGCCACAGGCTGATATACCACCAGAGATTTGTAGCGTGCTGTTAAAGCTACATTGGTGCTGGTTACACCCGAGCTTCTTGTTTGTGTATCGCCCGGCGTTCACAAGAGATATGCTTCAATCCGCAAGCCAAGGGCATGACGCCACGTACTGCTCTGCTACCTTGTTCAAGGTTCTATGTGCTCATAGCTGTCGCTTTATCCGTGATCCAGAAGCTTTGTGGAGTCCCGAAGACTACAATGAAAACTTCTCTCGGCTTAGCAATCGTCTCATGTCAGAGGCAAAAACACTTTTAGCGATGGAAACACTAAACGAACCATCAATACCTACGATTCAAGCACTGTTGCAACAATCCGCTCGTGATATTGCATGTGGTCGATCATCATCTTCCTGGCTTTATTCCGGCATGGCCTTTCGCATGGCGATTGATCTCGGACTGCACGTTTCTCCTGATGTGTTGCAACGTCACTCCTGGCAAATCTGTGGGTATAAAATTAAGCAACGATAGATATATCTAGTAATAATATGTAGCTTTTTGCCAGGAAAAAACTACTCTTCAACAAGAAAAGTGCCACTCATCTCCTCAGCCTCTCTATATTTCTCCAGTCGGAGCAGATCGACTAGAGCCTCTCGTTGTTTCTCCTCCGCCGAAGGAAGTTTTGGCCGATTATCCTTAAACAAGAGAGCAGCTGCTCTATTTAAGGCCAGTAGAGAGCTTTCGCATTTCTTTTTGTCTAGAAAATATTAGCAATAACCATCAAGAGAGCTTAGAGATCATACCGAGCTTATTTATTTCATAAAGGGTTAGTCCATAAAGCATACTGAAAGCTTGCCATTCGGTACTGCTTTCCCGATACTTCTTGAGTACTATAGCATCGGTATGTATATCAGCACCGTGGATAATCTCCGTGTTAAGTCTTTTGATCTCCTGATTGCGGCGAGCGGTATCTTTCTTTAGCGCATCGCGGACCCATGTAGAAATAGCCCGTTCACGGAGAGCGAGATGATTCAGGCGATGTCCTTCGAAGGTTTCCATCTTTTCCTCCATTTCGGCCATCTTTTCCTCCATAGCACTTAGTCTTTCGAGGAGGTCGAAGCCGCTTTTGTTTGCGGCCACTTTAAGTTCGGCATCGTAACTGAGTGACCCCGAGTCCATAGCCATCTTGCTCTTACAGGCCTCAAGAGGATTATTTTCTTTATCCTCGATTGAGCTGTGGTAGGCAATCTCAACCCGATTCTGTAGAAAGTGATTCAATAATTTGTGCTAAATAAGGGGGTATGAAAGGCGTTACCTTGGGGTTGGGGTTGGGACTGGTTCGCGGCATTTTCTGTGGCCCGCCACTGGGCTCGAGCGCGGGTCTCTTCTTGCTTTCGGTCGATTCCATGGCTGTCTAGGTTGGTAATACCGACGTAAGGGGAATGAATCTGGAATCTTGTGTGTGATTGGTAGTACTAAGTGGTGAAGTGCGGGGTTCTACCGAGCCATCGAGGATTGGACAAGATAATGCCAAGTATTACCGCCTCCCCCGCATCTCACGAGCGTCATAGCTTTATAGGCATGAATCCTGCAGAGGATGGTAGCTTGTATAAAATGAATGTGGCTATGGAACGGACGTTCTCATTGGTGGAAGTTTTACTATAATGGCCTCCTACCAAGAATGCGCCATTCTTTTGGTGCCATCAAGAACTGTACCAATATCTTTGGACACCTACGAAACGTGTATTCTACGCTTGTTCTGCTAAGTGGCTGTTTCGAAGAAAGACATCTAGGGTCTTAAAGTGGGGAATCTATATCTTTTGGTAACCAACGACGAATGTCTTCACCAAACGGGGAGTGCCTACCAAGATAACTAGGGGCAGAGTACCGTTTTGGGCATGGACCCGGCGCGGAGTGGATGCGCAAACGGTGTTTCCGCCGGCGCATCTTCGGGCAATCATCGAATATCATCTATACCGGAGCATGGTCGGCCACTAGCCAATGATAGGTGAATTTGTTCGGTCATCTCGGCACTGAAGACTGCCGTCAACAGAACCCGAATATTCGGCAGGTGCTGAGTCCACCTCCACACATCACATCACTCAACCTGATGTACCACAATACCCTTATTCTGCTACATAGACCACTTGTCTCCAGTGGACAAGCCCTTTGCTCAGACTCGTCACGGAAAAGCTGGGAGACCTGTCGATCAGCAACGACGACGATATACCACCTGCTGAAAATGTACATCAAGACGTTTGGCTTTCATCATATCACCTATATGAACAGCTACTGTACATACACAGCAGCGACGACTGCTGTATACCAATTGGAAACTTCTGGCGCAGGGCCACATCTTAATCATGCCAATGAAGCAGTCTGGACAGAATTGAGGTTCTTGCTCGATATTCTCCAACGTACATCTTCTGCCATGCCCGGTTTGAATCGAAGCATCGACATTATTCGTACGAGAATCAAGAGAATACTTGATCGTCAAGCGGCAAAGCAACTCGATTCCCTTTTCCCGGCTAAGACTCAGTCAATTGGGCATATGAGTCGGCAGGTTGCTCCTGAGCCACCGAGGCCGAACAGGGAGAATGAGAGGAATCCACCTTACAATTACCCGAAATCAATGTCGGCAGACGATTCCTTCGGGTTTCCAGGACGTGATGATGCTTTAATAGATGATCCGAATGGATTGGACGTCTGGCTTCCTGCATTCCCAGGACAAGACATTTCCTACGGGGCAGAGGTTATGCTTGATATGGCGGATGTTGTTACTCCAGAGACACGATCTGCACTTATGGGATCAAATTTGGACCCGCATATGCAACTGAATGCACCGATACCCGAGTATCCGCATTTCGGCTACGATTCTTTCCCCAGTACCGCTTTATCTCAATTGCCTCCAGATGAAGGACTGTGACATTTGCTTTGATCGCTGGCCTGACTAAACCATCTTGTACTGGATTGTGAAGATTGGAATAATCTAGTATCAATGGGGTCTCCGACATTTTCTTGAATTGGGAATTCAAAACTAGATTTAGGTCATTGTCCAGACAGTTGTCGCTCTAGGCTTGTGGTGACTTGAATCCGGCCATCCCCCGAACATGGGCTCTTACTATGGAACCGGCAAAGAAGGTACAGACGGTTACATAGTAGGCTTTGTATGACTCGTCAACGCTATCGTGTCTGTCAGATCTAACTATTTTTGTTGATTAGGATCACATTCAAGCAAACAATTCACCGTCTCAATTCCCTTGCCACTGTCATTTATCTCACTACCCACCGCACTTTGCCAATGTGCAGTGAGATTCAAATAGCCATCGAGAGCATTGTTGAGAAGATCACCGACTTCATAAGCTTTCATGTCTTGAGAAATGGGAGCAGTAAGTCAATAATGATCGAGCTCCTTCCTTTGTCTTGCTGCTACCAAGAGCTCAGCGAACTTCTCAACCCACTATTGCACCAGCGAACGAGTTTCAGATTCGACCTTGGTCAGCATCTCCGTATTTATTGAGAGGTACGGATTTTGCAAGGTGCGGCAACGACAGGAGGCTACAAGACAGGGATATCCGCCAAAACAGAGCGCTCATAAGGCACGGGTGTTCAGATGACGACCTCGTGCAGAGGCATATGCCGACAAGGTTAGCGTGGCCGAACGGAAAGTTGGAGCGCACCTTTTACTTTTTGATTAACCCTAAAGGCAGTAGACAATGTACAGAGACGCCGAGGCTTCACACATATGATCAAGTTAAGAACATGTCCAGGTCCTTATCAATCATCAACTCGGCCTGAAACGGAATACCTAAACCCAAGTTGCAACTGCTAGTCTATTTAGGTCACAAATGCACTTTAAGATGAATCTAGCGCTGAGATTTACGCTTTTCCGTAAGTGATACTTATTTCCATTCTATTCAGCCACCCTTTGTAAAGAAAAATGTGATAGTAGTAAAGAATATACCCAGGTAGACTTTATACTTCTTTGCTTCACCGCTTCCAACTGCCGGATGCCCCACTCACCGCCTGCATCTGCAAAAGATCCCGATTCCGCCCTACGATGCTCCGATCTACAAGGAAGGTGCAGAACCTCAAACCAAGCCATTACTGTAAGTTTGTTCCTCAGTTATAGTTTGCAACCTCTAGGAATATCTAGAGCTAGCTCATTGTCGAAGCTAGTCTGTCTCAGACCTCGAGCTACCTGCAATTACTCACGGCAACCAAGATGTGAAGGAATTGGATCGACTAACCTTCGATCAGGTCCAATCCGGCGCATACCCGTCGAGAAAGGCCAATTGAGCGCACACCTCCTGCCTGGCCCTATATGTCGTCGCGCGCCACCTCCATCGCTTGGCGAGCCAGCCTCCGGGCTCGCACGCCTTCCGCTTCACGCTGGTCTCGGCAGCCATCGACGCTGCTTCCGAAGCGCTACCCCGGTGCGGTGCGATATGCTTCCGAGTCGGCGCCGGTGCAGCAAGCAGCTGCTGAGACAGTTAAGGAGGCTTCGAAGGAGATCCCTAAGAAAGCTGGCCGTGGGTCCCGGAAAGCTTTGTATGGTACTTCTCTGGCGGTTGTCTTGTTGGTGGGCTATATCTATGGAACGGATACTCGAGCGAGCATTCACCGCTACGCCGTTGTTCCTCTGATCCGGCAGCTGCTCCCGGATGCGGAGGATGCGCATCATATCGGTGTTGACACTCTGAAGCTCCTCTATCAGTATGGGCTTCACCCTCGCGAACGGGGTAACCCAGACAGCGATGGTGTTTTGGCTACTGAGGTATGACTACCCGCGATGTTAAGGTCTTCTGCATTACGAATCGATCGATCTAATGCTAATTTATCCATGTCCAGGTCTTCGGATACACCCTCTCCAACCCCATCGGTATCTCTGCCGGACTTGACAAGCACGCCGATATCCCCGATCCCTTGCTCGATCTTGGCCCAGCCATCGTCGAGGTCGGTGGAACTACTCCCTTGCCACAAGATGGTAACCCTAAGCCTCGCGTGTTCCGTATCCCCTCGCAACACGCCATGATCAACCGCTATGGCCTCAACTCGAAGGGCGCGGACCACATGGCCGCCGTCCTGAAGCAGCGTGTGCGCGATTTCGCCTACGCTGTCGGCCTGGGCGATCACGACCTCGCCGAGCAGCGCGTGCTGGACGGCGAGGCCAACGTGCCCCCGGTAGTTTGGTCCCTGGCAAGCTGCTCGCTGTACAGGTTGCAAAGAACAAGCTCACCCCCGACGGCGACATTGACGCGATTGCGCGTGACTACGTCTACTGCGTCGACCGCGTCGCGCGCTACGCTGACATTGTTGTCGTGAACGTCTCCAGCCCCAACACCCCCGGCCTGCGCGACCTCCAGGCTGCGGCCCCGCTCACTACAATCTTGACAGCCGTCGTGGGCGCCGCCAAGAAGGTTGAGCGCAAGACGAAGCCCTACGTCATGGTCAAGGTCAGCCCCGATGAGGACTCGGACGAGCAACTCTCCGGTATCTGCGAGGCAGTCTGGAACTCGGGCGTCGACGGTGTCATTGTCGGCAACACGACAAACCGCCGCCCCGAGCCACTGCCCAAGGGCTTCGTCCTTCCCGCTCACGAGCAACAAACTCTCAAGGAGACTGGAGGCTATTCAGGCCCGCAGTTGTTTGGCCGACTGGTGTCGCTCGTTGGCCGTTACCGAACCATGCTAGACCAGGGTCCTCCTTCGCAGGCGACCGAACAGAATGGTCCTGCTGATGGTGAGAATGTGCCTGCGGATGCAGCGAGCCACCCGCACAAGGTGCTTTTCGCTTCTGGTGGCATAACCACTGGCCAGCAGGCGAAGCAGGTTCTGGAGGCTGGTGCCTCGGTCGCGATGATGTATACTGGCGTGGTTTACGGTGGTGTTGGCACTGTGACGCGAGTGAAGCAGGAGCTGCGGGAGGAGCTGCAGAAGAAATGAACAGTTGAAGCGAGAAAAGTACGGTCTAGATCTTGATAATTTTCCTTTTTTTTAGCTTTTGTACATAGCGTATGATGGGGGACATTTTAGCATCAAATTCAATTATGGAGTTGGATACTCGACGAGTTTATTTCTCTTTTCCATGTTCAAGGTGGACAATATAGCCGATGGTTGTTGTATATGTACCTATATACACCGGATTTTGTCCGCCGGGTGGGGCTTTCCTGTCTGGGCTGCCGCCGCTTTAATGAGGGCGATCAGGCTCAGGCTCAGTGAGCAAATCAGTGTAGTCATGTGATCGCTCAGTGACCAATCAGCCACTGTTTACTCACCAGGACTCATTAACGAGTTAACTACGGAGTAGTTAAGTTAACTAACTAACTAACTAACCGTGGCATTGACCACCCTACCCCTTTCGGTTTAGGGTGGTCCAACTTCCAAGTATCTACACCTACCGCCACCCACCACCATGCCTAAATTATTTAGCAATTAATAAAAATATTTCTCTAGGACTAGTAAAAAAGAAAAAATGCAATTGAACTTTTATTGCGCGCGGAATTCGTATACGTTCGCGGAATTCGTGGTAATCAATCTCTCGATCAACAAACTATTTACACCATCAACGAGCTGTCCCCCTCAGTATCCACCCTGAAAATTCCAAAGGGCTCGAATATACTATAGCTACGGGCGATTAGTCCGTTGTACTTTTTCCAGACTCACGCCTCACTTCTAGAGTAGAGAGCTGCAGTAACCGTGTTTAAACAGCGTAGATATATTCTTAGTATTGTGATTGAATTATGTACCTCCAGAGATATTGGCGATGAGAAGCACTGAACCTGACCTGTGTTTTACTGTATGCACTTTTTCTACATGGAAATCCATAACACTCGTCAACTTTAACTCTTAATCAATCCGCTTGTTTTGATGATACTGGGATGTTTATGTTCTTATATTCTGACTGTTAGCAGATACTGCTCCTGCTAATAGTCTAGTCAACTCACTTCTCCTAAAGGGTGACTCAATAGCTAGTGAGGTACATGAAATGAATGAAAATAGGAATACATAGTGTCTGACGATGACAACTTGACCGATGACTCGAGTACTGATATTGGCAGTCTTTGGTCTATTTTGACCAGAATGTGACCAATTCATCAAAGTCCTCCTCTCGCAGGTCCTTGCTGTCTCGCCACACCTTCGTGATCTTGTGTCGCATGGATGCTCCCTCTTGGAACAACTTTGCTGCATCATTCTCCCGCCCAGCTTCTGTGAGCACCTTAGCCTTCAGGAATGATGTCCGCGCTATCTCACGAGCATATATTCCTGGATCAACGCTCCAATTCTTGAGGGCTTGGTCGATGAACACGATGGCATCCTCAAGAAGCCCGTTGCGAAGGCAATGCTGTGCCATCTTGTGGCAGACGTCTGCAGTTCGATGATGGCGGTTGCGGATGGTGGACTGATACTGCTTGAGGGCCCGTCGATGAAAATCTTCACTTTCCTTGAGCCGGCCTTGAGAGAACCGCACGTTTCCGAGTGCCTGAAGGAAGCGACCGGTCCTGCCAGCACGGATTACGGCGTTAGCGACGCGGGAAATTAGCAGCAGGGTAAAACTAGAGTAGATCACTTACCGGAAACAATGGTTGTCCATGGGTCCGTAAATTTCCTCTCGATCTGCGAGGCCCATCTCTAGCACATCCGACGCCCGCGTCAAGTCTCCCTGGAGCCAGTACGTTAAACCAAGATTTACGAGGGCCAGCGAGCGCTTGTCCTTGGTATAGTCCGGGATCTTCTCGTACTTCTGCGCAGACGTCGCAAAATGTTCTTCCCCCTTCTTGTAATCGCCGGCCATCACCCACGATATGCCCATCTGGTTATAAGCGCTGGCAAGTTTCTCGTCAACTGTGCCCGTTCCTTCTGCGATGGCCAAGCGTATTTCGAGGACTCGCTTGTTATGCATCATGCTGCCAGCTGCGTCGTTCGTCCCGCTTGCGACTCCTCCAAGTGTGTGCCGAATGTCGGATTCTAAGTCTTGGTGATCGACCGCTGTACTGCGATTGCAGAGGTCCAGGGCCAGTTCCAATAAAGGCTTTATGATAGGGGATTCACCGCGTTCGTGTTTGTACCTTCAAAAGGGTCAGCATCACGGGAGTGACTCGATATAATAGACGGCCACTCACCATCCAGCACGATTGAGAAGTTCAGCAAATTGAAAGTCGCCGTCAAGATATTCCTTTTGCTTGAAGTATTTCTTGTAAGCGTCCTCCAGGCTGAGGACATGTGGATAGAGTGCTTTTGATGTATTCCAGAGTGTGACATCATGACCCTCAACTTCTTGAACCGGCCAGGCAGCTGCGACCATGGTGACCACATTTGAAAAGACCTTTCGTTTTCGTTCGGGTTCAATTTGGGCACGCACATCGTCCCGCGTTGAGCGATGCATCCAATACTCAGCCTTCTCCTGGTTATGGCGGAAAAGGGAAGATCCGATCAGTTGCCCCCGAGCCATGCAAAACGCCCCCTCGTTCTTGGGGTACGAGGGTATGTCCACATTAGTAGCGTGGGTTGTCAAGAGCTTCTCCTGGATGCTGTCTGGATCCAAAAACGATGAAACCTCCAAAATTGCTCGTGCGGCATCCGACAGCTTCTCCAAGACTGTTGAAATCTGTCCACGAGCCGGCTTTCGGAGTGATTGAACCTCCATCTCGTGAATTTCTTCGGCATCGTAGATCCTCATGAACTCGGAATAGGTTAGAAATCGAAGCCTAATTATACCAGCCATCTGGGCTAGCTTAAGAGGCAGGCCACCTAGTCGATCGCCAACCTGTCTGGCTTCTTCAAGATGGCCCTCAATCTCTGTATATTTTTGAACAAACAATCCAGCATCTTCTATATCGAAAGTCTGGACATCGAGAGAGCTTGCGTGGTGCGAAAAACTCGTCTTCGAGAGGGGGCTGCGGCTAGTGATCAAGACTGCACCGCTATGAGCGATGTCACTATACGGTGCCAGGATGTCAGGTTCGTCGGCATTGTCGAAAATGACCAGCCAGGAAGCGCGTACACGCTCCCCAGTACTATGGTCTATCTTGAACGGGTTGCACAGCCACTCAATAGCGAGTCCTCGATTGGTGACCTGGTTGTCTGGCTCGTTGGGGTCCTGGATGCCCAAACGGATAGCGATCTGAGTAAGGTCCGATTCAAGTTTGGACGAGTCATCGGCTCGGATCCAGAGTACAGCGTCGAAGCGGGTTTTGCGAGTAAACGCATATTCGATGGCTATTTCTGTCTTCCCGAGACCATGCATGCCGCATAGTATTCCCACATGTATTCGATCGGGCGGTGAAGATGGCATCTGGTCATTTGCAGGAAGAAGCCAATCATCGATTTTGCTTAGAACATCTTGTCTTCCGTAAAAGTCCTTGTTCCTCGCATAGGCGTGCATCATTAAACAAGGTATTCGGGGGTCAAGTTGTTGCACGGAGAAGTTCTCCAGGAGAGCCTCGAGAGATTGTTGTTCTGGGCTCGAATCAGCATTAACGTGAGAGGACGCCCTAGGCTCTGGCCAGCCAGAGACTCCGGTTCTGGCAGCCTGTCGGGTTGAAGCTGAGGCGCAATGTTAGCGATGGATGGTTTGGTATATCTATGCCACTCACGTTGATGGGGTTGGTTCAGGAATAACCTATTGCTCGTCATGCCCGCCGTTAAACTTTGCACATCGTGAGCTCTGTCTGCATTGGTTCAGTAACTCGGATGGACGATGTTAGGAATAAAATGTTCGTACTGTTAAGTTGGTTCTGTACATTTGGTGGGCAGATTATTGACGCCAACCAGAGCCTTATCTGGGATATTGAACTCCCATGTTCATCACGCATAGACGGAAGTTGGGGGTGGCCAAGCTGTACGCCGAGTCTCCGTTCCATGTTTGTCTCAATCGAACACAAAAGCTCGTCGACGACCTATGAAGTCTAGAGTTAGCTTGGATCGAAGCAATGAACATCAAGATACTTGGGGTCGAACAATGATCTTCCTCGTCCTGGGTACCAAAGGCCTGTGGTCTTTTATTTGAGTCAATTCCTCCTCAAAGATTGATAGCATCTCTACACGTATATTCGTCTCGTCGAAATCATCCGCCAGCTCGAGCATCACGCGGGCGTCTCTTAGTCGTGCGAGGGCCTGACGGCTTAGTGTAGTTCCAGTGGGAGTATCGAGCTTTAAGATGCTGGCAAGTCGATCACCAAAATCGTCCTCGGTCACTCCTTCGAGGCGGTGCGGAGTACCGAGGAACACAATGCCAGCTATGGTGTTCAAGAAGTCAGAGTACCGGTCGTTATGCGTACCGGCGATACACAGCGCCTTTCCGATATGAGCGTTATTATTAAAATCTTCCTGGTTATCAACTTGGAGATGGATCGGTACCTTTTTGGCAATGACACCGCCAAGGCCATGACAAATAAACAGCAGACGTTGCGGTTCCTTGATATTATTCTTAGTAAATAGCGCAAAAATGAGGAAAGTAAAGATTACCCTCTGGTTGTCTACAAAAGTTTGAAGCTTTTTGAGAAATTCTTCTCCCTCGTCTAGGAGCTGCTGCCAGGAGAAGCGGTCCTCCAGAGACACACCATGATTGTAAGCGTGAATGGTAACCCCAGTGTCCAGTGAGGCGAAGAAGTCGGTCCAAGGCTGGTGCCGGTAGAGGGACCAGTCGTCACAGGCAAGGGTCCCTACGCCAGGCACAAGAATGATGCTGAGATATATGAGACACTGTATGACATATAGTTTCGGGGGATAGGGGGCTTACTGGATGTTCTTGGTACCCTCCTTGACGACTTTGAGCTTCCGCAAGGTGGGGGTCGGCTTTGATGACGATGAGCTTCGAAGCCGAGCCATACCGATCGGTTATGCTCCCTATGCCGTCAGTTTAGCTTAGGTGTTGTAGGAAGAGCATATAGGTGAGAAGTGGGTGGCTCAAACAGGCAGTGATTGAAATTCACATCTCCCAGGATCCAGGAGAGGAAACAGCGACCTGGTAGTAGTAGCAGCACCAGCGGAGGCGCATAGTGCCAACACATGCCTATAGACTCCGATGAGGCAAACTCGCACATTTTGAACCGCTCGAGAAGGTTACACCCCTGCCCATGTCGTATGCGGCGGCTTAGGTAGAAAGCTGATTCCAACAAGGTGACGAGCCTACATAAAACCAATCAGACAATAGTCGTGAAACACGCACCAGGAGGCACGGATCCTCGCTTTCGGAAAAGTCATGCGGAACAAAGAGTTTAGCGAAATAATTTGCCGAAGAATATTGATACCTGCCAAATTGATAGTCCATTAACTACTGTAGTTCATTTTGGACCAACTAAACGGAATGAACCTGGGGCATCCCAACTCGTAGTAATAGTTCAAAAATCAAGTCGATACTACGAGCCTCTTGTACATAACTCATGCTTACGATTGGTCAAGCAGGATGCCCGCGATGAGTAGATAGGTAGCCCAGTACCTACGTCACTTCCTGGAGCGCGTCGCGGGGGTTGGGCAGGGGGCGGGAAAGGAGGACTGGGCTGATAAGCGCAGATGTGTGTTCGGGGCCACGTCACACTGGCACAGGGTCACTGGGTCACCTAATCTGTGTCTGTGCACTGTGCATTCCCAGGGCCAAGTAGAGGCCCTACTACTTGTTGGTCAGGCTGGCCAGGAGAAGTCATATGTAATGTAATGTAAATCTTTACTAGCGCTACATGTGGGCGACGTAGAGGAGAATTCAGCATTTTTTCTGATATGGACATTTATATCAAGCCGAACATTCTTCGATGACTCCTGTGCAACCTCAATCAAACGATGTAAGGCTGATTCAGTTTCAGACTTGTACTCGACGTTATTATTGTACTCCGTACATAAATTCGCTGCGGTATGTTACCCAAAATAGGTGGCTGGTGGTTGGGGAGGCGGTGTAGGAGGAGGTTCAAATACCTAGCTCGCCCACATTTCCAAAGCACCTCACCTCATTGATATCCTTTCATCGAGCCCACGACATTCTCGAGCAATTAATCCATAGAACTTGGAGCAACTGGGAGAGAAGACCTCACTTCCACTCCTTTCACTTGGTGGCTCAGGACTATGTACGTGCAAAGACTGAACGACCCAATGTAAACGTTCGCGCTTTTGGACTCCGCTGATGTCTAACGCGACAAAGCATTCCGCATCTCGAGGGAATATTCACGCGCCGCTTCAACAATCGCTATTGCACGATTTAAGGGGAATTAAAGAAGAAGCCGAACCATGGAACCAGGAGCAGCGAACTTAGAGCAGCCCTGGAAGTCTGTTAGTGACAGCTTCAATAAAACTAGGGCTAGCGACAAGGATATCTTCTACGGTGCCGCTGTTGGGGAGAAAATGTCAGTCCCAGGTTCAGCTGGGGAGGTCAACGTGACAATCCTGTATGACACAGGTGACTATGACAACGAGTAAGACCTTGCAAACGGTTTCATGGTGTGGTTGCTAATTGACAGAGCAAGGGATACGAAGCGTCTCCGCCGCGACCTGCCCACTCAAGAGGTGTCTCATAAAACCCGCGATTGATAAGGCGGGCCTGTGTACACCGGCAATCAAAAGTATCAGGAATAGAGGCCCCTCTAGCTTCTTAAAAGCGTGTTTCTCCAAACTACTGTGCAATTCGGGACTCTATTAATTTTCTGGGCTAGCCATAAACAAGCTTCTTGGTGAAAAAAGAAGAAAGACAGAAACTCCAGACTGCCACCGTAGATTCCAATAAGGCGAATCCATCATGTTGTAAAGACGAGGGCCCGCACCTCAATACTCTGTCTTGGTTGAGCTTTTTCTGGGGCGCCAGGATGAAGGAAAGAAGAATGCGGAACACCTTGGCAAAGTATCAGCAAAGATTCAAGGACCGTAAAAGACTAGAGTACTGACACTGACGCCCCCTGCTGTCTCCTTGGAGAAATACCCATGCTTGGGTGGGCATTTGCTCGCTGACATAGTACCAGCGATGCTCTGGGTGATGTTCTAGCAATAAATTTTCTGTTTGGAAGTCCTGGAACACAACGTCTCCGGCGTGGAGAGCGTGCAGATTAAGACTGGATGCGTCACAGAGGGCCAAAGGCCAATCTTGAACTGGTCCACGGATTGGTGCCCAAACACTGTAATTAAAATCAGCGATGACTGAGCCAGTGAGAGGCAAAACGAGAAGCCAACAAACTTTATGAACTGATAGTGCTCTCCGGGGAGACGATGTATTCCGCTCTTGTGATTCAGGCGACGGGCAAGAATGCTCGCCCATTCTTGTGTCATATCTTCGACGGGATATTAGAACATGAACCTCTTGAAGGAGTTATTCACAAACCAATGTGTGCTGCAGTCGTGGGTTGATGGTCTTCGTAAGCAGTCTCTGTCGCTAGTGGAAAACTCTCGCCCCGTTTCCGAACCTGCTTCATTAGTTTTGGACGGAGAGGTGGCATATCAAGGCCAACGTACAAGAAACTCGAAAATTTGTATCCTCGATGGGTTAAGCATGGATCTCAGGAGCTTGGCAACATTTGGTAAATATGTTTGAACAATCTTGTCTTCGTCGTCAAAATCCTTGTAAGTCATGCCGGAGTCCAACGTTTCCAGAGAGAATCCATTTGCGCCCAGAGAAAAATCTTTTTCGCGACCCCGAATGTCCTCGATCTTCTGGGGTTGGATGTTGGTCTTGATATTTGACCATGGAAACCCGGACGGTGGAACAAACTTCATCCTGTAAGGTTTCTGTTTGTCATACAAGACGTCCCTCGCGAGGAAGTCAATGTTGCCTACGACAGCCATCGTGAGTACCGCGACTAAATGAGCGTTGTGACAAAGGCCCGTGGTACGAGCTTATGGCTATATCAGTAGGATGAAGGAACAACAGTAACGAGACAAGACATTGGAGAGAGCTTACTCGAGGAGTCGAGACAGTCTAGGGTAATATATCACGTGCAGATTGGGCGAAATCCCCTTAGGCATATGAGGAAACTCTCTGCGCCCGTGCAATCGGAGCACCGGCATACAGAATTACAGAGGGCTTATGGCGGCGGTTGGGTGGTCAATGCCGTGGGTGGCTAGCTCTTTAGAAAAGAATTAGGGGGTTATGCCGCTTTGATACACGCCTGGTCCCCTGTGCTATAAGGTGTACTGGAGGAGGGGCTTCGTTAAATTGATTCGCACACTCAGCTAACCACAACAAATGCAGGCCAGTGGAAATGACCTTTAACCTGCTAGCGAAATTCTTGCAACTTATCTCCCCAACTCTATCTTGAGGTTCTTCTAGAAAAGGAGATCGTCCGCTGAACTACCTCGTACACCGTGACGAGAAACCACCAACAATGTATTTTCTCGCTGGCGGTGTGAGAGCGGGGAAAACACACTCTCTTGCTGCCCAAACTTGGCGCCCTGGCGAATCCGGCCCAAGTCAGTGCATATCGTGCCATGTGACGCGTGTACGTGTGTGTTACTGTGCTCATCGTTCCGTAGATTTCTGTAGGCGGCTACGAGAACAGACAAGCTCGTGGACATGAGTCTTGGTCGATCAACTTTGATCAGCGTTCTCTGCGCCCCCATCTGCTTAGACTCCGACCGAGATATCCGATTTTAAGCGTATTAATTAGGTAGTCTCCTAGAGCGAGCGATTACTACAGAGGGTCACCCAGGTCATGGTCCCACCAACTTCTTAGGAAAAGACACAAGAGCGAAATGGGCGTCAACAAGGTGATACTAGTCATGCAAAAACTAATGCTTGAAGAATCGAAGCAGATACCGTCTGATTACCCCTCCTTTGAACACCAGAGATGAGGCTACCAAACCAGCGGTGAAAAAGATCCAGATTCCTCGAAAGCGAGACGCAAATGGTACTAGCTTAATTTCGATGTAAAGAATCCCTCATAAGATACACCGCACAACCTACATGATTATTTTCACGATTATCACACTGGCCTACAATGATCTGAGACTCAAGAAACACTACTGCATAGTCTGACAGATTGTTAGAGTAATAACCATGCTGCAATGACTCAAAATCGAGGGAATTCTGCATTCAGACCCTGGGATCTAATCCTAGCTTATCGCTTCTTGCAGGCGGTTTATACATCCTCCGAATGGAACTCATCCAAGCTCTCCTAGTCAAGTCTTGTAGCTCATCATACTTGAACAGTGCCCAGGTAATAACTCCCACGGCAAGAGATGCCACAACCCACGACCAAAACGGCGGATTGCTGCCAGGATTGACCTCTTGCACATTCATTCCAAACACCGAAGCTACAAATGATAGAGGCACAAAGAAGACAGCTAACTTAGTAAGCTTTGTCACACCTTGGGCTTCGGCAATGGCCTTTTCGGACTCGCGGATCGTCGCATTGTGAGCTGTGATGGTCATCCCCTGCACACATTCAGCAGCTAGGCTTTCCGCGTATGTAAGTGCCGAGCGGTAATCTCTCAGAATAGATTCAATCTTCCGTGGGTTAGAGCCCTTGACATTGCTATCGGACGTTTTCTCCGACAGATCTCGCTCATATAACGACTCGATGGCACCGATAGTCCCTTTGAGGTTTCGAATGTGGCGCCGGAGGACTTGCTGGTGGTAGAGTAGGTTCGACAGAGTTAGATTGTTATTGTGAATTAGATGAGAATGGTTGAGCTCCTCTCTAATCTTGGTATCGACAAGATCTAGTATTGCCATTTCAGACGAAACTGCCAAATTGAAGAACGGGCTCAAGGCGTAGAAGGGATCGTGAACTGCACGCGCTAGATCGATGTGCCGAAGGTAGTCTCGCAAGACAATGTCGACCCTTGCTGACGGTTTGATGGATTCGGCTTGGTTGCTGAGTGTTTTGCTTCTGCCGTTGAAGGAGATTCCGGGGCGGTGCAGCGGTGTTGGTAGATATTTCAGAAACGAGTTCGCCCGAGTGCCACCAGTTCCAGTCTCCCATGGCCATTTCAACTCTTCGCCTAATTGTCGCAAACCATCATGCCAGACAATACCTAAACGGCCTTTCCAAGCAGGGGGGATGTAGATTGAGATTGTTTGCTCCAACGAAAAGGAGTCAAAGTTGTGGACAGAGACGTCTCGAGCAAATGGATGGCCTGCGGCCATATCGGGAGAGTTCAATAGAGCAAGTTTCCTCGTGTAGGTACTCATCCGCTTAGACCAATCTCTTCGCAGCTCATCTAACTGCTCCTGGTCGTGCTTGGTTTGCATATCGTGTTTCTGCAAGCCAATGGTGGTGACCGGTAACGACAGCATGTCCGAGTAGCAAGATGGAAGGATCTGCATGGCGGTGTGCTTCAAGGTCTTTCTTCTAGGCCTCGATTCAAACAGTAGATGTCTTCGGAAGAACTCGGGGTCAATATTGAACCTCGCTCCTAAAACATTTAACCATGTTGCACAAGGATAACCACGCAACAAGAGTAAGGAAAAGGAGTCACTATTGGGTGTGACTGTCTGACCAAGCTCCTCAAACTTCTCTACTGTCTCAAATGGGACATGGGTCATCGTTTCATCAGAGATTTTGTATAACGAGGCGAAGCAGCGAGTCGGCTCTACTACGGGAAAAGTGGAATTCAGCCGTGGTGGTCTGTAGATATACGGCTGCCAAAGGAAAGTTGCGAAATCTCCAAAGTCGTCACCCGCATATAATGACTGCTCCGATGCCGTCTCCGTGTGAGAAAGGACTTTCCTAGCATACTCCTGAGCGACGCCTATAACATGAAATATGGTCAACATGTGTATGGCAGAATAGGGCTGAAAACGTAAATGTACCTCCCCATGTTTGAAAGGGGCCCATGTTTTCATTTTTCCCCGTTCCTTCGCTGTCTTGTTGTTTCTCCTCCCTTCGTGCCATGGAGTTCCAAGTTGATACTGAAGGCGGTCGTGATCTGAATAGATTGGGTCTGTATTCGTGTCCTGAACATAGAGTAACTGCAAGATTACAAGTGCGGGTTACACTGCTATCAAAAATCCGAGTAAAACAGAACGAGTGGAAAAGATGAACAAAAAGTGACAGCGGCTCTACTTTGCCTAGTGAGACACGTTTTCTCTCAGCTGTTCAGAGGAGCATCCCATTGGATGCCTCGATAATCCATGCGGAAATACAACTGTTATCCGTGCCCAGTTCAACCGACGTCACCCGAACCGCAGCCTCAGCTTCACCCGGGTTAAATCCTCAATTAGACCCCTGCTAAAGTCTTACTCCTAACTCCTCTCTGCCCCCGACCATACGTTACAAACCACTGTTTTACGCCAGAACTACTTTCTTACCAGTTCCGTACACCTGATTTGCCGTCAACACTGCGTAGAGTGAAGAAGTCGTGAGTGTCCCCAGCTTTTTTTCGGTGCTATTTGAGAAGTGAGAGGAAACTGAGATTTTGAGGCTTCTTTGGCCTTTTCTTACAGGGCACTATGGGTCTGCGTCTGTTGGATATGGTTTGAGGTATGGTGAATCTTCTACTTAGGTGGCAGCGCAGGATGACAATTCGTTAGGATAAGCTTGATGGACTTGAAAGGTCCTGTGCGCTGCGTGCGAAACTTGTGGTGAGTCTTGGAGGAAGCTTGGTACTCCTTGTGCAGGTAGCTGCACGTACACCAAATCGCCAATTGCAGGCCGGAAGGGCTTGTGAGAAGCGTCGTAGCGTTCCTTGATCACAAGTTCTACGTCATATTCAAGATCGAACTTAATCGCCAGATCAAGTGGGTTATTGTAGGACACGTGCATTCCAGGGCTGTATTCTTTGCGATCTTAGCGTCCTTAAAACTTAGACTATTCGAGATTAAAGAAAAGTTAGGACTGCTTAATTATTAACTAAAACTACTAATAAGTATACGACGTATCTATATGATATTCTATATCTTATTATTAGAAAAAGCACCTAAGAACGCCGAAATCGCTACTAATATCGAAATCGAAGAAGAAATAGAAAACAAATATAAGGTTAAGGAAATTCTGGAAACAAATAAAATTAGCGAAAAACCTTATTACCTTATAAAATAGAAGAGGTACGATACCTCGGAAAATATATAGGAACCTATTAAGAACCTAATAGGCTACTCCTAGCTAGTTTAATAGTTCTACTAGTATCAGATCCACGCTCAATTGATGTTTCATCGGATAAATAGACCCTTGACCAATCTTCAGGGGTAAAGTGTTAATATCGAAGTGCCCACGCGAGACGATTTATTGCATTATTACCGTTTAATTGCGGTCGTTTGATCTTACGCCATTTTCGAAGACCAAGGTCTTTTAATAGTGCGCGTAGGGTAGATTCAGAGATCTTATAATCAACAAGATCGAGCAATTCATGATATCGGCAGCTTGGGTGTTGTTGAATATAATCATAAATTAGATCACGCTCCTGATCAGATAGTATTCGTGGCCGACCAGATCGTTTGCATGTATGATTATCGCGGCCACGTTGGCTCCCTTTCTTGCATGTGTATATAATCGTTGATCGCGGTATTGATGGGAAACGTATCGCAATCTCATTGTAGGATAGATTGGCATCGGATCGCAGTGAACAGATTCGCGATCGTGTAGATGGAGATAGTTCTGGTCCTCTAGGCATATTGGTTGATAGATTGGTTGATAGATTATAAAACATGGCGGAAATTGGAATAGGGGTAGACTAGCTACTCCCTGGTTGCTGTTTATTTTGATATTTATTTTGATATTTATTTTGATATTTATTTTGATATTTATTTTGATATTTATTTTGATGTTTATTTTCATGATTATCAGTATGGTTGGCAGGGTGCTAGTTAGGAGATTAAAAATAGTAGGCGGTAGGAGCTAGGCGGAGGGTGGTCAAATACTTGTTGAGGGGCACTGTAGCCCGAATACTATACGAACACTTAGGGAATTAGGACCCTCTTTCTCGCCCGATAAAATGAGTCCTCGAGCCGAGGACCCTTCCAACAAATGCCGAACCAGCACTCATGTCCTCCCTAACTAGGAAATGCCGCCTCCATTGGCCAAAGCCGAAGAGTATCTTTTGTCCAACTCGGGTTACTCAATAGAATCAGCCCAGTGAGCCCACATGGGCAAAGTGGACCGACAGAGGAGTATCTCGAAGAACTGCACAACCCATCAACCAGGCACTTGACAGGGTGGGGGATGACCCATCAAATAGCACCAACTCCAATGATATTGTAGCCCACATACGAAGAGAACCGCATAGCTCAACAAGCTACATGCAGATCTAAAAATTGCTTTAGACCTAAATCTCTGATCGTCCGCGTGACAGGGCTGAGAGGGTTGTGTGGCACTGCGTGGGGGTCCTGTCAACGAGTCTAGAAGACTGGATGGGCCCGTAGGCTGGACTCCATAATTCTCCATAAACGTGCATTCCGTAGCTGTGGTGGAGTTGCCGATGGAGACCTTTGCAACGGGATCCCCCAGATAGGCTTCCCGAGAAGCCGGGGGTATGTTGCTTTATTCGGTATCTAGTGGCTGACGGGCTTACCCACAAACAAAGAATAGTGTTGTTCCACGAACTAGGAAATTTCGGAGGGGCTTGTAAGTTGTGACTGGTTGATTGGGATCGATCATGGGGTTTCTTTTCTTTTGGGGCTTGCTGATTATGTTCTATGCGAGCTCTGTACTGGGACGTATAACGATGACCGTATAGTGTATGAGGCGGAACCACAATACTGTAACCAGGTGCGTTGGCTTTGTAAACACCAGAAGATGCGGGCATTTCGTAGACGATGGGTATAGGCACGGTCGCAATAGAAAGAAAAGAGTCGACTTGGAATTATTCGTAAACTTCGTCTCAGGCCACGCCTAGCGACTCCTCCACTTCGCGGACGACTTTGCGCACGCCCTCGATTTCGTGCGCAAAGCGTCCCAGAAACATACCATCGACCGTCTTGCCCAGTCCTCCAGCTCCCCAGAGTCCAGGTCCAGCGCTGCCACCGTACAGCACACGCGCTGTACCCGGCCGCGAGCCAATCACCCCACGGATACCCTCCACGACGGCGGCGACGTGATCGACGCCGGCGGGTTTGGGTTTACCAATGGCCCACACAGGCTCGTATGCGAATATCACGGGGGCATCCGCGGGGATGGCAGCTAGCACGGCGCGAACGAGAACCGCGCATTCGGAGACAGCTTGACCGACGGCTTCAGAGGCAACAGCGCCGGGGGCAGTGATCTCACCGACACAGACGAGGGGAACCATGCCCTGCGCGCAAGTTGCGGCCGCCTTGCGGGCGGTCTGGTCATCCGTTTCGCCGAAGATGGCACGGCGTTCGGCGTGGCCCAGCTCGACAATTGAGCAGCCGAGAGACTTGATCGCGGCTGGGGAGACTTCGCCCGTGTACGCGCCGTACTCTTCCCACATGCAATCCTGGGCGCCGAGGAAGAAGGGCGGCGGGGAGATGGATGTGCCAGAGGCGACGAGCTTGTTCTCGTACTCCTTTAGGATCTCTGCGCAGGGCCAGATCGTGAGAAAATCGGGGATCAGGGCGAGGAGGAGTTTATCTCTGTTCTGGGGGTGGACGATCTCGTTGGCGGGATCCAGGAGTGCGCGCAGGTAGTTGGTTGTGCGCTCTGGGGTGAAATACATCTTTAGTGAGATGAGGAGAAGCTTCTCTGGAAGCACGGGGTATGTATTAGAAGCCATGGCTGTTGATTTTGAGAGTAATTCGCACTGGGGGTGTGTTGGGAGGGAGAAAGCAGAAGTAGTTTGTTGAGTCGAGAAGGTGTTGATCTTCCCCGGACAATCTAATTAGCTCGGGCTGAGTCGGCGTCCGTGCTTGAAAGGCCTTGGACCTGTCCCCATCGAGTGACCCTCCTTAACAATGCATATCAACGAGGTGATAAGTGTCCTCAAAACCAATGCACGCACATGCATCTAAGGAAATAAACGGAAAGATCTCAATTGTGTTTTTTTCTTTCTGCCCGAGGGCATCAACGCCATCCCGCGCACGCATTAGCGGCCGAGATGGTTATGCCAAATCAAGAGGATTCTCTCCGAGTTACTTTCCTGGTCTTCCGTTAGAATAGCGGGCACGGACGTTGATGTTCGAGGGTGATGTCACAGCGCATGGTGTACCAGTGCCCAGGTCCAATGTCGGAAAACATTGAGATACACTTCCAAGCCCAAATGGCATGATGCGCCAAGTCTAATATGGATTAGTGTAAATTTCCAGTCTTGTAAGAACTTGGTATTGATACCCCACCTGATAGAATACCAGTATGGAAGAAACCAACTAAGCAAACCAGGTAAACGGAGCAAAATGAGCAAACTTGGAGACGGTGGGCAATTTACAGCTATCTTCGACATCTAGTGCTTTCACGTTACATTTTAAGGAGGAACGGCTGTCAACACTATAGGATGGCGTGCTTGTAGTCAAACTATTTATACCCCAGGAGACAACCGCTTGGATTCCTATTTCTCATATTTTCACAAAATCACAATCGAGCAACAAAATGGAGTCCGTCCTCTCTGCACATGAAATCGGCGAAGGGCTTCCCGTGTTGATCATCCATGGATGGGAGATGAACGGAAAAGTCGAGGAACTAGACTTTGAGCCAATTTTCAAGAAATCTTCAGGTCTTCGCCGAATTTACGTCGATCTCCCAGGCATGGGCACAACACCTTCGAATGGTATCAACGATCTGGACGATATATACCGTCGCCTGGTGCAATTCATTGATTCTCGACTTGCGGGCTCAAGATTTCTACTCATCGGCTCATCATGCGGCGCCTACCTTGCACGCGCGGTAGCTCAAAAGTACATCGAGCAAGTCGATGGTTTACTTCTACGCGTACCGCTCATCGAGCCAAAGAACAGCATGCGCGATCTCGATCCTTTCAAACCTGTGGTTGCAAACGAGCAACTCATGTCGAACTTCTCAGCCGAAGACAAGAAACTTCTTGGAAACGTTCTCGTGCAAACGCCCGCCTACGTTGAAAAAATAAAGGAAAAATATGAGGCGGTTTACGCCCCAGCCGAGAAAGCAGCAGATAATAAGGTGTTGGATCCGATTCGAGCAGATTCAGATCGATATCAGCTATCATTTTCGTTGGACGATAAAAGTGCCAAGAAGTTCCCTGCACCGACACTTATTGTATGCGGTCGCCATGACGAGACTGTGGGTTATCGTGACAGTCTTCGCTTGCTGGAGCTGTATCCACGTTCAACCTATGTTGTTCTCGATCGTGGGACGCATAGCCTTCCTATTGACGAGACTGGTGTTTTTGAAGCTCTTGTTCGTGATTGGATATCTCGGGTTGGTGAATGGCGAGTTCGAGGGGACAGATAAGAGCCATCCATGTCAATAATTTTGACCGTAAATTTAGCACTAAGAATGAAGGTGGATGGAGTTCTCTTCTCGGCTTTGCACTGGGCATTTTTTGGTTCTAGCGGGCTGTATCACTCAATAATGATAGTAGAAACACTTGATTGATAAAATATTGCATGGCAATCACAGGAGTGATGGTTGGTGGTTTCGGGCACTGCAGAACAACCCAAGGTTCTTACATTAGTGGAAGAATGCACTCCTTGGCTATAGCGAGTCTGTTATTGCTGTGGGTCATACAGATAATATTCTTATGGCGCTAGGATGTTTGTTGATGTTTGACTACGGAGTAGTTGGAAGGCCATGGCGGGGTTTAGTATGTTCAGATCTGTAATAATACACGAACATACAGCTTAGTCAAGTCTCCTGTGTTTGGGAACATTACCATTCAAACTCGAAACACAACTTCAGATACCGAGTAACCACATCGGGGTTACCGCGTTTTCCCTCGGATTATCATTGAAGTTGTATCTCCATAGTTTCCCACATACAAGGAACAGTGGTTAACTGAACTGATGAATAGTCTGAGAAGCAGAAAGAGTTCAGAGAACCCGGACCAGTGGATAGACGGACAGAATGTTCAATTACACCTCCTCAATGAGCGTCCGAGATGAATTTGTTGTGTGGTTCCTGATTCCGATAGGCAGACGAATTGAAGAGATTGTTTCGGATCAACGAGGAAACGCGGCAGGCAACACGAATGGACGAAAACCGGTTAGGTGGGACAGGCCAATGAAACTATCCCCGATATCCTGGGCATCGCTAGGCAGATTTCTTGGACCAGGGCAGGATGCCACCCTGTAATTTGCCCGCTAAACTGTATTATAATATTAATTATAACAAGTAATATTATTCTTTGGTATGGTTCGATGATGTCGGCGCGAGGGGTAATCGCGTAACCTTCCCAATCCTCCGCTTACCCCTCCATCACACATCCTGCCATGAAGCCAATTCCTCCATCTTTGCTTACCTTGGTCCTTTCTCTTTTGAGCTCCAGACACACGACAGTCTGCAAATCCGGAGTAGGTTCGGTGGACACGGGGTAATCTCTCCAGCAGGCATTGTCTCCAGCAGTCAGCGGGCCAACAAGATTGCAATGCAATTGAGGGGTGGAGTGGCGGGTGGATTGAAGTGGGGGCAAGTACAGCGATAGCCAGCACCATCGCTATCAAAGGCCTGTCTGTCCGATCCTGCGCGAATAGGCTGGTTTCCGGGGGCAAAATACGTGGACTTGTACTTCATGAGATTGATATTCTTCTCATCCACGATATATACTATATGATATGCCGTAGTGTGTGCTGTACTCCGTACTCCATGTAATACGGACCGATAATGCGGCTCTCCGGCTGCTGCCACGGTGAGATGAGCTGGTCGGCTTCAAGGGGCATTGGCCACGCCATTCCCGAAGCCGTCTCATGCTTCCCCTGGACTGGTTGGCTCAGGCCTGCAACGGCGACGCCTTCGTGTCCCGTTCCTTCTCTAGTCGTGACTCGGCGGTACGATCCAGGGGCAGGGTGTCGTCTCTTGGTATCCGCACGGTCCTTTTGATGGACATCCTGGTCCCTGTCTGTATTCCTGAGGGGCTGACTTAGTACTACTATGTATTGTCTAGGGAAGTCTCCCGATAACTCAATTGTCGCAAAGATCGGCTGCGGCGCATTGGGCTACTAGCCAAGCCCTGCTAAGATGTGCAGCAGAATGACATCAACGGCTGTCGTGGATGTAGGGCACTGAAGAGTATTGTAGAAAGTCCTGTACTTTTATCAGTCTGAACGCCTCATTCTTGTCAGTGATTGCAAGTCAACATGAGCCTGGTAAAAATTGCTGGTAATACCAGGTACGATGATCGTACCAGAACGTACAGCCTCCTGAAAGCACCCGACCCCAGAGTCCACTCACGGCACGCGAATCGGAGCAATGACGCTATGGCGGGGCTTTCCAGTACTTTACTTTCCGAGCAGTCTCAGCAAAGGCCTCCGGCGAGAGGAGTAATCCCTCGTAACGAATCACATCAAGGTTGGACCGGACACTGGCACTGCCCTTGCGATTGGAAGAAGTGGAGCATGGCCTCGCCGAAGAATGCACCGCAGCCGACGCGACTGGCTCTCTCCACCCGTGCTCCACCCTGGGGAAGATGTGGATGGCGGAGGATGCGTTCTGGGTTTTGGGACTTGATGGTTGCACGAAAGATGAGAAAGACCTTGAACGGAAAGGTATAAAAGGGCCGCTGGAGAAGGTTCCTGTAAGCAGGTTATTTTTTTTTGGGCTTTCTCTGACTACCAATCTCCCACTTCCAATCTTATTTATACATACTTCATTTTTATCCTCCTTCCAATCTATCCAACCATGTCTGCCGATCTCAAGCCCCTCCGTCTCGTCATGGCCTGCGACGAGGCCGGTGTCCCCTACAAGGATGCTATCAAGGCCGTCCTCGAGAAGAGCCCTCTGGTCGAGTCCATCACCGACGTCGGTGTCAACTCCACCTCCGACAAGACTGCCTATCCTCACCCCGCCGTCGAGGGCGCCAAGCTGATCAAGGAGGGCAAGGCTGACCGTGGCTTGTTCATCTGCGGCACTGGTCTCGGCGTTGCCATCGCTGCCAACAAGGTGCCCGGCATTCGCGCCGTCACTGCCCACGACCCCTTCTCCGTCGAGCGCTCCATTCTCAGCAACGACGCTCAGGTCCTCTGCATGGGCCAGCGTGTGATTGGCGTTGAGTTGGCCAAGAAGCTCGCTGTTGACTGGCTCAACTACCGCTTCGACCCCAAAAGCGCTTCTGCCGCCAAGGTCCAGGCCATCTCCGACTACGAGAAGCAGTTCTCTGGCACTGCTTAAAGTGGTAGCTAGTTGAATACTGTCGGTGGTTTGGGGGCTCCGGGTTCAGGTTGCTACAGGACTAGGCTGGTTCTATGTTAGGCGCTCCTGGGCCTTGCGCATACCTCGCGGCTTCTTTCCTCTTCTCAGGGAATGTATACCTGTCATTGAATCGTTGATTGGTGTACTACGCAATCCCCTCCACTTCTTGTCTCTTTATACCAAGCGCATCATGATACCACGAACCGACTGTCGAGTCCTGCTGTTTTGAGGTTGGGAATTAGACGATAGAGGCATTCTATAAACTGGTCCCTGTACATAGTACAATACATACCCTTGCAGTCTTGCAATCCCTACAATTTTGTTTGTTATACTGCTGTAGTCCTCAATCGAGAAGAGTACGGTATATTTTGAAACCCCGAGCTTCAAAAGTCAATTCATCAGTCACGCTCTGAAGACCCATCGAGAAGCATTATCTGAGTCATCCGGGAAGTCGTTTCAAAAGAGACCAAGTTGAAGCGCATTTAGCTTAACGTTTTTCTCAGTCTCTATATTCACTGTCGGAGCTATTCAACGTATAGTTCTTAAACCCAACCGAGGCCAATCTGTGCTGAGTCATCCGCATTTCTGCGGGGGTCGATGACTTTCCATTTCGGGTATATCGGACTCGGCCAATCTTCATGTTCTGTTCTTTGGACTCAATAGAGCGAGCCTCACATCCTGGTTGAAATGCAATCTCTTGTTGATTTATAGTATTTTGGGTGTTTCAATCCCTTCTGTACTTCTTCATGCACCTCTAAAGCAACCACCCGTTCGGTCTTCTGCACAGTGGGTCGCCCCACCTGGGGAACTGATTGATCAGCGACGCCTTCTTTTTCCTTCTGCTCTCTCCTGCTTGGGGCCATCTATCCATTCACTGCAACAACATGGCGCAAGCGCTGAAGAAAAAGGGAAATGATTTCTTCGTGGAGGGCGACTATGTCAGCGCCGAGGACTACTACTCCCAAGCGTAAGAACGACCCTCCCACTTGCCCGCCACTCTCCGCATAGAACCCCGCGTATCGCCCTCTCTGCGCAGACATGATTTGCGCACACAAGAGACTCGCGCAGATTAAAACTCAACGCTAACATAATCTCCTACAGAATTGCCAAGGACCCGCACGACCCAACCTTCTTCACGAACCGCGCAGTAACCCGCATCAGGCTCGAGAAATGGGAGGATGTCGAGCATGATGCGCGGGCCGCAATTAATATCTACGGCAAGAAAGATCCCGCCTCGCTCAAGAGCAGCGTCTATCTAGCCGAGGCGCTACTTGCATTGAACCGGCCCCAAGAAGCATATGACCTTACCGTCGCTGCATACCAGTTTAGTTTGGATGTGAAACATGCTCAGAGCGAGAAGCTGTCTGGGATGCTGCTGCGCGCTAAGAAGGCGCTGTGGGAAGTACGGGAAACGGCGCGTCTGCATGAGATGGACGAAACGTTGAAGAGCTTGGAGGAGCTGATCAATGCGGATCTGGCGCGTGCGGAGAAGGAGTTACAGAGTCAACTGGAGAATAAGGAGATTGGGGAGATAGGCTATCGGGAGGATTTGACTGCACTGCAAGCAGATGCGCAGAAGAAGATCTCACATGTTCGAGAAGCATTCGAGATCTCGTCCAAGGGAGCCATTCAAGAGCGAGTGAGTATTTCACCCCCAAAAGCTTGATAAAGCTCAGGCGCATGGATGGAGCTTGGCTAACGTGGGAATCAGATTGTACCTGACTATCTGATCGACGGAATTACCTTTGAGGTCATGCACGATCCCGTTATGACTCCCTCTGGTACCAGTTTCAATCGCAGTGGTATCGTGAAATATGTGGACAAGGCTGGTATAGACCCGCTTACACGCGAGCCGATGACCGTCAAGGACCTGCGTCCTAACTATGCACTTAAGGCGGCATGCGAAGAGTTCTTGCATAAGAATGGCTGGGCGGTGGATTGGTAATGCCTGTCTTCAACGGGGTTTCCTCGTTCGAAGACGGTTTTGTTTCTGACCTATTTTTTTTCTTTTATATCAGGTGCATAGCGAGCTATTCGTGAGCGTTGGCATCTGCATCTGTATCTGTTCTCATTCTGATCTGCATTGGCGGGCGTCGACTAGACTCTGGTGATTCGGGGTCTTTATTTCTAATGAACAGTGTGGCAGCTCTATAAATTCGAGTTAAATCAATGATTGGAAATTGCACACTAAATTCCACACACTAATTTCCCCTGATCCGAATCTTTGAGCTTTTAAACTGTGAACTATACTGGCCACCTTTTGGCTCATCAACTGGCGGGTGAACTGTCAGCAAAACCCCCACCAAACCCCTCCCTCAACAAACCCAGCTTCAATCCATCCCCTCACCACTTAAACCTCCAAATCTCCCTCAAACCACTCCTTTCCCCCTCAACAACCCTCCCAACCTCTCCAAACCTCACATCCACCATGTCTGATATCTCCGGTTTCATCGCTGCCCTCGAGGCCGCCCAGAAGAAGGAGAAGTTCACCGCCGAGGTCCAAGAGGCCGCCGCTGGCATTGACGTCGCTGCCCTCAAGGCTGCCGTCGAGGCTGCCCTCGCCATGGACGAGACCGACACTATCTCCGACGAGGCTCAGAAGACCGCTCTCCAGAAGGGCTTCGAGTTCGCTACCAAGGTCGTCATGATGCTGAAGACTGCCCCTGGTCCCTTTGAGAAGAAGGATCTCTATGTCAACTTCAAGGTTGCCAAGGGCGAGGTCCTCGAGAAGCCTGGCATGTTTGATATGGTGGTACGTTAAGGATTTGCAAAATTATTGAAATAATCTACGATGTCTCCGTGTTGTCCTGTGGGCGCTTTTGCTAACGTATTGTGTTTCTCTGTCCATAGAAGAAGCAACTCTACGGTGCCTGGGAGGCCGTCAAGCACTACTCCCCCCAGAAGGCCCAGGCCCTTTACATCCAGCACGTTAACGAGTTCATCGGCAAGTACGGCACTCGCGACGAGTAAATTCCCGTCTACAAGATTGGGGAAATGGAAGTGATAGCCGCTGGTAGAAGCGGTTTTTTTTGCTGCGGGAGGACCGACCGGCTTGATTATAATACACAGGGGTCGAGGGCCGGAGGACCATTGGATATCCTATGAGCCGATTTTGGCTAGAAATGAAGCGACGCATCCATCAACGAAGCTATCCTGAGCGCTGTTGTCTTGTATATAATAATGCCGAGGGTAACCGCCTGTTTGTTTTTCGAGTTGGCTGGATCGGTGAAAGATACATATAGAGATGTAGGTGTAGACCATGTAATATGGATATACTCCATGCCAGCATAGCGATTTAGTCCGTCAATGTCACATCAGTCGATCCAGGTTTGTCCGCGCCAGTCTGGCGTGGGGTGCGATGCGGATGCGCACCACGGCACATCCGAGGCGCTGTACGGCGTCAGTGGGAGGTCATACGGCATGCGGAAGCCAACCACGGTCACAGCCCCATCCTCGGATACATTTTCCGCTTGAGCAATAGCGGGTTGGTCGCGTTTAAAGCAAGGTACCATCCGTGCAGTTGCAGATCCTGTCTCCTTTGACTCGGTGGTGTTCTCATCCAGAAATAGCTCCGGCCAAACCACAACACCAATCTCATAGCTCGAGATCCGCACCTCGCCACTCTGATTGACTGCCGCACCCCAGGCTTGCGTGGATAAATTCGCAGACGTGACCATCGCCCAATCAATGCTGTCCATAGTCTCTGTATCGGTATACCGAATATACGTCTTGATGTGAGGCGCTGCACGAGCCCGACCTGCTTCTCGCTTGCGAGGGGTTTCTTCCGATAGATCAATACAGTTGGATGCAGATAGCCCATCCCCCGCCCAGTGACAGAGATATGGCCGCATATATTGCAGTTGTTTTTGCTGTGGTGCACTCTGTATCTTCATGTGAATTGAGCCGCCCGAGCCATACCCCTCTAGCGAGCGGCGAATCTCGTCGGGTGTCGGGAATAGGATGGAGTATTTAGGCTGCGAGGGCGTCGGTTTTGGAGCGAGTGCTTTGAAAAATACCTCTCTAAGCCATTTGTCTGTTTGGCCGAGGGAGGCGATTGAGGAGATCTAATCGATGATAAGTTAGACGTCTATCCCGGTGTAGGAGGGGACAATCGCACCTGTATAGCAATATGCGGTTGCAAACTGGGATGTTGATTGCCTCTCTTGGGCTTGCCTTGAATTGGGACATGCCCCATGAGATCTCTCAATGCTGGCCATCCCCATAAGGTAGATTTGTCGGAATCAAGATCGTTGAACACCTGCTTGGAAGGGGTACTCGCGATAAGCGCTGCACGAACCGAGTCGAAATCAAACCGATTGAGTTCCTGAACCAGCGATCCTGTTTTCTTTGCACCGTACGCTTTGAGGTAGGACAGCAGGTCTCTCTTGAAGCGTGCACCAGTAGCGAATTCTGGCTTCATAGACGCTGTTGCTGAGGTTCCGGACTTTTGAAATGGAAGCAATGGAGATCGCCATACTGCTTGGGTCATGTTGGTCCAGTCTCCATGGATCATGTTTGCCGTATGGATCACGACTCTGTCACGCGTGAGAACTCCATCTCAAACCTCGACGAGGCGGAGGGAAAACCTACTGGGCTAGATGGTCATGTCGTAGAAGAATCATCATTTTCGAATGATGCGTGCCGAATCGCTCAGGCATGTATGCGATGATAGGCTCGACATTTGGATATCGTGAACATGCTTCCTATCACGCGAGTCAGTTCTCAATGTCAATGTTTGACTTCAATCTTGTGTGCGTCTGGGAAAAATTGATGCCCATCCAGAGCAAGAAGGTCTGATCTTTACCTCCACTCTGATCCGATTCGCAGACTCCCGCTCCCAAGATCCGTGCACCACTTTGACCTTCACCAGACCGCGGACATCCTCGTCGAAATGGGACATGAGAAAATCAACATCAAAAAGGTAGTTGAATTGCCAACATTCTCTGATCATAGGATCTCCGAGGATGTCGCGTAGCTTGACTGTGTCAACATTGTACCCTTTCTGCTCTGGAAAGTCCCGAATCTTTGTGAGCTGGACAGGAGATGAGATAAGACGGTGTGATCTTTTGGTAGTGGACTCGGACTTGTCGCCCTCAACCTGGTTGCTATTCATGTCGGGACACGATGAATTGGAGGCAGCTCGTGTTTGTGAGCGAGCCCTGGATGGCGGTGTGATAGACCGATGCAGGGAAGCCAGAGGCGTAGAGACTCGATCCGGTAGGGAATCGTTTCTTTTAGCCGAGTCTGGTGAGACCCTGGCTCTTTTGGCTGGGCGCTCCATGGGAGGCGGGACTGAGTGTTGTAATGAAGTGAAGGAAATCGGTGGATGCAGGAGCTCGAATTTGATTCGCCGTGAGTGGTGAAAGTTGAGACAAATATTACTCAACTTGGTAAATGCTTGGGACATCCAGCTACGTGTGATGGTGAATGTTGATGTGTGCCTTGAGGAAGGAGGCCCCGTTGACGATGGCGGATGAGGTCTAGTCCGAGGCTATGACCGTTTCTCACCAAATGCGATCATGTAGTCGCAGAAATCAAGTGTTCAACGGCATTTCCAGGCATGATTGTGAGAGTGCTATTCTATATCCCTCAGTATCAGACCCCAGATTCTCGACAAACAAGAAGTACTAACAAGATCAGCTTCCTGTCACCGTCTAGATATGGGCCTCAGTTCTGCCCGCTGTGACCGCCAATTCCCAGGCTACCTTTTTTGTTTGGGTTTAGCGCCTTCTCTCTATAGTTCTATCTAGGCAGTACTCTACTTCTTTCAAATGAGCCTTGGTCCTAGTCATATATCAAAAGCGTGAGTACTTGGCAGAATGGAGAGGGTTGAAAATTTATTATAATACCCGGAGCAATAGATATTCTATCTTTGTATTAAAGAAACCACGACATAGCTGATTGACGTCCAGACATCAGATAAGTCATTTAGCAAGCTGAATTGCCATTAGACTCTTCGTATGAGTCATGGCTAAGCTATTCGCCAGAGAAATCTTCTAGGATCCTAAGTTAAATTATAGTGAGACCGCTTTCATGGGATACCTTCGCATTTGAGATATCCAAATTAAAGCGATGCAGGTTCTGCTTGTTGGTGCTGTAAAGCGAAGAAGGCTCCCAAACAGACTTCAAAGATGCCTTGCCAATACCTCTCACTTAACTGATTCTTTCTTTGTTACTACTGAATTTGTGGGCTCGTCTATATCCCTTCGCCCAGAGATTTTCTACGTTGTACACTAGTTCTCCCAATTGCGTATTGTCTCCATCAGTACTGCCTTCCTCTCGGCCCGTACTGCAGGATTTCAACGAAGACGTCCCCTTTCGAATCGAGGTGAATGAGAGAAATTTTTCTCCTGGAGAGGATACAAGGTACTAGTCAAATTGCTTGGATTTGGGTCTATCAGAGTAGTCAAGTTGAAGTGAGTGTCACAGCTCAGCGATGTCATGTTGAATCTGTTTCTGCCCGGTTTCCGTAGGCCCAGGGGTGCCAGCATATAATGCATGGATAATCATCTCTATACTATCCATTTGTAATTAGCGTTGCGAGCTTGATTATCATTGAAACATACCGGTATTCCGGGTCTTTATTTCAAGAGCCATGCAGCACATCTTTCTACACACCTCAAACTCGAGAAACCAGTCTTCTCCAGACAGAAAAACGTTCAGCAAGATAAATCTAATATTTTAGCGATTATTATACAAGTGCCTGGATTTGGCAAGCTAAATCAACTCCCTATGAACATCACCACATGAAGCGCTGAACCTTCCCAGGTTCCTGAGGCCACTCAAAGCCCTTGTACAAGAAGACATAGCCAGAGACTGCATTGATAACAATGAACCAGACGGTCTCCAAGAACTTGGGGAAGTTTGTAGCAAAATCGGCGCGAGCCCTTTCGTCTTCACCTTGGGGTTTCTGCTTTCGGAAAACAGCAAGCGTGGACGATGGCGGTAAGTGTAGGCGCCACATCACCCACGGGATGATAAAGTAACGCGGCTCCACAAGAGGGGCCGTCACAAGAGACAAAGTCGTGGCAGCGAGCCATACGAGGACAAAGCTGACCCGCGGTAACTCGGGCTGCTGCTTTTGCCGCTGGATCAGAGACTCTTGAATCCGGGCGAGAACCTCCGGGGTAATGGGATCAGGCTGCTTCTGCTGTGCGCTGTCCTTCTTGGATGGAGTCTTGCGTGCTCTAGCCGACTTTCTGGTTTCTTTTGACTGTTCCTTTGCTGGGGCCGTGGGTGCAGCAGATGCTGACTTTGCAGTAGGAGGGATTTGAAGGAGACGGGGAGGGGCCGGAATGACAGAGAATCCAAAGGCGGCGATCACGGCCCAGCCACAGAGGAAGTATGCCATAACTGCAGCATACTTAACAGCAGGATGAACACCCAGAAGAAGGCGGAAGACATAAAAGACATAGTGTCGGTTGTCAGCCAGAGTGAAAGGATGCACAATAGTGTTGAAGTGGACAATAGCGAGCATGGCTGGTACAACGATCAAGATTGCAAGAACATTGGGCAGTTTGCGCTGTTGTTCAGTGAAGCCATAGTTGAGGTACTTGGGCAGGACCTTCTTGGAGAGAGCAACATTCAGCACTGGAATGACCAGGATCGGCCAGGAGAAGAAGACGAAGTAAGGCCAGATGTAGAGCATCTGTGCTAAGTGAATGCCAGCGGTATGGAATTCTTTATGGCCTGTATCATGAATCATTAGCTTACATATTTCAACGTCTCGTCACAAGATCCTGATAGACTGACCAAGGACAACACCATTGTTCCATAGAACAAATGCACCGAAGGCACCGAGGACAATGATGTGAGGGATGACGGATACCACAATGGAGAAGGGGTTCTTCAAGCTTGCAGCTGCTAGAGAAATGCTCGTCTTGAGATGATCTTGTTTACGTGTATTCCATTAGCCTGACGCGGTCAACTCATCCGGAAATCCGAACATACCTTGCAAAGAAGCCTCGGAAACGAGCGGATCATAAATCTCATTCTGAAAGCCACATTTCACAATTGCAGAGATATCTGACGATTTGCAGACCTTGGCAGATTGCCGAATCTTTCGAACAGCCTGCAACCCTCCCAAGAAAACAGAGACCCAGAAGATGTTCGTTTGCCGGCATACCAACGCCGCCAAGCCAAATACCAAGAAACCCAAAGTAGAAAGGAAGGCGTAGCGGTCTCCAGAAGCCCGCTTCAGATCCCAGTTGTACGCCTCGACAACTGCCAACAGCGCCAGGATATCAGTATAGTATAGCCCGGAGAAGAAGAACAGCGGAGGGAACAGGCAAATGTTCAAGACCGTGTGGCTGAGCCACGCACCCAATGGCCGGGTATTCCGAACTTTATGAACCGCATCCGAAAGAGTCTGAAGCCTCCAAGGGAGGAAAATACCCGTCGTGGCGACATTAGTCGCGCGCAGAGCGTTTACATCAAGTTTCGTCGGCGAGCCGCGGAGCGCGAGCAGGATAGCGCAGAGGGCATACGACCACAGGTACAATCCCGGGGAGTGGTCAATTTTGGATCCCATTGCGTCCACTTGTGCGCCCAGTATGCTTGGGCCTGGGGGATATGGAATACTTCGTCGAGGTATGGCTCGGGGACTTCGGAATTCACTTTGGTGCTCCAAATGGGGATAAGAAGTAGAGCGAATGGCACGGCATAGCGCGCCGCACGGCTGAGATTTGACTCTGGGGCTGAACTCATCTTCTCATGGTCTTGAGGACTGAACCAGATGAAGTACAATCTGTGGAAAGAAAGCTCTCCCAAAAAGGAAGAGGACAAGGTGGGTTGGAAGCTAAGCTTCGGGTGCAAACAATCCAAACACCGCATTTGGCGATTGTCGAGGCGCGGTTTCACGCATCTCGCGCTTCCGCCGACACAGAGCGCAGCGAAAAGGAATATGGGGCTTTTATGCTGAAAACCGGTTCGGCTGTGTTCTATTCTTTGTGATTGATTTGAGTTAAAATTTTCTGTCGCGTGCCACCGATTATGGCCTTTCCTCTCCCGCGGGGCATCATAGCCTCGGAGATCGCCTTTCTAGCGGAGATGGAGACGGTGACGATTGTGCCTCGCCAGCGCCTGGAGGGCCTTGAATTGCTCGGGGTAACTTGAATTTCCGACCTGCGTGCGCCGAATGTATGAATTGACCCTTTTCTTCTTCAATCAGGGCCCAGTTGAACCTCTTATCCCACCGCGACGCGCCTCCCTCCCCCTCTGGTTGGCCCTTCTACTTAAACGCCAGCGCCGCGCCAATATTATGCCCCCTCCATGGCTACATCCAGATTCTCTCAGTCTTATCCTCGAGGTCGAGTCTCAACACCAAGACTACAAGAATGCGTTTTCTCCACCTCCGCCTCTGCCTGGTCAGCCCAGTATCCGAGATCAAGGTCTCGCGCCAACTGCGCGGCCGCAGTATACGCTAGACGGCAATAGATACTACGCGGCGCCGCCTTTTCTCCCTCAAAATACCGCGCAGACTGCGGTCTCCTCGCGAGACCCGCCCGCATTACCATACCATTGGGTTGAGGTTGGGAATATGCTCCTCGACGCGGCGAGTGATGATCTAGTGGACCCGGATCAGATCCGACGATTACTGAAAGATCTACGGGAAGTACGCATGGCTAAGATGAGGTCTGGTGTGGATGTCCTGGACGATGCCGCGATAGGCGGAGGCGGGGTTGCACTGACAGGCGTTGGCGCGATGGAATTGGGTGAGGAGCGAGGGTTCTTGTCCGGTGTGGTCGATGGCCTTCGGTATGTGATACTGGTCATATTCTCTAAAGATTCCTACTGACTTGTGAAGCAAAATTGGTGCATCCAAAGAGCAAGCTCGCCGAGAACAATTGGCCGAACAAAGAGCCAACGGTGGGTACGATGGAACCCAAGACGAGGAAGAGGACTACATGGAGTTTTAAGATGCATGGGATTTGTGTTTGACTATTTGGATTGGAGTTCAGGTGCATACTGTGACGCGGATCACTGCCCCTCGAGAAACGATATTTATGTATATAGACCCCATATACCCGATTTGACCTGTTCTGAAAAGGGCCAGTGGTAATGTAACCCAAGGCTGTTCCGATTTACCTAACACCATACAGCATGCAAAGACAAGGCGCTCTAACACAAAACGAGAGTGGGTAACAATAATACCGCAAGAACAGCAACAGGAACAGAGACTGAAAGGGAGACCTCCTGAGAGAGCAACGGTACTGAGACCTGAGCTGCGGCTCATCGCAAAACATTGCCATTATTTAAATGAAGGGAACAGATGAATTATTGGGATTTGCCCTGGTTCTTCTGCATCATCTTTCTTCGCGCTGCAAGAATCATCTCATCCCGACGCTTCTGCAGCAACCTTTGGCGCTCCTCTTTGTTCTGAGACCATGCGCTTGTAGATGCTGGGGTGGGAGCCGAGTCTGCGGGACTCTCAGCTGCGATCTTTCCGCTCAAATTATACCGGGAAATCAAGTCCTGCGCATCGCCCTTTGACGCCGATGCGGCTCGTGCGGCCTGGGTGGGCTGGGCATTCACCGAAGGAATCGCGACCTGGGGTTGGAATGACGGGGGTGGCTAGAGAATGTCTGTCAACTTGAATGCACGAAAATCAAATCATATATTAATGCAGATGGTATTGCTGAGCCAAAAGGTGCGGGGCGAGTCTCCAAGCAGGTTGAAGATAACAACGTACCGTTTCCAGGCCACGGCCAGTCAAGATCCTCTCTGTCGTCGCCGCAACACTACCCCCATTGCGCTGCAAGTCCCACATAATATCACGAGTGCTTAGCTGTGGGAACATCTGGGAAATTTGCTCGACCTGCGCCGGGTCAACAATATTGCCTCGCCCGCGGGGCCTGCCGCCAGCCGAGGAGCCCTCGTCGCGATTGAAAAACCATCGTATCACAAAGAACGAAACAACCGCTAGCGTGAGGAGAGATGGGATGTTCAAGGACGGCTCGTCTTCTTGCATTGTGGCTAGGAACCGCGAGACGCGGATTGTGGTTTGGGGAGAATCGGGTTGTGAGTCAAGTGGGTAGCCGATGCCCTAGGTTCGGGTCCTGAAAGCGGAGTGATTCCGACACAGGTAGGAGGTCGTGTGGGATGGGCAGAAATCCGTGTACGTGTACTTTCGCGATGCGACTAGTCACTATAAGGTGGTGGGCGATTGAAGCGCGTCGGGAGATTTGCGAAAGTCGACGCAAGTCGGTGGCGGCGGCGAGGGACGAGGTTTCGGGTCGAGGGACCGCCTGCACGTGCTGATGACTGAGATACTGACTTAAAGCAGAGCGAGGACAGTGTGAGGGCAACGTAAGAGTCTATATGTGAAAAAGAGTCAGAATTAGAGTTATTTCTGATATTTCAGCAGCTGTCTATTGAGGCTGGGCTGGGTTTATTGAACAATTAGGTAGTCCTAACCACTCTATGTAGCGGAAACCGTTGCCGCCCAACTGCGTACCAAGAGTCCAATCTATAAAACGCAAAGGGACCACAAGAGAGCAGAGCTAGCCACATATCAAGCAAAGAAGATAATGGAAAGAGCACCTTCAAAGAGAAGCAGAAAGTAGAATTTACACGAATACACAAAAGCACTGTCTAGGAAACCTTCCTGGGGCCTTGCAGAATCAATAGCCATCACATGCATACATCATGAGCCAAACAAAACAGATTCATTCCCACCCAAAGACCAATCCAAATATGAATCAAAAGCCACAAACACCAGCTGCCACACACCAATGGGCTGCAGAAAGCAATGCTTCGCACCGAAATATCTCCATGAATTAAGAACGCAACAGAGACCATGAAGCATGTTGCAAGAAAGCAAAGATCATTGAACTCATTTCATGTCGGCGGGTGTCAGAGCCTGGACAATACTAGTACCCTCGCTAAACCGGGTACGGAAAATCCGGTTGGCATTTTGGAACATGCCGTCCTTGAGCGAGACCACAATGAACTGGGATCCCTTGAAACGGGTCTTGATCAGTCGTCCAATATTCTGGGTGTGAGACAGGTCCAGAGCGGCATCAACCTCGTCGAGAATGTACATTGGAGCGGGCTTGAATTGCAGGAGAGCCATGATAAGAGACAACGCGATCAGAGACCTATTATGCATAACGGAGTCAGCACATATCAAACGATAATGAGATGGGGCTAAAACATACCGTTGTCCACCACTCAGCTCTGTCAAACTCTGCTTCCAAACCTTACCCAGAGACACCTTCACCTCCAGACCGTCTGTAATATCCTTGCCTTCTGGAGGGTCAAGCTTGGCGAAACTGCCCGGCAAAAGCTCGTTGAAGATCTGACCAAAGTCTCCATTGACCTTCACCCAGGTCTTGTGGAGAGCCTCCTTCTTGTACTCATTGAGGTTGAGAATGGTCTCCTCGATCTTACTCTTATCGCGAATGACCGTTCTCATCATGTTCTTAAGAGCGGCTTCTTTCTTCTCGACACTATCGATCATGTTCATGACCTTCGGATTGATCTTCTTCTTCATGCCTTGAGACCGTTCTGTCAAGTTGCGCAGCGTTGACTTGCATTCGGCAATGTTCTGGTTCTGGAAGTGGTAGGGCGTGTTCGGGCGACCGAACTGCTCTTTCTCGTCCGCAATCCACTCGTGCTCTTGCTCCATGTGAGACACAGCCTGAGCAGCGGAATGCTGATCCTTCTGAAGTTTCTCAAGCTGATGGCCGAGCTTCTGCATCTCCAAGCCCTCCTCGGTAATCTGTGAAGACTTGGATTGAATGGCTTCGTCTAGCTCTCGCAACTCTTCGTCAAAGCCAGTCAGCTTGGCCCTCTCGTCTTCAAGCTGGGCTTGCGCGATGTCGTGGGCATCCTACAATAGTCAGTGTGATGTTCACAAATCAGAAGGAGAAAAGGATATTACCTTGAGTCGTGCCTGTTCACGCTTCAGAGACTCAATTTCTTCCACTTGAGCCTGAAGCGTGTTTTCTGACTCGGCCAGCTGCTCCTCGGCTGCAGAAAGGTCACTTCCAACCTGTTCAGAGTCGAGACGAGATGATTGCAGTTCCTTCTGAAGCTCCTTGACAGACGCAGAGTTCTTGGTGAGACTCTTCTTGAGGGCATTGAGGGAATCCTGCAGCTCAGCCAACTTGTTGTCCTTGTTGTTGTTGAATTCGCTCATGTCCTTCTCGATGCGCTTGATATCCTTGTTAGCTTCGGCATGGCGAGCCTTGGCATCGGTGATATCCTTCCTCAGCTGCTCGATGTTCGCCTTCATCTCCTCGACAGCTTGGATGATCTAGACAGGCCACTATGTTAATAAAAGCAAGCTGTACAATCGATCGCTGGGTACATACCGATGAAGACGAGTTGCTGTTAATCTGCTCTTCCGTGAGCTTGATCTCGTGGGTCTTGAGATCCAACTCCTGCTTAATGGACCGAACAGCATCCAGCTTCTTCTTTTCCCTGTTCATGTTGTCCTCAAGAGCTGCAAGCTGGCGCTCCTTGCTCCGCATCTCCTTAGTAATTTCATTAAGCTTCTGCAAAGTGACAAGAACCCCGCTGGAGTTGGGAGAGCTACCACCAGAGAGAGTTCCCGAGGGGTCATAGACATCACCATCCAGAGTGACGCTCTTCATCCGAACGGAAGGATCAAATGTCACCTTCTTGGCAGTGTCGGCATCTTGGCAGATGAGGGTGTTGCCAAAGACATAGTTCATCGCAGAAATCACTTCCTCATCGTACCCGATCAGAGACAGGGCGAGGTCAACCTTGCCAGGTGCCAAATTCTGGGCAGCACCGATTTTCTCTGCGGAAGCCTTAAAGGCGGAGATCTTGTTCAAAGGAATGATGGTAACGCGCTTGCGTAGTTTACCATTCTGGAGCAGCTGGGTACCAGTCTCGGCAGTATCGACAACCACGTTGTAGAGGCGGCCGCCGGCGCAGATCTCCAAAGCAGTAGCGGCAGCAACTTGATCCTTGTCCAAAGTGAACAGTTGTGCCACCAAACCTTTGACCTTGGACCGATCAAACTTAGGATGAGGGTCCTGGTAGTTGAAATCAATGTTGGCAACCTTCCTCCTCAATCCATCCGCTCGCTGACGGAGCTCGCGAATGTCACGCTGGAGGCCGGACTGCTCTTGGTAGATCTGCTCCTCTTTACCGGGCTCAAAACCGAGTCGAGTAAGCTCAGACTCTAGCTTCTTGGCTTGTGATCTCAATCCCTCTAGATCCTTGAGAAGGCCTGAGTTCTGCTCTTTTGCTTTCTTGGCACGCGGTTCCTCCTCCTTGATTCTTTTCTCAAAGTTGCTAATCTTGAGTTTCGCTTGTTCTTGTACGGTTGCAGCGTTGCTTGCTCGGTTTCGTGCGTCTTGTAATTGGCCTTGGTAACCGCTCTCTTGACCTTCCTTTGAGGCAACACCTGTCTGTAGTGTCTGGAGCAGTTCCTCCTTCTGCTCCACCTCCACATTTTGCGCATCAAGCTCGGCCTTGGCGGCATCGTACTGAGTTTGAAGCTTATCGTAGACCTTTCTCTTCTCTTTCAAAGCCTTTTCGAGGTCGTGGACAGACTTTTGCATAGTCTTCTTCTTCTCCTTCTCCTCTGCCATGCTAGCATTCTTCAAATCAAAGACGGTCGTCAAGCGAACCAACTCGTGAGAATGGTTTTTGACTTCATCCTCGAGAGCTTGGAACTTGCCGCCTTTTCGGAGCTCCTTGTCGCGTGCTGCCCGGACTCGCTTCACATCCTCTTCAAGGTGGGCAATCTCGCTCTTCAGCTTGTCGGCATTTTCTTCCAATCCTTGAACCTTGCTCCTTTTCTTGTCGCACTCCTCGCCTGCCACCCGCAAGCGCTCTCCACCACGAACGTAATCATGGGCAACCACAAGTCGAGTCAAGCGCTCAAGGTCATTCTGCGTCTGCTGGAAGTCCAGGAAAGCACGCTTCTCCGATCGGAGCTTCTCGAGCTTGGGCTCAATCTCCTCCTTCAAGAGTTCCTCGATCTCACGAAGCTTCAATTCCTTCTTGCCCATTGTCTTAATCGCCTTCTCCCTCCGATCCTCGAACATTCGTGTTCCTGCAGCTTCCTCAATCATCGACAGAATCTCAACCGCCTTCATGTTCAGGACCTTGGTGATGCGACCCTGCATAATGAGGAAGTTGGGGTTGTTGATATTCAGTTGGACACTCTGGAAGAGGTTCTGCACCGTCTGCTGCTGTGCGCGGTGGCCATTTATCAGGTACTTGCTGGTACCGCCCAGCACAATCTGACGCGTAACGGAGATGTTGGCGTACTCTTCGAAACCGATGGGCGACTTCGACGTATCGCGATTGTCGAAGACAATGGTCACGCTAGCTTTGGTGACACCAGCTTGACCACGCTTGTAGATGAGGTCCTGGAGGTTCTGTGCGCGGACCGTGCTCATATTCGTGATACCGAGAACAAAGCAAATGGCATCGAGAATGTTGGATTTACCGGAACCGTTGAGGCCGGTGATCGAGTTGAACGATTCATCCCTATGATATTCTGTCAGCATTGCCCGATCGCTATACCCTTTGCGACGATGCTACGGGCAGAAGAACTGGGCCGGCGCACCATCCCGAGATCACTGTTCGCACGGCGTACGATTTAAACCCCTAGGGAAATCTGGTCAGCATTTCAGAATGATCGGATCAATTCGGTCAGGCGACTCACGTCTATAACAATTTCGGTGATCCGCATGGTGGTGACTGCGAGTCGGCTCGCTGGCGGAGTACATCGACAGTCGGGGAAGGCAGAAGAGGGGCGCGAGTTGTTTTGCCGCAAATCATGTGTTTATGGATTACCCATTCAGGATTAGCGCCTTTTAGATGATGTAATCACGTGTGTCATCCCTACAGTCGGCCACTTTTTCGTTGAAAGTCTCCGATGATCTCACCTGGCAGAGTATAGAGCCAGTCGATTTAACAAACCCTGACTTTCCTGGCTCAGGCCACCCATGGCCAACCATGACCACCCAATTGTAACCGGTTCAGAGCCAGTCGATATCCACAGACTCCCCGCGAAGGTACTTTGCGGTGGGACTCACCTACCGAGTCGAAGCCGAATCTGACATTGCCATCCAATGATCGTCGGCTTCTTGAATTCGGAAGGACATTCTGAAGCTAAATTAGGATGAACGCTGTGGTCATATTCATTTTTTAGATTTCTTTGGCCCCTTCGGAGACATAAATCCATTGTCGGACACTTTCTGTAGCCTTTCCCATCCTCTGTGTATACGAGCGACACGAGTGATCAGTTCCTATAAAACCGAGTCCATGATGCAAAAGGTATAAGAACCCGTTCCAAGCGCTCAGTGAATTCTTGTTCTCCGCAGGATTTCATGTTCCAAGTCCTCTCCGTCTTGTTTTGAACAGATCTTCCTTTCAATCTTCTGGTTGATATATATGTCACTGAGACGACCACGCGCTCTGTCCCTATCATTCAAATCAATCATGGCCTCGCAGTCCACCATGGCATCCCATGCAAATGACTGGGAAAAGTTCTTCAAGGAAGACAAGTTTGTCAATCAATACAAAACTGGCGAGCATATCACCGGCCAGTTTGCCCAACTCCTGATCGACCAAACTGGCCTGGTTGCCCACTCCAAGGCCAACCCTGATAAGCCTCTTGTGGTACTTGATAATGCCTGTGGCACTGGTATTGTCTCCAGCATCCTGCAGCATGAACTGGATGATCAGACCAAGAGCAATCTGCAGTTGACCTGTGGTGATATCTCACAGGGCATGCTGGACTATGTCAAGCATCGCATTGGCCAAGAGAACTGGCAGAATGTAGAAGTCAAGACGGTGGATGCGCAGGCCTCGGGGCTTCCTAGCTCACACTTTACCCATGTTATCGCTTCTTTTGGTGAGCAGTACTTGATCTCTTTCTTTGATACCAATCAACATCTCACCGCAGCTAACCCGACTGGTTGCTAAATCAGTGTTCATGGCCCTTCCCAAGTCGTTGGCGGCGCTCGATGGTTAGTGAATTGCATAACCCTTCATCAAGCCGTTATTTGAAATATCCAAGTATATCTACTTACCATGCTTATACCTATAGACGCCACTCGGATTCTGCAGCCAGGGGGTACCGTTGCTTTCGCAACTTGGATAGACCGTGAGTAAAATCTCAATCCTGGTGACGACCAAAAGTTGAACACAGCAATAGCCGGCTGGCTGTCCGTCACGCAGAAAGCCATACAGACCATTCCGGGCGAGTTGCCTTTCCCCACCGCGCAGCAATTCCTTCAGGCCATGGGTTCTGGTGAATGGCACTCGGTGTCTTGGATCGAATCCCAATTGAAGGAGCGCGGCTTCGAAGATATCAATGTGCGCTCCGTCACCAGGACCATGTCGATCAAGGTCCCAAACTTCGTGGAAATAACGATGATCATGTTTTCAATGATTTCTAAGGTGTTCTGGACAGAGAAACAGCGTGAGGAAGACATGGACAAGGTCCGCCCAGCGCTGGAGAGGTATCTGGAAACCACTTTTGGAAAGGAAGGAGATGTTCCTGGGGAGTGGACCGCTGTTCTTTCCACAGCTCGCAAGCCAAGTTAGTAGCCATCGCTGAATGCAACATGCCTAAGTATCTGTGAATTTAATCTCAATAAGAGCGTTACTGGTTATTACTCCATGCACTAGCACATAGAGCGTCAATACGGACCAAAATAGGACAATCTACGTCGAAGACAGATTAGATGTATGCAAAAATGCTGGCAAGATCATCCAGAGCACTTGATTCGCAAGATCGTAATCTTGGTTCCCCATATAGCCCATGTAGATTCCCCGATGAAACCAACGCGCCCACTTCCCGAACGACACTGTACCATCGGCCTCCCATTTGAGCAACGTTACAGAAAACCAAAATTGCCAAACGCCGTTGCTGATCAACCAAACCACTGTCTCCCCATACCGGAACCGGCTTCCGCCACCCTAATTCATGAAGAATGCGTCTGGCCAACTGCAGCGCGGCTCATAGTGCGATTGGCGTCCAGCCGGTTGTCCAGATCTTCGTATCGGAGGATAAACTCGCGCTAGAACGAATCGTAGGCAGATTAGCAAGTTGAATAATTCCAGAAAATCAGAGAGATGCTCGTGGCAAGCAAACTTACGCGAATCTTCTTCCAGCTGGCGTGGTCCCACAGAAGATACACTCCACGCTCACTCACGCCACGTTCGACATCGACGGGGCCAGGATATGTTTCATCACGGGTCAACCAGCATCGCTCGAGCTTGTGATACCTCCATTTGCGACCCATCAATTCCTCCGCAACTAGCTCCTGCATGATGTCCCGTGGCATACTATAGAAGATGTAGAATAGCGTTTCATCACTGAATCCAGGGATTCGTGACGAGAGAGCCTGGATGTTGGCAACATTGTAGCATGATGGCAGAGAGAAATCCTGCTCTAAGGGGACAGCGGACATTGAGGATACGAATGGCGAGGCGAACGAAGTGTGGAGAGGCCTGCGACACATGGGATGATCAGCGAAAATCTCTCTTTGCAGAGACGAGAAGGGCGAGAGCGCATACTCAGGCTGGTTCAAGTCCAAACCAAGTGTCATCAAGTCCTGTCCGACTGCAAGACTGGCCACGTCGGGGCTCTCGCTATGGATCATGCGCAGGAGCCCGCTGAGTCCAAACCGGTCCAGCTCATTCATCTGGGCAAGAGGCGGTTGCTCCGCACTTTGAGCAGCGGCGGAAGCTTCTTGACCCTCATTTGTCTGCTGTTGCCGCTGTTGCAATTGCTGTTGCGGGTCGCTGAAGTTGCGCTGACCCGACATCAGAGTGTTGTTTAGGTCCTGTGTTGTTAGTGTCGGTGAGTGCGGGGCCTGAAGGCCGATCGCCAAACTACTTACTTCTTTCTCCTGCCCCAACACCCCATTAGGCCCTTGATTGATGGGCGACCGTGATGTCCCAATACCTGCACCATCATTGTTAGCCACTCACCTGCAATCAATATTGCATACCAATAGGGTGTGCCATAGGCGTACCAGAATTGTAACTGCCAAAGCCCGCACCTTGCATCAGGGAAGTCCGACGTTCTTGGACCAGTTCAGCGGCAACGTTGCCAATATTGCCAACGTTCCGTCCTAGAGGTGGGAATTCTTCGATGTTGCCTGTTTGAGGTTGACTCCCACCCCCGATCTGGCTACTAATGCCTTGACCACCGTTTCTGAAATCGTCCAGCCGGTTCGCAAATTGGGAACCAGAAGGGAACATATCATCGTGAGGAGGCTGAGACGGTTGTTGCACGGGAAGCTGTTGGGTCTGCGAAGCTCGTGACGGGGGTTGCGACGTGGGAGGGTGTTGTTGTCTCTGGACCGGGGTATGCTGTGCAGCTCGTTGACTCGCGTTGGCCCACACAGGGTTCTGGGATTGTGATTGATGCGATGCACCGGAAAGGGAGGGGAACTCGCTAGGAAGTGCCACCATTGTTAGTGCTTCACGACCTTTGTGAACCTTAAAAGAACTCGGTCGACGGCAAAGCGCATGCAGTACGGGTCCGAGCCTTGAAGGGCAACAACTTACGAAAGATCAAGCGCCGTCGCTGGTTGGGAACCACCTAGACTTTGTGCGAAGCTGCCCATCGTGCCCATGGTGCGTTGCTGGTTGCTTTGAAGAGTTGATGTTCCGGGAAGGTTGAAGTTCCAATTAGCTGCGGCACCTAGACGATAGCCCACCCACAGTTATCAGCACCCGCCTGCAAGCTTGATATCATATTCCCCCCGGAGGCCCGGAGGGACTCAAAAGTGAGTAGATCGTACCAAGTTTTCCATTAGGCAATCGCGTGGGGGTCATTGTCGTATTTCGCGCTTGTGCTTGCTGTTGCGCGGGGAATCCGGACATGCCTCGTAACGGCTGAGGCCCTGGTCCTGTCACAGAGAACACAAGGAGTCAGCATGATCTTCATTGTCTCATATCAGAGTACCCATGCTATGGTCTAACTCGGAAATGTGTCTGGTAGACCTCCCAGAATGTCTCGGTCGCAAATGGTCGCCAATGCAGGAATTATCTGCGCCCCAGATGCCATTGCAGCATGGGTCCCTCTCATCCTTTGATTTTGGAGGAGGCACCCTCGCCTTCCAAGATTGTCCGGTTAAGGAGACACAGCTGGGTAGAACCACCGGCATTCCCTGAAGGCGAGAGCAAGTGGGATGTAGGCTTCGGAGGAACAAAGAAGAAATAACCCACCTGGCCTATTCATAATTGGAAGTTTGAGGTAATGAGTTGGGTGAGGTCACTTCAGAAACGCTCTGAAGCCAGTCAGAGTCAAAATTCAGTCGAATATCACACGACAAGGGCACGTGTGGAGAGATAGCAATCCACAAAGGCCTTCCTCGAACGCACCTGATGCGGCACTCCTCCGCCTGGAGGTGGAGTTGAATCGATTGGGCGATTAAGCGCGCGGATGCTTGAGGGAAGCACAGACCAGACTTGAAGTGTCGCAAGATCACTCCGAATTCAATGGACTTCCTTGAACGAGTTCCTGTGAGACCAAAGTCAATCAAAATCTCCGACGCCAGAAGAGTACCGGACAAGTCTCTGGTTGAATGAGCAGTCAGACTTTCGAGAGGAGAGCGGGCAACCTCGACTTGCCGCCAGGCGCGCGCACGTGACCAATCGCCTGGAAGCCCCGAAAAAAGCAGACCAAACAGTGTTCCCGACGATCGGACGGTTGGACGACTTCCTGTACCGACACATCCATAATGCATCGGCCAGCAGTCGCTCGATTGGCCCAACAGGGGGTATGGCCATGGCTGAATTGCCTCCCCCTATCTGGCGCCCTCCCTCCATTTCTCGATGAGCCGATCCTCCGTCCAGACCTCGAGCTTCTCTACGACTCCCGTCGTCGCTGCTGGCCGTGGACGCGACATGAACAGAACCCGCGGCGTGTCAGCAATCCACCGGACTGGAACACGATTCAACCTGAGCGCCTCAAAATACCCTTTGCCGAAGCCCGTGTCGCCCGACCAGATGAAGCCGCGGCCGGCGACACCTAATCACGGCCTCTGGGGTTTCTTCCCACCCACCCACGAAGCATTGAGCACCACTGAGTACGATGCAGCCTTTGGTAAGTCGATCGATACAACCTATTTCCATACATTTTCCTACGTGGGTTGAATGGCGCTCATACCTGGATAGGACGGCCGTGGGCAGTGCAAGAGCTGCGCAACAAGAGCTGGGAGGACCTTCACAAGTTGTGGTGGGTGTGCGTCAAGGAGCGCAACCGCATTGCTACTTCGAACATGGAGCGGTCACGATTGAAGGCTGGATTCGGTGACCACGAGTCTAACCAGCGCGACGACGCTGTAAGTCCAACATTCACATACCCTTTCTGGTGTCCAGGAATCCCGGCAGCAACCAGGGCTTGAACTGGTAGCAAGTATTGCCCTAGCCTGCTGCACATCAATTGGTCAATGCTATTTCTTTGAACCTCTTGCTAACAATTGTAACTCTCTCAGATCGTTGTTACCCAGAAGACTATCAAGCATGTTCTGCGTGAGCGCTACTACGCCTGGGAAGAAGCCAACCGCCTATACACCAAGGGATACCGCCCTCAAGATCAGGACCCCATGGAGGACGCCGCTATGGAAGAGGCGGCTCCTGCTGAGACCCCTTCAAGGAGGAGGCTGTGAAGGAGACTAAGCTGTGACCGACCGAGGGAGCCCAAGACAGATCGGGTTAAGAGAAGGCCATCGGCACATATATTGTAGTATTAGACTCTTTGATTCCATATTCTATTTTCAGCTTTGTTGCGTGTAAATTATCAATTATTATTTGTCTGGAATCTCCACCCGATGCCCCCTATTTTAGAAAGTAGATGGAGCAACCATGGTGATTTGATCGGTCTCAGCGCTTTCAGGGGTTTGACAAGAGGATGAGATGGCCCAAATCTGTCATTGAAGAATAGGGGCAAGGCATCGTCCTCTTAGGCAGCTCTCGATTCCAACGCAGAGCTATTGGGAGAAATCCCGACCAGGTGGGCGGTGGTCACTGAGGTAACTCACTAGTGGCGGGCCCCCGTCAAATAGTTCCCCTTCTTACCGCTTCGTGGATCCGCGGGGACAAGATACCAGACCAGGAGAACCTTCTTTCTCACCTTCACTTTTGCCTCCGGCATATCCCTTTCTCTTGTCTTGCTAATATCCGTATCACTCTTTCAACCTTTTGTATCCACCATGGATGAGATTGCGCCCGAGTACGATATCGTGGTGCTCGGCACTGGTGAGTCGTTGGCTACCCCGCCATTCTTCTGCGCTCATCGTTGACGTCCTTCTCTGCCAGGCTTGACCGAGTGCGTGTTGTCTGGGTAAGTATCGCTCCGCCGTTCTGAAGCAGATCATGGCAAGGAGTCGATGCTGATTCTCGTTCTTTACTACAGTGTTCTCAGTGTGAAGGGCAACAAGGTCCTGCACATCGATCGCAATGACCACTACGGAGGGTGGGTTGACAATGGAGCTCCCCAACAACGCCACGTACCGAATCAGCTAACAATGACCTTAGAGAGGCGGCCTCCGTCAACATTGAGACTGTATGCCGACTTTATATCTTGGTAATGTCCTTTGCTGACCTCTTCTGCAGCTCTTCAAGAAGTACCGCAACGTCCCCGCTGGCGAGGAACCCTGGAAGAAGTATGGAAGAGTCAACGACTGGAACATCGACTTGGTCCCCAAGCTGTTGATGGCGAACGGCGAGTTGACAAACATTCTGGTCTCCACCGATGTGACGAGATACCTCGAGTTCAAGCAGATTGCGGGCAGCTATGTCCAGCAGGGCAAGGGTCCCAAGGCGACCGTGGCCAAGGTGCCTTCGGACGCCGGCGAGGCTCTGCGCTCTTCTCTCATGGGTCTGTTTGAGAAGCGTCGTGCTAAGAAGTTCCTGGAGTGGGTCGGCGAATTCAACAAGGAGAACCCTGCGACTCACCAGGGTACGTCAACACCTAGCAACGAACCTGGGTGGGGAAAGATGGCTAACTCGGAATAGGTCTCAACGTTGCTACCTGCACCATGAAGGAGGTCTATGACAAGTTCGGTCTCGAGGACAACACCCGTGACTTCGTTGGTCACTCCATGGCCCTCTACCCCTCGGACGAGTACGTCAACAAGCCCGGCGCTGCCATCGAGACCATCGACCACATCCGCCTCTACGTCAACTCCATGGCCCGTTACGGCAAGTCGCCTTACATCTACCCCCTCTACGGTCTCGGCGAGCTTCCTCAGGGCTTTGCCCGTCTTTCCGCCATCTACGGTGGTACCTACATGTTGAACACCGACATCGATGAGGTGCTGTATGACGAAAGTGGCAAGGTCTCTGGTATCAAGGCTACCATGAAGGATCGTGATGACCAGGCCGCGGCGATGAAGTTCGAGACCAAGACCAAGAAGATCATTGCCGATCCTTCTTACTTCCCCAACAAGGTCAAGGTCTCCGGCTATCTGCTCAAGGCCATCTGTATCCTGAAGCACCCCATCGACAAGACCGATGGCAGTGACTCGTTGCAGCTAATCATTCCCCAGTCTCAGATTGGACGAAAGCACGGTGAGTGATGCTTTTAACGCCAATATTATTATTGAATAACCACTAATATTTTAATCAGATATCTACATCGCGATGGTCTCGTCTGCACACAACGTCTGCCCTAAGGGTTACTACATCGCCATCGTCTCGACCATTGCCGAGAACGATGTCAACCACCACCTCGAGCTCGAGCCTGGCTTTGAACGCCTGGGTGCGATTGAAGAGAAGTTCATGGGTCCTCCAATCCCCATCTACGAGCCTTTGGAGAGTGGCGAGAAGGACAGTGTCTTCATCTCCAAGAGTTACGACTCGACATCGCACTTTGAGACCACCACTTGTACGTCATCTGATTATCGAGATTAAACTGGTCTTCATACGCTAACAGAATTCTCACTCTAGACGATATCCGGGATCTCTACCAGCGTGCCGCTGGTGAGGAGCTCAAGGTTGAGGGACTGCGCGAGGGTCAGCAGCTTGCTCAGGAGTAGAGGAAAAGGGGGGGTTAGATGCTATGGGATGATCTGTGTATCATTCTTAGATGCTGGACTGACTATATTTCTCTTGGACATGTTTGATTCTCTCCGTTGTTCTTCTCTTTTCGCGCTCAATCACCAGGCGCGCTCTTTGCGATCACACTGAGACTCTGTAGCAAGCGCAATATACCTGTCTCTATCAATCAATTCGTACCGCAAAATAGATTGTATATGGAAACGAAACAAAGTTTGGACCGTCGTAAAAAAAGGCAGTAAATAGACCATGTATCTTTATATACAGCTGTAATTTCATGAACGCAGAATACTCCTCCCTATCGGGTAATACCCTGCACATATAAAGCCGGGATCTATCATCTTTCAACGCCCCCTCGTCTCTAAATCCTCTGGTTCACTTCAGGATCCGTATTCGCCTTCTCATGTTCTCCAACCACACACACATCGCCAGTATCCGCTTTCTGAATCTCCGCCCTTAGCAGCGCAAGCCGCTTGCCAACGTGGATGACTTCACATACAATGCGCGCCTCTATCCCCATCGGCACAGGACGCAAATACGTCACCTTGAGGTTGCGACTCACGCCGCCGAGCGCGAATTTGCCGGGCTCGGAGACACCCAGCAGGATGGTGGTTGATAAGACGTCAATAAGTGTCGCCGCACACCCGCCGTGAAGGTTACCTATGTAGTTGCTGAGCGCTGGAGTGATGTTCAGTAGGAAGGAGACCTTGGCTGGGGGTCCGCGGGTTGCGGACTCGAAGCGGAGGTTGCAGTTGCGGGCATTGACGTCCCAGTGCTGTTAGCTGTTAGCTTGCAGGTTCTCCTGGAGCATTTCTTGAGATGGAAGAGAAATATGCAAAGGAAATGTGCCAGCTCTAAGGGTTATGCGCTGTTTCTGACGGACCTCTTCGCTGCCCAAGCCCATGCGACCCGTATATTCGTAGACAAGCTCCTCGAACTCGTCCAGCTTCCGCGCTGGCCGCCTGATTCCTTCGTCCGACATGGTGTGTATCCAAGAGGAGGCTGTGAAAGTCGAAGCGATTCTGGAAGAAAGAGTGTCACAGGGTCTTTACTTGGGAAAGTGGTGACGGAAAAGTGACTTGCAGCTCTTCCCCACAGGCGCATCACAGCAGCTCGGGACGAGTTGAACCTCGGCTGATGGGAGCCGATAGATACGGATCCGACGTGGCTTGTTTTCTTTGCTGGTTGAGCACTCGCTCTAACTAAATTGACGCAGCCCGATTTTATATACCGATCTAACGAAAGGATCATCCCTGGTACCGACTTTCAATGTAGAATTCTTTTATCTTGATGTACGCTGCAATCCTTCGGCGACATGTTCGGGACCCGGTTCGTGACACACTCGCGACCAAACATTTGAAAGGTAAGTGAAACTTTGGAGTCGATCAATGTGAGCATCAATTCTATCGCGAATATTCTTGTATCAAATAATGTGAAACGAGGGTGGTTGTTGGTGCTTACTTGCGCACCTGACTTCGCGTCACGCGTGGCGGCCTGAGGCGTGAAAACCGGGGATGCTCGATTTGTTGCCGAACCATCAACAATCTTGCCTTTTGCGATTGAACCTCCCACTTGCCGTGACAACTCTTCATCGCATGAGCGAGAGGGCCTTTTACGCTGCTCTGTATTTATTTGCTATCAGCTTTGCGGTTTCTCGCTCCTAAGTGGTGCTGAGGGCTTCATACAATAGCTCTCCCTCTCGCAGCATGCTTGTTGGAACCCACCACTAAGTTGGAGGGTTCACCAATCGATACTAACGGAGCAACGGTCGCAAATACTCATCATCTCATCGTGCAAGTCAACCATACTACCCGCCGATTCCCTTGTTCTCGCTATATCCTCCGTAAACACCTTCCGCGACCGCTCAACGCACAGCCATGAAAGACCCCCGAGCCTCGAAGCGGAGGAGAGTCTCCGAAGAGCCTGCGCCTGATGATGACGGAGATATCGCCATGGAGAGCGATGGCGATGTATACTCAGTCCCGTCCTCCCCCGAGCCCGATGCAGACTCCGACGAGGACCAAGACTATCGCGGCCCCCGAAGACAAGCTTCGCGACGTCAGTCCACTCGTGGTAGAAAGAGCAACGTGCCCGATGGCTTGGAAGAAGATGCTGTGGAGACACCCAGGAGTGCACGAACAAGTGGACGGCAACGTAAAGCGCCGCAGAGACTCGAAGACGCCCCTACACCGTCCTCGGTCCGACGGACGGCTGCTACGCCTCGAAGTGCTCGAGGGACGAGAAGCGCACGGAAGCCGAGACAAGAGTCTGCGGATGATATTGAGATCGATATGGATGGGCAGTCTCCGAAGCCGACTGGAACAATTGCTAGGACAAGGTCGCGAAGGAGTACGGCCAAGTCCAGGTCATATGGCGCCAATGGGGGCGCTGGAGAGGATGATAAGGACCACTCTCCTTCATTTGAAGGATATAATGATGGCCTTGATGATCTCGTTGTAATGCAGCTACAACAAGACCTTCAGAATAACGAGGAGGCCCCAGAGACAGCGGAAACGATCGATGCTCTCCCAGACTACGCAGAGAAGCTCCAAGCACTCTGCCAATCTGGCTTGCAAGATGAAGTCCGGGTCCTGACGACTGCACTACTTGAGAAGCTTTCCGGCAAAAAAAAATTCCGCTCAAAGGGCTCGAAGGCGAGTATACAAAGGTCAACCACTTGATTGAGCAGACCGTCACCGTTGGCGAGGGTAACTCGATGCTTCTTCTTGGGTCACGAGGTTGCGGCAAGACAGCAGTCGTTGAGAACATCATCTCGTCTCTCGGAAAGCAACACGGCAACGACTTCCACGTTGTTCGACTGAATGGTTTCCTTCACACGGACGACCGTCTTGCTCTCCGAGAGATGTGGCGCCAGCTTGGCCGTGAAACCCATACTGAAGACGACGCAGCAAAGGTCAGCTCCTACGCCGATACGATGGCTACCTTGCTGGCCTTATTGTCTCATCCGGAAGAGTTATTCGGGGCCAGTAATGGGGACAAAGTGACAGCAGCCAAGTCAGTTGTGATTCTTCTGGATGAGTTTGATCTCTTCGTGACCCATCCTCGACAAACTTTGCTATACAATCTATTTGATATTGCCCAAGCCAGAAAAGCGCCTATTGCGGTCATCGGGCTCACTACCAAGGTCGACGTGACTGAGATGCTGGAGAAGCGTGTGAAGAGTCGTTTCAGTCACCGATATGTCTACATTCCACTCCCGAAGACATACGAGACTTTCTCGGAAATTTGTATGGCGTGTCTGGATCTTGATGAGAATGAAGTTGAGGAGTTGACTGCTGGACTTGGATCTGAGCAGGCTATCAACAAGACTGCTGGTTGGAAAACGCTTCTAAATGGATGGAAGGAATACTTGCAAGTAAGCACGAACACTCAACCAATTACCAGAGACACTTCCCATTAACTCACTTCATCTATAGAACCTTTTCAACGACAAGGACTTCCAATCCCACCTCAAGAAGATCTACCACCAGACCAAATCTGTGAAGGAATTCCTCGCAAGCGCGCTCCTCCCAATCAGCGCGCTCCACCTCAGTACGCAAGCCGCCGACAAGCCTACGTTCCAGATCCCAACACCCAGGAGCTTCGCCTCCCAATCCCTCACCTGTCCAGACCCAGCGGCCCTGCCGTTCTCAACCTCTATGACCGCATCTTTCAGCCCTTCATCTCTCCCCCTCTCTCTTCTCCTAGCAGCCACCCGCCTTGCTGCCCTCTTTGACCCGAGCAATGACAGCATCCAAGCTCAGAGCATCGCTCCGTTAGCCCTCTCCTTCCCTGCAGCGTACGCAGAGTACGTACGCCTACTCACCTCTGCGAAGACCTCTGCCTCGATCTCAGGCGCAGCAGCTACACCTGGCCGTGTCTGGGGCCGAGACGTGGCGCGGGAGTCCTGGGAGAAGCTAGTTACTTGGGGCCTCGTCACGCCTGTGGGTAGCGGCAATGGTACTGCAGATGGACAAATGTTCCGTGTGGAGATTAGCTTCGAGGAGGTTGTTGAGATGGCTGGTACGGGGAGTTCTCTCGGACAATGGTGGAGGGAATGATAATGGGCCGTTCAACTTTTTGCATTTGTTATGGCTGCATTTTACAAGATGCATACTTTGTTGGTTATAATGACTTTATTATCTACCTATTGCATGCTAGACAGAGATAATCACTAGACCTGTACGCAGCTGGCCTCATCTCAACTTCCTAATATCACTTGGATATAGTCCTCGGATATAAGCTATAGACTGTTTAAACCCTCTTCCAGATAGTATACACACTCTTCAAGCGGTACGATAATCCGCCAATGGCTGTATCAGAACAGTCTATCTCTCCGCGCTGTCATGACTTAACGAATGAACAGCGCTGGTACCTAACTCCGACTTCCTCAACCCTCAAGAGGGCTTAACACAAGCCTAACATGGCTACCATCATGTTTTAGCTTATTCCATAGCCTGATCCGATGCCGCTATGATATGTCACAAAAGCGTGGCAGCCACTCACACTTTTGGACGCCATCTTCCCCGCCTTCGTTTAAGCTATGAACACGACACCTAGACCGAACATAAGCCCGTTCGTATGCGAGGGAATGGATGATCCTTTCCTGGGAGTGTAGCTATTAGTCAAGAATTATCGTTTCAAGGATCGTCCTTGATGACAACGCCACTGAGTCGATCGAGTGACGCGTTGCCTTTTATGCATATTGCCGTTGGTATACATGCGTATGGTCTCGTTCTGGTGGCGAATCGAGGAGGGGAATTTGTCTGTAAAGCTTATTCGTATAGTACTCATGTCAAATTTTGATTATTTAGCTCAGCTACCTGGAGTTTATTGACAGATATGACCATAACTTTACTTTGCTATTCGTAAAATCGTCGTCGGAGCAGGGACCACAGCAATCAGTGCCACAACCTCACACAAACAAGGCAACGAAGCAAACATGGGAAGATTTCTAGAAGTTGTGTACAGTCCAGTCTAAGATAGGATATCCCCAAAGCATAAATTGGAAGCAAATCAATCCTGCATGCCCAACAATCCCTAGCATCCCCATACTTGGCCCTTCTCACCGGGAGTTGTATACGGCTAAGCACGCAGTCTTCTGTTCAAAACCGCCAGGGTCTTCCATGCAGCGTCCTCGACAAAAGCAAAAAAAAAAAAAAGGAAACAAAAGGAAAACCAAAACACCACATACCGACAGATACCCAGAACCCTTACAGTACACATGCTCTCTCCCCTTCGCCACAGCATAACCCAAGCTGTTGATTGGCCGGGGTGCACGCGACATGCATGCGTGCTGCCCAAACCATGTGTCAAAAGTGACATGTCGCAGGTTTCTCTCCAATTATTACCCGGAAACGGGAAGCGGGGAGGTCAAGCCGATGCCCAGCGGTCTTCTACTATTGCGAGGGAGCCGACATGCATACAGGATTACTCTGTCTTTGCAATAACAATAATTATCGGGCCCGCGTGGGTCGATGGGCAGGAAGCGGCAGCAGATGCTGCAGCATGAGTTTGAGCATATTACGCTGCATGCAGGACCGCGAGGGCTGGGGTACCATGCGAATTATACAGCATCACTCTTGTATATTTGGTCTCAGGGGTGGGGATGTACAGAGGACTTTCGAGGTTAAAGGAAGTAGATCTAATCCTAGGCAAAGACTAATTCTTGTTTATTTCGCTTAGGTAGTCATTGTTGTCTGATGTCGAGGTCATAAGATTTTCTATTTTGCCATTTTACCGTCTCGACACAAGCCAATGCAATAATTAGTGTTTGAAGTTACCATGCATCTAACATCTAGTGTTACGGCTTGATCGGCCCGTGGGGCGGGCATTGTTTCCTGAAGTCATTATTTGGGGGTGGGGAGAGAGTTAGTGTGCTTCCGTGAAGGAAAATGGAGCCCGGGCAGTCGCAGTACGCTATCCACTATACTGGATAGAGTAGCTTCGGCGCGGAGGGTGGCTATGTACTATAGTAGGGCAGGATAATCCAGAGCAATAAGATAATACTTCAGTGAGTAGATCACATCCGCTAAATCTTGCTCGACGTAATCTTGTCTGCCTGCAGACTATGCCGCAACTCCACACTTCTGCACGACTGCGCTTGGCATAGCTAGCTAGCAAGCTCCTCCCGTGAAGCAACCACCCTCGGGTGGCAATTGCTCAATGCCTTCGGACTTCAAGGATGGTGCTTGGTCCGCATGTTGTAAATCCATCCAACCAATAGGCATACTGCCTGCAGATCGATACTCCGGATTCCATCAAAATATGTAGCAGCCCGGTGGCGGGGGTGGCTTTGAATAATAGAAAGGTTGCTGATTTTGAGTCGAAACATTTCAAGGGCTTCTTTGACACGGTAGATAGCATAGCGAGAATAGCCAGTTTGCGTAGTAGTAACCCTTGGTCCTGACCATGCCAAAAAGACCATGTTCTAGCCCTTGGGAATAGGACTGGGCCATGGCCGTAAACTCCGCAACTAAGAGACCCGGGCAAAACATGGTTGAAATTACATTTTTGACCCATTTCTTTGAGCATCAGGGGGCATGAAACTGGGCAGATCCAGATCAATTCAACAATAATAGAGATAATACATGGGAGGCGCCAATCTGAACCTGGAAATCCCAGAGCAAGATGACTCCAATACTCCAGAATATGACATACCAATAAAGACCTCCAGTTGGATGCGACGGCATATGGGAATGATGAGCAATGCCGCATGCTTCCGAGGGGGAGGGGTATGGTGTATAGAGTACGTGGACGGCTAAACGGGAGCTCATAGACCACGGAAAATCCGGAGAGCTTTTGGGCTCGGTTTGTCTCGTGGTAACTTGCATTAGCGAGTAAAGTAAAGAGCTACTATAGAGGAGAGATATCCTCTATCTTCAAAGCCCAACGTGCCAAGATCCTATTCTGCAGTGCACCCAGGCCCGGGGAGAAACGGACGGAGCACAGCGTCTTCATGGTCAGGTAAGCGGAACATGTGTTGACTAGGATAATTGTTACTCTGCATTCAGTTCTTGGATACAGTAGCTTCTTTGCTCATAGTCATAATTACCATCAAAATTAAAATCATCATGACAATCGCAAGCGTAGAACGGCGGTCACCGGTTTCGATCGTCGCCGGCTCTAGCGGCACTAGTTCATTAGCCCGTCACCCTCACCCCGCTTCTACCGTTGCAGATGAGCACTTTTTTGTGTTTCGTTCTCGTCTTGTTACGACCGGAAAGAGGTCCTTCTGATCACTGCAGAGAACCTTTTTGGGATACTTGGTATCGGTGGAGGCGGTTGATGTTGAGTGGTTAGTTCGATGCTAGTGATCGTCTTACCTCTTCTCCCCGGTCAAGCTGCACGCTTGACTTTTGACACAGACGGGATGGGCACACATTCCCCGCAACAATGTATTGTCCACGGGATGAAGACCGGTCTACGGAGGGGGAATTGTGGAGGGGTGTATGTACGTAGGATTCGGAGAAATATCGTATCTCCGGATGGCCAGTCTTCAAATTAGAGCTACACGGACGAAGCACTTTTGTATCTAGCTAATTCCGTGTCTTGAAGTGTACACTTTCTCGCTAACTTGAGAGCGAACAGCCTCGGACCAGTCCCTCGGTTTCCGAGCCTGCAATTCACGGCGATCACCATGAGCCCGTGGTACTCCCGCTATCTCCGCTGTTGTGCATGGCCTACAGGCATTATTAGCGAGAAGATCAGGATAGGTCCTAGAGCGAGACAGGTTTAGCGAGCTCAAAGTACTCACCACATAGCATACATTCACGCGTATGCATATGCTTCGTTGACATTGAGCTTGGAATTAGAATTGTATCATGCATACACACCTTATCCTCATTTACAGAGTCTCCGAATCCAAGTAATGACTGTAATAGGCTAAGCATGTCATTTCTCTTTGGCGTAAACCTGCAGCCTAGACCGAAATGCCTTATTATGAAGATCAAGACAAGGATGGACAATTACGCGACTTGTTCGGCTGGGGGCGGAGGTTTATGTCTTCTCTCATGACAGTCATCGCTATTGTACTCATCGCATGTACAATTGCGATGACCATTTACCCATATGACTGACCGTATGGTATGATAGTTGCAGCTCATGGCATATCTGCGTGTTGTTCAGCTCCCTCTGGGCACCTCAACGCTATTGGGTGAGGTATGTCATGTCCTCCCTCCGATCGCGGCCATATTCGTGGCCCCCAAAAAAGGGAATCTGAGAATGTCCCCTTGTACCGTCAGCTTGCAGATGCTGCAGCTACGAAACACCGAGTCGAGAGCCATTGTCCAATCAATTTCCTCGACCCAGGACAAGAGGGAGACGGAAAGCACTGCGGCGCGCATACAGCGACCTGACCAATTGTGGATCGTCAGTAGTGGTCTAACTCATACGTATAGACGGTGAGACGGTTAAGTACAAGTATACTGATCCGAAGAAGGACTAACGTCCTAGAGGATTAGCATCCTTATCATGCCACATGGACACCCGACAGATCCACTGCCGTTGCTGCAAGTCATAACGCTGTCGCTTGGTTAATCACTACCGTAATACAGACAGTACTTTCTTCGACGAGCACAACTAGCTACAGGGATGGTCCGCTCCTTCTATGTCATACCAATTTTGAATATGCATACTTGAATCCGTGTTTCCCGCTTCGGAGGAAGTCCAGTACATTCGTACCTTGACGACGCCTTGGGGCAGATTCTGTGCCCAGAGGTCGCCCATCTCTCCAAAAATATCATCTGTTCGGGAAACCCCCGAACGACACTCTCCAAATTCCATGCTCCGTATTTTCAAAATTTGTCACATCCAAATTTCCGGGCGCAGATCATCTGCCACGTGGTCCTAAACTTCTTCCCTCCCGCTGTGGCTCCTTCGGCCGTGTATGTAATGATTATAAACTTTAACAAAGTTCATCGTCCGAAGTTACAAACGAAGGTGCCGCTGTGGAGTCACCGGTTAATGCTCGTCGACATATTAGTCTTACGAGAGAAACGTGGTACAAGATCACTAGTCAACAATAATGATGAATTATAGGCGATCGCGTCCGTGGCAGAAG